GGGTCTATCAATTCTTTCGAATATTCAGACGCGCATACATTCAACCACACACACTCGACTTATCTCTCGCTAACATCCAATCACTTACTCTTAATCCTCAATATCTTTACGCAAACTTCGCCCTTAACCAAAATGTTTATGGGAAAATGGAGGACGGAACGGAGGAACATGTCGGAGGAGGTAGAGAGGAAAACTTTTTTAAGGCAAAAAGGTTACATGTTTCGTTAATACAAGTTGTGGAAATGAGAATTTGGGATGACTTGACTGCTGCTGGAGGGTTAGAGGCGGAAAGTAATTTGCAAAGAAATTTTGGAGGAGGATGCATCAATGTGAGAGAGGATTCCATAGTTCCTGTCAGTCGTTTTTGTAACATTACATTTTGTACTACTACATTTGTTACATGCATACGTACGACGTGGGCATAATAATTTAACGTAATGTGGCATAACTCGACTTTGGCCGTCTGTCCGCCACATGCTCCCGTTTAAGGTTTAGACTTACTTCGGATGCATGTACATACGTTCAGGCAACTATCTAACTTGATACTGCTGAGGATTCACATCATCATATCTTCCATCATCATCATATCGCCGTCACATTCCAGCACCTCGCTCTTTTCTGCGCCAAACCTGAGTCAAGACCTCTTTTTTTAACTGAAAAATCATCATGAATGTATTTTTAAGATTGACTGATTAAGGCAAATTAAAGTTTTTTGGCAAAACTTGAGAAAATCAGGGTAGATTTCACACCACATAAAAAGCCGTAGTCTGCAGCTGGACATTTTTTTGGGTTCTGCTTACTGAACAAACTTGCATGCACATATGTAATGCATGCACATACGGATCAGATATTTAGGCACAGTTTCAGTTGCAATGAGTTCACACTAAATATTTGCTTACTCCTGTATTTGCTCAGAGATAATGCCCAACTAATGTGTGTCCAGTATTACGTGGATATTATTACGTTTCTTATTGCTTACTCAGAGTTTATTATTATTGGGGTGGTGTGTGGTGTGTGTGCTTCTATTATAAAGTGATATCGAGATAATGGACGCTGTCATGTCCACTCCTTGTCCACCACTCCTCATCAAAGTCGAGTCTTAAATAACCAGTCCTTTTCATATTACTTACTCGATCCATACATTGTTCGCCTGTTATGTTGGCTGTTTCTTATTTAATGCCCACCTCTCGCTCAGCTACCACTTCTTCACTTCTTGACAAATTGGCAGGCAAATGTATTTCTGATGTAAACCCTAATTTATTCCGTAATAGGGACAAATTACTCTATAGTAGTGACATAAATGGGGCTGGTCAGATGGTGATTGATGACAGGAAGTTTATGTGCGAATTTTTTTCTGATTGTCATCTCATGTCAGCAATTTTCTAATTTGTAGTTGCAATAATAAAAAGACGCGAGAAAGAAGTACGTGTACGCATTCTTTCGCTGAGCACACCTATGCACATGTCAGTCTGGTCTTGGTTGGTGCACTTATTTATTTCGAAGATGGTTATCATCAAAGTTTACGACTGCAGAAAATAAATACCTTTTAAATTAAAAGCTATAATAAATTTGCTATTTTTTCCAAAAATACAATTGGTATCCATTTATTTTTATAAATGCTTAATGAATACATGGAGTCGAGTCAGTAAAGTGGTGTTTTATTTTATGATGGGAACATTTTATTATTATGGGTCTTGGGTATGCATGTAGTAGTGATGAGATGTCTCGATTTGCGATAAAAACACTCACAACTTTATAACACGTCGTTAACTTACACCAGAAAATGAGTGTGTAGCCAGCAGAATACATATGCAAGCTTAATATGAATTTTACGAGGAGGCTTATCTCTCGCAGTAGCCTGAGCTCGGAAAGATGTGGATGAATGAATGCAATTGTGTGTGTGGTGTGTGTGTGTGCATTTTTTAACTACAAAATCAGATCCTCTTCATTATTATATGGGTTGAAATTGGCAGGTTGGACACTTAAACCCATTGTTCCTCACTAACTCGGAATTACAATAATTTGCTAAATTCTTTGGATTTAAACACCACTTGTAATCTAGAACGCATCAAAACTCAGTGAGCATACATATGAACATTTACTTGACTAAATCTGGTGGCCTGGAGTTTGTCAGTGCAAATCCATTTGCGAAAAGTAGTGTAGGAAAAGAAAAAGACAAGTTAATTGCGATGCTGACGGCCTTGAATGACTTGTGTGAGGGAACTAACCCAAGTTTTCTGAATGTCTGCACGTTTACTTAAGGAATGAGTTAGATAATATATGTCCATAGAGCTAAAGAGGTATGAACGTGAGTGCTAATGAGATATATGTGTGCATATATAATACATAATACTATATTACCAAGTGCTTGCTCTCAACCTTAACCGATTGGCAAAATTTAACTTGTTTTTGCACAAGAAAACTAAATGAGGAAATAATTGACGGGAAAAGGCAGACGCCACTACTATTCATATACCATCATCATCATGTGCCAACAACTTTGCAGTTTTAAACAGAAACTTGCACACAAAACAAGGATTCCGTGCAAATGGAATGTTTTCAGAGTGATGAGGGAAGAAATGTGAAGCAAATTTGTTCTTTTTCATTTTATTTTACGACCGAGCATAACCTTCCCCTTTTACTTATCTACAAACTCCAGACCAGGCACACTTCTTCTTCAACTACTCTCGCCTCATCCTTCCTGGAATGTCGTCCTACTCGTCATTTCACTTGTTGAATTTCACTTTTACTTTGGGTTATGGCCGCGCAGTAAAATAAAAGATAAAAGATTTGCATAAGTGCTTATTACACAAAAGGGTAGAAGGAGGACTGACTGAGTAACAACAACGAGTCTTCTTGGAGTCGAGGTTGTCAGTTTTTGCAAAAAAAAGTGTCCAAAGTAAGTGAAGTAAAGGCAGGCAAATGCTCGTTTATGAAAAGGATGAAAAATAATGGTTCGCTTAAAAGCTTGGTTTGGTTAGAGAGAAAGAGTGCGAGAGAGAGAGAGAGCAGATGGAATGATGGACGTTTCGAGACCCTCAAGGGACACTCTCGATCCGACCACCGCCGACCCACTCCTCTTCGTCCATACTAAATACGTACTCCCAACCAGCATAATATATTTTATATTTACAACAATCACCTACAATGGAGTCGTTCGACCAATGGAGAGGAAAGAAAGACCCAGAATCTCTTTGGTTGTTCCTGGCTCTTTTTTTGTTAAGGAGAGAGAGAGTGAAGTGAGGTCAGAGAGAAATTACAGCCCATATTGTATACCCAAGACGTAATATGGTGAGATGAGGGATGCCTACCAAGAGATACTACATACTTTTACCTGCTTATTGCCTTACAAGTCTGGGAGGAAAATAAAATGTCGTAAAATACTCGAGCTTGATTTATGTCATGTCTTCAAAGAGGAATCAAAGTCAGAAAAGAAAATTGTAGCAATCGATCGATATCATCAATAGCAATTTGTTTGGGGCGATGCAACGAGCGTCGAGTGGTTTGCATATTTTGCCAACCTACAACAACTGGTTACAAGTTTAATGAGTTAAAAAATAAATGGTCGCCTGCAGATCAAGTAAGGCACAGTAAAGAGCCGATCGACTTTTTGTGCTAAGTTATCCTCATTTTGTGAAGGGTGCGGCTGTCTAATTAACCAAGAAACCAGTCCCGAGCTGCGATGTTACTTTCCGTTCCGTATGCACATGTATGAATGCCTTAGTCGTCAAAGAATGGTCCCCCGGGGCTCCGTATAAGCAATGGTACACATAAGCGGATTAAATATTTTTACAGTACTTTACAATTTTCTAAGTAATATTAATATTAATAATAGTAATAATAATGAGTCTTAACTTTATAGTTTAAGAGTCACCAGTAGTATTACCCCCTACTGGGAGTGGTGCCTTATTGTCATCGTCCTCCTTCTTTGCCCCGTCCATTATGTCCAAGTTGGCTGTTGTGAGGTCTCAACTCGGCGAAATGGAAAATATACTTGTATGAGGAACAACCTTTCTCAGAAGAATTTCCTCATAGACATTTTATACTTACAAAATATACATTTATTTCCAAGGAGGAATCGTTTTTGTCCATTTTGAAGAATTTCTTTCTTCGTGGATGGATCACTTATTGATTTTGCTTTGCTTGTGTAGAGAGAGAACAAGATAACAATGTGTTCATCTCGGAGGAGCAGCAGAGATACTTTGGCTCACTGCAGGGTGTTCTCTGTTCCATCATCGACATTGATCCTCGATCCCGACCTGATAACCAGCCAACCAAACCAAGTGCCACTCCTTTAAAGCACAACACAATATGTATGAATAGCCAACCACAAAAAGATTTCCAGTACTTGGTAAGGTTGCTGGTGGTTAGTACGCATTCAATAATGTATAAAAAAAATATTTTATTTCCTTGCTTCTGCTCATTTCATTTCAACGTGGGGGTGTGTACTCACCAAGCACCAAGCACTATCGGTACTGATTGAAAAAAAGTTATTTTTTTGTAAGTTTGCGAATAATGTACTGTTGCTTTTCAATGGAAATAAGAAATTGACGACGAGGACGATCATGATGGTTCATGATTTTCAAGTAGAAATTGTCAGCAGGAGGCAAATGATCACTCACTCGTAGAAAAGAGAGACACATGTCCACACTTTCAATCTGGATAAAAAATTGGATACCTGGTATGAAACGGAGATGAGATGAATAATGCAAGCATTGCGACGACGTATTGTGTATTTTTTCGTACTCTGTATCAGCACAGGAATACCGACACAATGTCTGTCTCGCAGTCTGTGGTATATTGATTGATATCGATACACAATATTATACCAATTGAATATGATAATAATAAAGTCGTTCTCATGCTCAAGAGTAAGTGGTTTCATCTCTGGAAATGGATCTTCTTAGTATGTGTAAAAGCAGGTGATTTAGCATAACCCGCCCACCTGAGATGAATCATACACGCAATTCAAACTATTATTATCAAGTATTTTAAAAAAGTTGTTAAATATGTTTCAGATACGTCAGGAGAAACCCTACTACATCGCAGACCCTGAAGTAGATTCACTGGTAAGTATTTATATGTGTGTATAATAAAGTTATTGTATTATTTAAAAATTGTGATTGAATCCTGATAAGTTTCATCATGAAAATGCACAAGCTATTTTTTGCTGTTTAAAAATGTGGTGGGTAACTCCAACCAAAACCATGTTGCATTCCTTTCCTACTTGGCTCTTGTAAAGAAAGGATTAACGTAACAGGAGATAAAGCAAAATAAAATAAAAAGTTCATCTTGTTTGCCCATGGATGTTATACGTTGTACGCATTTAAAAGCGTATTTGGACGTGTACCCTACAGTGACCTACCTCATCATCCCATCCCACTTGTAGCTGCTCGAAAGGAATTTAAATGTGGAGAGGAATTTTTTTCCCCTCAGATAACATCACCCACTACTCGTCATGTTCCTTGGTCGTCTTGTTCCTTTTTATAAAACTCTCTTCGTCTGCTGTAGCTTTTGATTCTAAAATTTTAATGGAGAGAGAGACTTTGTTGTCCTGCCACTTTTTCAAAGGAATCATCTCTTCTTCGTCATTTACTCCGAGTCCTTGTTGGTAACTGGAGATGAGCAGTTGTGGTGAGTGTCGGATTTCCAAAGAGTTTTGTACCTTATATCAGGATCGTTGGACTACGCCCTATTTTGTAGAAAGTATAAAAGCCACAAAAAATTTTGGGGGTGCGAATAACTCGTGGTTATCTTGGGTTGCTATTAGGCATGCAGTTCTAACTGGAGTTATCTTTTTCATGACATTAGATTTTGTATTTTTTTGTAAATTTTGTGTAAACGATACAACATGTGAACATGTTACATGAAATTTAGTTTAGCAATTTATGAATGTTCCAATGTTCCAATACGATGAATTGAAGTTCCACATTGATTTGATCTCTCTCTCACTCTCGGTATATATTGGAATACAATGTAGAAAACAAACGAGTGAATGGATTCACAAATGTTTGGTTGGTTCCACTCAGAGAGGATCATGTTATGTTCGATCGGTCGTCTCATTTATTTTTATTTCATTTCGTTTTATTTCCTTTATGTACATATTATTATTACCTTCTCCTGTCTGAGACCAACAACAATGTGTAGTCAGTCAGTCGTGTATGTAGTATCGCATCTCGAAGGAAAAGTAATCCTTTATTATTCGGCTCCGTCTCTAGTCGCCCATTATTGCTTTCTTGTATAATGGGATTACATCCACGAAAATACATAAAAACACACATTTTGACTTTTTAACCAGAGTCAGGGCTTATGAGATCGTCGTGTTTGTCTGTCCTTCCGTAACACGCTAGCGGACGATCCACTTAACCGATTTTGACCAACTTAGTCTTAAATTGCGTATCTCTCCAAGACCTTGGACGAGTTTGAAGATGGGCATGACCAGTCCAGTGGTTGACCGGTGTGGTCATATGTAAGTAGTGGGATAAATAGGAAATAGGCCTTTGGCATGATGGGGTAGGTGCATTTCAAGACTACGAATGTGAAGTAAATTTCTAAAAATTTGTAGCAGGTAACAAAAAATCAGAGGCATATATGACCCTGACTCGGGCTAAATGAAGTCTGCACTTTAGGTTTTTTTTAAACCAAGGCTGCGACATTATGTAAAAATTCGGATAAAATAAGATGTAAGAGTAAAAGGACGAAGAGGCATTTGAAAATCTCGTGTGTATTATTTTTCATCGAATTCTAGAGAGGAACGGATAATGACATGGTTGAGCAGGAGGATCATAGTAGATTCGAATTTCTTGGTAGAATCGTGTGCACTATGCCCACCTCCAACCAAACCACCACACGGCCTATTTAATAACATGGATGATGCATCCAATTACTGAACTGGACCCGATTATTGGCCATTCTCTTAAATCACGTAATAAAATGATGATGATGATGTGGTTGAGACGATGAGAATAACATGTCATTAAATCAAAACCAGCCATTTTTACTCATATTCTCATCTTTGGATTGGCCAGTGGAAATGATTATTTTTCGGTATAATTTGTAGGCTTATATATTTTTGAAGAAAATTGTGTTGCTTTTGATAACAATCTCATACTCATCACATTTGACGTAATCAGAAGAAGAAAACTCTGCTGTAGTTGCTTCGTTTTCTTACGTACGAGTAAGATTGGATCACAGATTTATGTAGAATTGTGACTTGTTAACTGCGAGATTTTTCCGAGAGATTCGGTCCATGTCACCATGTCATCGTCATCATGTTGCTGGGTTGTAAGGATGGATACAATGACAATGGAAATGGAAACCAAGAAGATGAGCTATCTATGTATCTACCATCAATCAAGAAGTCATGACTTACATATACACACACCAAACTAACCGACAGACCGGTTCTTATTCTCTGGTGTCTAGCTCTGTAGTCTGGATGTACGTAGAAACTTGTATAATGTATTGTTGATTTCTTTGTCAAAAAGAAAGAAATTTCTGAAGATACAAAACTTCATGTACATAATATGCATATTACATCTACTAGTGTATGTAAGAGTAAATTATTTATGTGGGTTTAATAAAGTTGGGGGCACATTTGGTTGGTTGGTAGATCGACTGACCCACAAGTGTCATGTGTGTCATCGTCATCATCATAATCATCATCCATGATATCAATGTTTGTTCTGGGATCAACTTTATTGATGTGATGTGATGGTCGTCGTCGTCGTTGTCGTCGTGTGCTGGATGGACATGTGTAAATGAAATGAACGCAATAAAAACAAGTTGTTCAATGTCCAACTCTAATCACCCGTCCAGAGCTCCACTGTCCACTCACTTCACTCTCAATTTCGCATAAATGTTCAAGTGGACAAAATTCCTTAGTTTTTGGTAAAATTATTCAAATTCCAACATACATATAAATACACGTATTCTATAATTATACACTCAAGTCCAGGCATGAAATCAAATTGTGGCAAGTCCGCTGGAATATGATGTGATGAAAAAATTCGTGAATGCTTCAGACCTCCTGCCAAGCCAAACTGGATAGAAAATGGTCAGTCTGTTAGGTTGGTTGGATCAGTGGTTATATGCAGTTGTTGACTCGAGGAGTTTTATAATGGTTGAGGACAATGCTCAATTCAATCAAAAATGTTGACTCTTGAGTTTGAGTCGTCGCACATAATAAATAACGAGATGAGAGGAGATGCACCAAACAACCAAAACCATTCAAGGCAATCGCCACCAACCAGATCAAGTGGTTGGATAGATATTATTTGGATGTACATACATATAAATATATTTGTGGATAGTAGAATGTAGACATTGCATCACATCACCTCACTTACAAATATTTTATTTCAACACTACAGTAACTTCAGCACCCACCCATCCAAAATATTCATGGTGGGTATCTAAATGAACTTGAGAATTGTTTTAAATGTTGGTCGCACTACATCATCTAATTTCCTTATTAATATGCTTAAAATTATGGATCTAGTGTTTGGCACAAGTCGTTTACACTACAAAACTGTGTATACAGTCAGTGGTAATTTTATAAATAACTGTCCAGCCTCTCTTGCATATTATGTGCACATGTACATTGTACACCTGGAGTATTGCCCTTATATTGTACTCTAAATTGGACCTTTATATCTGTCTCCTTGTCGTCGTTTTGCTGCTTGCATGAGGTTATCTCAAACCAGTGAACCACTTATTTTTATTTGATTCATCCATTCCATGTCATTCATGTCATGTCACTCTGCTGGTATCAGTTCACATGAAATGTTTCCCTAGGATGAAGTTGTAATCCAACCGAGTTAATCTGTGATAAATAAATATTTGCTGGGTGGACACACACTCGTCAGTCACAATGATGAACAGTAGCGAAGCCAGCCAAACCATGGACTTGCAGCAGAAGCAGTTATCCAAACTGAACCAAGCCAAAAAAGTTTGAATACACAAACTCATTCAGGCTGCTGAATGTTTGTCCATTGCCAATATTTAATTTCATGCATGAATGTGTGACTATGATGTAACCTCTGCAATAATAATAATATCCAGCCAGGAATGAGATGGACTGGACGATTGAATTGATGGACGGGTGACCTTGGGTCATAAATCAACATTAATTTTAACCGAGAAGATTGATTTATTCTCCGAGTGACACCGTCTTATCCGCAGTTCATAACTCATCTTCGCAGTTCGAGTATCATCACCCCGATTTAATAATGCAGCACAAAAATGGATGCAGTTTTCTAATGAAACTTATTATTATTTATTTATGTATGCGTAAAAAATAAATATTAAGAATGTGTTTCTTTTTCTATTTTCAGATGGTACAAGCAATCCAAGTTTTACGATTTCATCTCTTAGAATTAGAAAAGGTAAGGAGTTTACACAGTTTGAAAAATAATTTGTTAAAATGGATTCTGCATTTCGTCGTGGGGTGGAAATATTGGATGTGCATAATAACATCGGATATTCGGATTGAATGCAGCTCTATCCCATTAGAATCAAATCCCTCCCACACTCGCTTGCATTGGACGTGCATACGTACGAACGTACATATTTACCCTCCGTGGATGGCGGAGTGAAAGGAAATGAAGGAATTTGCTCGGGGCGGCATGGAGGAGAAGGATCGGAATTAAATTCGAGCATAAAATTTGATGAGCGATTAAGCCCTCATTACTTGATTAAACTGCACAAGTAAGCAGTTGGGAGGAAAATGCGTAGGAGAGGAGGTGATCCCAACCAGACCCCAAAGTCAACGGAGCGAATGCAATGAGATTGAATCCAATCCAGTAAATAAATACCCCCTCCCACCCAAACAAATCCCGCTCCCACCCACCCACAAACAATCCTACCACCCCGGCCTGGTGTGGCACGTAACGTTGCACAACTAGGGAACATTCAGATAATATCGGAACCACTTTAAACACTGGGTGACGAAACCAAGTAGTTAGTTATTACGCTCAAGTCTCGTTGTGCCAAAAAAGTAGGAAAATGTGTGCAAAGTTGTAAAGTTTAAAATATTCGTAGTGTGAGGGACCCCCAGAGTGAAGAAAGCCATTGAATGCATGCATGCAGAGTAGTGCAGTCAAGTCAAAGCGGTTCAATTCTTTAACCAACATTTGTATTTTGGAACTTGGTTTGACTTCAAACTTCAAAGCACTTTTGTCCCCTTTGACCTGTCACATTCAGGCTGCTGTTGGGAATTTTGGCGAAGAGTGTAAAGTACTCGTACCGTGATATCCATCCTGCATGCGTGAAACCATGTCTCTGCCCGGAAGGACTTGTTCCATGCCCTTTTCAGTTTTGAGTTCAGGTATCGAACGGCGGAGTACGCATTTATCCGGCCAGAGAGAGAATTCTGGTTTCGAATTGGATGCAAATAAATGGAGTGACATGGAATTGGATTTATGCGGAGAGAGTGAGCAAACTATATCTCTGGTTGAGCCCCCTGGTCGTATGGTGGGTGATATCCTCTTGGTCGCCATTATATTTGAACGCATATCTTGTTCTGCTCCCTCCTCCGCCCGTAGCTGTGGCGGAGACGACGACTAAAAAGAGGACTGAGAATAACCTCCCTCTCCTCCAAATCTCATTTTCCACTCGTGGCAGCGTGTAGTATCACATCGCAAACCCAGGCCCATTCTCTCCTTGCCCGACCGAGTAGTGGTGGAGAAAGCGATTCCGGAGATTACATTGAATTGATTTACGTCACCCTGCGCATTCCTCAACTGCATTCCTTTTCCTGGTTAGTCAGTCTCAGCTCAACTTCAGGACTCGTACGTACAGCGTCTTCTTTTCTTCCTGCATCCTCGAAAGGGATGGATGGACACATCTTTTTATGGAATGATGCCATGGTTCAACGGCGAGCGACGAGCAGAGCTATTCTGATTTGAATCGAGAATTCCACAACTTTTTTTTCGTAAAGATTCTCAAAATTTGGTTTGAAAAAGGTACGAGTAGAAAATGCCAGATCCTTCCATATTCTTGGCCAAATTGGGTTCGCCTTGCGTCTGTTCTTCGTCGTCGTCTTCTTCTTCTCGGTCCATTTCACCTGGTTTCTCTCGCTTAGGGTTGGGCAAATAAAGTGGAGAGATAATGAGAAACTGACTCATTAAATGCATTCCTACGCTTTTTGCAGAACGTCACAAGAAAGTAGTGTGCTGCGAGTGAGTAAAGTAATCCTGGCTGGAAAGAAGGCAGTGTCGGAGTCTTGATTAAAACGATTAATCACCACCGAAAACTGTTCTAATACTTACTTTCACCCTCCGGTCTTAATGCAATGTCGTCTCAAACTGCAGCATGCCTCCTCCTCCTCACTCGGGCGAGTGACCGCGCGCGTCTAATAAAAGACGTTTCCTGTCCTGTTTAATTACTATTTTACGGCCATGTGACCCCAACAACGGAATCTGGCAACGCTCGCTCCAAAGGCAAAAAGTCATTCCGGTAATCTCCACACGTTGACTGAGACAATAACTCGAAATCTCCCAAACTGTCCACTAATGCAAAAAATAGCAAACTCTGTCTCCACGTATGTAACCGTCCATCTCCTAAATAAAGAAATATTATGCTCAAGTATAAGCGGATAATGAGATTTCTCTCCGCACCTCGTAATCTCAATCATAATCACCCGTCTCCCTCACAATTAAATAAAATCCTGTCCTACACACCACTCCAATAATTATAATTAATCTTTTTTCCTTTGCTCTCGTTCTGCGGATTATAATTTTAAAATCTAAAACTCCTTCCTGGTTAATGCACCAACTTACATATGCACATGCATAGGTACTTATTATATACGTGGCGTTTATCATATGTGTGACACTGGTGGTAGGGTCGGTCCGGTCGGTTGGTCTGGTGTGGGAACACGACTTTAAATATTAAACTTAATCTGGTCTTTGTACTCTCTCGCGTACCTCATCCTACTTACTTTTGAACTGATAATACAAGGGTTTGGCCACAGGATTAAAAAAAAGTTCCCGATGCGTGCCCCAACCAAACCAATACCACACAATCCTTTAAAGAGTTTGATTTTAATCCTGTTGACATAAAATGGAGTAAAAAGAGTATTGCTCTCTCCTACACTTTACTCTTGCGGTTTGTACAAAGGATTACTTTTTGGGGTAGAAAAGCAGGCAATGAATAAATTAAAGGAGAGGTGGCTGCTGGGTGTTTGTGTGCGGTGGCCTTCGTCGTCGTCGGATGCTGCATTCATGAGATTATACAATACATTGTGATGATTGGAATCCTTTATGCAAACAGTTTAATGGTTAATTATTCTTGAATTGAATGGAAAAGCATATGCATTTTGTCTGACCTGAGGAGCCTGACATTTATTGTGTTTTGATGATATTATGTAACATATTTACTCATAGTGCAATAAAATTTCGTTTTTATTTCCTCTAGGTGCACGAACTATGTGACAACTTTTGTCATCGGTATATCTCTTGTCTAAAGGTAAGAAGAATCAGTAAAATCTTTAATTTCGAAGCTTATTTTTATTTCATGTTGTTTATTTTTTATTAAATAGGGCAAGATGCCCATCGACCTCGTAATTGATGAGAGGGAAACGGGGTCAACGGCAGGGAAGTCACCAGACCTAGGTCACACCGGGAACGGGGACAGGTCACTCGACTCTGCTTCACATACTGACGGCGCCAGCACCCCTGATGTCGTAAGTGAACTTGAAAAAATACTTATTCTCGCTTCCACGTAAATAATTTTGTAAAATAGGTAAACCATCTGCTGCTGGGGAAATGAAAGTCGATCTTGTACATGTGTAGCTTGCATTATTATTGAAAGGAATGGGTGCCCATGCCTAATCCATTTATTTTGTTGTTGTTGGCGTGTTTCACGCACCACCTTTACTCGTACATCCAGTCGTCATCATCCATCTCATGATCACCTCTCATTACCCAGGATTCGATCACATTACCGACACCAAACTATAAAGAGCTGATGGAATACAAAAGCAATTTGTAGCAAGTATAGTATAAATTGACCAATTTGATAAAAAGAATCCAACCAGGGAAATATTAGATTACACTAAAACCAAAAGTACTTGAATTTTTGTGGGCAATTTGTGGAAACGATGAGTATGCAGTAAAAAAAGGAATATTTTATTTCTATGAAGTATTGAACATAACAGAACAAAGAAGCCATTGCATTTGAAAATACTTGATGAACAGAAGGGTTAAAGTTACAAATGTACATGTATTTATATGCTGTTCGTGGCAATATGGCGTATAAAGCCAAATAACTAATTGGATAGATGCCTCCAGCCACATCCAGACGTATAAATTTCATTTCAAGGGTTGCATCTCTTTGTAGTCAAAATATTGATTGAGATTTGATCCTTTAAAGTTTCCACTTTCCTCTATATGCACTTTCCCATATGCATATTTGCCTACCTGTGCATATGTGCTAATTAGTTGGCACAGGTTTAAGGAGAGATATAAAGTAATATGAATGCACATAGACAGTCGTGGTGCTTTGGGTAATATGTCTGTGCTGTTAACGAATACGAGGCTCCCTTAATTGGCCAAAGTCATCATCCGCATTTAGCACTTGAGGCAGTGTTCCAAAAAAGTTGGAATATTTTGAGATGGGTTTTGATTTTTTTAATTCCAAGCAGTTGTTGAGATGAGTCATTCTCTTGTCTGTCAATCGAACCGTGAACTTCGATTCTTTCCGAATGTCGTATTTTCTCATCTGATCTGCTGAGTGATCTAATAATATGTAATTGTTGTTGTGCGTTGTGTAGGGTTGTTAGTAGTTCGGAAAGTCATCATCTCCTCTCTTCGTGTGGGAACAAAGTATAGAGACGACTATGTACACATATACGGACTACATGGATACATAATGCTGGCTGCTCATTTATTTTATTTATTCTCTCCGGATTCGGAGTTTGCGAGGAGTAGTGGGGTGGCTGGCTGGGTACGGCTGCAGTGTCGGTCGTGATTAGCAGACCAGTTGATTACGACAGAACCAGCTTATCTCCTCCTTTATCCGGGACACATTCAGGAATCTTAATGTGAGGAGAAGAGCGGAGCAACATTCCTCCAATTATTCTAACGGGACATGCATTCCTGCTTCCCATTCCAGTTCAAGCAAAGTACATGTCAATGATGGCCAAGGAATGTCAACTGACTGAAGATGTGCAATGTTGTTGTTTTTATGAGAATGAGTAGGAGGAGGAGGGGTCGCTCATTCTCGAATTGTAGACAAGTTTTGAAGAATTTCGACAAAATGTTTGAGATTCAAATAAGAAAGGGCGAGAAAAAGTGGAAACGAAACACAATAACAAACCCGAAAGTGAGAGAGAGGAAAAAAGAAGAGTGCAATTTCATCTCATATTCTTGTTCATAACAACAAAGGAAAGAATTAGAATTTGATGGGCATTTTGGAATTCCACGCGTTGCCTCGAGGAATTTTTATGAGCTTGTGGAAGGGATTTTGGTATTATTGTAATATTACTGGTTTGCTGCTCTTTTGCTAAGTTGTCAAACATATCCTCCTCCACTTCATCCCCATTAGGCCAAGCCAAATTTAAAAGTGAGTCCAGTGTCAATAAACACTTTACGGCTTTTTACGACCAGGAGGACCACTACGTACAACTCTTGAGCGGCGACGACGACCTGGATCTTTTTGGGGATTCACCAAAGAGTGCATAACGCTTTTATGGGGCATTAGGCTCCCGCCCGGTCCACTACTGCCCACAGTTTGGAGTTGTTGTTTCTTGTGTTATGGTGGTATCAAAGAGTCACCTATTCGCACTTGGATGAATGGTTATGTTATTGGGAGGTGGTCATTCTCGTTGGTTTCCTACATACGTAATTTGGCCAAAATGGTGGATAGCTGTCCTGCATGTTTGTCGTCCTTTTGTCAGATTCCTCACAAATTTGGGCCGTAACATGGTCTGAAATTTCTGTTCAGGGTGACATTACAGAATATCTTGTACATTTCCTGTATCATTGGGGGGGATTTTCAAGCAATCATGTTGCATCGCCCGGCGCTGGGTCCACTGTGCCCCTTATCTTTCCCTTTCCGTTTCGACCAAGGAGGAAATGGTCACAGGAAGATAAGGAGCCGCCATCGGAAGCTTTTTCTCCCCGTGACAGAGATGGATCCCTCCACTCCTTGACCGGAACGGATGAATTCATCCCTTGATTCGTTCGTTGGAGATGGATGGACGGACGGACGGAATCATAGTGCACAGTGGATTCTCTCTCATTTTCCTTGAGTTTAGAGATTCCATTACAGATTTCTCCCCTTCTAATTAAATTTGTCCCCGTGATTTATGACCAGATCTGAAAGTGACGTACGTAACAACGTTGCTGAAAGTATAGTAAGTAACGAATGAATTTCATTATGCTGGCTCAACTTGAAAAGAGCATACGTACAAAGAGAGATGTGTGTGTACCCTCCTCGCATTTGGCGTGGCGGTACCCGGGCAAAAATCCTATCCCGGACCGAAGAAGGAGAGAAAATGAAGGAAGGAATGACTAAAGGGTGTTATGCGATTAGTGTTAAATTGCATTAGATTACGTCTCTGACTGTAGTTATACGTGGTTGTTGTATAGCTCTTCGAATGCTGCGGCACACTCTTCTCGCTGATGAAACAGAGTGCAAAGTCGTGTTCACTTTCACTTTAACTAGTTAAAACTAAAGTTAGCTGTCGACTTATAAAATTTTGATGTTTAAAATTTATCAAAATTTCCAAATTTGGAATTTCTGGGACTCAAATGAGCTTTATTGTATTTTATGATGTCATATGCAATGCATGCAAACGAGGGTGGGGGATGATGATGAGTGATAATGTGATCCATTAGATTATTTTAATGTGCATTTCCCTTCTTCTTCTTCATCCTTCGTTCTCCCCACGGCTCACTCGCAGTCGTCGTCGTCATCGTCGTCACAGGGCAAGCTAGAAATTTGGCAGACTTGTGTAGAAATCATATCAAGAGTAAAATAAAATTCTGGCCCACTGCACTGTAACAACCAATGAAATAACAAATCTCATCTCATAGTTCACTCAGAATTCTCATTAATTCTCAAAATGATTCAATCCGTGCTCCCAATTTTAACCAGGTGGTAAAGTAAAGAATTTAAAATTTAAATGGAGACGAGGAAACCATCATCATGGAGAGAGAACTATTGTCTTGTCGACCAAGGATGAAGCTCAGTTGCCCTTCCTCCTCTCCTCATCTCTTGTTCAATGCATACAAATATGGAGGTGGTGATGGTGGAGAAGGCCGTGTTCTCGTTACTCTAGTCTGGTCACGTCCCCTCAAATTATTATGGGCGAAAGAAATTGAAATTCCCCATCAAACTATCATCCTTCTAAGGTTAAAGAGGACCATAGAGGGAAGACGACACATTGTTGGAGACCTAAAATCGAGGCGAGCTTGCTTGCACTTCCACGTAATATTATGAAATACTTACACAAGGAAAATGCAGGGACAGGTGTGGACAGGAAATGTGTACATATTTAATAATCCAGTTGATCCTTCTTCTTGGAAAACTCCAAGTGCACAATCAAAGAAGTCGTCGTATTATGTAGATTATTCTTACGATGAAGCATATTCTAATTTGTGAGAGCAATGTGGTATGAATGAAATGAAATAACTACGTAAGGAAGGCCAGCAGACTGTATGCCGCCGAGTCATGTGCAATAAAGATTTTCTCTTACTTGGTGAAGTTGTGATGAGCTGATTGAGCTCCAATTAACCGGATTCCCCAACCAAGTCAATTACCATTCCCATCAAACCTCCAATTAAGCCACCTCTTACTCAAGAGGAGACCCGCTCGCTCAAATTACGTAACACGGCTTGAATTACAGCAATTTTATGGCAGGGAGTGAAGTGGGGTCGTAATAATACAAACTATGCCTAGAATATATGTATACTATTACTCGTACATAGTCAGTCTGTATATGGGGATGGCGGAATTAAACGTAATTCTGGAATCCCTATATGTTTGATTACTGGGTATTACAAAGTAACATGCCATCAAAGTACACATTAGACTGAAATGGGACACTATGCTACTAGTACGATGGAACAGTAATTAATAATTCTCCAATTTATGGGCGGATGATGATTCTGATACTAAATAAAACCCACGTGTATGCAGTATGCAGTCTGCTGCTTACTGTTGTTGGTATGCAGTGCTGCACAAAGTGGAAATTAAAAGTCACTATTTAATTCCTGATTTTCCAAGTGGATTGCATTATAGATTTTCACACTTGATGCTAATTCCTCTTGAATCTTGCCAGTTTTTCACCATGTATGACGGCTCGGATGGGTCAGGAAAGAATGCAGTTTGATTTCATTACTCTTATTTTCTCCTCGCTTTAGTTGGATGGAGAATGAGTGAGCACTTAAATGACGACTCGGTAGTCGGTGGTGGTGTTTCAGTAACTAACTTACAATAGATATTTACAGCATGCATTTTCTAGCAGTCTCAGCTCATTCGATTATCGCTCCCTTCCTGTCCTGACTGTGCTTCAAATTCGATTTGCACTTTCGAAGCAAACGTCTGGCTGGATGTTGTTGGTATTCTGTGTTCTTCAGTGAATAAAAGTTTGGTGGTTTGGTTTGATCTGGTCACGTGTCGCCTTATTATTCTGCTGTTCCACAACTGCAGCGTCATACTTAAGGGGGCAATGTGACCCCTGATTTTGCAGAGAGAGAGATGATGGTGATGGTGATGATGAGATGTGCTTTTTTGGAATATCAGGCGAAACCATTCATCCGGCTCGGTCACAGCTAATTTCTCCTCGCTACATTTCCCACCCATGTTTGATATAAAATGAGCTAGAGAGAGAGAGAGTAATATGATGACGATGAGATATTTCCCCCTTTCACCCTCTCAGCTCAGTCAGTCAGAAATGAATGAATATCTACGGGGTGACTGGAGCTGTATGGCTAAATGTTGGAGTTTGCAAGGTCAACTTTCTCGGTTTTCTCAGGCTCTTTTTTCGAAAAGGAATTTTCCGAAAACTGAAAGAACTTGGAACTTTGTGCTTCACACAAATCGAGATGAAGATAAGGGCAAAAGGCAGATATAGTTTCTAAGTAGAAATGACGGAGCGAAGGAAATCATTTTGGTTCTTCTGTAGTTTGTCGTCGTGAAGGAATGGCGGCGGAGAGAGAGAGAAAATGTTGCTGTCTTTCTAATGCTATTTATGGGTTCTTCTTGGGACGCTAATCCCATACTCTCACTGTTTCCTTACTTGGATGGAAGCGCTTCTTCTCGTCGTCGTCTCTCTTCCCTGGTCTTCGTGAGTAAAGAAAAGTAGTAGACAGCCCGAAATGTCTCGCATCACATTTCACCAAAAAAATAGAGAGAGAAAAACTTGGAAGGAGAGAGAACGTCAAGAAAGCATGGAGGCATTAGGCTATGTGGAAGGACATGGAATATGTATGCGTATAGATAGATAGATAGGCGAGGAATATACATATGTATAAAGAAGAAATGTAGAAAAAACGTCTCGCATCGTCCCATCGGCTTTTCTTGGATATCTTTAAGACACATTTGAGAATGAGAGAGGACTTATTTTTCTGCAGTTGTAAAAATGCCATGTTTTCTTTATATTTGCAGAGACCACCCTCATCCTCCTTGTCCTTTACTGCTAATGACGATGTGAGATCGCCCCCTCCAGGAGGTACTCCTGGCCCTTTGAGTCAACCACCCAACTCTGCACATAGCACTGATAACTCGGAAGCAGGTAAGATCGACTATGTTACTATGTACAAAATTTTCTCATTCATCCATACACACATGATACATTGTACACGCGTCTTTTCAATAATTTCTCAAAACTTTTTCATCAAAACATATATGTACATACAACAAAACTGCAAATGTCTCCAAAGATATTTATTACCAATGTATTACCGTCTTGTCCTTGTGAGACAGACGACGAGGAGGACGACTTTACATTAATACTTTGTGCTTGGTTCCCCCCTATACTGCATTTTCTTGTCCGGATGGGAGGACAATCTTTGAGCGGAAGTTAAGTATTTCTCCACTGTAGGAGGAAAAGGGGACCTAACTAAAAATAGAGAAATTTCCTCCTACATTTCCTCCCCGAAAGCAATAATACAATCTTTCTCTCTCGTGGAATTGCATATTTATACTTTTAACTTCAGTCAACTCCACATAACCCTCTGCAAACAACAACAATAATCCGATCAAGTGACTAAAAGTCAAGCTGAAAACTGTTTCCAATTTCGGTCTAAAACTTACAATAATTTCCCAGAGGGTTGGATTGGTAAAACTTGATGTGGGGTTAGTATAAAAAAATCAAGAATTCTGCTGCAAAGATCCAATCTGTTTTGCATCTCTCTTTCGTCTGTTTATTTACTGTGGTTTCTCGGCACGATTATTTTTACAGTTTTTTTTACATGTTTATTCAACAGTATAACTAACAAGGCTTGTATAGTCTCTTGAAAAGCTTGTAAGTGGTTTGTTGGATGGATATGAGTTGTTCTTTGTATAGTCGTGTTAGATATGTAAGCGTATATCTACACGTAATATAAATATATACGAGAGACGTTTGTTTGGGTTTGTTCAGCCGACATCTGGAGAACATGTTTTCCATGTTTTCATTTTTTTCCTATTGGACATTTTTGTTTCAAAATTTCTTGAAAATCCATTAAAATTGTTTCTTAAAAATCAGCATGAATTTGAATTGAAACCTTTTGCATACACACAAAACACGTACACATGTACACACGTAAGATACGCATCACCTCGACAAACGTGCATACAGAAGTATGGATTTTGTGTGTGTGCAAGAGTTTGCTCGCTCGCGTGGCGTGTCACGGCGTCTGAATCCCATAACTCTTGACACCATCCACCATAAATTACTGATCAAAGCTTTTTTACGACCTAATTCATCATCCTGACCTTGCTCAACGGCAAGAAAAGAAGAACTAATCGTTAACTGTGAAAAGTGGAATATGCATCGCTATATAAATCATGGAGTTGCATCATCCAATTTATCAACGCATCCCAGTTTCGCAACATTTTCATTTTCACCCATAACCACCAAAACCACGCTCAACTCTTGATTGGAAACGGTGTAATTTTGGAAACAAAATACATTTACTTGACGGAGAGAAAGAGAGAGAAAAGATTAGATAAGAAGAAAACTTGTATAATTTCCCATCCAAGTTGTTATCATTTTGCTTGGCGCATTGTTTCTCCTCCTCGCTCTCTTTTGTTCCCGTTTTACACAACCGCGGATTGGGTGGAATTGAGCAGATAAAACTTTTGCTTTCTTGTTTTCGGCTACAACTTTACTGCTTGTGAACATTCTCCACCCAAATTGTAAACGAGGATAGAAAGAAAAGAAGAAAGACGGAGAAAGGTTTTTTTTTACCAGATAAAAAGTTTTTCTCATTAAAAAGTGGGAGCGCGATGCTTGGAAACAATTAGAGCAGGGCTAATCTCACCACCACCCCTGGAAACCTCCCCCAATTGCCCATTTTCCACCACATAAAATTGTCCCGCACCCCACCAGAGAAAGAGGAGGAGGAGGCGAGGACAGAGTAAAAGATTTTATTTTTTCCCAGGGAGTATTTAGGAAGCTGGGAATTTTTGTGTACATACTTTGTAATTCCAACACTCGGAAAATTCACAAGCAGAGATTATGACCAAGTTCATTTCACAAACTCGTTGAAGTCATCCCAACGAATGAAGGTTGAAATAAATGGTTTGTAAGTATAGTGTCATTTTATTTAACATTTTTCCTTCAAAGGATGAAATGGGGTTTAAAATGGGTTGTAATGTGAAATGACTTGTAAGAAGAACGAAGAAACCCAGTCATAAGTAAAAGTATTCTTCTTTTTAGTCGCCCCTTTCTGTGTACAATATCTTCAGTGAGTGGTCTCCATTTATCTCAGTTATCGATTAATTAGTCAGTTGATGTGTATGCAATCCATCCAGGAGACGGGAATTAATGGGGTGTGTTTATAAACGATAATAAACTCCATTTCTGCCCTGTGAAAAAACTGTTTTTTGGTTTTTGGTAATTCCTGTCGTCACGTAATAATTATTATTACAACGCACACACACTAAATATGCATGTATTTACATGCTGCGTTGGGAAAGGAGAAAGGAAGGAAGCTCTGCCTCAATTTTAATTGTGGATTATTGTACTTGTCACTCTTATGAAAAAATAGAGGAGGGGCTCGTTAAAAGTTTTAAAATATTATGTTGGTGATGGTTCAGCTAGGTTTTATACTTAGTCGTATTTTTAGAATTGTGTACGTACGTATATTCGGCTGGTGGTGGGGTGCTGAATCCTGTAATTATGATATGAAACTTGTATATAATGCGTAGTTTTGTAATTAAAAGAGAAACCCGGGTGGCACAGAAAGTCGGTAGTTTCTTTTTTTGATGATTGACAGGCTCTGCAAAATTTATGAGGTTTATATGGATCCTGCTGTGGATGTGCATAGATTAACACGCTTGAGTACCTAAAAATTCTACTTATACGTATCCTCAAATCCTAACTATGCATAAATCTAATCGACGACGATAAGAAATCGGTAATTCGGTACGATGTATGTACATGCATATCTCTATGCGTGTTGTTAGAAAAAGTCCCTCTTATCCTTCCCTATATATATTTTAGTGGTTGTCGTTTATTCGTGTGTGTATAATACATTTTGCTTTTCTCCAAAGTCATTAGAGGCTGAGTGTAGTTGTACGTAAAACACAGGTGAGAGTTTTTCCAATCTACCATCCAACTCCCCCGGTAATGATTACTTTTTGGCTGTGTGCAATTAAGTCCGAGCCGTTAATGAGATTTTGGCTTTGGTCTAGCTTGAGGCATGGAAAAACAATTGTTTTAACTGCTAATAACCAACGAACCACTCGATGGAGTAAGTAAAAGGTACAATAAGTATCTCTACATATACTACTGGTCGCACAAGGAAAGGTAAAAAATCTCGTTAACTCCGAATACTACATTTGTACTACGTACCCATCGGTACATAAACATATACAACGACGATGGACGGACGGATGCATAAGGAAAATAGTATTACCGGCGTGCAACAAAGAAAAAAAAGGACTTGCGAGGACTTGGAGAACGATGCGGCAACAACACGATTTTTATGAAGGGGGTAGACTGGTAAAAACTGGGTAAAAATTTTAATTACAATTATAGTAGTACGTACACAAATTTCCGTATACATAATTGAAATCCTCATGTCGATAGTAGTCGTGGTAGTACAATGTGGGTCAAAATATGTTAATATGAATCTGACAAAAGTGAGTTTGTTTTTGTAGAGGCTAATGTTATTGAGAGACATACTTCACCCTCGACATGACATGACATTTATTGTTTGCTCCAGTATGAGGACATCAAATCTGATGATGATGATGGCACATATTATTCGACGACATGACTCCATCCAGTGCAGGGGAATGGTGTAATATGTAGTGCTGTCACTGTAACGATGATGATTATGATTACTACATATTATTCTTTCATTCATTTGGGTGTGGGTGATGGCATGCTGTACAAAGTCTTGTATGTACTAGAGAGTAAAAGGAAGCTCATTGTTCTCCAATCAAGAGATCGTTGTCATCCTAAATGTCACCCAATGAATTCTATAAAATATGTAAATATGGATAAATTCCAATTTTTGCCCAGAATATTTAGACCGACAGTGATGATGGATCATATTTATTTAGTATACGCAGGATTTATTTTTAGTCTCGATGTGGAAAAATTGGAGCAGTGTGGGTGTGTCGGGGAAGAGGATGTCTTCATCATTCGACTGACTGACACGCATGCATGCATCCCTCCTGTCACTCACTCGTTGCGAGTTGTCGTTTAAATTGCAGGCTTGGCCATATTATACGTACATCGTGGGCATCATCATTTCGTGGATGGAGGTCCAACCTGGAAAATTGAATTCGTGAAAAGCAACCGGAATATCTAAAAGTCGTCGGAATTAAACTGCATGGTATTTTTTATAATAATCTCATCATGTCGTAATAGTAATAAAGCCCCATGCACTCTGACTGGCTGAGTGCGATACGCGAGCCATGAAATGCACAACCATGTACACAGAAAAACATGGCTTCTGATTGAACCACCTTGTTCCTCGCATCAAGTCGTCCATTGTTCTGAACTTACACTTTTTTCATGGCCCAACAACGAAGAAATGCCAAGTAACAATAAACCTGCATCGGATCTAAATGCGAATTATGCCATAAAAAAAGTGAGAAGGGAAGGTGCACACACGTTAAAAGAAACGACGACCGTTTAAAAAAGACACGGGTGGAAGTATATGACCACATTTTTGTGCGAGATACCAACACCAAGCATGGCACACTTGGCTTTTTAACTAAACAATGTATAGCAATAAGAGCCAGCAGCAGGAGAAGAAGAAGATTTCTTTTTCTTCCAACTTTTGGCTGGAGGTAATAATTTCGTGGTGCGATGCAAAGAAAAAGAGTTGAAGGAATCATAATAGTGCAGACAATGGCGCTGATGAGCATGGGATGGCACAGGCAGGCGCTTAAGCACCCTGCAGCTTTATTCTTCTTGTGTGTAGATATCCGATTACACGTGAGTCTTGTTGTGGCCCATTGTTGAGAGACCCAGCAGTAAGATTTATCATAAAAAGGGTTTATACATACATATCATGCCAGAAGAGCACGTCTAACTGATTATGAACTTTGCTTTTTGCAATACTTTGATATCTTTAGTGTGTGCTTGCAAAAATCATAGGTCGTACTGACGGCTGAACATATTTTTAATTAATTTATTTTTTTACTAAAAATTGAGATCCTTCTCACCCATCCTGGATAAATATTACTATAATTTTAGCAAAAGTAATCCGCCGAGGTAAAATTCTTTAACCACACGACTTGTGTACTTCCATCGGCAAAGTAAAGTGCGATACTAGTATTTTATTTTCTCTCTCTCGCCTCCTCGTATCGTCTCGCTCATCTCATCTCGTGTAACGTAATGATAATAAAGAAACTGGTATCATCATCTTCTTCATACCCGTGTCCATATCATGGCGGACTATTGGTTGGTACTACGTACGTACGTATTATGGTGGTATTTTATCCGAGAAGAAAAAATAGAAAATGGAAATCCACGGGATGATCCCGCACAGCAAAAAAATGTTGATTCTTAAGTGGGAATGGATAAGAAGGGGGTAGCGTTTCGTTCTTGGTATTAATCTACATTGTTGCTGCTTAAAGAAGTTGGTGATGTTATGCGATAGAAGAAGGGATGAATAACAATGAGACGATGCACTGCTGGGAAGCAACAAGCTAACTCCACGGGATTCATCAGACAAGACAACGTATGCATGTACCTACATTTTAACATTTAAAATTGGAAAAGTGGTTAATGGTCGTATGAAGTAGTAGGAAGTCGTCGTAGTAGTAACCACTCTTCAATTTCAAGTTCTTGTAACATTTTCCAAACATGAAATCTTCACGGGTTGAGGTTAAATGAAGAATGGAATACAATTTCAAGTACATTTTTTGGAAAAAGTGTTGGGACCCGAAAAATCTGAAAAATATAAAACATAGTAAAAAAAAAAGTTTACGATACAACCGACAGATAACTTTGGTAACAATGGGGGATTTAATGAAGTGTTGTGTTCCTTGTTTGGTTTGGCTTGGTGGTTGTGTTCTGTGGTCGGGTTTTGGTTTGACGATTGTCGGTGGGTCCAATGCTTCTAAATGCTTGGCTTGGGATGGATGGATGGGATGGACAGACGGATGGACGGAAGACAAGATGTGAGTGGAAAACATCTTCTTGGCCGGCAACTAGTGATGCGCTATCGCATCTCTTTCTTTTTCTACTTATGATTTGTGGGCTGTCACTTGGACACAATGCAACCACAACCATCGGAAAGTATTTCCCTTCCTTTTTCGTCTCTTTATGTCTGCCGCCGATGGATAGGAGATGATGAGGAGCTAGACCTGCAGTCGAGTATATAGCTTTAATTACGAGTATGTGTGTGTGTGTATGTGTGTAGTAAAGTAATGCGATAAGATAAATACTGCATAATAATATTCGATATATGCATGCATGTACTTCAGGGTCCTTTGACTGTTTCCTTGGAGGATTTCTAGACAGGGTCATGTCAGTTCAAAAATTCTCCAAATTTTTTTTTACATATTTTAAAGTTTGGGAATATGCGCTATTTTTGCTGGGAGAGTTTGGTTGTCAAGAAAAATTTAATATTCTATAAACCGTCGTAAAATGATAACGATTTAATTTAATTGCAAATTAAAATAATTATAAAATAATTGAACTAGGATCGGTATCAAAAACGGTACGTAAAAATTTTTCGCATGCATTTATGACGTTTTATAGAATATTTTATTTTTCTTGACAACCAAGTTCTCCCAGCAAAAATAGTCCATATTCTCAAACATTAAAATCTGCAAAAAAAATTTTGGAGAATTTTTGAACTGACATGACCCTGTCTAGAAATCCTCCAAGGAAACAGTCAAAGGACCCTGATGTACTTACATCAGTTTTGTTAAGCAATAAGTGTATTAAGACGCTTGTGGGAAATTCTTGCAGCAAATTCGCAAAAGTACGTAATTATACATCATTTTTACGGGCGATTAGTAGACGGGGTAGAATTTTAGCGTTTAATAATTTAACCTCAGCTAAGCTGGAGATGTTTGCACCCTGAATTTAAAACAGAAGGAGGAGGTTTCCATTTTGCTGGTACTTTTTTTGTATGCAAAAGGCAATCGTAGGTATGTATGTGATGCGAGAAAAAGTATGATCCTCCTCTTAATAACGCTAGAAGCCATATTTTCTTGTGAGGGGGTGAAAGAAACTTTGTGCCTGACACTGACGAGTAACTGATAAGTGTCCCTGGTCTTGGTCCCTGGTGACCCATTGAGCACCACTATCTGGTGTAATGGGTGTTTCATTATAACCCTCCAAATTACAGATCCATCATCCACCGACTTTCGGATTCGGGGCACAACTCGCTACTAAATCCACTCCTTAAAAAGGGAAAAAGTAAGAGCGAAATGCCGTATTAATAGTGTTGATGGTGTGGTCTGAATCACAAGTCGGCGATGGTGTGGTCACTTGTTTAAGAATTCAAGTTTCAACCCTTCCCCATTTCCTCCTGCTTCTTTGCTCCCCAAGGACCAACTTTAAGTTCTGGACACGAGGATTTACGAACACTCCTCCACTCCAACTTTATTTCACTGTATTCCTTCTGCTCACACAAACGCATACATAGAATCAATCTGAAAATCTTGGAGAGTTTAATAGAAAAATGTCCATAGTATATATTTATGTGTATTTATTCATGCGTATAAATGCTTATATTTCTCAGAAATGTTGTGGAGTGGAAATAAATCAAGAATTGAAATCAAGGTGTGAGTACGAGATGATTATCTCATACTCTGCGACAAGGGCGGAATGGCTGGATAATGAATTGGGTTCCTATAATAAGTAGTTAATGAAGGAACAGAGCAGGTGGTCTCATTTGTGTTGTCGCAGTCGTTATCTTAGGAGACATCGCATCACCCATCCTGAGAATACGTATATGTCATCCGAAAGGTTGATTAGGACGAGTAGCAAGGAATATAGGAGCAGAAAGTACAAGAGTGAGTAGAAAAGTGTATTGATTGATTATTGGATGTGATGGATCCATTAGGGATGATTATAACAAGCACTTGGACTACTCACTCACTGCTTCATGGTCCTTTTTTTAGACGATAATCCAGTCCAAGTTGGTAGACCAATTACCGCAATTTCCCCTCCTTCACCTGCAATTACCTCACCAACAACAGCACATTAGTATAACCGCATGGAGAGGATAGTGCGGTGGATGGCAGTGCAGTGCATGTTTGTGTGTGTGGCCTTAATGTGAAATTGATGATTCAAGTTTAAGTGCCCACCAACAAAGAAGACTAAGGGAACAATCGAGGTGCACTTTTCGGAGAAATTGTTGTAAGTATGTAGAAGTACATAAATATAGAATTATGTATTGTGGGCAGCCCCGAAAAATATTTGGTCTCGGTAGCTGTGCATTTTGATATTGATATGATGGATCTTATGGAAAGAAGTATTAAGTTGCTTCCTTCCTTCCTCTTCCATTCTTCTGCTCGGATGGATGGGTTCGAGTCCGTTGCCGCCGCACGGTCAATTGGAGGGAGGCAGCAGAGTAGGAACATTGAGTATAGAAAAGCAGGCAACCGTAGCTAATGGCCATCTCATCCATTTCCACAAATTACTCCGGAGACTGACAAACCGTAAACAGTGTCCAGGCGAGCAGAAGAAAGCACTGAGATACAGACGGGGTGAGAGTGAGGAGGGAAAGCAAGGAAGAAAACCGATAAGTCGCTGCGAGCTTATCGTAACCCTGCTTACTTACTCCTCTTCTCTTCAATGGTTATTATGCTCTATGGATGGATCAATCCTTATATAAATATGGGGATTATAAGGATAACGTCCTAAATATAACACGTAAACAGGAAGAATACAGCAAATACTGCGACACACATCTCATTTTGAAATGGTCTAACCCCAACAGCACTAGTTTAGCACAAGCAAAAAAATACGAATTGTGTATTATGCAAACAGCACAGGCCAGACTTTTGGTATTGTGTGTCCCCATAAGATTAGATGGTTATCAAGTTTCTGCTGCACCCCCAAAAATATGTATGTGCATGATGCTTGTGTGCTGTGCTATCCCAGCTTAGTTGGGATGGATTGGTGGTGGTGGTGGGTAGACTGAAACAGGGCCCATTAAGGGGTTGATGTATGAATGGCAGTAGTAATGCGACTAGGTACCACCGCACTCATCTCTCTCAGTCTCCGGCTACCCGGGTTCGGTTTCTTCTATACACACATTTGGTCTTGAGTTGGCAGGCATCCCACTCAATTCAGATGCAGATCTCAGACCCACGTGCACACGTCACCCTCACTCACAAAACAGCATTCCAATTATCCTCGTGTCAGATGCAGAACACTTCCCACGAACCATGGAGCCAGCAGATGCACATGGCTTCGATTCAAAAATCGTATGTATAGACGAGACCAAAACCATTGTTGTATGCATATTGTTTGAAGAACTTTTTGAGAAATCGTATGTAAAATCTGTATGTGTGTACATTTTGTGGTCTGCATAATCTATAGAGTTGCAATATTTTTGATCCATTCAGTAGTCTAAAATATACTGATTGATCTGTTGTTTTATTGTCTTACAGGAAGTAAACGTGGCTCCAGACCGGGGAGTTATGATATCCCACCGACAAATCATTCTCGCCACTCAAGCTGGGTTCCCTCATCCCCTTATCCTTATGCCAGTAAGTATATTATCGTATCCATACTCTGAATATCTCGTCAAATTACTCAGCGAAGACTGTGCAGTTATTATTGCAAGATGAGACAGCACATCTGTGTGCAAGCATCACCACCACGTCCACCACCGGAAGGAAATGCAGCCAGTTATTTAAATAGTTGCACACATGACCACGAAACAGGGTTGTTTTAAAAAAATCTCATTTTCCATCTTCTTAATTAATCTGCATCTATTTCACTGCATTCATAATGAGATAGGAAAAGAATGAGAGAGAGCGAGAAGAGAGACAGACACGGATTAAGATTTAGTGACTCATTTCCACTCATTCAGTCAGTTAATTGTGAGTAAATGGTTGCGCGTGGTCTTTTCTTTAAACGAAATAGTCATAATACCAAGAACATGTTGCTTGTTGTACGTATACCTCCCTCGGATTTCTTTTTAATTTCATTTCATCCACGAGACAAAAGCCTCTCCATGTGTATAATCATTACCCACTGTTTTCCACCACTACCTTATTTTATTGGAGACACAAATTTCTAATTGGCATCATGTTTTTTCATCTCTCTCTCTCTCTCTGTTTTTTATTTAAGTTATATAGCGAGCCAAAATGTGTTTTGATTTGATTTAAGCAACAGAATCACTCTCCTGTTCCAGCTGCCATGCCAGTCTTTGCTTCTTCTTCCCGTAGAGTTTTTTGTCATTTAAAGATTTTAGCAAGAGTAAGCGATTCACAAATGAAAATAAAATGGGTTCACTTCGTCACAAAGTATTTAGAGTGAGTGAGTGCATGGAGCCAGAGTTTTACATAACATAACAACGTGATGATTTTAAAGAGTCGTCTCGTTGCAGCGCGTTATTTATAAATGTCTTTCTGTGAGTATTTTTATCCGCTCGATATGTGATGAAGTAAGTAAAAAAAAGTAGTAAAAAAACGACAAGGAGACCAAGCGGTTGTTTCACAGCCTAATGACACTTGGATGATGGGGAGGTCACTCCATCAATTCCTCGTTACACTTATTTATAATAGTGGTTCCCTACTTGAGAGCGAAATGTAATGTATGGTTATTATTATGTAATATACGACGACGTACTAAAAAGTGACCGCATTTGTTCCGTACAGGTGATGCAAGTAACGCGAGTATCGGGAGTGGAGAAGGGACAGGCGAAGATGATGAAGACGGGAGTGGCAAGAAAAACCAAAAGAAACGCGGAATTTTTCCTAAAGTCGCAACCAACATTTTAAGAGCCTGGTTATTTCAACATCTCACAGTAAGCATTTATTTTTTGTGTTTTTTTTTACTAGAAAGCAGAGAGCAGGTCGTCTTTTCTCTTTCCTTCTTGACCAGCAGGAAAGGAAGGAAAGATTTCATTTTATGGCTTCGAACCCAAATAAATTGCAGATTGGATGGCTTACTTACTTTCTCAGACGACGACGACGACGACTCATAAGGAATATAACGTACATGAGAGTAGTAGTTTCCGAGCCATTGGTTCTTTGGATAAAAAAACCACGTTCATTGTGGATTGCATTGAATTTTGGTGCTGGTGACTTTAAGCCACTAATTTCCTGGCCATTTGTCCACTGCACTTTTATCGCTGGTTGGAAAAGCCCAAGGGGTACACTTAATGGCCCCTAAAAAGAAGGGAGGTTTAATGCGCGGATAACATGTTGGTCATACAAGTCGCTACTTACAACTTATGAGGGCAGAATAAAACTCCCTCTCCAATCTTCAATCTCATTTCGGAGCATTAGACACAATTCCCATCAATACATGAGCACTATATTCTGGTAAAAAACAAATCGATGATGGGTCGACACATATGGACGTTTTGATACCTTATTCACATTTTATGTTTGCCATTATTAAAAGTATGCAGTACGCAGTAGCTTTTAGCCAGAACAACATTTTTTGACATGCACAAGTTTATGTAAGTAAGTGAAAGCAAATGTACATACATGGGTATTTGGCACAGAAAATGAGACTCTTAAATATTTCCTCTCTTGCATCAGAGCAAAAAAGGAAGCAAAAATCGTGTCGGTTTACATTTTCCAATTTTTCAAGTGTCTTCAAATTCAGGCGTCCATGCATTACTCTCAAAGGTGTCTGGGAGAATTTCCATTGCTGAAATGTAATGATGCGATGCACTTGTCCCTCACACCAAGGAAGCCGTTGGTTGAATTATTGAGGAGATTGTTTGTCGCTGACTGAGGAGGAAAAGTGCATGATGTTCAAGAGTTTCGTGTTGTATAGGATCCAATTCCATCCCAACTCAATTACTTACATTATTGCATGGCTGGCTTGGCTGGCTGATGCACTTTTCCTTCCCATCCACCTGCCAACCACAGCCACCTCATCTTGGGGAAAGTTTTCGGCTTCTTTCTCCGACAGTCAGTGGGAGCAGGATACGCAGCATAGTGGGAGTCGTGGTGGTTGGTAAACCTGGTTTTCCCCTCGGCGGCACGATTCTCTCTCATCCTCCTGTCACAACTCGCTCATCAATCGTCCATGAAATAAATACAATTAGGGCCCCAAAAACCAAAAGTGAATTGCCACTTGGTTTGGAGGCAATGGGGAGCACAGAAATGATTAGCTAATGGAATGGAATTTTTACTGGGGAAAAAAACTAGAATAAAAAACGAGAAAGCTCTCCCGCACCACCCGGAGAGGACTGAAATTGTAAAGCGGATTACATTTTCTGGTCTCATCCGATAGGATTCGAGTTTATAGCGTTCGGAATAAAGGACAAGAATTTGATAAGCGCATCATCAGTCTAAATTTTGCAAGGTTATTGTGTTTCATTGAACCAGCAGTAGAGAATAATAATACAAGTGGACGTATTATATCTCACATGGTGAGAGGATTACAATTTGGTATAAAGCTTCTCAGGAATTTCCACCACTTATGCGTACAAATAAAAGTAAACGACCCCCAAAAATTATGGTGGAAATTGCTTTCTGTGATGTTTTAGTCATTACTTTGTCACGAGTTGGTCATCAGTCCCTTGGGCCGCTCTCAAATTATATGCATTCTTTTCAAATTAGAGTTTCATTGTCACTCATTTTCCAAATTCCTGGGAATCAGTGATCCATGTAAAGCGCGAGGGTTTCGAGGTTCAAGATTTTGGTCTGCAACAATTGCAGGTTTTGAGTTTTGTCATGTTTTTTCTGATTTTATCGGCTAACCAAATAAATAAATCTATATATAATATTTGCTCGAGTGAAAGGTTATCGATTGAAGGTGGTATTCATGTAGTAACACACACTTGTACTATATATTTAGAACACAAAAAAGTAGGATGATGTTGCATTTGTGCGTGAGTGCATTGCATTGTTGTCTTGTCGTGAATATGATGATGATATAGGGAGAAGAAGAAGAAGGGTGTCCGTCCGTGTGCATTGTTGTCTGAGGATGATGCAAGCAAAGCATTATTAATAAACATGTGCTACATTGAATGTTGTCTTTTGATGGGGTAATGACAACCAGTAGTAGTCGAAGCATAGTATTATGATGGGAGAAGCAGAAGTGCTTGTCATCTCCAGGTCCCTTATTACCACCGAAAGCCGACATCTACTCCACGCGTCAAATGCATTCAGCCTAAACTGCAGAATCATCATCGTCGCATTGCATATTATATTTATACGAACATTGCACCATGTCCTGGGCAAAACTTTAAAAAAACGCGTATAGTTGAAATTGGGAGAGAGAGGGGAAAAGGAAGTGAAGGAGGAAGGAGATCATTTATCCTTGCCCGGGAATTTACATGGCGCATTATGTCCATGACAAAGGATCACTTGCATCCTATACCACGCCAGATAGATATTCGGTCGAGATAAGGGTGAGACGGGGGTATGGACAGATAATACGAATAATAGGGTGATGTGACGTCGTCGTCCTCGTCGTTTCGTGGGTGTGGTAGTAGTGTCACAAGTCAGGGGGCGGATTGACACATTTTTCGTGCTCGTGCCAGGCAGCCACTCCCATACGGCAGAATTTATTTTTCTACTAATGATCATGGTCATGCACTTTCATCCTCCCATCACCATCCAATCGACAGACAAAATGAACTAAATATATACTAACAAGTGACTTTTCTCTCTATTTTGCAGCACCCCTACCCCTCTGAGGACCAGAAGAAGCAACTTGGTAATTCTTTATAAATTATCCCAATGAATTTTTAAATGCACGTACGTTATCATCCATATAAAAGAATTGGTGTTCATAAGATATTTTTTCTCTTTTAGCCCAAGACACTGGTCTCACAATTCTCCAAGTCAACAATTGGTAAGTCCGTAGTCAGAGACAATGTTTAGCCGAATAAGTATTTACATCATCCTTCCAAACCAAACCCTCTCCCTCGATTTCATGTTTTTCTCCGAGAGATTTGTTCATGTTTTCTTGCTTAATCAATCCAAGCGGATAGTTTTTGTGATCGGATTTGCCAGCTGAGCTTTCTATACATTAGGATTGATTCCTCGTAATGAATGTATGAAAGCACTGCCTGGCTGCATCCATCGATGGGTGTGCATCATCTGTGGGGCCCATTTCATTTTATTTCAATCCGGCTCAGGTGCAGCTACTAACTATCCCCCGAGGGACTCGTTCCTTTTCTGGCTCCACCAATTCTTCATCCTTTACTCCGAGTGGTGGAATTTATTGCGTTTATTGGCAAGAGGGGTTGGAAGGAAAGTTATAAGGCTGACCTCCACAGAGACCATTAACGTAATTGGGGGAGAAAGCCATGAGAAAGCTGACTCGAAGGGAAACAAACAAGCCGCAAAAATAGAGAGAGAGAAAGCAATTAAGCAAGACGCGGGTTCAAAATTTCCGGGGGATCGAATCTTGCAGAGATTTGACTTGCGTGGGCAATAGATTTGGTCATCTTCTTGGAACGTGTGGTATAATACTAGCCTCGCCAGCAGCTTGACTATACGTACCAGAGGACAACAAGCAACGACATGGGTTGACCATTACTTGATGATGACGGCTCAATTAATCTGCCGCCCTTCCAATCAATACTTGTCAACTGTGACGACCAGCAGACCACAAGACCTCAATAATATATAGCAAGAAGGAAAGAAAAAAAACACAGTTGCGGTTTCGTCTGCTGGTGACCATGGATGAATGAAGTTGACGTAAACATGTTACGTATTAGATTCGCATTACCATTACTATCGGTGGCTGTTTGGTTGACAATTATTCTGCACACTCGGATTCTTCAACAACATTTAACAATTTCCTATACACACATATCGTAAGAACGCGTATAAAAAACCACAAATCTTTGCTATAAAAAATCAATAGGGAATGCCGTTCCACTTTGCATAGTAATGTCGATATGACACAAAAGTAGGTATGGTATACGTACGTATTGTGGATAAACATGTAGACGCAGAGCTTCAGAACAGTTTCGAGGGGTGTTTTTCGTAAAGTGGAAAATGTATTCAAAAGAAATGGGATTTGGTTGTTACCCGTTATTTATTTATTGTTGCTTTCTCATCCATTTCCACCCGTGTTGTGATGTGGGCTGACAGCTAAATATTCAGACCAACCAACGGCAACAATCATGAATCCATCCGAGTCATCTGACTGGGAGAGAAATTCCCATTTTTATCTCCGAATTTTTTCCAATACACATTCTTCTTTCTTTTTTTATCTTACGTGTACAAAAACACACCCACATTGCTGCCACAATGCTGACCGTCCTATGTAGCCTATGACAGTGGTCTTCTGGTCTCCTAGTGGCGTGGGAGCAAATAATTTGTAAGTGACACCGGTGTGATCGTCCATCTGATAGAGTTGTCTTCTCACTGGTCGCACCCATGGGGGGCTCCCTTCTTTCTTTTGCTACCATCCCTGCCAAATTGGTTAACTGCGAGCATAGGGAGTTGTCGGCTCCATCTTTTTGTTAATATCATTTTTAACGATTGGTTTCCTTACTTGCGTGTCCAATGGCCAAATTGCGGCATCCTTTCATCAAGAAATCATTTTCATTCTGCAAGACAGCAGGGAACTGTCAGTGGGTGGTGATGATATCAGGATGGGATGATGGAAATAATAATAGTAATAATCTGCCCGGTCTCAATTCTTATTTTGACACTGCAAGTGCATGAATATTGTACACACTTCTTTACACTGTACGTAATTTTTTCCAAGAAACTTTAAACTAACACTAGCTAGACTACGCACAACAATACACATTGTGATGCAAAGTTGGAATGTAAATTTGGAAGTGAAATTGAACCCTAACAAAAGGGAATTGTAGGACAATATCCGGAACCATCCATCACAATCAGAGAGAGAGAGGGAAGGTTTTAAACTTGGGGAAACGAAACGAACGAACCGAAAACCGGGATCAGTAGAGCGACAAGAAATAGCAAGGTCTTCTTACACATATTTCTCATCCAGACCATTGTGTCATTGTCGGTGATCGTCTCCTGGTTCGCTAAACTAATGGAGAAGGGAACAGTGTAGAATCGTATCGTATCGAGGAAGGACTTAGGCGAGAACTTTGTGCGGATTTCTAAAATATCTCTGTTTGCTTATTTACATTTAAATTCCAGCGATGTAAAATGTAAATGTAGGGCTTTGAATATAATCATGGGATGGCTTTCACTCAATTAAAAATGTCCTGCTGCGTCCTTCCAAGTCATTATTCGTGGTCTTCTCGTTGCATATTGCAGCTGCATCACGCTGCCTCCCATCCTTTATTTCATTTCACTTTATCCAAGGTTTGTTTGCTTTCATGTAATTATCTGAACAAAGACGAATGTTGGTGCATACAACAACTGATGTGATTGTGATGTAATGTGATTCAAACGTGCTTATTCAATTACTAAATGGCTGCTGCACACACGTACAGATACGTATACTAACTACGTATATTTAGATGCATACGTATGTATGTACGTAATATGTATGTAGATGAATGGGTGGAAATCGGGTCTAATTGGATTTACTGTAGGATTACATTACAATTGTTATTCCTCAATTAAACTTTGGACGGAATCCATGATACTCATTCTAAATATGTACAAAATGATGTGTCTGCCATTCTTTACTTTCTCCACAAAAAAGTTTTAGGGTTTTATTGCTACACATTTCATGTCTTTCACCAGTTTCACCAGTTTGTATCATCATTTCTGTTTTCTGCTGGGTGGACAATGGAAGGAAGCAGGAGAGCAGTGTCAGCAATAAATCTGGTGAATTTGTTCATCCCTTGTTGGGTCACGAGGGAACAGCCGTGAAAAATGAGAGCTGTCATGTCATTCCAAAAGGGGAGACTGAGAAAGCGTGTACTTTCTCCACTCCTCATACTTTAATCTTAATCCAGTCCCTGAAATACAGATAGTTTGACAAAATGGAAGCAGCATCATCGAGGGACTGAATTTCTTGTTCTTGAAAATGATGCAAAATTTTGATGGGACAAGGCGTAGGAATGAAAATGGATGTATTATTTCTTGGTCGGATGAGTGAGGAGAAGGGTGATGTTGATGGTGGGTGGGTGGGTGGTACTTTGGTCATATAGTGCTCGTAGTCCTGGTAGTTTTGATCACACGCGCATACATTATCCTTAATTGCTAAATCAATATCTTCATTTCACTCCTCGGTGCACTTATGTAAAGCCAATCCGCCCCGACAAAGTCATTCATATGCCCCTAAAATGCATTACAACTATATCCAGCTAGGGGTACTCTGTGGGTAGGATCTACGCAGTGATAGTAGCACCACTACACTGATGATAATAATGCAGAAGAAAGAGTCGCAGGACAACGAATGAGCAATCAAATCCCTGGATGCACATCCCAGCAGCTTTCCAACCAACCAAGCCATCCATCCATCCGCATGAATGTTTCTATCGTGTCGTATTATTTTGCAAGGATCAAGGAAGGGATCGAGATAGCTCCCTTCAACCAGGATGATGATAATGGTGTGGTGGTGGCAGTGGCACAAGATCCTAAAGAATTAGGAGAGAGTAGTTCTAGTGTGTTTTGTTGTTTGTTGCGTTGTATGTATGGTGGAGTTATGAGCCATAAATCCTTCCTGTACAAGTCCACTACTTCCTTCCTTAGCTTTTAGACGACGGGAATCGTTGTACGTACACAGCGTAGAGCTGCTTTCTCCATCCATCCATCCTTGACTATATGTACATCCAATCCACAAGGGTATTCCCCACCACCATTCTAATCCCTCTCATTGTCACCAAGGACTAATGACTGTGTGTTAAGCCCTCATAAATATGTGAGTGTATGTGGGAGTAATTAGTCGACGCAATATTTAATCCTTATCTGAATAGGATAACTCTTTCTCTTATCGGAACAAAACACATTGTCCTCTTCTTTGTTGCAGGTTTATCAACGCTCGTCGCCGCATAGGTGGGTAATCAATGGTCTAGTGTTCAAATAAATTAGTTTCATCTCTTATAAAAAAATTGTATGAGGAAATCATATTCTAAATATTTTTTTTTAATTTCAACAGTCCAACCTCTCATTGATCAGTCAAACAGAGCTGGAGCGAGTGGTGAGTTGGCAATAATTTTGTCTGAAAATTTTTCTGCGACCCAGACATCTTTTACGTAGGAATAGTAAATATTACGTAGTCTGGAGTCTGCAGTGGTCCCCTTACGTTTTTGGGAAAGAAAGTAAATTGAGAGAAGTTGGATGATTATGATGAGAGCGCAGCATTTGTCCGTGGCAGATTGATGAGATGAGGTCAGGTCGGGACCTTTGGCCCTTTCTGCTTTCATCATCATTCACACGTGCTCCCACACCAATAATCCTCATTGTCACTGTAATTGCACATTAGCACAAGCTGCTGCTGCTGTTGCACCACGCCACGTCTACATTGGCTACGTCGACGACTCTGACAATTCAAACAACTCTCTCTCTCTCTCAGTCTACTTTATTTTCCTTCCTCGTTGTTTCTTGGTTCGCCTCCTCGTCCACCCATGCACCTATCTCGGTCGTAAATAAGACGGGATTAATTTAATAGGATGCCTGTCTCTGTTTCTTGGAATGGGAATGATACTAATTAGAGCAAATTGCTCCAAGCTGCACCCCTACTTCAATCCAGTATTTATGGCTTGTTAAACTGGCTGGCTCAAACTGGTCACTCTGGTAGTCAACTGGTCAGCAAACCAACGCTAATAAATAAAAGGCGATAAGGAGACGGGATTTGTGATAATGACAAAAGTTTATGTATTTCCGTTCGTTCAGAAATCTATATACTTATACACGTACGTATGTACGTACGTGGGAGATGACCGAGACAGGTGTTCCGAGGTGCATGTATTTAGCTGTTGTTTTAAGAGAGAGACAATATATTAAGATGAAATTCTTTTATACAGATAAATTGTCTCTCTCTCAACTTATTAGTTATTGGTTCATGTTTAAGAATAAGAATCAATCCCCCCAAAGCTGCAATATTCACCAATTGTTTAACTAATAGTGTTCCCTGGGGGTGGTCCAGGTGGGGCATATGGACCCGAGACGGGAATGGGCTACATGATGGACGGTCAACAAATGCACAGGCCGCCAGACGCCCCCTTCCACAACGACGCATACCACTACCCACCTCAGGTACAGGATTTCTAATCTTAAATGGATGAACAGCATTAGTTGAGGTTTACATTATGTGCATTACTCTGCAGTATTATGGTCACCTCTAACCATTAATGGAGGCGGAAGGCGAGAAAGATATCGCTTCGACCGCGGCGGCTGAACCACTCTGACGTAAGTTTTATTTTTTCTTTTCTTTTTTGTTTAAAAATTGTAGATCTTTCCACCCCGTCTTTCTTTCCCCTGGAAAATATTTAATAGGAAATTGCTCTAGCAAAGTGATGGATGGGGCTGCGATCCTATCGCTCGAAATTAACACTTTCTCATTATTACTTTGAAGCAAGTATGCTCGAGGAGCATGCACAATGGAGAAAGACGAAAGTCTATGGTGTGTGCAGGAACAAAACTTGAAACAATAATTGTCCCATGTTCTTTTTCGTTTCCTTTTCTCAACTTTCTGAACTCTCCCCACCCAACCATGATTCGTTCCAGTGAAATAATGAGTTGTTGGAAAAGAGACCAAAGGGAATGCATGTATATGGAAGAAATAATAAGACTCGCTTCGTTCAATCTCAATGTCATCGTCACCCATCCAACAACCGAACCCGGGCTTCTTTTCTTTTTCCTTCCTTGGTTCTTTCACTCTCTCGCCGGTCCTATCCCCCATTTTTGTGATAATGGAACCTTTTAATGGAAAATGTTGGTTGGCCATAAATAAGACCAAGAAGAATCAAACAAGAGTGATGTCCCTCAGTCTCATTATTCTCTCATTCTCTGCCAGAGAGAGAGAGTGCTATCTTATCTTTTGTTTTTCCCCAAACTTCATTTCCGTTCGTACACCAGACTTTAATTTAAAATGAGAATAAATCATATCAAAAATTTCACATTGTAAAATAAGATGTATGTATCAAGAAAAAACTGAAACACGAAATTTTCTAAATATATTTATATACTTGGTGAAAAATTGCAGAAAAATTAAGAAATAATTCCAATCTCAACAGACAGCGTATTACACTAATTGTAAATGTGTTCATAAAAATTTTATGTGCCATAGTGTTTTTCATGTCCACTCATGAACTCGCTCTATTATTGCTGGAAATGATGTGCGTTGATTCCAAATGATGATGACGTTAGTGAAACTTGCTTTGATGTTGTACTATTGTACATAAAATAAAAGTAAAAGTAAAATCTGGGAGAGTGAATTGTTCCAGTTTTTGTGGGACATAAAACTTTTTACGGCCACTTCGCTCACACCATTGGGCAACCATCAAAAGCTAGTTTTATTCCTAGTAAAAATGGAATAAAATAAGTCCGCACTCTTTAACCCCTCTTCTTCTTTTCTCTTTTCTCCTTACTTCTTGTTGAGACATTTTTCACATTTTTTCTTATTTTTTTTGCAGGAAATTGACTTACCACCATCAACTATCCCAACACCAATACACTACCCAAACCAACGTCCACTGTTTGATTATCTCAACTGTGTCAAATTTCTCCAAAACAATCATGATCATCCACCAAGAAATTTGCAAGTTTTTGTTTTTGTTTCTTTTTGGATGAAAATCACCCCAAGATTGATAAGAAGACGAAGACGACACGACATTTAGTTTTTAGATACAAAACTTTTAAAATATAAAATAAGGGAATTACACACACCTATATACTCCTCCAATCCAATATAATAATCAGCTTGTGCTTTTCTTAACATTCTTTACAAAAGTTTGTAAAAAAAACATTTAAAAAACTTTTTTCATTCGGAATTTTTGCAAGTGCAGTTTCTAATAAAAAATATTATACTACAATTCTTCTGAGCTAAAAAAAACTTAACCAAGTGACTTGTGAAGCTATACGTAATAAAAAAAAATAACAAAACTCCAATCTGAAACCTTTCTGTGACATGAAGATATACGAATGGCATCCTGGGAGGAGGAAGAGGAGAAGGATGACGAAGTACATAATATGACGAATCTATCTTAGGACTTTAAAAATCTGCTTAATATTTGTTTTTTCTTCAATTTCTGCCTTTTGGCAAGATTATTATGCATATTTCAAAATTTTATTTTCATTTCTTGCTGACAGGGTATTTTGCAAATATTAATTTGAAAGGACATGATACAACTAGCCAAATAAATACATGTACATGCAGCAGCCGAGAAACCCGTTTAAAAATGAAATACGTAAATTTGTTTTCAATATAATTTCCTCGCATTTACAATAAAACTGCAACGTTAAATCATTTGTGTCAAATTAATTTTATTAAAGAATGGACTCGAAAAATAGTTAAAATATTATGTTTAATATGGTTGTTTATTGTGTTAATTGTAATGATTTTTGTTAAAATGCGGTGCGATAATTAATTAATTAATTGTTATCTTGTATAATTGTATAGTGGACAGTTTATATATGTTATACTAAAAACTAGGTAGGGTAATTAATTATCAATTCATAATCAGTTAGGTATATTACATGATACTATGCTACATAAGGATATATAGAGATATATTAGTTGTAGTTAACACGTAATTGTACAGTACGTAAAGAATGGACAGGGAGATGAAGAGAGGCAATCGAAACTATTCCTAAGTTAAATTATAGCATTTCAGCTATATTTAATAAGTTACCTTATTAAGTGTAATACACTCAAGTATTTTAAAAGTTGATTATTAACTTGAACTAAAACATTTTCAAATAGAGACTTCCGTTAGGTTTAAGAAAAGTGTTAAGCTGCAACAGTAAAAACAAGTAATTAACTCGATTTAATTACTCAAAAGTTTGTTCGTGGTCATCATCACAAAAGAATTGAATCGATAAGAATAAAAATCATGAATGAGAAAAAACTACTTTTTGAAAATTATTTTGAAAATTATTTCATCGTGTGTGTACAACATAAGTGTTCAGAGGCGTGGCGTGGAGATATTTCATAAGTGCGTTACAGTTTATAGTACGTGGATGGATGTGTAGTTGCTTTGGTGAAAGTTAATCCTCAGTGTTGTCGTCGGCATTTTGGTCTGCCTGCTTATTGCTTCTTATGTGCAATGTCGGTTTCGTGCTGAATCTGTTGTATGGCATACGTAGGGAAGAAAAGTGGAGAGACAGCAGCATAGGACTGAGGAGAGCAGGAGTGGTTCCATAAATCAGATGCAATCAGATCCTATGTGACAGGCAGCCAGCCAAGAAGAGAAGAAAACTCCAATTTTCTCTTCTCAACTTTCTCCACTTTTTCTCATATCCCAAAAATCCCATTAAATTCCAAGCACAGGGATACTATTTTTTTCTTACTTTTGTTAAAAAATGGGAAATTTACTCACTGCAATGAGAATCGCAATAGATGTATGTATTAGATGCAAATGTATAAAGTGTGCCCTTGTCATGAACCAATTGAAAGAAATCATAGGGGCTTAAAAACAGATAAGAGGACTAATCCCTGCAAGAATTAAAACTTTTTTGTCATCATCATTAGCAGGCTTATACTATGCGTGCATAAACTGGCTATCCAATCACCCCTCTCTATTCATTCAACTTGAGTGCGATGAAAGAATTGGTCTGATAAATTTTAAAAATCTGGAAACTCTCTTTTTTTATTTCACCATTAATCCCTTCATTACGGAAACGTCAAGTCAGTCAGACATTGGGTAACTTATTTCTTCCATTCCGACTTAATCCATGCTCCCATTTTTTTCAAGTGTCGTCGTTCTTCTTCTCTCTCCCAATTTGTGAGGTGTCAGAAGTAATCATAGCCATCAAGTTTAGGATGCCACTTACTTATTAAACAGTAACAGCCAGCAGGACTCTATCCTTCCACTTAATTTCATCTTGAAAATGTCTCTTGCAGAATTTTTTCTAGATAAATAATTCTCTTGTGTCGTTGTGGTGGGTCGAATGATTCGAGTGCCAATTACTTTATTGGATATTAAAAGAACACCCTCAGAGTGGAATTTTACAGAAGTGGTCTTACCGAGAATTTTGCCAAGTAGTGCTACAACATGGACAACATAATCAATAACTGTATAGCCCATACATATGTAGGACATTATTTAGTAGAGAAATTGAAACTGGTGGTGCATCCTCTGGGGCGAGTAATGGAAGGAAGTTTCGTAATAATTTGATGTGATGTAATGCAATAAAATTGATGGATGGATGGATGGCTTCAATATCTGGACTGAATGACTAGCATTGCGCGTTTTTAGAGGACATGGAATAAAAGTTTGACTGAAGGGAAAGATTTTGCTATGTGTTGTGCATCCACGAATCCACCAGGGTTGCTTCAAGTGGAGGAAAGTGAAGTGTCCAAGCACAAGTGGGGATCTCATCTCATCAACTAATATTTCCTCTATCCCAACACCAGCTTGATAACTGATATGACATCCCCTCCTCCTTATTATTACACCACCATCACCATGTAGAATATCTGCCAACCACCATACCAGCCAGAGGATGAATGAGTGCACTTGAAGAGACACTTGGAAAACGACGAAGCCGACACCAAACCAAGCCAAACGAACGACTGCATAACCGGGGTGGCACAATATCTAGTTTTTTTTTTTGGGGGGGGGGGGGAGAGATTTGAGTGATCTTATTTTTCAAGTGCACTTCAAAAGTGGCTCAAAATCCGACAAACCATCGCCAAACACTAACCACCACAAATAATTTGATTTCGTTATGTGATGCACTGCATTCAGACTCTGAAACTTTAATGCCAAACATTCCTCAAGGTTTTTAAAATGGAATTGATACTTTGAAATTTGCTTTAAATGATATGTACATACAGTTTCGTAACTATATGTACGGATGTCCGTGCTATATTGATTCACTCGATATCCATCGACTTCAATACATTCGGTGGTAGAGTAAAAATACGAATTTTTATTACAGTACTCTTTATCTACATGTTATTTTACGGAGCCGATGAACCTCTCTAAAAAAATCGACAAAGATTGTATTCTTTTTCCATTGTACTCTACTGTATTGACTGTATCAAAAATGAAGTGTGATTGACGCGTGTTCTTCTCTTCCTATTTTTTCTGAACAATTGACAATTCATCTCCAAATTCAACAGTAGCATCTTTATCTATCCACGGAATTCATCCTGCTGCAACGATGACTGACAGCTATACATGACCGGGGTCCTTTATTACCATCGCCTTAAAATTACTGCAAAGATGAAAGTGCTTTTTACTCTACGGCAAAAGATTTTAAAACTCATATCAGGAAAAAAAACAATGACGACACTCCTATTACTTTGCATAACTTTACGCCAGAGAGAAAGAGAGAGATGATTGTGGAAGCGATACTACGTATGTACCTGCTACAAGGAAATATATAAAAAGAAATCCAGTCACTATAGTGTATGTATAACTACCAATTCCGAGATGAGTGACAGCCAAGCCGGGCTCAGGTGCGCTTTTCTTTTCATTTTGTAAAGAACTCTAAAGAAAATGGTTTGATGGACAGGTGGAGTTTATGGAATTCCAAGCATTTTAATTTTTCAAATCCTCATCTACTAAAATGAAATTACAAACATGGATATTATTTTTTATACGAACGATGCGCAATATCCCACGAGCAATATATTTAGTACATGGGACCCACAAAAAGGAAATGGAATAAAACGTCTGTCGTTGCGTGTTGCATGGTGGACGGAAATTGCAGGGGAAAATCCGATTTCCTCTTCTCATCGTCGTCATTGGCTTGTCTCGTTTAAGCCAATCCAACCCAATTTTATTGAGTTTCACTCCCACCACCATCACTACCACCACCCGGACACGACACTATTCCACCAACCACACCTGTCATCTCTCACGGTTTTCACCTACACAAATCCATACGAATCATGCCCCAGTGTAATGGGTAACGTGAAATGAAAAAGATGCAGAAGGAAATTGTGGTGATTCCCAGAAACAAAAAATAGTAAACTTCATGTACCTACATATATATGTATATACTTGTTGAAAACTGATTAAGCTGGAGTTGTTAAGTGTAATGATACGGTCCGAAAATGAATCGATGTATTAGTGACTGAAAGCAATTAAGGGTTTTCCCAGTTAATTGTGTAGGAAAGGTGGAAGAAAATGTGTGGAATTTTTCTGGTAAAAATAAGAGAAATGAGAGAGTGAGAGTAGAGGTGAAATGGATATCCATTTTATCCAATCCATTTGGAATCCAATCCAATCCATCGATATGGATTGGATTGGATAATCAGATATCTGGATTGGATTGGATGGATTTTTGGTTCTGGAAAAATTATGGATTGGATTGGATAATCGGAAATCTGGATTGGATTGGATGGATTTTCGGTTGTGGAAAAATTATGAATTTTCACCGCGCCTTTCTGTATAGAAATCATAACCAGGACATTATGTCATTCTAAATATTCTAAAATCTGTGTATTTATCTACGTATATTTTTAACTTAAAGCAGGCGGGTGTATTGCTGGTTTGGTCGGTAACATATTGGCATTTGAAAGGAGAGCCAAATTCACTAATGTTGGCATCTAGTTTTTGCCTGTCGATTGGCGGTCGTATAAACTAGTTCTGTTATATTAAAAATATAACGAAATTTAACAATAGGTGCATGTGTATATCATGGTAGTATTTTTTTAAATATAGTTTTGCTGATTTTGTAAATATTATATCCATGTTTTTACACTGGATTCTATTGGCTTAACTTAAAACTAGTGCTGGATAATATAGATTTTTTGTTTTTGGTTTGAATTGGATTGGATTTTTAATGGTTTGAAAGTTATGGATTGGATTGGATATTTTTTTTACAAAATTTCGAATGGATTGGATGGATTGGATAAATCCAAATGGATTATGGATTGGATGGATTTTTTTAGGACAAAACTAAAAATGGATTGGATGGATTGGATAAATCCAAATGGATTTTGGATTGGATGGATTTTTCGTTTTGTAATCCATTTCACCTCTAAGTGAGAGGGAGGGAAGAAGGGAGACTGTGATTCTGACCAAGTGGTCAATCTCTGTAATTAGCTCTAAGGACGCTTGGTTTTCGAGTATTATTGGATGGATGGGTGGAGAAGGCAGAAGGAGCAAAGGTGCAATTTTCATTTTCATTACAAGCTCCAAACAGTCTCTCGAGTCTGTTCATAAATTAGGAGAGTGATGGGAGGGTCGATAGGCGTTGGGACTGACACTATGGAATTTAATGAGGAATGTGGTTAAGAAAGGAATTTACTGGGCACACCCACTCACCACAAAATTCCACCGACTGATCTTGATATTGGTGGTCAAATATCTCGATGCATACTTGGAATTAGTTTGTAAATAATAAGCACGTAAAATGTATGTGTGTACAAGAAGGTACAAAAATTAAATTAAATTGCAATTTTACTCTTCATTTTCCAAGCTAAAATAATGATAATTTTGCAATGGAGAAAGTAGCATGCTTAAGATATGTGTTCATTTATTGCATTTTCAAGAAGCTGCTGCTTAACGTTTTTCCATCTCGTGATTTACAACAATTTGTGAGAAGGGTTGTTATTCTTCTGATAAGACATCTAACAAGATCTGGATTACCTCATCCGGAGGTCGAAAAAATAATGAACATCATTTTGAAAAACGATTAACAAATATGTAGAGAAATATTTTCTGAGCATCGTTTGTTATATATATTTATTTGCTTTCTGAAGAAAAACTAATTGGCAACAACATACGGTATAACGATGTGTGGTATGTATCATTCACCACTACCTCATACATGCCTACCCATAATACCTATCGTTGGAAAGTTGACCACTATAATTCAATCCCAGGTGATGGTTTTCTAGATAATGTGTTATTTATGTGTGTGGACCATATCATCATCATTTCCATCATTACTTTCAATTACTCTATTTTCTGTCATTCTCGGCATGTGTGGCAAGGTAAGGTCTGCAACATGTGTGTACATATGCACATACATATAAATAAATACTCTGCACACAATTTCCTGTATTTGTATTTCGTGATCCCAACTTTTTGCTGGTCAGGACCGATGACATGTTCTGACATTTGCTCCCATACTCGTTGACCAGTCAGCACGCGAAGCGAGTTTCAGAGAACATGGTACACAAGAGAGAGATGTGACTTTTACTTTACTTTTAAATTATTGAGTGTTTCATTGTCTTTTGATGCTAATTGGAGTCAATTGGATCACCGGCTGGTTATAATGAGGGTACCACATTATTGTGCGGGTAACATTATTATGTATTCGTTATTCGCCTGCCTAATGCTTATACATAGGATCGCATGCCCCTAATTGCCCCTAACTCAAGTAATTGCTCCTCCTGCCTGTCAACTACACCCACCAAACCAACCAACCTTACCTACCTGTCTGCTTACCTTTATTGACCACAATTAGTTTACTGCTACACATTATATTTCACAACAATATGTAATATGTCATTATGCCTGTCATCAGCCAACTCCACAGACACACAGCACAAGTGCAATTGTTGTTCTTGCTCTCTCAGATCTGGGAAAGATTGGATATCATTATCATATACACGCAAACATTTCTCATAAACAAATTGGGCAAAGATAACAATAGGGATTCTTTATCCCATGCATCGCAATTAGTAACAAAGAGGACAACAATAAAATAATGGTACTTGGTTGAATGAAAACCATTCTACTCAAAAGGTTGTAAATACAATTGGGGAAAAATTTTGAAATATCCTGAATTTTAGCTGTAGTATGTGCTCTAATTGAAATAATTGTGCAGTGTCATCTCATTCAGAGAAGAGGAGGAGGTTGTAATTTAGCCCAAAGGACTTCCTGCGGTCTGATGATTTCTCGGTTGTCTTCACCTCCCTAAAAGCGAGCATGATAATGATGGGCACTTCCTTTTCTTTAGTTTTTTTGGTGTGACTTACCAATATCAACTACAAAGGAATTCTTACCAAGCCAGCATGTATTTTATTACAGCATGTGTATGTATATATGTACAAGAGCCGAACTAAACTGCATGCTGCTGGAGATGATGGCGATAATTTTGTAATTGGAGGTGTTAAAGCAATAATTGAACGAGGAAAAAAATACAAAAAAATGACTGACAAGGCTGAGAAGGGAAGTTGAATCCAGTTTGAAAAATTGAAGAATAATAATTGCGCAAGTAATACCTGCTTTGTTCAATTCTACTTAACTTTAAAGCAGATTTACAGGTAAAATTGGCAAGGAATGTGTACAGAAAGTATTATATACTAAGGATAAGTACTTGTGTTTGTTGAATATCAGAATGATTTACAATTCAATTATTAAGGGAATAAAGATTGCATTAGAAGGTTCCTAATATGGCGTTAAGAAAACCCGACAAAGATGCCATAAAAGGGTGGAAATAGACAATGGATGCTAAGTGAGTATAATAATGTACATGATTTTATGACCCTGTTAAATCATATCAAAAGACAAACAAGTTGTGGTTTTATTTTCTGTAAATGAAAAAAGACTCAAGTTAAGAGATGATGAGAGATCAAATTAAAAAAAGTTGTATAAGATGAAACATGAGTCTGAGAGGTCCATGAGTTTTTCGACAACTTCATCTTGAGAGAAATGCCTAGATAGTTTTTCCCAGGTTTGTTGACGTGTGCAAGTAAATTCAGGCTATGCAATTAATTCTTCACTAGATTCACTACGAATTTTTATCAAGTGCAAGGTTTATTTTACATTATTTGTTAGTAAAAGACTTAAATAAAAATATGTAACGTTTGCTGGTATGGGTCCGTGGAAGTCCAGTTGCTTATGGTTGGTGATCACTGATTATCAGTGTTTCTTAGACCGAGACTTATTCTTGAAACAAGGAGCCTTTTTATTGGGTTTTTTGTTGTAGTTCTTTTTTGCTTCCTGCAAAAAAGGTTTTACATTGGCCATAGAGTCGCATTCTGATAAAGCATCCAGAAATTCATCACATGGAAGTTTGTCCAAATTCTTGTCCTGTATAAACCATAATTTGTAGGTGTTCACTTTGTGTGTGTAAGTTTTACACATCATTTGATATGAAACTATGTATGAATACCTTGACTTGTCCAGCACAATCTGTAATGGAGACACCAGCAAGTCCCATAACAAGTCCAGAACTGGAATGACCCAGCGTACCTACTAAAGCAGATAACGTCCCTAATGTTCCTCCAATCTCGTTGTTAACGTCCAGCGGTGACGACCCAACGCTGGCACGTTTCTAGAAAATATTGAATACAAATTAGGGTCATCTTGAAATTGATGGTAAGATTGCGAGCAAGATAAAAGTATATAGAAATAAATTTCCGAACTGCAAGTGCAATTTTTATGGGACCATTGTCGGCTTCCATGATTCTTTTTGGCCAAGCTGTAACTGGACTTGTGAATATCTAGAAAAATGTACAATATTCGTCAGTAGATAAATAGCATTTCCTAAAAAACAAGATAAATAATTTACCACGAAAAGCAGAGAAATAACCCCAGTGATCGATTTCATCGTTTAATGGATGGCTTTAATCCAAAAATTTGAGTAAGTGTGTACTGTAGAAAATTTATTTGATGAAGTCGAGTTTTTGGAGTTGGACATCGAGCTTTTATTCTTAACATTTGGACAACTTAATTAGTAACTAAATTCACAATAACAGTAAATCATGTAGTCAATCAATATCACATGCATTGCAATTAATCTGTATAAACTAAATTGTGGAGGATAACCTTCAACAATAGAATAAAATAAGTATAACAAAATAAACTTGGCAGAAAAATTGCATATTTAACATTTAAGTCACAAATTATCTAATTCGTGTAAACTATAATTATATACTACAGTATCACGGTTCCATCAGGACTTTTATGGTGTCCGGAAAATCCCTTCCTTCTTAACACTAGAACCATCGGTTCGGACTTGATGTGCACTGGAGGAACTCGTTTAAGAGAAAAATCTATGCCGACAAAACCGTCCTGAGAAACCAGAATATCGTGCGTTTTGAAATAGACAAGTCTATTTTCCACCGTATCTTCTCCTACTAGCAAATGACTAAATGTTTGAAGCTCCTTTCCTCCACGTGGATGACCTTCAGTCTTGTTGTAAATCCAATTGTTGTGCAGTTCCAAAAACCTGCATCATTATTAATTTTGAAAAAATTTAGTTTACATCTTTGCTAATTCTTGAAATGCCATTTAATGATTTTCAACCACCCACCTTGAAACGCCCGTTTGTGCAGAATGGACATCGATGTGTATGTTTAAATTTGTAAAGGAATCTTCCAATCGATGCATTGCCAAAAGTGCATTTCCTCCTGGGTAATTCTTACTAGAGACAATTAGAAATCCTGTCGAGAGCACTCCATTCAGCACAATCATAAAAATTATTCCCACTGCGAGTAATGCCCGAAAAAAACTTTTGCCACGATTCTTCCACAATGTATCGCAAGCAGCTGCAGCAGCCACGTTCAAAAGTGGAAAAATATAAATGATGAATCTTAGCTCCTTATGTGGGAGGAAAGAAAACAGGAAGACGAAACCGAGGGCGGCAGCAACAAGTATGCGGACTCTTGGATTCCACCAAAGTCCTAGAGGTACGAGGACCAAAGAGCTTGTCATGGCACGGGGCAGAGCCGAGTAAAAGTACCACAAGAATGGTTGAGTCTAGATGAAGGCGACGAATAGATCAGAAGATGTTCTCAAAGTTAGGCTACACACATTTATTAATAAGTATCAGACACTTACACCCCACTTATGACTCTGATTCAACACTGTGTTAAACCAAAATACTTGACCTTCAGGCCACAAAAGTCTCCTCCAAAATATCGAGTCGACTCCTACCGTTAGAGCAATGCAGAACAATCCACTGGGCACAGAGTATTTGATGGTCCTATGAAAAATATTAAATTGTACAAACTTCTCAACTTGAACAACTTTGCACTAGTTGATTCAATAATTTCATAATACTTACTTCCATAAAGAAATTCTTCTGTAAATCAGTTCCATAAGCAGCAATAATCCAAACAACATTGCCAACTCGGCCCGAAATACAATGATGTCGAATGCAGAGATAAATATAAATTTTGCATGTTTTCCTTCCATCCAATAATGGAATGCGAGAAGGGCTCCCGGTAGTGCAAAAATGTTGGGCAGTGGTCGTCCTAAGTAAAACATGAAATGAAACTGGGACGCAGTCACGATCACCAGCCAAATTCCAAGTGATTTCCCAAACACGTTGGAAATTGTTTTCCGATAAGGTTGGAATGCACGAATCACCAACTCGCTTAGACAGATGCGTACTACAAAAGAAGTTATACATAGATAATTGTGAAGATTGATACCAATTCACACAAATTGCAAAAGTGTAATATTTTGTATCTTTAATACCAATGATTTGCGCAATGTATTTGGAGAACCAGAACTGTGATAAGTACACAAAAGGCCCAGAAATGAAAGAAACGACCAGTGGACCTATAAACGTCCGTGGAACAACTCCAGGAAATTCGAGATGGTCATACTGCAACAAATTAAGCAAATATTGTATACAATGTGTAAAAAGTTTTAATCTGCAATCCAAATCTAAATCATACCAGTTGGAGGTTTTCCCTGTGAAAGAGGATATCGTGGATGGCTTGGAGATTGAAACTTTCTTCGACCTTTGTGAGGGGGCAGACGCAAATGTGGACGAGGGAGACGAGGCGCAAAATTATTTCGACCGATATCCCCTCATTCACTTCCGGTTTCTTCACACTGACGCCTCCGCCACCCATCCTGTTAACCTGGAGAGAGGACGCTTTAATAAACAGACAATTAACAAAAATAAACTTTGTGGACTTACTTTTACCGTTCCTCCAGCTGGGAGTCTCCGACGAGAAACCTACACCGCAATGAATTGATAGTCTGCCATAGTCAATCTGCTATATTCTTTGTAATACTAATCCTAAATCTAATCTAATTAAACTTATTGCAGGTTAACCAGAACTCAATAATTTAAATGATTACAATTTTTCTGAACACGAAAATATTGTGGAAATGTCAAGTTTTGGTGGCTGTTTCGTGAATATCAGTATCACTTTTCCTCACTAATATTTTTGTAAGCGATAGGCGGCCGAGCGGTTGCACAGCACAATGTCTTTGTGAGATTTCGTAAACAGTAGTCGAGATCATTTGTGGAACGCAAATTAACAATTCCTCGTTAGTTTTAACCACAAATTGTGATTATTTTAAAATCGTGTATAACTATGCCCGGAATGAGTATCAGTTCGGTGACCAAGAGGGGCGCATTAATTGTTTTAGAGGGTTGCGACAAGGCGGGCAAGTCCACCCACTCCAAGCTGCTCATTGACGCCCTTAATGCGGCCGGAAAGGTGGCACACCTCATTAATTTTCCAGGTATGGTATGGCGGCTGATGTGTATTCGTGTTACATTTGTGTGATTCGTTTGCAATCGCTAGATAATTACATTTAGTTAATGCTTTAAATTTGCTCTGTTCGTTTGTGCCCAGATCGAACTACCGAGATCGGGAAGATGCTAGATGCTTATCTGAGATGTCAAAAGGAAGTTAAGGATGAGTCAATTCATCTCCTTTTCTCTGCAAATAGATGGGAACTTTTGTAAGTAATGAAATGAATGGTTTATTATAAAAAAATATTTAAGCTCACAGAATAATTAATTCCTAAATATTATTATTATTAGACCAAAGATACAGAGACTTCTTCTTGCTGGTGAATCAGTAGTTCTTGATCGATATGCTTTCTCTGGGGTAGCTTTCTCAGTGGCGAAGGTAGTAAACTTACCTGAATAATGATATGAGATGGTCGTATTGCATGCCCTAATTATTTGTTAATAGGGTACACTTGATCTGAATTGGTGCATGAGTCCAGACGTGGGCCTTCTGCAACCGGACCAAGTCATATTTCTCAATTTATCAGAAACAGAGGCTGCCGCTCGTGGCGACTTTGGGAGGGAGAGATATGAACAGACCGATTTTCAGAAGAAGGTCAAACAAGTATTTTTTGAATTGAAAGACAAGGATGACTCTTACTGGACGGTAAGTAATTAATTCATTACGAAAAATAACAAACTTATTTTTTAATGTGTCTAACTAACGTTACTTTATGTGAAACTTTAGGTTGTGGAAACAAATCGAAATAAAGAAGATGTTCATCAGGAAATTTTACAGCTTGCGATGAGCACCATTAAAATTAGCGAAAATAAGCCAATACTTCCATTGTGGGGGAACATTTTTAACAGTTCTTCTACAAAAGGGTCGAGTCAAAATAAGGGCGAAACCAAAAAGATTCCCGCAGTGCACACAACAGTTTAATTTTTGGTATAGTATACATGTACATGTATATTATTGTGTATGTATACGTAAGTATATGCTATATAAGATATTCAATCTGTAATGTATAAATGTATCAATAAGCTAATTGATTTGTACCTACTAAATAATTAAATAATGTAACTTGTCAATTTATGAATATATGCATGAATGCATGGAATTCTACTCCCAATTGAAATCTGGATGATATGCATAACAAACACTTAAAAAAATTAAATTATAGCATTCACCACTAGCATTTGCAATCCATAGGGGAGTACAGATGTCCGTACTTTATTACCAGTGATATTCATCCATACTTAAATTCAATTAAGTGGCTAGTTATGCCTAATTTAGGGTGAGCATGCATTCATGTACCATAAATATACATATGTACATATGTCGCAACAGAATAGATGAGATGAATCGTACTTACTAACAGAAATATGCGTAAGGGTGTGCCAAACCTTTACAATCATATATTTCTTGCGCTTTTCGTCTCGAACTGATCATAATTAATTGTATTTAAAATATGAAGTTTATTCAGCCATCTGCGGTTTTACTAGTTACAATTATAATTCTGCCCTTATTCTACAACTCCGCTGAAGGTAATAATACACCAGATGTGCAATCTTATTAAATTTCATTTACGTACTAATTGTTATACCACTTACAATTCCAGCACTTCAATGTTACAAGTCAGCCTGCTGGGGAGATGAATGTTTCGGATTTGAGGATAGACGTGATCATCTTGTGGATCAATGCCCAAGCGATGCTCAAGGTATATGTTGTATGGATATCACGAGTTACAAAAACCTTAAACCTTTCATAAATCCCTACACATTCTAAATGCGTGCAATTTGCTCTCTGTTCAGGATGCCTTTTTAGTTTCGGAACCGTGAGCCCGGACACGGCATTGCTCATCAAGGGTCACGTGGACGGCTGGGGGAAGCCGCTTCGTCGTGAGACTCGGTCCTGTTGGGTACCCTCAGCAACAAAGGGTGGGGTTGTGCCTCGGGGGGAACTGGACAAGTGCACTCCCACCACAATGCAACACTGGTTTCCAAAAGAGGGACAAATGGTTTATGTCAATTCACTCGAGTGCATCTGCTCCAGCAGCAACTTGTGTAATGGAAAAATTATGTCCAGGAACAACTCGTCCAGGATAAAGCTATTCAATTACATCCTGATAATTACCACTACGGCATCACTCTATTTTCCTCCTAGATTAGTTCAGTAGTATATGAAATGATAAGATCGTTTGATATAGTGCAATTATAAAATAGCACACGTGTGCTGTCATGTATGTATTTCACAGGAAATAAACTGCTGTATTTTATATCCATTATAGACACGTTACACGCGTCACAAACTGCATGCTTTCAATCCCCCTAAAAATGTTAATTGGTCACGACATTGTTTCTAGAAACGGGAATCATAGCATAAGTATTATACACATGTCAGTTCCTTGGATCTCATACAGCATACGTGACATTTTTTGTCCTAATCTACAACATCATTATCAGTTGTTGGTAGGAGCTTATCATCACAGTTGAAAGAAGGGTAATTAAGCTTAAAACAAACTCACCTTCCTCTCTTCCGTTAAAATATAGCGTCTTTTGTAATCCATATAGTTCATCATTAAAATCCAGTTTTCTTTATCTTCGTTCTTCTACAATTTGTACAAATTTCATACAAAAATAATACAGATTGCGTAATCGTTTGTTTCATTTTAGTAAAGAAAACATAAAATTAAAGTTATAGTCACTGTAAATTCTGGAGTTGGTAGTTTCATGCATCTGGAGCATGAGTATGAGTACAATATAATTTTGTGAAAATGTTAAACGGGAGGCTAGATACCCACTGATTGTTAATTGAGATTATTAAAATTAGCGCATGGCTGTGTCACTGTGCAGAGTTTGCAGGTGTATGGTTTCCAAATAGTATTAAAGTTTTAGAGATAATTTTTGGTGGTGCCTGTGTTTTTCCATCCTCTCCAAGTTCAATGTCGCGTCGTCTCCTAAATGAGAAATATCCGGACACTTTCGAGGCTGCACTACTAGCGGTCACCCAATCATTCATTCGTCCAAATTTGCAGATTAATTAAATCTCATTGAAGTAGTCACAGGCTGGAAAGCTATATTTAAGTCGCACCAGGCTGGACGTCCCATGTTCTAGAATATGAAATGAGTAAGCGTAAGTACATATCTATGTATCGGAATTACGTAATCGTAATGTACTTTGTTCCTCCTATTGAATTATAGAGAATTACTTCAGTGATGCAGCCGCGTACAAAGTGCATATCATGAATGTATGAATATGCTAGTTGCGCACGACGTTCGCACTTTCCTGACTTACACGAACCACCATTTGATTGATGCGGTGGATGAATAATTGGTCTGGGTGCCATAAATCTAGAAGGTTTATCTCAAGTTATTATTAGGATTAGGTGCTGCGGACAATTTGATTGGTGCATGAGGAGGGTTGAACCGTGCAGCTTTCCATACCTTCATAAATCTGCACGTGGCACAGAACAGATTGGCGATGCAGTGATGCATGCAGAAATTATGAATGACTTCATAATTTTCCAAATATGATCCAACTAGTGCAATCATTGATGATATAATTTGGATGACTGAGTATTTTAGAGTCAGACCAATCAAATCGGTAGTGAATGGGAAAATAGTTCTATTTTAAAGTAGTCGTGTAATATATGCATTTACATTGGATAATCTTCATCAGCCGACAGACTCGTGTTCATTCATAGTATATTTAATTGGTTTGAACTATAGGCTTATTGGCGTCAATGTGAATTTTTGTTTATTTTGGTTATACCATCGTCATTAGAAAATCCTCTGGAAGAAGTAGGTACGTGTAAAGACCACGACGCCATGATTAAGCTTAGGCCATTGGCTGAGGTCAAAGGTTCACGTAATGAGGTAGCTAAAAGTGAAATGTCAAAATGTCAACCTTCCTGTTCTTCCCAATTGAATAATATTCAGACACTGCTTAATTACTAGTGGGCGACTAAAGAAGGGTGTGACGTTATCTGGCTGGGTAATAAAATTCTTTGTACAGCGCGATATAAACTATCGAGGGTTTTATAATAAAATTGTCGGGATTTCCCAAAGGACGAAAGAAGGATTTCACAAAATCCGTCGTCGTAACTGACCTTCCTGGATTTAAACTTTATTAATAAATATGAACCAAATGTGCATGTACATACGTAGATACATGCATTGTCTGATTCATATTCATACATACGCAGGTATTTGTATCTAAATATGTCGGCATTGTTAACTTTTTTAAAGTTGGCAAATATTTGTGTCTCCCATCTACGTACTTGGTTTTTTGATAGCTTCGTAAAGTGAATCCAGTTCATTCCGAACTCCGCCAATTGACTACACATCGTATGGTGTCTAAATATATGTATGAGTTACACAATCTGCAACAGTCGTGAGCAAAATGCAAGCATGACAATTAATTGTTTCTTTTTTTTATTGTCCATCCATTACGCGCCTATAAATACATACCAGACTAAACTAGAGTTAACTGCCTAGCAAAAAATTTTCCAGAAAAAGAGGTTTGTTGCTTTTTTGCCTATAAAGTGACATGTGGATCTTGGTATCTTTAGACATTTACAATACCTACCTTATTATAATACGTAACTATTTTTTATACTATGTAGTTGTATGTAGGTAATCCTTGGATGAGGAGGCCGTTGATCTGATTGTGCATGATCATCCCCGCATACATACATAGCGTCGTTGTTTTACATATTTAATCCGTCGTGTCACCACCATCATATACTTGATAACTTTGTGCTCAATCTTAATTTTTTGTCATGAGCCATATTGTTCCGCGTCTGTACTGATTGAAATGCATCATTTTAACGAGATAAAACCATAACTGCCTCAAAACAATTAAGTGCATGCGAGTCGTAATAAAATGTTTAATATTATACGATCGTATCGTGCGTTACAAACCGGTTCACATGGGATCAATTGGGCATGACATTAATCGATTATCAACAAATTGAAGCGATACAATATGGTCGAATAACTATTTATTGTTTCATCAGTTTGCATGTTTTACATAATTGCATTTCATGACCTGCGTGGCTCAATGTTACGATCAATTTGTAAAAAAAATTGTAATTTACAACAAAACATTTTCAGAATTAACCAGTGCAAACGAAATTTTTCCAGAATAGGTTTTTCCTTGTTAATAATTGTTTTGTTTTTGTTTTGTCTCTGGAAAATTGCTCGGAACAAGGAGTCAAAAATAAAAGTTCATTCGTATTTTTGTCTTCTTGATTGTTGTGTCGTTATCGTGTGTCTGGTGTCACACATCACAAGTTATTTATGTGGAAAGGAAGCTCGATCGTAGGAGAACACTCTTTCGGTCTCACACGAATTTAGCATTATTATGCTTATGAACCACGAAGGATGATGAGTAATGAACGTCTGGAATAAAACAGTTATTAATTCTGCTTCAGATCACACTCTTGCACTTGCTCTACCACCAACCAACCCACGATTCCATGGGGGATGAAAACTATACAATAGCATTCACAGAAATGCTTATGCAAAGTATTGCAATCCTGTATGCCGAAAGATGATAAGTAGCTGACTGACTGACACTGATGAGATCAAGTGCATACATACATTATGTATATGTAAAATGCGCTGGAGCAGCTACTTTTGTGGATAGACACACCATTCTCGTGAAGACTTTGACGTATAATTATTTCTGCCAAATAAATGCACAACAATTTGTTGATCACGAAACATGTGGGTGAAGATTGGTTGTGAATTGTGTGTAATTTTATGACGGTGTGATATCCCACCCCGAGGATGCTCATCATCTCATCATGATGGGAATAATGTGGGTCACCCATATCCTTCAATTAATTGGTGGTAGTAGTAGTATTCGTAGTACTGGCGATAGTACTTGTGCCTCAACCAATAATTTCAATTGTGGAACACTTGAACTTCAAATCAGTCTCGGAGTTGATCGTGGCGACTGATCATCTTTTGCGACCGAAGGGGCAACAGTGATCCCGCACAACTTGTGACAAAAGTAACTAAACCTAACAAGGGAAAGTACCAAGCATGCCCAACTCCACGTGGGATGTTTCCGGTGGGGAAGACACTTTGGGATGGCAGCCCGAGCTTCCCCCAGAGGCTGGCTACCCCCTCTTCATCGAAATGGCTCAGTTCAACTCGGACGGAAGGAAGGAGGAGTGGAGGGAATCGGCGAGGTCAGTTTTCATTTAACACACATTGTCTCATTTTTAACTACTTTTCAGTATTTTTAGGATTTTCTATCACTAAAAGTTTATCAGAGAAAAACTTTATAAACTCTCAGAAAAATTAGAACGCAGTAGGTAAACAAGTTCCATAAATATGGATTCATTCATGAAATTCTCATGCATTAAAGCAACATGAAAGCACTGTTTGTATGTATGTACCATAAATGAAACACTTGCAGAGTTTTTTTCAATAATTACATCCTGGCTTACACACAGAGTCAAGGCTTGTTTAATTTAGTTTGTGATAGTTTTGATTTTTCTTCCTAATAAATTTGAAGTAAAAATAAATAACCTTGCCAAATTGAGGAGACAAATAATTTATGCGTTGCATAATGAATGAATTTTTTACTATGCATAATATAACAGTGTGCAAAAAATATTGAAAAAAAGTTTCACATGTTTGCATGCCTAATTTGAATGTATTTAAAAAAGTAAAACTTGGTCCGACCGGGGAGTTATTAAAATCCAGTCAGGGTGAATGTGTAATTGTCTCGTCGGTTGTCGGTGTGTGACGTTCAACAAAATCATAAACCTTGCACAATTACACATTATTGTCGGAATTTAACTAAATAAATATATTAAAGTTTCACCTTTGCTTTATGTAAATGTTTAATATATACATACATGCGTTTAATGTGTATAACGAGCTCATTAATAATTGACACTATAACTTTCGGTAAGCTTAAACTAGGCTTAATTTTATGGTTTTTCATATTGAAGATAAGATAGTCATAAAAATTTGAGAGTTACTTGAACACAACATAACATAAAATGTCATTGGGATCACCTAACATGTAGTCTGTTCCCACAAGGTTATACACTTCCATGTGTATAATAATTATTTGAACCATCGCCCATAAAATTTCACGACAAACTTTGGAAAAAAGTGTGGGGCAGCAAATGTATGTCAGGATGTAAATTATTTAAATATGTGTGTTCAATTTTGCGAAAGAAATGGCATAAAATTTAAACTCACAAATCACGCAAAATATTACTACGTGTGTGCAAATACGTTGTGACCTTAAGCCCCTCAAGTTAAGCGGAATACGAACGAATACCTGTCTTGCTCCAAGCTTAAATATTTTCCTATTCAAAGATTGCGATGAAGCATGCTTGCGATTCATGTAAACTGTCCGTAATTGTGGTCAATCATGTGAATTAGCTGTCAACTCGATTCATCATTAAAATCATGGATGGTCAGTGATTTTGTCATCTATGTTTTGTGCAGATTGAGCTTATACTCATTGTTATTGATAATGCATCTCCCCATCCACAAGTTATATTGATGTTGCCGTTGGAATTACGTTAAAAACATGTTCTATATGTTATTGAGGTGGTGGATTTTGTTATCATGACATGACTTGGCTTCAAGTTGACAAACAACACATACTTATCACGAAGGAATTGACAGAGTTGAACAGAGATTTCCACACTTAAATCAGCACATTTATTTACATACCTACTCTCAGACTTTTGTCACCAATATGTATTGAAGTTTACGAATGTTGACACCTGACATTCCAATACTTTGTCAATGATAATCACTATTATTTATATAATGCGACAACATAAACTCTTCAATGGACTTGTTGCCACTGAAATGTGCGTGGTTGATTACTGACTCTCGAACAGAAGCAATTTCACAAGAAAAATAATAAGTTATGTAACGTAACACGCTGGAAAATTCCTGTACACATTTCATGCGTAATCCTATTTTCATATTTCTTATTATTATTGTGAAAGCTGGAATATTTTGATCCAATAATTTGATACAATCTTTTTTGGGGTTTCATGATGACAAATTTAAATTTTGAGAGAACCAGCAGTAGTTTTTGTTTGTTAAAATATTCATTCTTATGTAAAAATGTAAACTATTTCTGGTTACGTGCAACAGCATAATTTAGTAAATTGGTTTGATCAACTAACTAACCCAACTGTAATAATCTTACCCAAGCATATCCATGCAGAAGTTAGATATCAGTGGCAAAGTCCCCACTGCGAGTCATATGCACACTGAACGCCGAACCAATAATGTACTTATCAAGGCAAATTAAGCATGCTTATCATGATACGAATAGGTCTGTCGGCATTTTTTTTACTCCATGGCATATGTGCTGTGCGAGAATAAATCCCTCCTTGCATTCAGCAGGCAGGATCTGATTTATGCAGTGTTGAATTTAATTGTACAAGTTTATTACAATATTTGCCCAACTTAACCTGTCACTCTTCCATTCATTGTTACTTTGTTTGATAGTCATTTGGAAGGAGTCAGGGCCGTTTTGCAGATCACAGTTAGTGTGAATGAGAAATATTTACAAGTGTGATGCATGAGATTTCAATTTGTGCTCCAGGATGTCGAGAATAAATGCAATAAATGTTTTTGTTAAATATCCATCTGCTGATGATTTAAATTCAGACATACGCTGATGATGAATGACACATTATTATGCAAAATCTTAGAAATTCCAGGATTTTCAACTACAATGAAATAATAGACCTTAAATAAGCCACCCACTACACGCCATTATAGGCCATAGATATAAATATATCTGCATATTTAGACACGTACATGTGACTTTTGATTGAGCGTTTGTATGTAATTATCGTTTAATTTTGTAAACAAAAGATGGGTGAAATTCGAAGAGGACATTGAGGAGGCGATGCGCTGGAGTAAACCTTATGTCCCGTCGATCCAACTCAGCGCTTTGTATGAGCTTCGTCGCATCCTGGAGGGGGCAGAAGTCCAGCTTCAATTCAACTGCAATAGCGAAGAACGAGCATGTCGACTCCTCGTGGACACGTGGGCGTCAAATGGCGTCATCCAGGAGTCGGAGAGGGCAAAAGTAAAATCAAATCAAAGTAGATTAATAATTTGAAATAAATAACATAAAATTCATGAATCAGGTCCTCCAAACCCTGCTCCGACCTCATGTTCATCTCTACGAGACGGCCACTTCCATCATCCCGACATTATTTAGGAAGAAGAAGCCCCCACTTGAGAGGAAATGTTAGTGGTCAATAATTACATAATATTTCCAAGAGAAAACATATCTATTTGCTTATGTATATTTAGTATAATTATTAAACGGGCAATTTAATTTACTTGCAGCATCTTCCAGTGCAACTGAATTTTTGCGAAGGAACAGCATCTCTTCGGTCGTGTATCGTCAACCCACCAAAGAAGATAAAGAGGTTTGCAACATTTTGCATTTAAACATTCCAAATGTATAATAATTGTTTGTATTTTTACTAGAAAAATGTTCAATTTCTGCGAAAAATACCAGCCAATGCGGAATGTGCAAATATCATGGTGGGTCAAATCCAACTACTTACGTAAGTATACACATAACCAAATATGTAATACAAATCTCTGGCACAGAGCATATATATTAACGATACATATATACTATATAAGAACGACATAAACAAAATAAGAACGACATAAACAAAAAAATAATTCGTGGGTGAAACATGACATAATTTATTGATAAAAACGGTACCAAAGTAATACTAATACATTCAGGTTCTGATTCAAATTAAAAATTATAAAGAGATTAACGATTAAAAGTGAACAAAGAAATGTTACAACATTCTACCACACAAATTGAGGTTTACCATTAACTATTGGGATACCATTCCCCTCTCTCCTCACTATAATTGTACAACCGGTTTTAAATTGGAAAAGTCGTCTAAATACATTATAATCAAATACTAAATCATAGTGGGTAAGCTGTTCAGTCATGGGTCGCATTGGGTGTCCTTTAAAGTCTTGTTCAAGAATAATCCCCAACAGCGTAGCCAAAATCCCCATGAATTCTGCATGACGGGTGCGGGTCTCAGTCTCCTCAGGGTCGTGTTCTTCAGGGTCAAGAATGTCCTGGTAGAGCATCACGACGCTATGGAGATGTCCGGCGAGTGGCATGTGGGGAAGGGCGTTCCCTTTGCTTGCACCAGATGCAAGGACACCCCCGATCTTTGAAAGTAATATCCCGTCCTTCACTGCCCCATTTCCATCATCTCCTTGATAAGTGTGATCTTGGTTCTTAATGACATGAGCTGGGAACATGTGATCGTGTGCGAGTTGGTTAGTAGCTGGGATCACAATAAATTTGAAACCATTTGTCTCAAGTATCTTCCGAACTTCATTCCAATTTGCATCTTTGAAGGTGATCTGACTCATTCTAAGTCGAATTTTTGAAAGAGTGGAATTACGGAAGGCGTTGTTGTGGAGGAAGGTCATGATGCAAGTTGCGACCTATGCAAAAGAAACATTTTATTTATTAATTACAACTAGTCAATAATATGCAAACGAGATGTTGTCAAGTTGAGAATAGGTTACTTACGGCAAAAGTGTTGAATTTCTCCAGAGATAGCGTGGTGGCAAAACTCCATGGCATGTCAATCACGAAACGATAGGTGGGATGTTGTTCAATGTAGTTGGTGATGGTTTTGTAGCCAATGGTCATTCTGACAAGTCTGATGTAGTCATTGATGATGTCATCATCATATGGAGTCATACGAAGGATTGGATGTAGGAGGACGATGTTGGGGTTGACATTATTGGCGTCCCTCAGCAGTAAAACTTCACGAAGTTTGGTCGAATCCTCGCGACAATACCCAATCACTCTATCCTGTAAAATATACGCATTATCATAAAAATAACATTTGGAAAAGTTAAGTTAAATAATTTAAATCATTACCACAGCTTGTAACCAACAATTTGCAACAGTGCACATTTTTTGGGAAACGTGCCAGCTGAAAATAAAGTCCTTTTGAACACTGTACATCAAGGCTTTCACCTCGTCACCTTGCCACTTGATCCAAATGTTGTTGTTGTCCCCGTTTCGAATGAGGGTGGTGCGAGGGGTTCCAAGTCCCAAAGTGTGGGTACCACGAACAGGAAGTGACTCCATCAATTCCACGAATTCCTCACTTTCGCCCAACTTGGCATCCGTCTCACCCGGCTCGTCGCCCCATCGCAAGTGGGTCTTGATAGCATCAAAGACGTACTTCAGCGTCCCCTTGGGAGGGTGCCACATTTCAACTTCTGCTGGTGGGGGTGGAGGTGGAACTGGAACAAGTGGTGGTGGAGGAGGATTAGCTAAAATAATGCACAAGATAATCCATTACATATTTATCAAATTTATTGCGTCAGTCGTCATCCTCATAAATAATGCATAATATCGATGATTGAGAGTTTTATTACCCATTGGTTCCACTCTCTGAAGTGATCCGTCCCCATGTTGCATAAAAATAGCAAACGTGACGGGCGCTCCAACCATGTGCGGAAGTGGTGTTGTGGGGATGTATTCCATGACGCGATCCCCGTACGTCAAAATGAGTCGCGGTGGTGGCGGAGATGGAGATGGGGGTGCGTCAAAAATATATTCCTCCCCCTCCTCCTCGTCCGCAGAGTGTTGTGTGGAATGAGGGGAGAGTTGGTCTTCATCCACTTGACCCGCAGAGTGGTGTTCGGGGTCAGAGGTGGGCTCCGAGTCAGAATTTGAGTGGTCGGTGTCATTGGAATGGGCCGAGTCTTCATCATCATTCATGTGATCAGAGTGGGGGTGGGCTTGTCCGTGTTCAGAATCCGAGTCGTCACCATCATTCGTGCTTTCCATGGGAGAGTGGTCGGTATCGGGGGCAGATTCCGAGTCGTCATCATACGTGTAGGACACCTTCTTTCGCTTCCTCAAACTCCTACCACCTAAAAAAACAATAAATTCAAGGTAATTAATAATAGTAATATTTAATATGCTGTGTCGTGGGGGTGGGGTGAAATAAGAGGGTAGAAAACTTACGCCCTTCCGTGTTTTGGTGGTCGGTGTCAGGGGAAGAATCCGAGTCGTCAACAACACTCGCGGGTTCCATTTGGGGGTGGTCGGTGTCAGGGGGATTCCGAGTTGTTTTCCGAGAAGGTCGTTTTTTGGGTGGGGCCATCTTTGCGCCCTGATAAGGACTTCAACAAAGAGGTAAACAGTGGTGGAAAGTGTGGAAGGTTTGAGAGGTGGAGGAGAGAGGAAGAAAAACACGTGAAACTCGCTGGCAGTGCAGACGAGTTGTGTGAGAACTTCTCCATTTTTCTTCCTTGATGGCAAAGGGACGCCAAACTTTCGTTATCAGTAACCCACATGTATTAAAAATGCTATGTTTTTTCTCTCGAGATTAGTGGATTGAAACAACCGGTGGCTGCATTTTTAAAGCTGAAGGACGCCACAATCCTCGGAAATTTAACGGAGGTTCCCCTTCCCACAAGATTTGTATTTGTGCTTCTTGCACCTCACGTTAGTTCAGAACCGGATTAAATACTACAATTTATAATTATTTGAACGTTAGGAATAAGTCAATGTATTTTATTCCTTCAGGGCACCAATATAATGGAAATTGGCCGTGCTGTTGGAACCCTTTTGACCGACCCAGGTTTTAAGGAATTGGCTTATAAAGCTGAAACTAAAGAGCGCATTCTTCAAGGAATTGACCTGTTTTTGAATACGACATCCATTCTTCCACCAGCGACATGGGACGCGTCTATTAGACTGGAACCCCCGAGCGTAGCGGTACGTACATACTCGAGGGCTTATGCAGTGTAAAAGTATGGTTATCAACACGTAAAATAATTGCATTGACGTCTTATAGGCTGGTGGTGGTCATGGAGCAAGCAGTCATGGAGGTGACGAAGAAGATAACGGGTTGACAAGAACTGGTCGTATATTTGGAGGTTTCTTCCAAGACATTAAGCGCAAGGTTCCATGGTTCGTGGAAAAATATTCACTTTCAGTACAACTTATTACGACAAAGATCTGCATATGCACAAGTGTTAATTTCAATTCCACAGGTACTGGTCCGATTTTAAGGATGCCTTATCCCTACAAGTCTTGGCTACTTGGATGTTTCTATACTTTGCTTGTCTCACTCCCCAAATCACCTTTGGAGGCTTGATGGGTCTTGTAAGTAATAAATTACGTGATGTTGAATTACATATAATCTAAAAATGAAGTAAGCCGTAAAAGATAACCAAAATTAATTAATCTTATCCTAATGTGGTTCAGGCAACACATAATGCAATGGGTACAATGGAAACGATGGTAGCTGGCTGTGTTTGTGGAATAGGATTCGCCCTTTTTGCTGGACAACCGCTAACAATTTTGGGCAGTACAGGACCTGTACTTGTGTTTGAGAAGATTCTCGTCCATTTCTCAGAGTAAAATAAATGAAAGAAAAAATAAAATAAAAATGTGCAAATACTTGATGATAATTATCGTGTGCAGATCAAACGGACTCAACTACCTCGAGTTTAGATTATGGGTTGGACTTTGGATTGCTCTTATCCTGATGATCCTCGTGGCCACAGATGCGTCCGCGTTGGTATCATACATTACGAGATTTACAGAGGATAATTTTGCAACCCTTATTGCTTGCATCTTCATGGTGGAGGTATGCACATTCTGCTATAGATATGTATACTAATTTGTTTGTTCTTAAAACTGACATCAAATTGACTTCAATCCAGGCACTCAAGAATGTCATGCTAATTCGTCACGTGAAGCATGGTCCACCCATCACAAGGGGGCTAAATGATTCCGCACTTGAATTCATGAACAACAGCCCCAACGGCGTCAGCTCTAATGCAATGCGTGATTTTGATGATGGTCAAAATCAGACAGCTTGGAACTTTGATTACGATGTTTATCAGGTTAGGCAATAGTTTTTTATACTTTGGAAACATTAAGTTAAAACGAAGTATTAATTGACCTGGTTAAATGAATCTATTAGGACACCACGCCCAACATTAACTTACTCGAAGCCCTTCAGACCGAGACGTCTCAATCAATCTTCTTAATGTCACTTCTCCTCTTCATTGGAACTTTCTTCGTGTCCTATATGCTCAAAGAATTTCGAATGTCTCCATTCTTTCCTACATGGTTTCGCTACATTGTGTCTGATTTTGCAGTAATCTTGGCTATTGCGGTAAATACTTATATGCATAAATATAGCGCTGCTGTGTATCTTTTCAAATGCATAAATTGTATAAAATGCTCATGTTTAATTCATTATATAGGTTAGTATTGTTATATGTAAATTTTTTACTTGATAGGCAATGACATTTGTGGATTTTAAATCTGGCATTCCAACCCCGAAACTGACTGTGCCGGAAAAATTTGCACCCACGTCGAGTGAGCGTGGCTGGTTTATTCCACCATTTGGGAAGAATCCATTTTGGAGTCTTTTTGCAGCATCAATTCCTGCATTGTTGGCGACAATTCTAATTTTTATGGATCAACAGATCACGGCTGTCATTGTGAATCGAAAAGATCATAAGCTAAAGGTGTGTGTTAAAAAAACACTGTACTTGCATATGTATTCAGATTACGTAAGTATAAACTTGTGAAATATGATTTTTTTACCGTTTAACAGAAAGGATGCGGGTATCACTTGGACCTTTTCGTGCTCGCAATTCTCATCACGGTTGGTTCACTCTTTGGCCTCCCTTGGTTCGTCGCAGCTACAGTGGAAAGTTTGACCAATGTCAGTTCTTTAAAAATGGAATCCGAATCGGCTGCTCCAGGAGAAAAGCCAATCTTTTTGGGAGTACGGGAACAACGAGTGTCCAATTTGCTGGTCTTTATCACGGTTGGGTTGTCCGTATTACTGACGCCTGTCCTGCGCCACGTCCCAATGCCCGTTCTCTACGGCGTCTTCCTATACATGGGATTCTCTGCCTTGATGAGAATGGAACTCTTCCAACGAATTTTGCTCATGTTCATGCCTCTTAAATACCAACCAGACCATGGGTACTTGCGGGTTGTGCCCTTAATGAGGGTGCACTTATTCACCATGATCCAACTACTGTGCTTGGTTTTGTTGTGGATCATCAAAAGTCTGAAACAGACTGCAATTCTCTTTCCCCTTATGGTAAATCATGGTATAAAATTTCGCAAAAGTAATCAATATCTACATACAGTGGGTTGTCAAAAGTGATGGTGGTCTATTTTGCGCTCGGTACCGCGTGAGATATTCTTGCCCAGGGATATGGACTAATTCTATTCGCATGTTTTATAGCCCTACAAATGTAGAAGAAAATACATCAAACGAGTTTCGAAATCTGACCCCATTCGGGGGAAACTGAGAAAAAACTTCAAAAATGGTATACAAAATTGTGTCAAAAGTATTGGTGGTGGTTTATTTTTTGTATCTACAGGTCTCACACCTCGGAATTACCAGTCGTAACGTTAGTATAACCTCTGGGAAATTCAGAATATAATCATGAAGAAGTTATATACTTGCGCGGTGGTCAGCAGCGCAAAACAAGCCCGAACTAAGGTCACCGCATATCACCAAGGCAGAAAAATTACTTATTATAGGAAGTACAACCCTTTTTTGAAAGCCCTAGGGGGCAGAAAAATTACAACACAATATACGCTGAACAGATTCATTCTGATAATATTGAAATTAAGGTCCCCCACTTTATTTGGGTACATGCACTCCACCCCATCACTAAATCTGGTCGAGATAAAGATAAGATTAATTTCCCAACATGCTGGTTAGCAAAATAAGAAAAATTGCCTCTAGTGTATCTCACAGTTTCTTTCAAGCAATCGGTTCTCAGTGGTTCAACTGATTTTTTACAAACATATTAAGGTCCACGGATTCTAAAAAAGCAGAATTTGTTCTCATCCGATCACAGGATCTCGTCCCGATCATTTTTCATCCCACTAGCGTGTTCCCTTCGCCACTTATATTTTATCGACACATCCATCTTGCTATGTGTATCTTTATAAACCGGCTTCTTTCAATGAAAATTTGTTTCGGGTAGACTAAAACACACAATAACCTGCAAAATTATGTCATCAAATATGATCTGGATTTTTTTTTGTGACCCCTGAAACCTTCCTTAAACTGTGGTCTTTACCCCAATAAGTAATTTTTCTGCCTTGGTGATATGCGGTGACCTTAGTTCGGGCTTGTTTTGCGCTGCTGACCACCGCGCAAGTATATAACTTCTTCATGATTATATTCTGAATTTCCCAGAGGTTAAATGAGGTCGAAAGGTAAAGATTTTGCGGTCCAACCCCCCTCTCACGCGAGCTGTTGATAAATTTTTCTCAGCAATGGTCAACTCACTTATTTTGGCCATTTTAAATAAATTTATAGCGCAATGAACATAAGAGAGTACTATACTAACGTTACGACTGGTAATTCAGACGTGTGAGGCCTGTAGGTACAAAAAATAAACCACCACCAATACTTTTGCCATAATTTTTTATTCTGTTTTTGAAGTTTTTTCTCAGTTTCCCCCGAACGGGGTCGGATTTAGAAACTCTGTTTGATGTATTTTCTTCTACATTTGTAGGGCTATAAAACAGGCCAATAGGATTAGTCCATGGTTATCCCTGGGCAAGAATATCTCACGCGGTACCGAGCGCAAAACAGACCACCATCACTTTTGACAACCCACTGTAACTCTATAATTTTTTCTCAGTTGGTGGTAATGATGGTTGTCCGTAAACTCCTTGATTACCTTTTCACCCAAACTGAGCTGTTGGCCTTAGATGATGCTTGTAAGTATCGAATATAAAAATTCTAAAAATTTTTCAACTGATTCGTCTTTGAAATCATGAATCCAGCATATCTTCAAGACTGCATACTTCATACCATTTGTTTATTAAATACCTAAATACTATTATAATTATGCAAATCACAGTACCAGGAGCAGGACATACAAAAGATGAGAAGACACAATATGCAGAAGTTATACGCAAGAGTGATGCTAATACAGAACTCAACGGATGGTAATAATTGTTATTATAATCAAAATTTATTTATAAATTATTTATTTAACTTGTGATAAACGTGTAATATTGATGATGATTTTTTGCAGCAAATACAAATCCGTTGCGAATGATGATGTATAGCAGTTTATAAAACGCTGATGCATACAACATCTTCACTTGTTAACCAACCGTGGTGCCTTTATAGTAATTAATAACTTTTCTATTAAATTTAAATTACCTTTGTTATTATGCGATTTTAAACAAATTGCAAATGTCTATGCAAAATTTATTTATTTTGCATGAGAATATATAACACACTTTTATTTATCCCAAACCTATATTAACCTATGACTTAACTTTAAAATTGTTCTATTCAGAGATACTAAATCAACTTTATGTAATATAAATATGTAAATATGATCATTATAATAAGAAAAAATACTAACAAATGTATACTACATGCCAAATTAAAGTAAATGCTTTCAAATTATTATTATACCAAAATAAATACCAACCGAACTTGTAAATTATTCTAGCACCTGGCCATTTTTATTTCATATTTATTATAACAGTTATAAAATTAGATAGATCAGTCTGGCTTACAATTCAAAATTATAAAACAAAAATTAACACTTTGAGTAATAAATGCATATGCAGTTCAGAACTACAATGCATTGGCATGGGTAGGATGAACTTGAGTACGGAACACATCCGAAGCGATTTTCCACTTATCCGTATGTGCTGTGATAACGAAGGTCTGTGAAAAGTTGCGGTTGCCAACCCCACTCACGCGATAGCTGCCACCAGTCGTTATCATGAACGTCTTTTGGTCACCGACAGCTTCCCCTGAAATGAAATCATCATATAAATACAAGTTTATATCACAAAGGAGAAAATTTCATTATTCAAAGATATTTACTTGGTAGGGGTTGAGCATCCACTGTAGCTACACTAAAGGTGAGTGAGGGTAGATTCTCATAAAATTTCTTAATCGCGTCAGAAGTTACATACGGATTTCCATCCCATATCAATACTGCACTGTCCAAGTAAAGCTGTGCTACTCTCTGCAAGATGATAATGAAAAATTATAAATACATTTACAACTACTATAAATTAAGATTCTTAATTTAAGAAAGGTATAAGCTAATTGACTACATGAGGTCTCATTTCCAAAGTCTTATAAAATAGACGGTAAAAATCATCAGACGCTTTCCCCGCTTCGTCCACGGCAGCTCGGCGTTCCTGTAAAGACATAAGTCAAATATAAATCGTAATTTGTAATTCATGTTCATTGTGCACTAAAAAAAGAATCAAACAAAATGCACATTTTCGATTCATATTTGGCAAGAGTTGTAAAAATATATGATTTACTCACAGCCGACGTAAAATTTGGGGTCCCAGCGGATGTGGTAACGTTATTGTTCATCTTAATGCTTCACAAGTTTGGTAATTATTTTAACCACTAATAGAACTGTTAAGTTAAAATATTAAATGATAATTATAACTCGAAAATCTCTAAATTTGTGTCGGTTTTCGTCTCACTTGGGTTAGTTTAGAATGGGCTCATGGCTCCCGCCCAATAAAGACGCAGTGTTGAGACTCTCTTAATTGAAGAAATTTCAGAAAAATATTAATTGTCGGGCAGCTACTTTACTAAATTTGTTAGAGATTGCACATAATGTGACATAGTGCACAGTACCATACAGAAAACTTACTGTAGACATTGACCTTGCAGCTGTGGTGCAGAGTTTTACATGCAAAGGTTGGTTTATTTAGTGGCAGGGTGACACGGGGAGGAAGACCGGGGGGACGATGAGACGGATGTTATCTTTGCGCAGTGGCAGTATCCCAGATGATGAGGTTTATACCGAGTCGGGATTATTGCTAGTTGAAAACTTTAACCAATGCCCCGCCTAGTTAGAGTGAAATACCTTTGACTACGGCAATTTTTGGAGACTCGCAAGAGTCAACTAATCAAATCAAAAGAAATTCGGGAGGAGAAACGGTATGCTGCACTTTTACAACATGAGTTTGTAAACGGAGTTTGTTCATGAAACTTTCTCCGTGTATGACATTGGCGAATTGAGACGATTATTTTCCGTTCGGCTGCAACGATGATTTATGCTGCATTTTTTCTTCAATACTTTTTTTTGAGGAACATCAGTTTTATTACAAGTAAATAATGTTAATGAGTTTTATTTTCAAAATAGATGAAATTTACGACGACGAGCAACACCCTTTTTTGGACGGGACCGATTCCAGTAATGTGACAGAGTTTTTTAGTTCCGTATCCTCAATTACACTCATTTCCCTAAACACACGGATACATGAAATGGTTAAATTATGAACTTTCACAATTACTACGTCATCATATTTAGGTATTAATGGTAGTTAGTTAGCATGCTTATATGCAACATGCATATGGGTATAATTTTACATGCACATAAATCCATATAGCGTTACCTTACTAGCAGAACCAAAGAGTTCATCACATTCTCTCCAGATTTTGGGGACGTTTCTAAAAACGAGGCTCCACAGGAAGCAGCCAACTTTGAGCCTTCTTCCCACGGGACACACGCAACTCCTTCGCGGTTTCGAAGATCACTTTTGTTGCCACACAAAATGATGGGCAGACTCCGTCCGGCACCCTCCTACAAATTGTACGGGAATAATAAATAACTGAAGCCATCTTTCATGGACAAATTGCAGTGCAATTTAAATTTATATTCACTTGAATGGAGTGGACCCAATGACGAATGGAGAGAAAGGTGCGTTCACTCGTTACATCTGCAGACCAAAAGTGCATACTTAAATAATTTGTATGGACATTCGCGTTAAGGATTTTATTAATCGGGTCCCCAATGTATAGTAAAATTACCGTATAATAAAAGAACTCCATCCGCCCGTCGAAAGTAACTTTTTGTTAACGAGCGAAATCGCTCCTGACCTGATTCAAAAAATCAAAGTTGAGATTGAAATTATGTGTCACCAACTAATCGTCAGTCATACCTGCGGTATCCCAAATTTGGCAAGCGGCCGCAACGCCGTCCACCTCGACGCTTTTGACCCGAAAGTCAACTCCTTCATAGGGAAAATCAGAAAAATATCACCGTGAAAGTTTTCAGTAGATAACCATAGTCGCAACATGACCTTTGGAATATGTACTTACCAATGGTCGAACTAAGGTTCGGCGTAAAGTGCCCTTGACAAACTCTTTCAATGAACGTGCTCTTCCCGACTGCTGCATCTCCAGCCAAAATCACTTTGAAGGTGCGTTCCAGTTGAGGAGGTGGAGGTGCTGCTGTTGAGATTAGGGTGTTGGACCAAAGTGAACTAGAATATCCCGAACTTGGACTATTAATCTCTTCAGAAGTACGGAGTTCATCCAGCAAAGTTCCCCTTCCGCTATCTGAAGTGTAAAACATATGTAAAAACTTTTTGTCTCGCCCAAAAATTTTCTTATTTCCACTGGATAACATGTTACCCTTGTCGCCTAAATGAGATTCAGCATAAGAACTGGGACCCGACCCTGTCGCACTGGTCACAAAACAGTCATTCGCATCGCACAAGACACGATTAGCCTCATTCAGAGAAGAGAGATGGTCTTGCATGGCCTCAACAGCGTTTCGATGCACTGCTTTCTCCCTGAAACATAATAAATATGAGACACGAAATTCTTATTTTTATTTAAAAAATATGTAAGACTTACGATTTCAATTCCTCGCACAATTCCAAGTAATCATTTCTCTTCAGTACCAACTGACTTTGGAGCACGGCGGCCTTCGTTTGCGCTTCCAGCAGCGAAGATCGTAAGGTTTTGTTTTCAGACTCGAGCCCATTATTATTATTGCCAGCGACACACCCACGATTTTTGCTCTCTTCATTGGACATCCAAGCCTTTTTAAAGCACAAAAGTTGCTCTGATAATTCAGCCAGTTGGGTTTCCATTTCACCTGCGATCTTCCTCCTCTCAGCGTCCACCTGCTTGGCCGCTTCTTCTCGAGCCTCCTGCTTCGCCCGAGCCTCCGTCTTGACGTATTCCTACATCATTCAGTTATCATTCAAACATCGCGAACCGGTCAGTTTGTCTGCGTAAATAATTTGTACGAAAATGCGTTACCATTTCTTCTCCCAATGCTTCCAACTGGGCTGCATGTACTTGAGCTGACCGACGGAAAGAATTTTCCAGACTTCGGTAATCGTCTGTGAGTCGGGTCACATCTGCCATCAGAAGAGAAAGTGATTTGCTCACGGATTCTTCACCAATTCCCAAGCATTCCGACTCCGGAACGATTCCTAACGTCGTGGAGAAATTATTCCAAGCTCCTCTCGCAGAAGCATGTTTGCGTCCCATTTCGTTCAACTGTTCTTCACTCGGAGTTGGCGTTTGTAAACTGCCCCTTCTCGTTCCAGGGTTGAGAAAGTCTCGAAATCCATGAGAAAAATCGGAGAAACTTATTAACCCATCGCCGTCGTTGTCTAGGTCCAGAAATATGGCATCTGCGTCTGATGACGAAATTTGTAACGTGGCGCACAAGCCGCGAAGTTCTTCTCGTCCGATGTGACCTGCGCCGGTAGGGTTACAGAGCTGAAATAACTCCTCGAGACGAGTTTCCATCATAATCAGTCAAGGCGTAATGTTCATAAAGACGTCGAAATAAAAAAAGACAATTCACAAGCTGGAAAAGCGTAAATATTTCACACGAATTGACTAACAACACTTGTGCAAATAAAGCAATCGCATTTGCATATGCACACCAACAACATAACTGAATGAAACTATTGGCATTTCCAAATCGAGAGATTCATCATTGTACACAGGTTTGTTGTTGTGAAATGCATATTTTGCTATTTGACAATGAAGCATGACAAATACATGTTTCTATATTCGAAACAACGACTGCAAATAATTAGTACACGCGAATATGGATTATATACGATATACATTTGGTGGAGGATACGATACAAAGGTCTGTGTGCCACTCCCCATCGAGCGATGTTCTGGGATAGTCATCTTCTGCAGTATTTCATTTAATTCATGTGCATATTTAAGTACGCAGATAACGAAAGAAATTAAGAAATCATGTATAAAACACGGATCGTGCATCGTAATCATAAGTACTCAGGTATTAGTAAATGACTCAATGATGCAAGCTCGATATTTTTGCAAAAAGTATGCTATCATATTTACGAGTATAGTGGTAATAAAATCCACCTCAATAAAAGAATTTATTTAAACGACACATTAATACAAATATACCGACAAAATATATGTATGTATAATCAAATCACTCACCATCCATGCATTTAATTATGCATCTGTTTTGTTTAACAAGAGTTCACATGATTTACCCAGAAATATCTTAAAAATATTTAGGTTGGGTGAATCTATTAGGTCAGAAATAAAATAGCAATTTGTAACTGTAAAACTTTTATCTGCGTAACATTAAAAATTTTCCGATTGAACATAATAAAATGTAATCCTGTAATTATTTTTTTCAAAATGTCGTACATATGAGTATATTAATCCTCAGGTACTATAAACATTATCACCATATTTTGTAGTAAAATAAAACCGTCTTTATAAAGTCGTGCTTAATAATTATATTAAATAAAATGTACCTAAATACGTACATACTTAAAGGAGTCAAATCTTCAGTCGAATCATAAAAGACATCTTTTAAAAAAATTGAATAATGGGTAATTTTCATTTTCTTCCACTTTAATGTCCTTCTCCATTTTTATCTGGAAGCACTTTGTACGGGTTTAAAATATTATTCGGGTCGAAGATCTTTTTCATTTGTCGCATTAATGAAATTGCAGCAACAGGTTTAGAATATGAAATATAGTCCTTTTTCTTAAATCCCAGCCCATGCTCAGCACTAATGGAACCCCGGTGTTTTGCCACCCATTCGTATACAAAGGGCTCAATTTGCTGTACCACGTGCTTATCATACTGCTCAGAAGTAATATTGAGGTGGATATTGCCATCTCCTAGAATTTTGTAGTTCATCCATTATATATTTATTTCTCCTACATATGCAATTCATGTAATAGTAATGTAATGATCATACCGAGATGTCCATAGCCGCAAACCCGAACAACATTAGGGCCTAAATGGTCTTTCATATCCTGCACCAAAGTGTCAAACGAAGTGAGTGGAATAGATAAGTCATACTTGTACACGTAGCCGTCATTCATGAGGGATTCTGCGATACGTTCTCTCAGTCCCCACATTTCCTAATGTGAAGTTATAAAATATACACGATCCATATATTCATAAATATTTGTGGAATATATATAAAAAAAGTCTTTGAAGTACTGTAATTTGACTTGAGTCTGACGCCACCGTCCCATCGTTTACAATCCCGTGACTCATCACATCCTCCAAAAACTTGTTCAGTTTCTCCCCATCGTGGTCACCGTTGGAGCCCGAAGTTTCAATCAGCATGTAAAATGGATGAGATCCAATCGGACACTTGAGGTTGAGATTTTTTGTCACGCAGCTCATACTTTGAGAGTCAATGTATTCACAGGACGAAAGAATTTCACCAAGATCTGCTTTACACTTTTGGAAGAGCTTGAGGACTTTATCATAGTCTTCCAGTCCTAACATTATTCATAGAAAATAAATTATTAGATACCATTAAATTTCAAATTTATTTTCTAAAAATCTACCTAAGAGAGCAAGATTAACAGCGTTTGGCTTTGGTGGACAATGAATGGCTACCTTTGTCACGACCCCTAAAAATAAAACATTATTTGAAATGATAATGCAAGTTTTAAACTATTGTTGTGTTAGCTAATGCATAAAATTAATCCGGAAGTATTGATTCAGTAAACCAACCTAAAGTTCCTTCAGAACCGATAAAGAGATGCTTCAAGTCGTACCCTGTGTTGTCTTTCTTGTTAGTATTCAAACAGTCAAGGATTGTTCCATCGGCTAATATCTGCAAAATGTGAAAAACACAACCTACTGGTGCATATTAGCCAACAACGAATTCAAAGTTTTGTTGTATTTACAGCTTCAACCCCAAGAACAGTAGAATGAAGACTCCCATATCGAAGTAGCCGAAGTCCACCCGCATTGGTAGCTGCAAATTAAAGTTAAAAATTACAAGTTAACCCAGATTTATAAAACTTGGTTATCGGTTTCAACTTACAAACATTTCCACCAATCTGGCAGCTCCCTTTGGCCCCCAAATCCAGTGGCATAATTAGGTCATGTTGTTGCAAGTAAGTATTCAAGGTTTCTAAAATACAACCTCCTTCAACGACCAACACTCCTGTAATGAGTTAATACAATTAATGCACACACCAAAAAAACGCAAAAACCACTTTATTCTTTTACCTGACCACTCATCCAGTGAAATTATGCGATCCAGCGAACTTAAAGACAGTATAATCTCGTCAAAAACTGGAACACTTCCACCCACCAGGCCTGCGTAGGGACAAATTATGTTATCAATCCCATAAATATCTAATTTTTAAAACTTATGTACCAGTATTTCCGCCCTGTGGAACCACAGCCAATTTTTTTGAATTGCAGTACTGCAAAATAGCAGATACCTGTTCGGCCGTCTTAGGTTTGAGAAGAATATGACTCGCACCTAATTTGCACGCACAATATATGCACACAATTAATACATACATAGTTATGAAAATCTTGAGAATTTGTCTTAAAATACCTTTCACCATCTTCAACCAGTCCACGTTATGCGTCTCCATCTCTACAGAGTCAGTGACCACTCGGTGTTTTCCTAATTAAAAATAATTTAATGAAGTAAATAATTTTAATTAGAAATTAATTTAATGAATTATAATATTTTAAATTAATAATTCACCTAGGAGGTCGCGAAAGAAGGCGACATCCGCGCTGGCCAAGTGCCCGTAATCCCCACGCTCCACGCTGCCCTTGTACCGTTCACTGGTCAACTCTACATCACCGACCTTTATGGACGTCAAAGTCCGAGAGGTGCATGAGAAAGCCCTTTCGTACTGTTGGCAAACGTTATGTCTGGGCGGTATTCTTGGCGAATTTAATCTTGTCCTTTGCAATTGGACGAGATTACGATAAAGTGCTCTTCTGAGACCCATATTTATTCTGACAGACGCAATATCCTAAGTTGTATATACCGGTCGGCTGATTGATAAAGTGAGTATTTAGTACAAGCTACTGCTAGTCTAATTATTTTTTAATGGGCAAAATTTATTGCATGAGACACGAAAATTTTGATGAAACTCTTGCACTAACTGACTTACTGCGACTTCCTGTAAATCCTACAGTAAGATTCTTTTTTTCTTACTGCACACTGCACGTAGACCAAAATCAAAACAAAAACATGCAATACACGTTGTTGTAGGTTTTCTTAACTCAAGTTATGTTATGATTTGGTTGGGAAAGCGACCGACCTTGGCAATGACATTAACATTAATAGGCTGATCTTTAAAATGGTATGTACGCTAAAGTGGAATGGATGAACCGGCATGCACGTAGGCCATACATTTTCATTATTACTTTGTGTGAAAATGGATACGAAACAGATAGTAATAAACTATGGATTTGTCTGTATGGACCAGCACTTATTGCATTTATGTATATGTAACATCCAGACCAAACTAGATGTATATGCAGCAATGAATGCATATAACTACCAGCATCTCTGGATATGTAGTAATATTTCTATTTTACTACTTCTGTATTAAACATATTTGATAATATAAGCGGATAAAGGTATTGCATAATAAGAAGTTATCAAATTTATGTACTTTTACAGCTTTTTATACTTTATAGACTTTACAAAATTACTTAAAAATAGTTACATGCACTCAATATGCTAAACCTCATTAGGAGTTTTTCTAGTCTCAATAGTCCCGGTAAGGTTCCTGTTCATTGTATTACAAATCCAGTCCATGCCCTGAGAAAGACCTTCTCCTGTTATTGCGGAACAGGGCTGTACTCGCATCTTCATTTGCATAACACATTAACCGTTAATTTGTATCACTTATTCAATACCTTATTACTAAAAAATTGAGTACCAAAATATCAGGCTTTATTGTCCGAATGCCAGCAAAATCAATATTATTTTTTTGTACTGCTGATTCATTATTCATAGATTCAGGCTTGCTTTCATCAACTGATGAAGAAAATTTGTCCACCTTGTTCAGCAAAATTAGCAGAGGTGTCCCCGTCAATCTAACATCTTCCTGTTTTAACTGAAGGTTTGAATTTAGTTATAAAAGTTTTCAACCCGTGCATTTGTTGTAAGAGAAGAATTACAGTCTGCAGTAAAGATAGGTTGGCTTCGTCTATTCTACTCTTATCGGCACCATCCAGAACAAAGATTAACCCGTCAGTATTAGGATAAAAGTGTGTACGAATAGTCCACCTGCCTCCTATATCCCAGACTTCGATAATGTCGTCTCCGTGCTCAAATGTTTCTAAATTAAAGCCTAACAGCATTTTATTTAATTTGTTTAGTAAGCATTGTAAGAGAAATTTTTAGTTAATACAGTTTGTTGGTGACGTTTCAACAACTTTCCCAGTCTTTAGCCGATAAAGTAAAGTCGTCTTTCCAGCATTATCTAATCCCACTTTTAGTAAAAATGTAGTAATAAAGTTATAATTATTAAAACATATCAGAGAACTGAATTATCTGTAAATGGTGCAAAAGTCAAGTTTACCCATTAAAACTCTTTTCTTCCTCACACCAAATAATTTTGTCCAAATCCAAGAAATCGAGTTTCCCATATTGCAACCGACTTTGCTTTTGAAGTAAACGACAAATAGTAATTAATGCAACTATTTACATACATATGTCCGTAAGCATTGTCGAGCATTTGGAATCATCACATCTGTTCTAAGGTTATAAAGATGTAGCTTAAAAAACATAATTGCATACCTACAAGTATAATTGCATGGTTTATTTATGCATATGTGTGTATGCCACTTAGCACTAGTGAAATATGTACAGTTTTGACTATGGTATCCATTTGTTCAAATATTTACTGTATTTTTACCTTAGCATTCATATCCGCATATTAACATGCATATGATTCAGAACCTTTTTATTGGGAAAATAGAATAAAATTATTCTCATTTTGACATTGTACTTTTCTTTTAATTTTTTATATAAATAAGGAAAACAATTATTTTCATAATCAATAATAATCAATGACAGATTTAAATGTTAAATACTATAAAATGAAATTCATTCAAAATTACACTGTTAAATAATTCAAACTTTTAGCTGGGCGGAAAGTTTTTTATGGAGGATTAGAACAAGATGATGTCCCATTTGTGATACCTTTAATGTAACTGATGAAACTTCCAACGCGTGTGAAGAAAATGGGATTTCCAGTTCCACAGGGTGGGTTGCCGTTTGACACAATGCCAATCTATGCAAAAAAATCCATGCAAATACGTGGAAATTATAGATTTATAAGATTTAGGATGGCTTTACCAGAGTGAAAGTCTTCGAGGTTGGTCGATAGACCATCAGTGGACCACTAATAATTTAAGCCATAACGGTAAAAAAATAAAATTTAAAGGAAATAAATAAAATCTAAGTCACCCGCTGTCACCGAAACATGGCGATGACACATTCACACTTGGACTTAAACCAAGAGCGCAGATCATTCTTCTAGTTCCACCCGGACATTTTGGAATTACTTGCATCTAGAATTTGCATTTTCAGATTGTATTTATTTGCATATAAAAATTAAGAAAATTAACAATTTCAACTTTCTTACTACAGCTTCTCTCAACCATTTTTGTCCCGGTGCTGTTTTGGGGTCAGAAGCTTTCTTTGCCGTTCCCCAGCCTACTACAATTGCCTTACTACCGTTGAAAGGTGCCCCTTTTTGAGTCAAGCAAATTGGTCGAATTGTACTTGAAAATTTAACGGGTACTGCAAGCTTGAGAACTGCTATGTCGTTATCAAATGTTGTGCTGTTGATCCGGATAAGAGAAAAGTTTAAAGTACATATTTCTCCTAAAAAAGCCGCTATGTATAAAATACTATCAAGTACTTATGTAAATACCTATTGTATTGAGAATGAATATTGACCGCACTGAGCCGTGCGATGGATCTTGATGTTACATTTGAAGCGATTGAACTCGTTCCAAGGAGGACGCTCACTTGAGATATAATTTGAGATGTTGTTAAATTAGTAAAGCAATGGGCAGCCGTAACGACAAACTGCGAATTTATGAGCGTCCCCCCACAGAACTGGTTGAGGGTTTGAGGCGTGTTTGTACTCCCACTAAAACCCTGATAAAAAATTGATTGATAAAATACTTAACTACTGTGTTACAATTACGATTTTCTTGGGACACATGAAAAATTTTAATTACTATAAATTTACTTGAATCAGCCCGACCATCCACGGCCACCCATTTTCTTTGGAGGGTGCTCCTTGAACGATACGGACGTCATTTTGTTTTTCTAGCAAACTTGAGTCAATCTTGTCCATATCGGAATCCGTAATTGTATCGAAATGTTCCTCAGTTGAAAGCTGTTTCCTAGCCGTAAATGTAATATTCGGTTTTGCACCTGTCCCACAAACACACGTCCCATTTGGAGGCTGAGTCGGTGCCATTGTCATTGTCGTTGCCATTGTCGTAGGGGTTTGGGTGGTTGTAGGTTTGAAAGTAAAGTTAAAAAATGTCCTGATGATACATAAAACCAAAAATCGAAATTACAAGATTTTTTAAAATAAATTGAGTGAAATAATTGAGATTATCTGACTTGTCTTCCAGTTTGAAAATACTTGTTGAAACGTCGTGTTCATCTTTTGAATAGCTTGTTGAATTTCTAACGTTTAAACTTTTGCACCCAATTACAAGTATGAAAAACCACAAAAACTTTGAAATGTGCATGTTGTTTGAACTTGACTGGATGCTTAACAGCAAGAAAATAAAGTATGAAAATGAGAAAAAGTGTCATATTTAGACATTTAATATTCATAACCTAAAAGCTTTCACTTCACATCATTAAGGTCATTAGACCACCTTTTATAATTATTGAAAATGGTAATTTTAATCATTTTCCGACAAATATATTAGACAGTCTGAGACGCTGTAATTATGGTAGCAGCTACAAATATTGAATTCAACATAATAATCATCATAATAATTAGTCTTACTCTGTCTGTGTGCCTCTTTTGGTGCACTATTTTCATAAATGCTAAATTATTTTTAAACTTACAGATTCCTTACACAAAATATTAGACAGTTTATTTTTTATGCTACTTTTTTACTTGAAAGTTTACAACGTTATTTCCCTTCGTATTATTCCGAGTAGTAAATGGTACCGAGATTTCGTCGCCTTCTTTTTTATGTGATGCTAAAGTTTTGTATGGTTTCATAGGCTGAATGTGACCGTTCAAAGCAATGTCGTTTAGCTTATCTGCTTGTTTTCTAACATTTGCGACAACTGCAATAACCAGCAACTTAAATCCAACTAGTAGCCCATAGTAGACGCATTGGTAAAGAGGAATGGGCCAAAATAGTTGTGATCCAACAAAGGCAAGATGCAAAACCGATACCATGAGCCAAATTGTGCATCGCTTCTTCAATTGAGAAAATGCTTGTGAAGGTCGTTCCAGGCTTTCTCCTCTCTATTGTAATAAATATGTATTTCAATACATTTCGTAATTACTGTAAGGAGCACTAGCTGATCAAGAGTTCAGTAAAATCAAATTACCTGAATTATTCGGATAATTTGTGTGTTAATAAAGCTAACGCTATTTATAAGTATATGTATCTATTTTTTGTCAGTATCACTCACTTCGGACTTTTCCAAATTAACGGGATGGCGAAATCCAACTTTGACAAAGGAGTAGAGCAGGACCAATGTGACCAAAAGATGCAGTCCAACCATGATGAGGAAAAGGGCAGTGGTCCCCCACAATTTGATAAACTGCGTTAGGTTCTCATCATCTACCTTCGTGACCTGTGTAATAGCCACGGTTCCAGCTAAGAGGACCAGCCCAATTCCAAACGTGACCCCAGTCAACGACTTTGCAATTTAAAAGAAATGTATACGAAAAATCCTTGATTTGAGTTTGTAAATATTTAAGTATGAAAAATGTATTAAGTAATTCTCACCAATTCGGTAAGAAGGAGTGCCACTGTTAAACCGTTATTTTTCATTTTTAAGTTCTGTAATTGTATTTCTAATTTTCAGTGGTTGTACACGTAATTGTGTATGTGTCTTAAATTATACGTCGACTGAAACGCTCAGCAGTCCCGTCCCAGTTGCTCCCCATGAGGACGCCGATATTTATAACATTTTCAACTTCAAAATACACCCAATTCTGTACATATTTGATGGGAAGTGGTGTAAATAGACTTACTTGATAATAAAAAACCTTTAATCACGTTCATATTTTAATATAAAATTGAATATTTATCGAATCAGCATTTGTGCAAGTTTTTTACTCATTCAATTAATTATTACCTAAAATTAATACAATAATGTGAATAAACAATCACTGGAACCAGGTCATTTTGTGCAAAATAAATAAAGCGAAAATAGCAAAGACAGTGGAGATTATAATTCGTTGCAAGGAACACATGTACATGTGAATGTATGCATGCAATTTTCGCGTATCAATCATGCGTCCATGTTATGTATGCTTAATTTTTGTCATGTCCGTAACACTAAGGACTTAAATTAAAGTATAAAATATTTTAAATATTTTAAAAAAATTAATAGCGTTATTAACTCGTACAAAATGTATTTGATTGTCCTGGTGGTTTTCAATCATTTAGACAAAAGTTGAATGTACATGCCAAATTGGGAATGGAACTCATTGATCACCATGATTATTGGGTGACGGATGTGGGCAAGTTTTAGAAATTGTCACATAAATATGAAATTTACATGAAGGTGAACGTCTGCTAAATGAGAGATAAAGGTTGTCGTGGGCGGTGATTCAACGTTTATCCAATCATTCAGTCCTTGTGATCACACGACGACTTTCTCGGACCTGACTTATGTATTATGTATGTATGCATATGCACATTCGGCAGTACAGTTTATTTATGTACACTTTATTTAAAAATTTACGGGCTTTGTACATTACATAAAAAATATTTTTAATGTCTGCACATAATATAAGTATATTCAATTAACAGGGCTTATAATTCAATATCGTCCAAATTTTCAACATTCCGTTTAACTCTATCATATTCACAGAAATAAGGTCCTTTCGGATGCAAGACGAAAGCGGTTGTTTTGTGCCTACCACAAGAGCATGTTTTGATCATGAGAAACACAACAAGAGATCCAATAAGTATGACGATGATGAAAGCTCTAAAAAGTAAAGAAATATTTCATAATTTATGATAATTCTTAAACGAATCATAGTAAAAAAGTGTAACATTTTTATCAATTACCCAGCAATTAATAGAGCAATATTGCTAACAAAATATTTGAATGCTACTTCTCCAGATTCGACAACGACTTCCCAATATTTATTTGTCGGAATTAGACCAGGAACGACGCTTGTGAAGTTCTTTGCTGCTTGCTCCCCGTCTGGTCGCGAGTAGTTGAGTTCTTTTCCTCCATAAATGTCGGCTTGGTTCAAACTCGCTATCCCAAGAATGGAAGCTGGCGAGAGATCTTCGAGCTAAAAATAGAAGAAATTGATTACTGAATTCTTAGTGATATTTAATTTTCGGTCAGCTCACATTTGTATTAACACTTTTTTCCATACTAGTTAATTTTGACGCTAGGATGAACTTACAAACAACCAATACAAAGAAATAGAAGCGCAGCATTATCTTAGCTGCGATTAAATTTCGAATAAAATTACACTCAGCTATAACCGCTTCACAATATTGTAAATGTGGCCAACATCATATCATAGCAAACACAATATATTAATTAGGCTATTGACTTTACAACGTTTACTCAAATGAAGATATTTAATTAATCAAATTATTGGACGAAACAAAATAAATGACGTAATCGTTTAAATACCATAGCCAGCCATAATACGTAGCATTATCGTTACTAATTATTGTCAACATTAATGCAAATAAATGCAAGCAAATGCAAAAGGTTTGAATTGGTAAATATTAATGCGACGCCTTTGATTATTTATACAGTTAATGATTTGATAAGTTATGTTTACTCACATTATTTGGAAAATGTTAATGCATTAAATACCTTCAATTACTACAACATGTTTAAAATAACTCACAAATTCGTGTCAAAACTTAAATTGTTGGGCCTGTTTATCTGTAAAACTGGCTTCCGTTTGGCACCAGTTCCTCTACGTTGCAGATCCAGTACATGCTTACGCATTGGTTTAACCGACCTTGGTCAAGGGGACAGTGACGTTCAATGATCGTCTAGAGAGAGCGTTCGTGCTGACACCCTAACACATTTAACCCCCCACCTGACCTCTGAGGACACGGTGGAATTTTTGAAACCCTTCGGGGCACCAATTTGCTGATAATCAAGTTTCTTTACGAAGTGTATGTATACATACATAATCATGCAATTAACCAAATATTTTATATTTATTCCTTTTATATCTTTTCTATTGCTGAAATGTATTAATTAATGTATTACATTATTTTGTTATCGAAATAAAACTAAAACCATACATATGTATGGATGCATAATTTAGAAAAACTTATTATTACGCATTGGACAGGATTTACTATATTGCATATACATATGTACATACAGCAGATTACAACATAGGTTTGACAATAGATTGTATTTAGTATATTTTATCTTAGGTGATGTAGCTTAAGTGTTTAAAAATGTTAGATAAACAATTCTTAAGAATCAAAATAGTGTTAGATCATTGACGTCAATTGTCAGCAATTCAATGTTGTTGAGGCTTTCTTGTTGTCTTCAACTGGTTTCAAAAAATACATTTAATAAAATACACAGAATTAATTTGTGACAAAATAATTTAAAAACCTGCTTATATTATTTTATAGCAGTTTAAAAGGGGAAAAAATAAATATATAGAAAGGTCCTCAACGCCTTGATACCTAAATGAGGACTGAAGGCAGATCCATAATTGTCTTCATATTTTTGAGCTTATGCTTCCCCTTATTCTTCTTGACTGGACTGGGGATCATATCAAATTTAATAGCGAAACATGATTTACTTATGGCAAAAGGTAACACACGTTTCAAAAATTGTGACTGCATTTATGTTATTTAATTAAATTCAGTGGGGTATGTAAATTGCATGCAGGTTGCACTGAACCAAATGTCACGACATTCACTACAATTAAAGATTCCACAGTTAACATGACAACATCTGCGGAGGTGGTACAAAACCGCAAGGTTATAAAAAGGTCCATCGACGATAATGAGTATGACGACCACAACGAAGGTACACATAAATATAAAAAGAAGCCAGATACTTGAGCGAATTAATAATCACGCGTTTTTTTTAAGATTATGACCCCACATCCTCATCCGATGAAAAATCTTTCGTACGTTACTCGACCCCAAAGAACTATACTCAGCGTCTGGCCTCAACCTTCAGGAATAGGAATAAAACCCCAAGAAGAAAAACAAGCCATCGTAGGCTTAATAAAATTAAGAAAAAGAAGGAAAAATCATCCAGTCGTTCTGATTTTAAATCCAAGAACAAAGATGTAAAGTATAAGCGAAAGAACAAACCAAAAGATAAATCCAAGCTTGCAATTTTAAAGAAAACCAAGAAGCCAAAGGATAAAAATGATAAGAAGAAAAACAAGGGAAAGAAAGATAAGGACACTGACAAAAAACATAAGGGCGCGGATAAAGACGACGAGAAAGATAAAGACGACGAGAAAGAAAAGGATGACAAAGACACTGACAAGGACAAAGATGACGAGGACAAGGACAAGGATGAGGAGAAAGACAAGGCAAAAGAAGAAAAAGATAAGGAAGCTGCGAAAGTGATGAACGCCAAACTAAACCCAAAAGCCCCACTCGATCTTCCAATTGTTAAACCCGAACTTCAAAAGCTCGAAAATGAACCAGCAGCTAAGCTGATTCCAACCAAAGGGAAACCATTTCATTTTCATATACCAATAATATCCAAAACACCACAAAAGAAAGTGTCCCTTGAAGGTAAATAGATATAACAAATGCGTAACTAATTTATTTCAGGGACATTGCTTAACAAATATCACATTTTGTTACAGAACTCGTAGAAATTGCTAAGACCTACAAGGATCCTTTAACTCTCGATCCTGTGGTGTATCAGGCTGCAATATCCGGTCGAATACTGACTGAGAAACAGCTCAAATCAATGAAACGAATGATTCGGGACTCACCAGTACTGGATTTTCTGAACTTGGCTTCCGTTATTGGAGGAGGAGGGATTGCTTCCATAGTGGATGGACCGCTGAAGGATGACTTAAGTGATCTCATGGGGGTCAAGCGGTCAGTCGTCGAATTGACGGCCACAGAAGAGCTACTCCAAGAGCTGGTGGGTGATGCTGATGATCTCAAGAATTTAGGAGCCTTGGATAACTTGGACCCTTTCTCTGAAGTCAATTCTGAAAAAATTAAGAAATCGGACGAGCCACTACCACCTCTCATAGGAAATTCATTGCGGAGGAAAAGAGTCCTAAACCAAGGTACACTCCTAAGTAATCACAATCCAACGATTAAACACAGATCCAAACGGGGAATTAAGAATTGGTTTAGGAAATTGTTTGGAATGAAAACTGATAACAGTAGCACCATTAGTCCTCCTACATCCACGACCACCGAGACACCTGTAACACATCACCAAAAAAATAACCATCATCACCATCATCATCATGGCCATCATTCCAAGACTACGACGACAACCACTCCCAAACCAAAGTCGTCTTCCTCTTCGTCCTCTTCAGAGAGTGGAGAGAAAAAATCAGGAAAAAAGCATAAACACAAGAAATCAAAACACTCCCGATCTAAGCGAGGACTTGGGAAATGGTTCAAAAAAGTATTTGGCTTTGGCAAAACAACCACGACCACTACAACCACAACCACTACGACAACCACTTCCAAACCAAAGTCATCCTCTTCCTCCTCCTCTTCGGAGAGTCATGAGAAGAAGAAATCCCATAAAAAGCATAAGAAACACAAGTCAAAAAATAAATCAAAAACTGATCATCACTCTGTGTCGGAGCACCGTTTTGACGCAAATGGTGATTCAGAGGTGGACTTTTTACTTCCTGTTGACCTCAGACGTTCCTCATGGCTCAAAAAACATTCCAACGACGCCAAGAAGGAGGAAGACGAAGAAGATGCTGACAGAAAAAAGAAGAGGCATGACGAGGAAGGAAAAGAGCCTACTATAAAACGGGGAAAATGATGCCAATAAAATTTATACCAATTATTTTGCATTGTGTATAAGATATAATTAAAAGGTTCAAAATGTCATTGTTGATGCACTCATGTTCTTTGGAGATGCACATATTACTCAATTAATTTATGTACAGATTATGGAATTGGAATGATTTCCGTAGAGTTTTACATACCTAGATTGAAAAGTATGTATACAACTTTTTCATTGGCAGATATCCCATCTCCTCAGTCTATTCATTTACTATGTAAGTAGATCGAGTATCATATAATCATCAGTCTTCATAGAAATATAACTTAATTCTCCGTGATAACTTCAGCTGTTTGCACACATAAATGTTGTACTTAATTGTACCCATTGCATAACTTAAATCGGTCATTTCACGTAATTTTCTGCTGCACGTAGCTTGCAATATATTTTAATCTGTTAAGTAATCCAAGTAATATGCAGATAACAGTCCTTGGTGCTGGAATATCCGGCGTAACGACAGCCCTACGCCTGCAATCTGCGTTACCAAAGGCGTCCATCAACATAACTGCAGAACATTTCAGTAAGAGAAAGATGATCATTGTCTCGACGCAATTTATTAAATTTTATGTTGATTATTAGTATTTGTTTGCTTGTGAACAGATTCGGATACACTTTCTGCGGGTATAAATAATTAACAGAGATAAATGATTAGTATAAAAATAATAATACACATGACACATGATAAAGGTGCTGCTGGGATTTTCCGGCCGGGAAGTGGCCTTCGTGGTGGTGCGGGTCAAAATGTTGGGTAATACTTGATAAACAGTTAATATTCGATGAGGTCGATTTAATAAATTCACTATTTTTGTTAGCGATTGGATCAAGTCTTCGTACAATTACTACTCTTCCATCCTTGCTTCGCGAGATGCATCAGTTGCTGGAATCATGAGGGTCGACGGGTATTTGTTTTCCAGTGGGGAAGAGTCCGTCGTCAGGGTATAGCATAGTGTATCAAATTTCAAATTTCATGTTTAGGGTGGTGTATTTGTAGTCATTAAACTCAAAAATCTTACCAAATTAAAATCTATGATATGTATGTGCGTAGAACCCATTGCTTGAAAATCTTCTCCCAATCTACCGAATGGCAACGGAAGATGAAATTACTGAAATCTGTCCAGATTCAAACTTCAAACATGGAGCTTATTTCCAAACGATGGTGATTGAAAGCGAAAAATTTCTTCCGTGGGGGATTCAGAAGTTGGTTATAATTAAATCGATAAATAAATGAATAAATGTAATTTATGTATTTACATACTTTCAGCACCTTTATTGAAACACTTTGATTGATAGGTTCCTTCAAGCTGGAGGAACAATGACTCAAAAAAAGATAAACTCATTCCAAGAAGTGAATAACAACAATTTAATCATTAACTGTACTGGACTGGGTGCAAGGAAGCTTTGTCAAGATAATCGAGTAGTACCGATACGAGGTCAAGTTTTTAAGGTTAGATACAATTACATACACATATAAATATGTACATATTTGTTGTATCAGATCATAGCATGTGCATAATCTTCAATCTTACGTATGTACAAATGTGCACATTAGGTCAGAGCCCCATGGATAAAAATGTTCTACTATGGGGATTACGACACAGTAAGTTTAAAATCGATTCAGTCACATTAATTGCATTTCAACAATTCACACGTTTAATTGAACAATTAGTACATCATCCCCACAAGTACGCAAGTGACCCTGGGTGGCACTCGCAACTTTGACTCGTGGAACACAAATAGTGACGAATTTGACGAGGCCTCAATCTTGGCCCGTTGTTCTAAACTAATTCCAAACTTGAAAAATGCAGAAATAATTAGAAGCTGGGTGGGTCTCCGCCCTTATCGTGATCAAGTCAGGGTAGAGTTTGATGACAAATTGTGGAGCGAGAAAGGTATCCAGGTAATTCACAACTACGGTCATGGCGGATATGGAATCACGGCTTCAGGAACAAGTGAATTAAAAATGATTATTTAAAAAATCACAATGTGTCGATTCTAATTATTAAATCGTTACTATCCACAGGTGAAGAAGTTGTCAAGCTTGTTCTTGAGAAAATGAGAATGAACAAGAGCAAATTATAAAAAGTCTTGTCATTACTTTATATTAGTAATATAAATGCCACAAAATAAATTCAATTGAATTTCATATCAATTTACAAATTAAAAAATTTTTAATTTATAATTAATTAATTTGGAATTAAAAATCACTTCAATGGAGACTGGAGTATTTATGCAGAGATTGTGCTCATAAACAGTAAGATTTTGTGGAATATATAATCCAAAACAGTGGACAATGCATCACAATATTTGCTTTTGTTTGTATTAAATTTAGCTCCAACAAGTTTCGAAATCGTTTTGGCCACAGTGAGGCCTGTGATTAGCAAGGAGACTAGAGAGGCGTTAGTCATTTTTGGAACAAATAAGATTTTTATTTCTGTTACAGATCTAAAAGTCAAATAGTATTTCTCAAGAAACGATGTTATAATATTTTGGAACAGATAATCATATATTACAACTGCAATTTAATTTGAGGAATTAGATAAACAGGCCTGTTTTATCATCGTGAAATCGATAGATTATTAAGCTTATCCAAACAATAATTCAGGTGCTCCACGACGTTATTCAAACCTTGTCCATCTGTAAAGTGTAATTGTTAGTTGGAATTGTTGGATTTAGGATGTAACAAAAATCTCGGTGTAACTAAAATATAACCAACCTTCACGCATTGCAATTTTCTCCAATTGTTCTTCCACAAATGCCAGGTAGAAGTAACTGGTAGTTAATATGGTATCCCCTAAAGCACGGCAAATATATTAATAACCGAGTCTTCTAGTTGAAACGTTGGTGATTTAGTACATACACTAACCTGACAGGTCTGGGATGGTCTCACAATTCCCGGGTATTCCGGCATCCATCCAATAATGATTCACTTCTTTTAAAGCGTTCCTTAGCTGCCCAATCCATGGCGAAAGTATTTTGTAGCACGTTTGGTTTTTCTTGGAACACACCGAACCGGTTTCATTACGTGACAAATATTTTAATACTTCGACACTTTTGGTACATCCAGTAGCTACCATGCCAGGGATTAAAAACGCCTCTGATGGGTCGATGAAGTGTCCAAAATCCATATACGATCTTCAACAATTATCAAACAGGCCTGTTTAAGTTTAGCTCGATACTATTTTGTATCAGACAGTTAATTACCTATCTGTACATGTTTCTTTCCCATTGTTGGTGCTCATCACAAGATCGTTCCACTTTCGTGTCGCAGCATTCTCGGCAGACTCACGATTGTTAGTAGTGTATCCGATGTATACATCAATAATCTGATACGTTGATCCATGGCGCCATGGATAACCATATAACGCAGACGATGACTCTATAACACAAAGAATTAGCTTATTTTAGAATATTAAGCTGACGGTTGTATTTTCGTTATTGTTTGGGAATCGATATAAGAGTTTACACAATTATAAAACAGGCCTGTTTATGTTATGCTCTATATTTTAACAGCATACCTAGTTGTTCTGATGTGAGTAATTCATATCTAGATTGTTTGTCACCATCCTCCAATACATATCCATATCCTTCCTTGTGTCTTTGTTCCATATCGATGTGGCTGGGATCTTCATGGAGAACTTTGTTGCACAGAACTCGGAGAATTTGCGTTTCTGTCAGACTTAAGTAATAAGGGCCGAGTCGTTGAACCAAATCAGAAACATAGGATAACGAAGGTTTAATATGCTGTCCCGATTTTTTGAACTCTAAATAGTCCTTCTTGTTAAGTTCTGATCGAAGTTGATTCAAGTCTGATGTCGGGGGATCTGCATGACCTTTTTCCAGGTGCTTTTCGTAGCTTGTGATACTCTGGAATACCTTTCCACACACATCGCAGTTCCTACGAAGCCTGTGAAACTTTTTCATATGCCTTTGGTAAAGAGATTTTGATGCATACAATCGATTGCAGGGTACACATTTCGTGATCTCTGGTCGTTCGTTATGTGTCTGTACGACATGAGTGTTTCTCATTATTGATGTTACGAATATTTCCTCGCAATATTCGCATTTTACAGACAGTCTTCTGGTTCTTTCTTGATGTGATTTCTTTCCGCATTGTCTTTCATGTCTTCGTATACTTTTTCTTGTGTACGGGACACCACAGAATTTACATTGTTCACGAACTGTGTAATGGGCTTGTCTCATATGTCGACTACGAGCTAATAAATTTTTCAATTTTACATCACATATTGGACATTTTATTGGAACACGGGGCTTGCGTGTTTTGGCCATTGTTGAATTGCCGATCTGTTCGTTTAAAATACAATTTATTATGTTACACTATAAACAATTTCATCAAATGTGGATATAATATTTTGTAACTCATTAATTCAAGTTGGAGAAGAAAACTCTACTCAAGATAAATCTTTTAATTATTACCACAATGTTTATAATTTCTAACGAAACAGGCCTGTTTAAAAAATTATACTATCCAAGTATTATCAAAATTGATACCAACATACTGCCCTTTGAATTGCTGAACATAGTTATCAAACGACAGGAGTAAGCATTTCACTAATTTATATTACTACTAAAATGAATTAACAAATGTCCTCCAACAGTATATTCGACCATATAGGCCCTGCAATTTAATTAGTTACGTTTGTGAATAAGGGTACCTTAATTTATGATAAATTTGGCGACCGATAGTGTTGTATTTTTTTGGGGGGAAAAATACAGTGGCACAATAAATTCCCGATATATTTCAAGCAGATTTAAAGCCGGCAGTAATCACAATTAATTGACCCAGTTAGCATGTCAAATAATGCCTGCTGCTTGAAATATATCGGGAATTTATTGTGCCACTGTATTTTCCCCCCCAAAAAAATACAACACTATCGGTCGCCAAATTTATCATAAATTAAGGTACCCTTATTCACAAACGTAACTAATTAAATTGCAGGGCCTTGGTTTATACAAAATTAGTACTTACCTCACCTAAGGAAAATTAGAACACTTGACTTATTTATAACGTTTCCTTGCCGACGGAGCAGGTAATTGTCCGACTCTTGCTCACTTGCTTGCTTCACTCTCCAGCATTTTCAATCCAGTCTCAACTTGAATTCAGAGGAGTGAGAACGTCGATCGGACGAGTGCTCCAAGTCCCTCAACATTTTATTTTCTTCTCAATAAACCCCGTGAAAAAATCAAGTGAATCATTTGTAAAGTTTCGAGTGTCAATTGGTTGTGGAATTTGTCAATTGGATTCTCCCAGGTGAAACAGGCCTGTTTATATTTGTTGTCAAATATATTCGCAACAGGATTTTCCGTCATGAGTGGAAGAGGTAAATAATTTTATAATATTTTTTAATTTATGAGATTTAGCATGTTTGTATTTATTATCACGATTTACATTCTCTTACATTAATTCAAATAAGTCTTATCATTTCGTATCCACAGGTTCCTCGAATGAGGACCTTTTTTGGAGGGGAGGACGAGGGCGAGTGCGGGGACGTGGTCGAGGGAGAGTTCAAGAAATTAGTTCATCTGACTCGGACGAGGAAATTGTAGTGGAAGAATTGCCACCAGTTCCCGAACCCCGCCCAGGAACACTCCGTCCGAGTTTTATTGGATGTAATTTAATAACTTCATAAATGTGCATTTATTGTCGAGTCAAAATGTTGTAAAACAGGCCTGTTTTGTTTCTTCTGCAGTGGGGCAGCCAGTACAATCTCCACGGCGTGATTTGGTGTTTTCACCCGTTCAGCACTCACGACGTACGATAATAATTAAGTATTTATTCTTATGATTTTACTTGTATTGTATGAGTCACTGTGGTACATTTACGCAGCTGAAATACCACCGTTTAATGATGCAATGACAGCAACTCAGAAGACAGAAATATTTTATAGTTACGGCCAAGAAATCCGAGATGCTTTCAGTGCGGGACAGCAATTTGCAATAATAGAGGGTCCCACAGGCGGAGGTTTGTGGCGTTTATTATCAAAAGCTTCAATTTGTTTTTTGAATTTTCGATATTAAACAGGCCTGTTTTTGTAATGCAGGCAAAACTACAGTGACTACGTTGGGACATTGTAAAGAAAATATCAACTTCAACACTCCAAACTTTTCAATGTTTATGTGCGAACCAACACGCAATGCTACATCCATGCTGTATAAAAGACTGGTGACCCTTGGAAATTCGGTAGGCTTGAGACGATCCGTGTTTGGAATGAAGATTAAAAACGAAAGCATTAATGCAACCACAGCTAAATTTACAGTTGGGACAGCCGGTATGTTTTTGGATACTAGATTCCGAGTACTAGATTGCTAATATATTCCGGAAGTTATTGTAAATGTTTTGTCCTCATATTTTTGAAGGATGGCTGAATACGAAGCTGATGCATGATCCAACTTACATTTACAAAATTACGACATTAGCGCTTGATGAAGTTAGTGGTACAGCATTGATCATCAAACATTACTTCAAATGTCTAAAACAGGCCTGTTTTCTCACCACCAGATTCATACGCGTGGGATGGATACTGAAACACTCATCGGGACTGTTTCCTGTCTCCAACACGGTCATGGTGTCACGTATTCTTTTAAGAATATGAGTTCCTTGTACTCTGCAAGCGGGGTACCAAATTTCAGCAACTCTTGACGCAGGAGAATTGTTGGCTCACTTTCGTCCTCGAGCATCATTTCCAAACTTACGACCGTTGAAGCAGATAATAGTGGAAGTCAAGGCAGGAATAAATAAAATGTTTAATGTGCGTGAACTTTTCCTTGAAGATCTGCAGTATAAATTTGACATTGAAGTCCAAGAAGCAATTGAGGAGATAAATAATGCTCGTCGACCTCCTTTTCTCCACGACTCCACTATTCGCGTCATTTTTGACTGCATTAAGAGGTAAACTTGACTTGTCATAATTAGTCGTCAGTAACCACTAATTTCATGCTAAAATTACAGTATCATGACACGGGACAGTTTAGCAAAATTTTCACACGGATTGATTCTCATCCATCTCCCAGGAGTTCCGGAAATTGAACGTGTTATGAAATATGTCAACAAATTAAAGGACCAACTACCAATGCCAGTTTCTTTACTCCCATATCATGGTGTGATGACCAGAGAGCAGCAGAAAAACGTGGAGGACAAAATTTCCACTCTGTCAAACAGGCCTGTTTATATTGTCCTGTCAACACCTATTTCTGACTCTTCCCTCACAATTCCCAACTGTAAAGTTGTGATCGACTCATCGCTCATAAAAATGATGACGATGGACAACACGACAGGAGTGTCGGGACTGAAGCTCAACTGGATTGATGACACCACAGCCATCCAACGGAAAGGAAGAGTTGGGCGAACAGACGATGGACTATGCATCAGACTTTATCCGAAAAACAAGCCAAGACAGTACAACGCGCCAGAACTGATGCGTATAAACTTGGAGCCCTTGTTCGTCAAGGTTTTAAATATGTCATCACTCCCGTTGGGGAAGGTAATCTTATAACTTATTGGATTTACGGCGGACCGAGTGTAATGTTATGCAATGTTTGTATATTCTTAGACCACCACAGGATTCGTAACGCGTTTTCTTCGCGATTGGCTGCTGACAAAACCTCCCCCTCATAACATCACTCGGGCTATCGTAAATTTGCTGCAAAGTGGAGTAATTGTGAGAAAAGCAGTGAAACCCAGCAATTCTTTTCCATACGATAACTTTTGCTTCACGCCTATTGGAGAGAAAATAGTCCTGTTTGACTTTCCACCCACATTTACCAGATCATGTGCGTTAATGAGCATGGTCGGATCGTTTGAAGATGCTGCAGTGATGGGCGCAAAAGTGGCAAACTGCAGTGGAGATTTCTACATGAACGGATTTGCTGATCTACGTCTCCAAATTTTCAAGTTAAAGTTCATGGACCATATCCTATCGGACGCTTTACTCATCTCGAAGCTGTTCAGACTTTGGGTTCGCTCATCTGCAACAAGGGTGGACGGGAAGATTAAAGGAAACAGGCCTGTTTTAGGCAATCCAATACACTCCAACAAGCATGAACTCAACAACAATTCATTCTACGGATGTAGGCCTTGGGCTCTTTGTACGATTGACGATGCTGTAGCAGAAACCAAAACTCAGTTTAGTTTCACTCAGGATAGAAACGGTCGAAACATATCAATCAAAATTGCAGGGATGACCCAGAAAGAGAAAGAAATGGTAAAAAGGAGGTCATATATTTTGTCAAATGCATTACCATAATATTATAATTTTTGAAATGTAGGCAAGCTCTGAAACACACATTTTCAACTTGATTGCTCTTTGCATTTCCTCTCCTCTAAATCAGCATTTCAAGTCAGAACCAACGGAACATTTTTTGCCCGAGATAAACAGGCCTGTTTGTCTACTTCGATCTCTGATCCTCCGACCAGTCCCTTCAGCGGATGTCCGTTTGTGGGGTCCACAACTAGCTAAAATGCTTGCATTTCCCCTTAATTTATGGCCAGATGTTTTTGTCGACAACAAAAATGACCGTGTCGTCGTTACGTTCCCTCCATCTCCTCCAAACGAGTACATGGGCATGGTTCACCCTTCCGTCAAGTTGGCGTTACACAAGGCCGAGTTTAAGAAACAGTATTTCGAGCTTAACGTGTACTTTCCAGAAACAATTGGGTATGTGGTAATCATAATTGTATGGATCTTTGGGTTAAATTTGATTCATATAAAACAGGCCTGTTTAATCAATGCGGTACTTATTTACAGAGAACAGAGAATTGGACGAGGAAAATCCCGACCTACTCACCAGTTACTCGACGACCATTCTCGACAATGATGAATTATTATGCAACGCGTCTGAAGTTTCCAAAAGCACCAACTTTACTCCAGAAACAGTTTTTATTGTTACTGCATTTTTCAACCCAACAAATTTTGGAGTCAGACAATTTTTCCACACACCGAAAAATCAGGAAGATCCTTTCGTAACTCTCTCAAAGTCCCTGGAAATTGTGTTCCGCAGATCACGGAACATGGACATAACCGACGTCAAATTTGGATGCAAAGTTTTGCTGGACCGAAGACAATTCTCAAGCGTAACAGGGTTCTGGGACCAGAAGATATGGAGGGGAATTGTTGTCGCCGAAGCGAATCATAAAATTTTAAATGAAAAATCACCCCTGGAAGTCTCTGTCTGCGTTGAACTCATTGATCACGGTCTAACAAGTAATGAATGGATCGACGAGTTGCGAGTGTACGAGCACGAAGAAGGAACCGAGGATTTGTTCTCGTAAGTCTAATAAACATAATTGACGCGAAACAGGCCTGTTTAATATCAAATGGAGAGATTAGTAAATTTTATTCTGCTGTTATTGTTAGAACACCTCCATTCGGGTATCGTGTCATGCTGTCCACCCTCCGCCCAATGCATAGAATTGATTACGACTGGTCGGAACAAGAGGGCATGAGACGTTTATTAAAAGACCCTGGAAATTATAACAGACTTGTGCGCCTCCAAATTGAAAAATCATCAATAGTGGACCGTATAATAGTTGCTAGTGATATGTTCGGGAGGGATTCAGGGAAGTCGTTTGTTGAAGACTGTGTCGCCATGCGGTTTGGGGTCCGCCTCTCGACCAATTTAACCATGCTGCAAGATCCAATGACCGCAAGTCCAGTGTTTTGTCCGCGGCCTCGAAACAGGCCTGTTTTCGAGATTTACCAGTCTCGAAGTGAAAAGTTTCGATGTCTATACAACAGCAACAAGTCCAACGACGATGGAAGTCGAATTATGCAGTTTACGTTTACTGAAATCTTTTCCCCTCTCGAGGTGCACTTTGTCCCATTACTGGATGACCTAAAGGGAGTGACATTGATGATGAGTACTGATTCAGTAAATTGTCGACCACTGGATTATCAACTTGCAAGTAATGATGATAATTTTTAGCATATTTTAATGATTCTAATTTCAAAGAAATCATAAGTCTTTATTTAATACTTTTATACATATAGGTCTGAATAGTCGGGATTCATATGAACCATTATTTGCTGTTGCTTCCGAGTTTGATCAGATCTACATTAAAAATGCTCCTGTAATGCGTGCCAGCAACTCTACTATACTACCTCCTATTCCAAATATTGTCCCCATCATTTCAAGTCTGACTTACCCTCTTGTGGAGATCATCGCCAAGAACGGCAAACCAAACACGATGCGATTTTACGCTCAGTCGCTCAGTCCCACTTTTGAACTCAAATCTGAATTCAAGTTAATCCACATGATCAAAAAACAGGACGTAGCAGACATAGAAGAAATACGACATGTGATAAACCAGCGACACATGATGATTCAACCGGTCGACCGATCCGACACCCTCAGAGATAAACTAAAAAGTTTGTTGATCAGTAAGCGATCAGAAATCACTGAACGTTTGGACATCTCCAACATCGACCCACTGGAATTCACACCACGAGAGAAGGAATTTCTAGTTGCACAAATCAAGATGACAATTGACGAGTAATACGGAAGGTAAAAAACAGGCCTGTTTTAGATACCATACTTATCAATTGTTGCTTTTACTAATTATGCACTTCATTACAGGAAACGCTTTCTACATACAAATTTTGTAATTTTTCTATATATTAATGTGGGTAATGTACTAAACAGGCCTGTTTCCGGTACACCCCACTACAAAATTTATTGTAATCATTGTCCAATTATACACACAAGACTTACAACAAACGCTGATATATCCATCTTAAAATTGAAAATAAATAATACAAAATTCACAGCTCATTTCAATCACTTCAGCGCCAGGAACGAGCGAAGAAGTGGTCAAGATCGTCCTTGAGAAAATTAGAATGGACAAGAAGAGTAAGCTATAAAAAGTGATCTGAGAATATTTTTGACCAATGTTAACCATTGTATGTACTTGCATAATTGATGAAAATTTAAGTAAAGATGAAAATTATAAAGATTTCGGTTACTTTTACAATTTATTATTTAAATAATCTTCACTGAAGAGAGCGATAAGAAATTAATTAATTTCAACTTTCATCACCAAAGTCTGTATAATAACCAGTATTCGATGATGCAAACGTTGCCACAAATCCAAAGTAATCACTTAGAAAGTAGGCTTCTTTCCCACAAAGCTAGCAACTTCTGTAATGGATATTCCTGATATTTCTCAAGTACATAATATGCAAATACAAGATGTGTACCTCTACGATGATATAATCGACCGAATCGATATCGAGGTTGATAATTTGGCCATGGTTTAAAAACGGCTGACTATTTTAATTATAAAATAACTAGTTTTGTTAATAAATAAAATGTCGAATTATAAATTGGTGCAGTTTAAATCATGTTTTATTAATCATAAGTAATCCAATTATTACCTTTTACTGAACAGTAAATTGCTGAGTCTCAACTAGGAGGCCCTGCGGGTCTGAGTGAACCTCGGACGTAACAAGCTCGATGCGAACAGTCCAAAGTCCAGGGAAGGCACTGACCTCGAACAAATCTGTCATATCAACTTGTTCGACTCCATCACGTGACCATGTTGTTTTCAGCCATTCGCCATCAATTTCATTTCCGGGAGCCCTCAGTTGACCTAATTTCAGGGTATTAAGTCTCACTCTCTTGGTCCCATCTGGGTTTGGAAGTGGGTCAACAACCAAGGAATCAACTAAGGAGACCTTCTCAAGAAATTGGAGCCACATTGATTCTTTGCACACACTGCAAAATGTCGTGCTCGACATGTTTCTCATAAGACAGCCATTATTTGTTGGACGAAGTGTTTTTCGTCGACTTGCAGAGTCATCCCAAGTTGGGTACGCCGAGTAATAATCGTTCGACGTGTGGTATTCTGTTTCATCCCCGTATTCGTGAAGTGTTACGGAACAGATCATTCTTGGTATGGTTTCGTGAGTGGGAGGGGTTTTAGACCTCACAGTGAAATTATGGCTGCCTTGCGAAAATCCGTCGCCTTTCCAGTCGTAAAACTCGCGATCATCAAATCCTTGAGTGGTCCACGGGAGGACAACGCCGTCGAGACTAAACTCAAGGGAATCCTCCTCGCCGGCCGCCGAAACGGAGACAAGAAGATAAAACCGGCTATAAGTTCCGTCCGAAGTGAAAGTAAAGCTTCGTTCGCCAAGGGAGAGGTCAGCCCAAGGGTACTCTAATAGCCGATAAATCGCCCTTTCTTCTGTTGGAATGGGCCCACCACTCAGCCACGATGTCCACCCGACGTTTACTACATTTGTTGCGGAATTGGCCCCGAAATACGCCCAACTGCGCAAATAATATCATGATGCGATTTTAAAATGTACCTAACACTTGAAATTTCCATTGTTATGGTCAATTATTATTGATTAGTATACCTGTTATCATACTCGTCTCCCACATCCGCAAAATTATGTCCCATTTCGTGCCTGTTATTGAATTATAAATTTCTTTTATTAGCTCATATCGTAAAATTATCAGGATAAATGCAGATGTATTTTCAATATATCCTTCATTCACCTAAGAACCACTGTGCCAGTTCGATTGCTTTTGGTAGAAACGACAAATTCGCCACCTAATCCGCCGTAGAAATCGTCGTTCGCAATCAGCGACGGATAGTCACAACCTGATAACCCTGTCATTCGACAAACTTGTCGAGCATACTCCGAATTGCCCGGCCAAATTACACGGAGTTGTCCTGCCTCCCTGTATAATCGGAAAGGTGTGTTTTGTGGACCGTTATAGCCGATTCCAGAATCCTTTAATTAAATGTAATCAATAAAGACTCCTAATAATTATATTTCAAAATGCAAAATGGAGCACTGAAAATTACCACACTTGGGACAAAGATTGCCCAAATATTGAAAAGGGGAAGGTAGGAAGAGAAGGTGACACCTTCAAACATATTGGTCGTCAATCGCATCATGTCCTCAAAAAACTGATCTCTTGCACCCAATTGATATCCATCTCCCATAAATACCACGTCGATTCTGTTTAATTGATCTCCTCCGTTTACAATTTTTTGGATTTCGATATTATCCTGGAACACGGAAAGAGGAGGAATGTTTGTTACTGATTTGCAGAGGGTTTCTATATGTGCATCTGAAACTTCTTGGGCTCTTGCAAAAATTTCTATTATTTTTGATTCATCTTCAATTTTTTGGTGGAAATCGGCTGGAGAGTGAACTGCTTGGCTAGTTTTGATACGTAAAGCGTGGCTGCTTCCATCGTCCTTTGTGGCAAATCCCTTATACTTGGATAAGGTTTGCTGGTCCAATAGAATGCAGTCAAGATTTTCAGATTGGTGTAATTTGACGTAGAAAACGTCTGCATATCTAATTAAACAACATTCATTTGTAATAGTCTAATGTCGAGAAGATGAGATATGTCACAAAACTTACACAGCCTGACAGCTCACCACGAGAGTAAGCAATGGAAGTAAATTCATTTTAAAAGATTTAAGATGAACTTATAATGATTAGTAGTAATAATAAAATAACAAAATAAATGAAGAGCCTTCGGCTGTAATATAATCACAAATGGTCCAAAAAATAAGATTAAAAAATAAATTATGCCCAGTAACTAAATAGTTGTTTTAAGTGCTACACTGAGACACTTCATACTTCGTTTGACCAATGTAATGTTCCCATTTTACAGAAAAACTTATCACAATACGATAAGATTTCGTTCAACTGGAATGAAAATGATTGATCGTTATTCTTGCGATTGAGGATTAATATGTATATTGTAAATATGTGCTACGTATGTATTCAAGTATTTAAAATTTGACTGTTACAAGAGTCGACTTATTGTTCGCTAGTTTAAATTATAGAAAAGTCTACTTTTTTCTGATAGTTCAAAAGGTTGTCTTTCTAGCAACAGTTAATGAAGATATTGAAAATCATTGCTCAACTTCGGGCAATCCGTATGAGCATTTCTAAAAATGAGTATTTAAAATAATGACTTTAACTGTAATTAAGTAAATAAAAATATATCCGATACTGTGGGGAATTTAACGCATTTTTATGCCACAGAATTTTGTGTGTCAAATCAAATATAAATAAATTTCAGGATATATTTTCTCCAACTGTGAATAATAGTATGATGAATGAAAAATTGTAGTAATTATTATAGTTTTAATGCCGTTCTCACTTTCATACCTTAAATTTTAAGCCTAAAGTAAATGTCAGAATTTTCTCTGATAAAGAGATTTGCCTGATTAAAAGATTGGATTAAAATTTTCGCAAATTCGGAACTTGTCATACATGATCAATGATTTCTTAGATGAGGCTATTTATTTTTAATATGAGATGTTCCAGTGTCATCATGGGTATCATCCCAGCCAATATTATTACAAATTTATTGGTTTAATTTAGTATTATTGAAATTCTTAAATTAAATAACCGTACTTACATATGTATGTACATACAAATAATTATGCAAGGTGTAGAAAAAGAAGTCCTTAATAAAATTTTGGTCACCCATAATCATTTATTGCAACTAAACTTATTTATTACAACTAATGTTTGGCATCTCCTGTCCATTCATTCCCTTCAACATTATTAATTCAAACCATAATTCTTATTTCCTAAATAATAATGTCGTCCTATGTTCACGCTTTAATTACGTAACTGCTTCAGCAACAGTTTGATGGTGTGTAATTACATATATTTTACAGTAGATGCGAGCTCATGCAAATATTCCACCTGAATAAACGCTTCTGTTGTCTGCGACATGATTTAAGTAATCATTCATCTTTCAATTTTATTTTGTGGTGTACCTAGTATTATGATTCAATATCAAAGAAATTGAACAATTATTTTTGATTGAATCAGTAATTTCAACCATGTCGATCAAAAAAATCTAATAAATAATTTCTAAAGAATGTGCCACCTCACAATCACAAATATAATAAAGTGGAATATTAAATCCGGCTACAGGTACTTGTACAATTGCATCAAACAACTGCATCAAAGTCTTGTCCTGTAACATATTTACAGCAAAATTGTTTCTCTTTTCAGCGGAAATCCTTTGCAAAAAACATGGAAAACAAAAAGTCTTAATTTTTACAAAGATTTATAGAATTAAGACAACAAAGACAATTTACTACTCTCGGCAAAAATTTGCGGATATCCACATGACATTAGTCCCATTAGTTATATTGATCCCCATGGGCACTTTTTCCTTAATTCAAATCTCACATTATTGTCTCTCTCTAATGTCTATCTATGTACTTACATACCATTATGTACATAACTTTTTACTACGTACTCACTCTTTCTTATTTGGCATTTGTTCCCTCACTAGGTTTGTTTTCTTGAATAACAACATCCTAGAATCATACATACACCTAGACTTTTTCTGCTCCATATAAAAATTATTGGGATGGGTTTGGTGTAGACTATGTAGTAGACATTTATGCAGAATGTGTATACTACTTACTACTGATCGTAGACAGAGAGAGGAAGCAATTCGTTTTTGCAAAGAGGCACACAAATGCTAAACTTGGTGTGTGTGTAACAATGATTATGGGGTTACGATATTGCGAAAAGGAGATGAGATAATGTGTTGGTTGTTGGCATACTAAATATTATGGTGGCAGTGCAGGTAATACGTAATAATGTATGTACATACTTTCCATTATTTTTGGGGGGTAGGGTTCCTTCCTTCCACAATCAAGGGTTGCTTGCTATATCTTTCCTGATGCGACATGTGTACGTGATATCACAAATTCTTGAACAAAATCAGAGTGCAATATCACAAGGAGCGATTCTTGAGGTTCTTCTCAAGTCATTGTTATATTGGACGGTGCTTAAATGAAGTGACACAAATTGCATGCACAAAATCGTACCATTCCTTCCACATCTCGGACGACTGATGTAAAATGTGCTCGTATGTGCATACATTTGTATATAGTTCCTGCTACCATTCCATTCATTTGTTACTGCAACCACCGTCCAAATTCAATTGGAATTAATTGTAAATTGCGGAGCTGAAAGGGAGAGTTCACTCCATTAATTAGCATTAGTATTATTAGTTTCTAGGTGGTGGTTGTTGAATGGACGGATGGTGAGAGATGTGTGTATCTGTCTGCAGAATATGTAACCAAACCAAGTCAACAATCAGCATTATTACATAACTTGGCCACAGTCACAACAGTTAAGCCACACGCATCATTAGAATCGCTCTCATTCACCAAGTTTGCATGCTTTGACTCTGCATGCATGCAAATTATTGTAAGTGAAATAATAATTTAGGATTCGTTCTCAAGTGATTGAATTTATTTCGAAGGAGTGATTTTTTTAACGGTTTAGTGACAGTCTTGCCAAGTTAGAAGATTTGTTGGTTATCACTCTTGGAGGCTTGGAAGGATTATTTTTGAATCTTGGAACAGAAATGGAGGTACATAACATAATATAAATATATTCATACCAATTTTGTGTTGTATCATTTAAAACGAAGATTTAAGCTGTAAAACAATTGATCTTACGTGTGTTACTTATAAATACGAAAAGCTATATGTAGGGGCCAAGTAAAGTTCAAAAATATTAGTACCGCAACTTATCTTCGTATTAACTGACTTAGTTTAAGTCTGGTAATTTTGCATAGTCCTGGTGCAAGTGGACATTCAGCAAAATATTTAAATGCAAGCAACAATGAGAAACATTTCATTTCGTCACACAGACAATTACAACATGCACACCATCGGATACGAAATATTTAAAAATAAAATTAGCAGTTTGTATAAATTACAATAATTAATTGATATGTGTTCACCCGCAGCTTAAATTATTAGGTACATAGTGATTCATTGATGATTCACAATTAGTTCTAGCTAATAATTATTGCAATTGTGATGGATTACACACTCAAACGCGTTTAGCCAACCATTATGATTGCGATTATTAAACGGAGGTAGTTATACGTCACACTTACGTATAAGCTTGCTAGTCATCTTTTCAAGAATTTCGGTCATGTACCATTGTGCCACAACTGCATCTGCATCTTGTTTACTATTTGCCATATTATTGCACATGAATGAATGAAACAGAATCGAATACCACTTTGACTTGTGAGCATGTTTGTGACGAATAATGATGACGAATATTGATAGAGGAAAAATTAAAAAAGTAAATAAACCAGATCAGGACGGTCATAAATATAATGAACAACTTGACTCCTTACACTGTGTCACCTCTTTAAATAAAAAGACTTTAAAAAAGAACTCGCCTTGTTGTTCCACAATCACGCACATTTTTTCACATGCCATCATCCATGCACTCAAATGTGCAATTTCATGTCCGCTGTTTAGACGAGATACTGCACGTCAATACGATAATAAATATGTAGATAGGCAGGTATTTAAGTGTAGGCAAGTGAAGGTCGTTCATTGTCTTTATTAAACGATAGAACAATTAGTTTGTTAAAATGTTGATCAGGATCATATGCAATTGAAGCGCACGGTAGGGAGGGTCGAGGTTAGATTGTTCGTTGTCTGTGAAGTATCGCCTTAATTGAAAAAAAATGAAAAAGATCGAGATCAAATGAGAAAGAATGGCAACAATGACGATACTAATAAGCATTTGGTACTCAAGGGTTGGACGAACAATCCCTGATTTATACTCGCTTGTCAAATGATAGCGCGTTCGTAGTTGGACGAATACAATTAAATTATCTAAGTGGGTTTGATTGAGGGCCAAGTTGTTCTTGTAATGCAACGAATAATTTGAAGCCGGTGCAAGAATAATGATAATATGATAATAAAACAATTAAACTGAATTATAAACAAGTAAAGCACAAGAATTTGCGAATAAAGGCTTTATTTTCTTTGACGATTTTCAGAAACTTTTACCCCTTTGGGTGGTTTTGTTAGCAGCAAGCGTCCAGGGACAAGGCCCATCATTTTATTTTCCAGATCAGCCACAACCCCCTTCCTCTCCTCAACAACAAGGACAGAGGTCAACGCAGGAAGTTTTGGGCAATTTTTTCAATGATAATGTCAACTTACCTTCCATAACCACGTCACAACCTGCATATTCGAGTCCACAACCTCAAGTACCACAGTTTCAACCGTATCAGCCGCAAACTTTTTCAACGTACGTGAAAACAAATTTTCATAGATTTATTACTAAGGACGCTACGTATTCTTGTTCAAATATGGATCTATTATTAAACTTATGTATATTTTCCAGCGGACAACCCCCACAATTCAGTACTGGTTTCCCTGCCCAAAACAACTTCGTGACCAATAGTCCCCCAAATAATAGACCAAGGCAAACGAGCTTTTTCGGGAATAACTATGATTTTTTTAGACAATTTCATTTGGATGCAGCTCCACATCGACCCTCGTATCAAATTCAGCCATTTCAAACAGCGTCCCCATCATTCTCATCCAATGGTAAGTATATACATAAGTCTGTATCTGTGGTACGTAGTACAGCTTTTTAGCGTTACAATTTCGGAAAGATGCTAAGCTGGTGAAGGAAATTTTTGATGATCCAACGTACATAAGAATACAGGAAGAGGTTTAAACTCTTGTTGAGTTATTAAGTAGTATGTAAGCTAGCTAATTCAAAATAATAAGTAGTAGGAAACAGTCGACCACCCACCCCCACTGCCGTCACTGCACCGTCTCCGACAGCGTCACCATCCTTCACGTCCACCCAGTTCTTTGGAAATACCTTCCCCAACTCCCCAGCTCGACCAGCCCCCACAGTCACATACAACTTCATTAATGGTCAACCTGCACAAAATTCGCTGTATAACGGGTTCGAGGATGCCGCTAAGGCGCTTGGAGTCACCCATGGACTTCGCGTATATACGACGGCAACGTTGAAGGACAATCCTACTCACACTGTGGCAACAATTCCCCAGAATACGCCACAACAAGTTGCTGCACAACCGACTGTTGGAAGTATTCCTGAAAATGACCAGGTTCACTTCACTCTCAATTTAAAGAAACGAAATAACAAATCTACCGGACTAATTAACTAACACCACTTCTTCTGGAAACCTGTATTAGCTAAATGTATAACTGAATTTATCTCATTTCCTCTTTTCTGCAACAGCGAATTGAAGACGATGCGTTAACTTTGACCCCCTCGTCAACCATTCCACCAACACCATCCTCAACATCATTGCCTTCATCAACGACAACAACAACTACTCCACCTCCTCCTCCCCTAACTACACCAGCTCCCGTGATAATTCGAAATACAGGACGATCTGTCGCAACTCCCATAGTCCGAACCAAAATTATATCCACCTCACAATCCACACCTCGACCAATCAGTAGCAGCACTGTAGCTACGACATTTTCAACCCCAAAAGTTGTAGTCGTTTCTCACTCGCGACCACCAGTGACTGCATTACGAGCGTTCCCTGGTCGGGACGAAAATGACTTTGAAGCTTCTGCGCCACAACAACCAGCGACAAATTTAGTGACTACTACTCCACCAGTAAAAGCTAAAGCACAATCACACCCACCACCACCACGACCCACCCCCACATTCTCAGAGGAGAGGCCACTTTATAACAATGCCAACCGCCTCAATCCCGGCCAGTTGTACAGCAATACGAATGGAGCTTATCAAGCATATTACAACGGACCTTCTGCTGCACCAACGCCGGCTGGATTGGAAGAAATTGAACCCCAAATTATTGACTTTAATATTCCCATCCATAAAATGATTCCCGTGTTGGAGGAACATGTCCCTTTCCGTACTCAAGGTAGAGAACAAATGCATGGCACGAAAAGCAAAGACGAATTTATTTCTAATCTAATCTAACTATAATTTATTTATAATTTACAATTTATTTATTTAATAAGCCTCTGTGATATTAATATGGTGAAAATTCGTGAAAAACTGTTGTATTTATATGGATATGTGCATGAAGAGCTTATTAACTTTATTGAATGCAATATTTTAATATGGTCAGTCAGTCGTAATTTTGTAAGTATGGCCGACATGTTAATTATTATGACTAATACGTTGCATGCGGTAACATTGTTACACATTACACATATTATCTATTTTATTTTACTCTTGCACAGTTATTGACTAACGGTGTGGTCATGTAATAACCTCGACATTAAACAAAAACTAATGTCACTTTACGAATTCCAGAATATGACCCATACCGTCGCCCCAACAGTTTTGACAATTTCGGTCCACCACCTCCACCATTCTTCTCTTCTCAACAACAACAACCGCAGCAGTCACGTCCCTTCATCCCCTCGCCCCCACAATATGTTGCCCGACCATCACCTCAACCACAGATTGCAGTCATTGTCACAGAGGCGGCCCCGTCACCCACGCCAGCCACCGAGGGTCCCGTCGAAGTCCTCCGCGTTGGACCTAAAGGACGACTCCTCAAAAAGCGAAGGAAGGTTAACAAACCCCAACAGCGAAAGGTTCGACTCCTTTTTCCAATAATGTAACCATTTTTAGAGGACGGAGTAAAAATTTGTGATTCTAATTGTATAGGCTTCAAGCACCACCACGTCAGAGGTCACCACTTATCGACCCCCAGTGCCTCAAGAGCAAGACGAGGATCAAGGTGATAAGCAGAAGCAAGAACCAACAACGTATCGATCCAGGTTCCGGTTTAGTACGACCACCTCGACGTCCCCGCCATCCCCTTCGTCTGAAGGAGGAGCAGCAGCATCCGACGGAACTGATAACTCGCAACAGCTAATCCAGTCTCGTCTCAAATCGCTCGAAAGACAGATTAGATTTCGCCACAGGAACAAGAACTCTTAAACATTAGCTTAGCTCTGTCCTTTATCGTAGTCGTCTTATTTACTTGCTCCGCAAGTACTATTTTCTCGCTTTCCGGTGTTACAATATTAATTAGTGTTATTAGCTACATACATAAATATGATAATGCTTAGAACTTTTTTAACTGTGTGAATGAACAATATGAATGATTCATGACATTGTTATTATTATTGATTTTGTATATTACTGTACTCTAAAGCTCAGTACATTTCCACACAAATAAACGGGTTTTTATATCTTTTGTCGTAAATTGACGTTACTTATCTGTGGAGGTAGATTGAGACAAATCTCAAAATGTGTAAATCAATAAAACTCTGGAAAGAGGCAGTTTGAGACATTGCAATATTGCATACATGTCTCATGACACGACTCTTTTCCTCGTAACCTATTTACTAATTCTGCTGTGAATAACTATTTGCAGTCACCAGCGGAGTTATTATAAATCCAGTTAGTTTTTGGTAAACATGTTGTTTGCCATTATTTATTTAACTACGCATTCGGCGAGGATACTCTAAATTCTGGCTGGGCGTGTTTGCGGCAGAGTTGAACTCTCTCAACTGCAAATTAATGCCGTGGCAAGTACTGCTGCTGTCAAAACCTTACTACGCGAACACTTTGTACTTTATTCGCCGTTACAAAATAACTAGGCTTTAAAATAACTTGAACCATTACGTTTGGGTAAGTGTGGCTAATTCTTAAAATTTATGAATGTGCTATTTAAGCGTAGTTAAAAAATAATTTGATTTTTTATACTTTTTTTCTGGGCTTTGACAAATACTTTAATCATTACGTCATTATAATTAACGAACATGACAATAATCATTTTCTTCTTTTGATCAGGTGGAAACTTGGAATGGATACTGCTTGATATTCAACTTTGTGTCAAATATAACCTGTAATTAATTAAAAGTATCAAAATGACCCGTGGACCTGGTCCGAAGCGAGAGGTGAGTTATTTCAGACTATTTTTCACCTAACACTGCCTATTGGTTGCCTAATTGCTCGGAATCATTAAATTTGTATAGGCTGGTGGAGGCAAGGGGAAGGACACGTTGCCCCCACAACCCACCCAACTCGCTCTGATCGACATCGTCACACGTTTGACCAATACAAACCCTTCGGACGGTGCTCTGGCACTGGGAGCACTAGCGCCGCTGGGGGCCAAGGAACTCATGGACAATGATGATCTCGCCACTGCGCTCGTGGTCGATTCCCTGTTGGGATTTACTACTCATAAAATGAAAATTTGGTGAGTCTGACCTATGGATCCTTACAATTTGTTTAACCGTTATTGCGTTTATGGTACTTTTTTTACTCCCGTATTTCTATTTAAAAAAGCTACCGGTCCCCATTCTCTGCTCCTGGAAGAACGTATCAAGTAAAGAAAATGTTACAAAACTTCCTGGAGCATAACGACTACTCTAAGATCTCTAGTGAGTTAGCAGATCTCTTCGAATCCTGCAAAATTAAGGGACTCACTCCCTCAGGATATCAACATGTAAGCCTTCTTTATTTATAGTATTGTTGGTTATAAAGGGTATCTACAATGATATTACTATTAATGCTGTCAGATTATTCGATATCTTCGAATATTTCATCCCGATGCCGGATTTCAACTTGTCCCGTGCTATCGGTATTCAGCAGAAAGATTTGTTGGAGCAAAGATTTGTGCAACACGGAAATGGTAAGCAAATGATGATGCAAATATCATAGACATATTCCCATTATTTAAGCTGTTGTCAAATCATATTTTTAATAGGAGCAAAGGCGAAGAGATGAAATCGCTGGTTGGTTGCATTGCGGAACTAAATAGAGAAGAAGAAGGTCAATATTTGAGGACGGGTTTGAATGACTTTTCTGTCATGTATTCCTGCCGTAAGAAATGCTCTCAGCTTTGGCTCGGACCTGCAGCATATGTAAATCATGATTGCCAGCCGAACTGTCGAGTAAGTAATATTTATTTTATGGAAATTCCAATTATTATGTTACAAAATATATGATTAATTAATCATTAAATGTTTTATTTCATCTAAAAGTATGTTTCCACCGGACGTTCAACAGGTAATAAACAATGAGTTGATGTCGAGCTAACCAATTGTTAATTTTTTAAATAACTTGTTCAATAGCTGTCATCCAAGTCTTACGTGATATCGAACAAGGCGAAGAGATTACTTGTTATTACAGTAGAGACTTTTTTGGTGATGGGAATTCTGTTTGCGAATGCCGAACTTGTGAGAGGTTAGTTCGCGTCATACTTTTGTGTACAACTAATATTAAACCACACACCAATCATTAAACTGCTTAAATTCGACACATTTATAGGTTATGCACAGGAAAATTTTCGGCTACATCTACTGCCAGCACTGCATCAGATCCTTCGCAAAGTTCTTCATCTCAAATTAAAACTCAACAAGAAGAAGGATATAAACTTCGGGATACAAGGAGACGGCTTAATCGACGTCGTAACACGGAATCTTCTTCAGAAAGTGAAGATGCCACTTTTGGAATAGGAGGACTTTTATCGGATTTTAATCTTCTCAACTTTGCCAACTCGCACAACCACAATAGTGTCGACCATTTTAGAAGTCGAATTCTCAATCTGCCGAGTAGTAAAAATCGATTCATGCCAAGGTCACAAAGTGAAATTGAACCACGGCAAAGAGGTAGGCCACAGAAGCGTCGGCTTAAAAAGTTTAGTTCAGAAATCCTGCAAACTTCAAATAATGACCGGGGAAGCGATAATGATAACCTTGGTGGAGATATTGAAGCAAAACGCATATGCTCCGAGCAACACGCTAATTAGCTTTATCTGTTGTTGACTTGTACAGACATAATCTGAAGAATCGTTGAGGCTGGTATAATTTATTATTATTCCCATTCTTGTTGATATTTAGTCCGAGCCAGGACCTATGAAACCGTCATATCCATGTCTTTATTGCGACGATTCTCCTAAAGCTTGAAATGTTGTACACATTATGTGTACGCTACAGAGAAATCAAGTACAACAACAGGTATAGATAGATGATCGAGTTCCAGTGATGGGTCAGTCATAAAGTGTGGTTGGTTTGACCGCACCGACTTGTACACATTGTCACCTGAAAGTTGGGAAGGTTCAAAGGCACATAAAATCTAAGGACAAGAAGGTTGCCAGACATAAACTCACACTGTTAAGAAAGATGATAAGGAGGCAGAAAAAATGGATGGCTCGGGCTAAATCAAGTTATACTATAGGGTGACTAGGGTGTTTAACCAGACGATTTGTAGTATAAATCTAGCACTATCTGTGTACATAAGCGCTATAAGAGAGTGTATTCAAGTATCATTCCTTTGGCGAAATTGGCCAGGATTTTTAAATGTTAGTTAATTTTAACTTGTCATTAATTTAAATATCTCATAAAACTAAGGTGTTCGGGTTCGGGTCGGTGTTATTGTGTTCAGTTGGTGGATTGATAATTAACCGAATTACCTTCATACTTGATACACGCCATTGTTCAAAACGTTGAAAACAATATCAAATATTCCCACCAACGTGTATTTGACTGTACTATAAACTATCGATGTAATTTATTATTTCATTTTTGTAGAAGCAGAATGTTTTGTGAAATTGAATAATTGCTACGTTAATGCATAACAAAAACCGTAGAAAAATGTGTCACTAATATAATATGCATATGTATGTAATTAAGGATGCGTGCGTAGTCTGAATTAAATGTAGTATCTGTGTATTAGAGGGTGATGGAATGAGTAGTTGGATGTTTTATTTATTTGACATAAGAATCTGGTAGTAAAAATTAGTAGCGAATAGGTTATTTATCATGGTGTATAAAATGTGGTAGTATGGAATACAAAATAAGTGCATATGTGTATAAAGGATAACATTGGTTGGTGCTACTTATTTATTAGTGTGGGCATGCAAAGCTATTAATTAAATGTTGTTTTGTTGATTATTGTTAAGGACAATTCTGCATTGTTTAAATATTAATTCATGTGTGTATTTCTTGTTGTGTAATAAATGTCTTGTGATAATTTTCGTCTTTCCTTTCTTTAAATAATCGCCGTAACTAGTTACTATTCTAGTTAATTACGCTTAAATATTAATGACAAATTAACAGGTGTTGGAAGGTTAACTGAAGGATTTTAAAGACGCCTTTTACAAATGGAATTTTTAGCTGTACTAATAGATTTGATAGGCGGTTTTTTGGGGTTGCGAATTTGGCTGCTTCCTTCAAAAATGACCTTTTGAAAATTATGGTTTAAATTAGTTTTGGATTAAAAATGATCCTTTTGGATTATTGATTACCTTTTGGATCAAAGTCTTTTTCAGAGCCACTGACCATTTTTCACCTTTTTCCGCCGTAGGGCTTAATGGGACTTTTTCAATCAGGTAACGAAGACCGGCTAAGGAAAGAAGGCACAAGTAATAATTTTTTAAATCAATAAAATACTCGGTGAGAAATGCACAATCAGAACCAAGAATTTTGCAGTGGTGTGTGTTACCAGTTGAACTTGGCGCTTGGTTACACACGTGTCTCACATTGTCCAAGCTAATGTCACCTAGCGGCAGGTGGGGCACTATGTTACATTTTTCGTTTCTAGAGGGCGTTTTTCGCTAAAGTGTCAAAACGTTGACGAACACGAGAACAACGAAACACACCCTTTAGATCTGCCGAGACTTGATCAAATGAACGGGCACACCCCCTAAACTTGACATTCGACCTGTGACCTGGGGACACCCACCAGACTTGACATTTGACCTGTGACCTTGGCACACCCACTAGATTTGACATTTGACCTGTGACCTTGGCACACCCACTAGATTTGACATTTGACCTGTGACCTTGGCACACCCACTAGAGTTGACATTTGACCTGTGACCTTGGCACACACCCCTGGACTTGACATTTGACCTGCGACCTGTGTACAACCCATAAAGTTGACACTTGACCTGTGGCTGTGGCTTGGGCACACCCATCATACTTGACCTGGGACCTCGGCACACCCGCTACACTTGACCTGTGACCTGGGCACACCCACTACACTTGACCTGTGACCTCGGCACACCCGCTACACTTGACCTGTGACCTCGGCACACCCGCTACACTTGACCTGTGACCTGGGCACACCCACTACACTTGACCTGTGACCTCGGCACACCCGCTACACTTGACCTGTGACCTCGGCACACCCGCTACACTTGACCTGTGACCTGGGCACACCCACTACACTTGACCTGTGACCTCGGCACACCCGCTACACATGACCTGTGACCTGGGCACACCCACTAGATTTGACATTTCACCTGTGACCTGGGCACACCCACTAGATTTGACATTTCACCTGTGACCTGGGCACACCCACTAGATTTGACATTTCACCTGTGACCTGGGCACACCCACTAGATTTGACATTTCACCTGTGACCTGGGCACATCCACTATACTTGACCTGTGACCTGGGCACATCCACTATACTTGACCTGTGACCTCTGTGCCCCACGGTAAAGTTGACACTTGACCTGTGCCTTACTAATTTTAATTACCTACCAGCGCCACCTATCGGATGTTGGCTGTTTTTCAGCGCTAGAGGGCGGGCTTTTGGTTTAAGTGCCTAAACGTACTTAAAACGTTAGAACAATGCCATACTTCAGAGTTGTGACCTAACGTTTTTCGTGGTAACCCCCTTTAGAGTCGTGACCTAACGTTTTTCGAGGTCACCCCCTTTAGAGTCGTGACCTAACATTTTTCGTGGACACCCCCTTTAGAATCGCAACTGAACGTTTTTCATGGTCACCCCCTTTAGAGTTGTGACCTAACGTTTTTCGTGGTCACCCCTTTTAGAGTCGTGACCTAACGTTTTTCGTGGTCACCCCCTTTAGAGTCGTGACCTAACGTTTTTCGAGGTCATCCCCCTTTAGAGTCGTGACCTAACGTTTTTCGAGGTCATCCCCCTTTAGAGTCGTGACTGAACGTTTTTCGTGGCCACCCCCTTTAGAGTCGTGACCTAATGTTTTTCGTGGTCAACCCATAGAGTCGTGACCGGACGTTTTTCGTGGTCAACCCATAGAGTCGTGACCGGACGTTTTTCGTGGTTACCCCCTTTAGAGTCGTAACTAAACGAATTTCGTGGTCACACCGATAGAGTCGTGACTTAACGTTTTTCGTGGCCACCCCCTTTAGAGTCGTGACTGAACGTTTTTCGTGGCCACCCCCTTTAGAGTCGTGACTGAACGTTTTTCGTGGCCACCCCCTTTAGAGTCGTGACTGAACGTTTTTCGTGGCCACCCCCTTTAGAGTCGTGACTGAACGTTTTTCGTGGCCACCCCCTTTAGAGTCGTGACTGAACGTTTTTCGTGGCCACCCCCTTTAGAGTCGTGACTGAACGTTTTTCGTGGCCACCCCCTTTAGAGTCGTGACTGAACGTTTTTCGTGGCCACCCCCTTTAGAGTCGTGACTGAACGTTTTTCGTGGCCACCCCCTTTAGAGTCGTGAAGAACGTTTTTCGTGGCCACCCCCTTTAGAGTCGTGAAGAACGTTTTTCGTGGCCACCCCCTTTAGAGTCGTGACCTAACATTTTTCGTGGACACCCCCTTTAGAATCGTGACTGAACGTTTTTCGTGGCCACCCCCTTTAGAGTCGTGAAGAACGTTTTTCGTGGCCACCCCCTTTAGAGTCGTGACAACGTTTTTCGTGGCCACCCCCTTTAGAGTCGTGACTGAACGTTTTTCGTGGCCACCCCCATTTAGAGTCGTGACTGAACGTTTTTCGTGGGCACCCCCTTTAGAGTCGTGACTGAACGTTTTTCGTGGGCACCCCCTTTAGAGTCGTGACTAAACGTTTTTCGTGGTCACACTCAATTACAGTCGTGACAACGTTTTTCGTGGACACACCCAATTAGAGTCGTGACAACGTTTTTCGTGGTCACGCCCATAGGGTCGTGAGTGAACGTTTTTCGTAATAAAATAATAAAATCGTTTTGCTTAGAGCCCGCACTGCGGGCTTAAGAGACTAGTACATACCTAAAAGCTGTCTTTGTCTGTTAATGTCAAGTTGATCTTTCGCCTTTTTCCCGCTCGGCGTAAACTCTTTGAGCTCGTTGTCTGTAAATAGGTTACGAATCAAAAGATCTTTGCCTACCGCGACAGCACCGTGTTCCTTGTAAAATTGCACTGCAGCCATCCAAGTCGTAGATGAAAATGCGTGAGATTGAATTTCGTCGTCACTGTCATTTTCACTCTTAGAAGTCTGTGGGTTCAAATTTATGACGCTTATGTAAGTTAATTTGGTATACATATATTTAACAAATTATTCGCTTACAATCACAGTAACCAATCCAGAAAAATTTGGATCATTCAAAATTGGTTCTATTCCACCATTCAGACTTAAGCTCTTAAAATAGTTTGAATCAATTTCCAAAATACTGATGTCGTCAGAGTCTAGCTTATTAGTTTGTCCACTATTTGGTACAGATGCCTTATTTGGTAGTCCCGTCGAAAGTACTGCATGACTTGGATTTTCCGCTGGGTAGGTGAGTTGAGCCCCAAGTTCTTCCATTGGATAATTGTTGTCGTAAGCATTATTTACATTGTTAAAAGTTTGACCAATGATTGGTGGCCCACCCATCGGTACGCTTGTGTCAAGTCCATTATATGACTGCAGTATTGGAATTTGGTCACATTGAGTTGGAATTACCACATTTGAATTACTATTGGCCATTTCCCTTGATTTGATACGAGCAAGACGAGCTAGAATTGCTTCCGCAGTCAATTCTAATTCGCCATTTATTGCAAGACACTCATAGACCGAGGGATAAAGATTGTGGTCTCTAATTGCAGAGTCGAACTGGACGGGGACCCCGTCTTGCATGAAATCTTTGTTACGGAGAAACTTTGCTCCTCCTGTTAACGAAACATTTCTTACATTTCAATTGCATATACGTTGACAAATATTTAACACAAAGTAACACCCACTGTAAATGGCCAACAGCTTGACTGGACATAAATCATTGATGTTGTCGAATTTTCCAGCATTTTTTAAATCAAGTCGTATGGAGTGACTTGCAATTTTTGCCGCTATCTTTTCAATAGTCCGTAACTTGGAAGCATCCTCCATTCGTTGTTTACTAATTTGAAAAATGTCCTGAATGCAAGAAGTATGCAAACATTAAGCATTAAGTAAGAAATGCAAATGTTCCATTTTCTACTTACCACTATTTGATCTGTATTGTTCGGAATCGTAGCTCTCGTTAGGGCAGCTACATAGGGAGGAGTTAAATACGACACTCTAAATTTTGTCAAGCTAATGTGCACGATATTTAATTAGAATATTGTTAACTAACGTACCAGCAATTTGAGCTGTGTTTATATCCTTGTAAGTTTCACCAATTGACTCATAATACGCCACACATTTTTGAAACATCTGATCATACTTCTCTTGTTCCTTTATTGCTCCAGTTATATATTGATATTGCATTAATGTATCATTTGCTGGGACATCCCAGAAAACATTAACCGGCATTTGGCTGATAATTGTTTGTAGTGCTTGTTCTAGTTCGGGTGGTGGTTCGGGATCAAATATTGGATGAGTTTGTCGAAGAGCATCCATCATTATTTCAGATTCTTGCTCAGTTGGTCGAGGCAGTTGCATAATTTCGGCAAATGTCAATGGAAAGGACCAAGGATCAATGTGACTATTTTCATGAAATTTTGACATTTGCCAGACTGCTGCATCTGTGTGGAGAACAATTCATTCGTAATTAAATCATCATACATACTTACACACTGGCAATTATATTACTCGGTTTGATTAATTTTGCTTAGCTTACACATAATAATTTGAGCAGTGTTACTTCTTGCAATGAAATCGAGGTTAATTACTTTGAAACAGTCCTGATTTACCATAACTTTCATAAGCTGTTTAGTTGTCGAAATTAGGTCAAATTGTATAAAAGCTCGTGCCCACTCTACTGGTTTCATGCGTATTTGAAATGTCCCATTATTCATGGTAGGTATCTATTTATTTGAAAATATTTTAGTTTCAGACATTCAAAATTTGCGATTTTTTTGGTGAATAGACTTAAGTGTTTAAAAAAAACTTTGCAAATTTTTACGTACATCTCTGATGATTAAGTCGTAGTTTAGAAAAGGCTTGAAATAAATAATGTGTGCATTTCCAGTTACTCCTTCCACAGAGTCGTCCGTCGTAGTATCAACAAAATATTGTCGACACTGGTCTATTTCGTCAGGAAAATTTTCGTCTAAAAATTTCTTCGCCATGGTAGAATTTACGTACTTTAACTTCTGATATTCGTTCGACTGTCTAAAAACTTTTGAAACTGCGTACGTTATCTGAAAATAATCCACCTGCCTATTTAGGGTGTGGTGGCGTGGTGAAGTATGTTTAACTTAAACTTATATTATCAACAGCTCTATGTCCGTTAGGATAAATTTAAGGGATGGAAGTTACTTGCACTAAGCTTGCCATGTACACATCTGTAATGTCGAGACACAAGTTCCTGTATTTTTTATTATATGCAATTTGGTTATCAATATATATTTAGGTACGTAAAAGTCAAGTTGCACATAACTGAACGGACAATGATTGCACAACCTCCTATGCATACATACACCGTTCATGATCTGAAGTTCATGATGATGATTACATACATACATACTTGCTAGTTCATGGGAGTTGAATCATTTTGATGTGAACAAAACAACGCATCAAGTGAGAGAGACATATTGAAACACGTGCGTGACGTATTTATCATGAAGTATTTTTATTACATCAATCATTTTTAGAAGTGCTGAGTAAATTTTTATGATAAATTATGAATGACTAATTAGTCAGTGATCAATAGTGATCATGAGATAAAATGAGCCTCAAAATCTCAACACTTGACTTTAAAATGTGTGTTGTATGCATATGCATGTATTAGTCATTAAGTTACAACCAACATATTTTATTCTTATAAAACTACTGTTCCAAAATGTGTTTTTATCGTTAAAACAAAATTTCCTTGCACATTCGTTACCTATTTATGTTGCATTTTCTCATTATTTTCCTGTATAAAAGAATAAATTACTAGTGGAAATTACACTTAAAATCAACAATCTTGAATTCTACCTCGTTTATAATTTTTACACCCTGCTTGCTGACGTTACTTTGTATTTAAAAACAAAACAAAGGAATATATAAATATTTATTAAACAAATCAGAATTTTACTGCAGATCAAACCGGGTTAAATTTATAAAAGGGGTTGTGCTTGTCTCGATGTACGAATGCGAACTTGTTGCTGAGATTTTTCTGCTCGTCGGAGCCAACAGATTGGAAAAAGTACTCCAACTATCTGAAGAAGGGCAAGAGACGCAAATAATATTGCTGTGAAAAGAGCATGTCTTGTGTACAACTGTTCAACTTGGTCCCAACATCCCTGAAAATTGTCATTCAAAATCAAATATGAATTATCGACTCAATGGATTGTTCAAAAATGTGTGCATGTAAATATATTGTGCTTACATTGACGTAAAGGTAATCATCCGACTCCATGGGATTCACAGACTGGCAACGTTTCACCCAGGAGGAAGATTCCGTGGAAGACGAAATATAGAATGATTCCGTGGACGACGCTTCTCGGAACAAGTTGTGGTCATCATCGTCTCCGTCGTACGGATGGGTGTGGTTAGTGGCCATGCTCCATCGAGACAGGGAGATTGGTGTCGTGGAGCAGCACGTGTACGGTACTTGAAGGCCGTTGTTTAATGCCATACTTCGCCAGCTACTCTGGTCATAGTCCGTATAGTTATTAAATCCACAACAATGTAGCTGCAACATAAAAACCAAACCTATAAACAGACTCAAAAATTCATAAAATAAATTCTCGTTTTGGCAACCACGTGTTGATAACACTTTAATAAACCTACTCCAAGCAACTTTGCGGGGCCTTTTAAGATGGCATTAATATCATCTTGGTAGTTAACGGCAACACATTTGGGTGGAAAAGACCCCCACTGGCCAACTACTTGGCCGATCATGCCCATCCGAACTCATCCTTACTTTTGACCCGAAGGTGAAGTGTGCAAAATTTCAAGTCGATAGCTTGTGTTTAAAGAGAGTTATCGTGCGCACAGACGGACGCACAGACGGACGGACAGACAGACATCGTGGTAAATCTATAAGGCCATCTTAAAAGGCCTAAAAAATGTGCGTGAAATCTCTCTACAACTCTTAAAGTATGATACTTTGCACTTTCATGGCCCAGTCTTAGTTTTGCGAAACTTGGCATATGCATGCGTTATCATTTTCTGTTCCTTACTGTTGCTTGAGTGAAGTCTACGGCGGTATTAAATGCGAGCTCGTATGGGTATCTGTAGTGAAGGTATGGGTCAGTAAGATTTAATCATGGTGAAAATGAAGTAATGCATGCATATGTATCTATTTACCCGAAATCAGTTTTCAGTTTCTCAACCAAGGATCCTTTCAACTCGGTAGCTACGGACGGGAATATGAAGTAAATGTAAAGTGAGCCTGCAGCCAGACCAATCTCGGCTACAAACACGAATATCAAGAGATACACGTACTGCAATAAAAGCCACAACAATAAGTATTAGACATAAGAATGGGCAGATATGGACGCAAATTTTTAGCGTGATAATAATATCGTGCTAATTACCGTCTTGATTATGCAATTATTATCACACAAAGTCCCAAAACAACCAAACAGCCCAAGAGTGATGATAAACCCACCAAGTGCAATTATGGATAAGGCGAATAAGATGAACATGTACTGCGGAACATTGTCCAACGATAACAATGTAAATGTTTGAATATAACTGGGGTCATAGAGAGAGGCTGAAAAATAAAATACAGCTTGGTTGATGTATATCTCACACTATTTCAAACTTTAATTAAAATTTCTATAATTTATTAATTTAATATCTCACCTCCACCAAATAGCACCAGGAGACCTCCAGAGATCTGAAATCATGACATGAAAAATTGTGCATAAATGCAACACGAGATTGATTAAAGTGAACTAATGCTTTCTTACCCATGAGAAGATAACATTGCAGAAAATCAGGACCAATCTGGTACACTTTGTTCCGCTTAGAGACATTTCTCCTCAATGTAATGCAGGCCCGTTTTAAATTGTTTGTTTATAAAATTTAAAAAACATTCAACATCAATTTGCTAAAAACTATGTATTATTCAGACTCATTTTATAGATTTCACCCTACTAAAAATCACTACTTCCTGATGTAAACTTGAACTTGAATGCTAATAAAATCTGATGTGTTGTAAATTTGTGAATTAGGGGCAACCTTCTTCCAACATTACCACCGAACCGGATGAGATCCAAATCCAACACAATGCCAAAAGTTCCACTTGAGCAATTTTGTATTATTTAGACAACACAACAGTTCACTAAACTATCTGCCAGTCCATCATACTCTGCTTTTTATATTCTGCACTTTTATCATTGCATTGCTTTGGTTATTTAGAGAAATTTGTCTACTCTACTGACAGAGCTGAGATCAACATTGCTTCATTCTGCTTGTGTATAAGTTACATACGTAGCATATCAGTAGTGACTTGCAATGACTTGCTGGAGTTATGATGAGAAAGATGCTTGAGGGCATGGATAAACTAAAAACTAAATCTCTATTCATCCAATCCAACACCGGTCGTTCCATTCCTTAACGTGATGATGGAATACGTAACGTTCAGCATCAACAAGTTGCTTATTTTCTCTTGAATTCACCCCTTGCTAATCCACATCCACTCCATCATTTCTGCCCTTTCTGGGTGTTAAATAAATGTGCTTGTACTGTAGCAAGATAGAACAGAAGAGACGGAACAAAATAAAATATGATAAAAAATGCGGCCATGTAAGCAAGCATGCAGATGCCGATTAGTCTTTGCTAGAATCCCGTGTGTATATGTACATATCTTGTGCATAAGTCTGGGATTTTATCCGTGAACGAGTGGTCCTATCTTTGTCATGCTTTTTTAACTTCACAATAAATCTTCAGAAATATATAGCAACTCAACAGACTGATTTTGTAATCTGTGTTGTGTTCATCATTACAGACTTGAGCTTAAGAGTTCTTTAAGTGGTAATTTGTCATGACATGAAACTGAAAGAGTTTAGGCAGCGACATACTTCGTGGTAATTATTATGTTTATGCTGAGCAAGAGCCGGAACTAAAGGGGGATGCGTGCAAATAGCACATTTGTCTCATGCAAAATTATGCTTGTGCACATTGCGAGTTTATGTATGATGTTCAACTCAACGTTTCGTATGTAATTGCATTCTGTTTGTCGCATTTTTCAAAATTGGAGGACCCTGGTTCTTTTATGGTCGTTTTATTTTTACGGTCGTACATAATTATCTTGTGCACTTCCAGAGATGTTATGTATGATTTATAAAGCTTATTTGATAGGATTTGAGTGAACTGCAATGGATATTATAATACAAGCTTAGGAATTAAAGGGTATTCGAATCGCTGTAAAATATATCGAATTAAAGGGAGTCAAGTTACGAGACATTTATTGCAAAAAAATATAAAGCTGAGAATAATTGGATATATTTATATCTAAAGTTTCAGCGAGACTGCATTTAGCATCGTCTGCATATTCGACCGCAACAACCTTGCATATAGTAAGGTCCGTAGTATCCGTAATGGCGTCTTTGTCGGACAAGAGGGTGCTCAGACCACAAATTTTCTCCAATTTCTGCATCCATTTCTTCAGGTTCTTAAGTTATAATTAAATTTAAGTTAGAACATACATTTACCAGAATGAAAGAGTTGAAAGTCTAGTTGCTTACCAAATGGAAAAGTGGAAATGGCAGTGAACAAGACCAGGAAACTGGCAAGCAGGACCAATGCAGTGAATCGGGAGAACATGACGACGCCTGACCAGACCAGAATCGACCGAGTATCAGATTGGCGATAATATTTCAAGTGTTCTGGCGGACAATATTCTGAAACGTAGCTTTTAAATGAAGAGAACAATGGCATTGTCACCTGCATTATATCACGTCGCACTACAAATATGTGTAATAGGATATTACGCAACTTCAAAATTAAAACAATATCGTTTAGCAATCTAACATTTGTTTGTATGTATGTAACATAACCTTACAATTTAATCGCCGGAATTATTTTTTATGACAATTTTTTTGATGATATGAAAGTTACAAAAACTTTCAATGGATAAATACTCAAAATTTACTGAATAAAGAGGTCGATACGTATGTAGATGGGTATGCAGTTGAAAATAATTGAGAGAAAATATCATTTAAACAATACTAAATTTAATTTCAGTTTATATATCTCAATACACATTTACGTAACAAAAACAAGTCAAATAAATTATTTCATGTCCAACATTAAAGAAATAAATACGTTTTCATTTAATAAGCAGGTCTTGCAGTACGTCCGTTGTTTTCTTGTCAGGCTTTGAAATTCTATTGTTAATTCCTTGGAACAATAGCTTCATAAAGCCTGCTACGTCACGAGCTGGGTCATCATCTCCCAGATCAATATCTTCCTCCGCCGGTTTCTTTTGATCTTCCTGACTGGTTTCATCCTCTTCCTCCTCGTCTTCTCCACTCTCGTCCGACTTTTCACCTCCATCTCCATCAGAGGAGGGTGTGGTCGATGACGATGCATTCGGAGTGGGCGTAGTAGCACTTATTTGAGTGGGAGAAGAATTGGAATATCCAAAATGTCCTGGTTTCGCACGTTGGTCCTCGTCTTCTTCTTCCTCCTCTTCACTACTTTTCTTTTCGCTGGATTGCTTCTCCTCAGATTGGACCTCACCTTCTGCACTTTCCTCGCCAGTTGGTAGTTTTGGGGGAGTATAGTTCTTATCCTTGTCTCGTCCATCGTACTTTTTCTTGTCAGGAACATAGTCTGGATGACCAGTCGGTTCTGGTTGGAATGGTCGTCGCGTCACTGCATAACGTGTGGGACTATCTTCTTCGTCCGAATTGGAGGCAGCGTGCAATAGAAAATTTGGAAATGTGGGGTCTTCCACTTTGGCATCTTCGTAAATTGGGGAAATTCCATCCATGTAGGTAATCACTTTCTGACCCAGAATTCCATGGGGTCGAGGTTCGTACGGAAATAGGCCGGATGGTCGAGAATACATAATTTCAGGACCGGGTGGGGCAGCTTGGCGAAGGCCGTTACGAAGGCCGTTTCGATACCTTACTGGAGTTTCCTCTTCAGAACTCTCTTCTTGTTGCGAAGTGCTGGGCTTGTTTTTCTTGTGACGGATTTTGTAGGGTTCTAGGAATGCTCCGACATGGTCATCATTTTTGTCGCGATCTGTGAAATTCGAATACGTTAGAATTACTTACAATTCTTTTTAAATATTATGATGACCTAAAAATAGTTACTTTTATTTTTATTTTCCTTCTCTCGAAGTCGTTTCTGTTCATTTAAGTACTTGTCCACGACACGGGATGGGACTTGAAAGTTGACACCGTCCGCGAGTTGTGGGTCTTGCGTGGGTGGGGGTTGAGTTGGTGCAATTAACGGTCGAAGTACCCATTCCTTGTTATAATACATTATAATCCGTTATTTCCAAAATATTCCGCTTAATACTCAATTTTATTTATTATTTCTTTTGCCTGATTTGGACTCCATGCTCTGCAATCATGTTCCTCAACCGTACGAATTCTCCTACGTAAACACAGGTTCCACCATCAACGTAATTTAAACAAAAAATGTGATTTTCTCACGTTTTGTAAAGACATTTTTGCGTCCATTCGGATTTGATGATGTATCTCCCTCTGCCAACACTTTCAATTTTCCACACTTTACGAACAAAACTCCCTTTTTTCATCGAGTCCCCATCGTAAGTTACTGGATAATTTGTCTCATGAATTCTAGGCATGACATCATATTCGTTGGGTTGTTTCTGTGAAATTGTTCCAAATTAAGTATGATCAATCTCTCCGAAGTCCCATACAATAATTATATAATGTATATAAGGAAATTCCACCAGATAAATTGGAGGAAATTTTATAATTCTATAAATTGAATGAAACAACGCTCCCTCAGATTCGGATAAATCGTCAGATTTGCAATCTTTTAATCTCTCCTAGAATACATACTTAATAAAAATAAAATACAATTTTACCTCGCTAATCTCCCATTGTTGTGCCTTTGGAATAAAGGATTGCGGAGGAAGAGTGTTAACTCTGGCAAAGTCATTTTCCCCTTTTTGCACAGTGAGCATCTGCAAAATGAGAATGTGATGAATGAATGAGACATAATTGGATGTATTAAAATAAAATTATACCGATGCATCCACAGCACTTTGGATAACATATCGACCAGAAGGAACTAAATACAAGTCACAATTTCTTCACCATTTTAATAATAGCCTAGCTATTAAGATTCTTCTGAAGAACGGTTTTTACCTTTAGCCCCGCAAGGTGAGACAGACTCAATTGTATTGTGAAAATTTATCAGAGAGAGATCCATTTGATGAACAGTGTGAAATGGTTGAATCACAGCTATTATATTTGCAATGAAAAGTCAATTATTTACGAATTGTGTGCACATCATGTGTGAATGTAAGTGCGTAGCAATCAAATGCTCATACTCACCAATACGACCCTTGCAGTTCTTCCGGTCATAAAACTGCATACAACTTCCGTGCGTGTTCACGGACTGGGTCAAATTCGCCCACAGTCTCGGCACATTGGTGCATTCTTTATCACCAATGTCGAGAGTTAAACTTTTTCCTGGAAATTAATAAAATTTGTCACTTTTTAAATTTCAAACATTTTACACAACAAAGTGCGTGAATATGTACGATATAACTTACCAAACTTATCCTTGTGAACATAAAGGTCTACCTCCATTCCACACAGAACATTCCATGGCACGCTCGCCAGCACCAAAAATGTTAGACCCAAGCTCATTCTTTTTTATTTAGTTGAAAATAATTAAAAGTTAAAAAATTTCAAAAGAAAAAATATACATTAATTTAGAATTTATCACCTGCAAGTTTGGCCAGCTCCGCACTATATCTCACCGTACCACAAATTGATACTGATGTCGATTGGAAATCTTTTCTTACGCAAGCGGAAGGTCGTCGAGTGGGCAAAGTGCATAATTATTTAACTTTTGGGGAAGTTAAAAAAGTGCGACGATAAAGATGATATGTAAAGAGAAATTTTGCTGGGGCAAGTTACAGGACGAGGGGGATTGGCACTCATGGCATAATGACGGTGATGCATGATGATGAGATGAGCAATATTGTTATTGTAGTAATATTTTATAATATTGGCTAGTTGGCGTAGTGGATATGCATACATGAGAGAAATTGAAAGTGAAACTCGGCCACAAACTTGACATTCGACATGAATTGAAGGGAGTAGTAGGCACGCGTCAAAAAGCCGGTTTTCTCTTGTTTTGTCATTATCGTTTTGTCACTAAACTCACATTGCCAATAATATGGCCGGCCATAACAAAAGTTGCAAAAAGTTCCCCAACTTCCCAAGAAAATGTTGGGGACCTGTGGGTTCTAATTAAACGAATAAAATTAGAACTGCTTTCCATTATTCTTAAATAGGCAGAGTTTATGCACTTCCGGTATAATTTAGTACCTAACATTCATATGCATACAACTAAAAAAAATCTATGTAACTTAACATACGTATTCATGAACACACTTTATGCAACGTTATTAGTACCAAACATTGAAATTACACAACTCATCGATAAAAGATGATAAAAAGTAGGATGGTTAATAATGTATCTGATAATACGCTATGTCTACAGTTGACAGTAAATACTACAGATATTGCTACTTACTCTATGCATAATATGTATGCATCTAAATAGAACGTGATCTTCAATCATTGATACTTTTTTTCAAATTCTCCAGTGACAAATGCTACGCCTGAGTTTTGTATGAAATTGTAAGAGTGGCATTAGACCAAGTTGAGACCTGTGTAATGATTTACTTGTACATATATTAGTGTAAATGCACTAGGAAGACCTTGAGTACATAGCTCAATTGCACTTTCAACTTGAGTGCTGATTAGAAATCTCGCATATCTTTAATTTAATATAATAAATTATTTATATATATAAAGCATATATTTATATGGCATACCAACTGGCAAAGCTGTGATGTATGTACATATGTAAGTTGGTACAACAAAAGCGTCTGCTGTTGGTACAGAACCACTACCTATATTTTATGTTTATGATTGATAAATTCAACATTCCGAGTATGTCGGGCACGGGGCCATTGAATGCCAGGATGGCACGGAGCCAATATTTTGTTACATAACAGCGGCATATGAGAGAAAGATCGACATCATCAGCTCATAACCCAGCCCCGGTTTCACACTTATCTAAGATCCAGCACGTATGTACATATGTAAAGTATTATGGTGTGAGTTATGCATCTGGATTTTTTTGTGATTTCAGCTGACTATAGCTGTATTATTAGTTTGTCCTTATTGCTTCTCTACCGGGTACCAGGTAAAAATATTTTTTGTTCACAATCCGTTTTGAATCTCAAGAATTTGTTTCATTCTCCAATTTTCCGATTCTCCAGCAAGGTCATGACCACCACGGCACTACTCCATGGAAAATCAGTCTTAGTAACTGGATCCACTTCTGGAATAGGATGGAGTATTGCTACCCAGTTTGTAAAAGCTGGGGCCCAAGTAATGCTGCAAGGTTTGGAGAAAGAGAGTGAGGTGGGTCATCTTATCTCCCAATTGGAGGGACTTGCACCATCAGCACGTGTCGCCTACACTCAGGCTGACCTTTCCTCGGAAAAGTCATGCAACCATCTCATCGCTCACACCGCCGATACTTTGAGATCGTTGGACATTCTGGTGAATAATGCAGGAATCCAATTTACATCTCGTACAGAAAGCTATCCAACAGAAAAATGGGATGCTGTACTCAAGCTAAATCTTTACGCACCGTTTTTCCTAAGCAGGGCTGCTCTTCCGGAAATGTACAAAAAAGGGTGGGGACGTCTCGTGCACATTGGATCAGCACACAGTCTCAGAGCGTCTCCAAATAAGTCTGCTTACTGCGCCGCGAAACATGGGGTGCTTGGTATGGATTCATTAATAAACCACTCTTACCCATTTGTTAATTAGGTGATTTGCAGGGATGTCGAAAGCCATTGCGCTAGAAGCCGCCGGACGCGGTGTGACGAGTAACACGATTTGTCCAGGGTGGGTTCTGACTCCGCTGGTTCAGAAACAGATTGACAACATTGCACGCGAACGAGGAATTTTAGAAGAAGAAGCCAAGAAGCTACTTTTACTTGAGAAACATCCCGCAGCTGAATTCGTAACGCCGGAAAACTTGGGCGCTTTTGCAGTATTTCTGAGTTCAGACAATGCAAGCCAGATTAATGGAGCTGCGCTAACAATGGATGTGGGATGGACGGCAAGATAAGTTGGTCAGAGGGGCTATGGAAAAAAATTAAAACTCGTGATGCAGTCTATTTTCTTATAGTGGTGCTAAATGTATACATGACTTTCCCAATGTGACATTTATATTGAATAAAATCAGAAAATCTTGCAAAATATGTATGTATGAGCACATTGTATAATAAGTTTTTGTATTAGAAATATGTAATTGCACAAGTTATCTGACAAACTTTCGACAAAGCTTTGCATAATTCATCGGCTTCCAAAAAACGTCCACAGCACCATTCATTGTGAACGTAAGAAGCTTGTCACTGAGTGCTCGTGGAAGAAGTTTTTCACCCCAAAGCAAAACTAGCTGCACCCAAGTTTCGTACGTCACTACGGGCGTTCTTGACAGGTTTCCTTCCAGCAAAAGTTTCAAATCTTTCTGGTGTCGTTTGCTCTTCAGAGGCTGAAACATCCCAAGATGATATTTTAAATAGTTGTAAATATTTGGGTTATAATTACTTAAAATTCACCTGTACACTGGGCAATTGCTCTGAAAGTTGGGCCTTCAACCTTTTCCAACCCGTAAAGTAGTCCCCATAAAATTCTTTATCAAGTGGGGACATGTTCTTCTCCATTTCGGCGTAATGTGTGGCACTTCCTGCGAATATTTGTGACGAGAAAGCAAACGATCCTGGCTGGTACGAGACCACAGTGACACCATACTTTCCAAACTCTAGACGAAGGCCTCGCCCCCAGGATTCCAAGGCTGCTTTTGACGCTGCATACATCGACAGTCCGGGCAGGGCTAGCTTGCTGCAGTCACTCGAAATAATGATGAAACGACCTGGAGAATTAATGCTGTCACTTTACTAGAATTTTAAAATACAATGTATTAAATATAGTGAAGTATACTCTTATGTTGGAAGAGCAACGGTTGGAACTGTTTTGTAAGGTGAACCGCTCCCCAAAAATTGACCGCAAACTGTCGCTCCCATTGCGATTGGGTTTGCCATAAAACTTCAGCACACACTAATACTGCAGCATTGGAAACGACGGCCCATAGTTCTAAAAATAAAATATGAGTATTAAGCTGTTTCCGAATATTCATTAGTTTAAAATTCCATACATATGTATGTACGATACATACTTGTTTTCGTTTCCTCGAGGACCTTTGTGCAAGCCTCCTGGAAATCATTGATGCTCTCGGCCTTGGTCACGTCAAGTCGAGAAATTGTGACCCCTTCTTTCTTTAGCAAATTGGCTCCTTCTCCATCAGGATTTAGACACCCAGCAAGAACCGGGTAACCCAATTGTCGGGCCCAAAGTGCCATTGACAGTCCAAGACCGGAGTCACATCCAGTGATTACCACAAGTCGTGTGGGGCGAAGGCGTGCTAACTCATTTCGTTGCTTTCTCTTATACAAAATGTACGATATTGAAAGTGAGGTCGTAATAATGTTACTTGCGACAAATAATGAGGTATTGTTCTCCAGAAGAGAAATTATTTTGTCCATTTTGCTTGAGATTGTCGAAGACACTAATGTAACAAAGTTGGTTAAGAGATGAAAAATAGTGAAAACGGATTGCGAAATTTTTGAATTATCTATTCTGATCTTTAAAGATGAATGTCAAAATGTTGACGTCAATGGAATTTTGAGAATATCACTTTAGATCCAATATTCCTTTCTCAAAGGAAGATGATATATTTAGCAAAGTATAAAATCAAAGTGAAGACAGTTGACAGTACTGTCAAACGTTTGACTCGAGTTTATTCATCATATTTCACAATAAAAATTATTTCAGCTCAAAATGTTTAGACCAAAGGTGACAAAGGGTTAAAATTTCCTCTGACCGCCCATTATACATATACATATACATGTATACATAAGTTGTGGCATCCCACAATTTTAGTGGACTTGTTCACCTATAGTAAATATATTTATGCGATGGAAATAGAAGGTTTAACACTCAATTTTACATCTTATTCGTCCAGCCAAATGCACGTATGTATGCAAATGAGTGAAATGCACGGATTTGATGTGAGTTGTAGTTTAACGTGAATATAACATGTTTAAATGCTTATAGGTACATGTCAACTTGTTTATTCCGATAATTAAGAAAATGTATCTTAACCATGTGTGCAATTGGAGTACACAAATGCTTCTACGTACAAATATAAATAATTATTATGCGATAATGCATGATTTTGGGTTAATGCCAATGTACTTGCTTAATTTCATATAGGATAAGAAAGTAAAAATATGCATGCAGTTGCTTTGCATGGAGCAAGAGTATGGTACATATGTAAATTACATAATGTAATTGCTATATATGCTAGTATCTACCTAGTAAAATAAACCCTAATTAATTAATGATGACCACCATGATGACCACCAAAATGAGGTTGGGCGTGGGCTGGATGACCGTGATGATGATGATGTGGACCGTGCCCAATGCCTGGGGACCCAATGTACACGGGAGGATTATAGTGATGATTATGATGGTGCGAGGGATATCCAGGGACGGCTAAATTATTAATTCACTTGTATAAAAAATCTACATATACATATGTGTATAATATACAGGTATTTTTCAAATCTTTACCTGGACCATAAGGTGCGCATTCGTATGTTCGTCTCCTTCTTGGATACCACCAACAACACATTATGATAATACGACTGGGAATTAATTAGTTTAAAATAACAGTATTAAAATAAATATTTAAATATTCAAGTAAAATACTTCCACAGAATTTGTTTTTCGAAGTTAAGCTTGTAAAACTGAAATTGTTTTAGGTACTTCAATGAATTTTTGGGATCCTAGTTCCCTCGACAGGTTTTTAATAATGATATTTAAAAAACTCTGCAACGAAAAATAATTCATTTCGACAATAAGCAGTTTGCTTATATATAAGCGTGTAAGCATAGTTATCAGTCATCATAGGTGATGTAAATCACGTAGACAAACAGTACAATAGAGAATGAGTATGTATATACCATGTACATACGTACATACATATTTATGTATGATTCATTTTATCTGGACAAATGTCACATCATAGTAAAAGTTATGGCACGGTTTTTAGCAACAAAAAAAACAATAATAACATGCTAATAATATCTGACTCATGTACTCATCATCCACGTAAAAAAGGTGTTTACCTGACTGTATCGGATCATCATACATTGCTAACATCGCCATAAATACATACACATGTATGACGCGAATTTCCAGTTAGCAGTATATGAAAATTCACCTTCTCATTGACGTATGCAAAACTCATGAAATACAAAAATTTTGTAAATTACAACTTGTAATTCATTGTTTTTTTCACAGATTGAGAAGTTTTTATGAAATCATATTTTTGCCCCAATCGTTGTAAATTGGATTGCATTGGTTTCTATTTTTAACTATTTTAAAAACCGGGATCTTCATCTGTGGTTTGGAGCATTAAAACGGACTAAACTACAGATGCGAAATTCCATAAGAGTAAACGATGACTACAAATAAATGTACGTATATAGTGACATTTGCAAACCAAGTAGTTTTTGAAACTTATTAAAAATGTCCCAAAATCAAGTAGTTGATAAAAACGTTACTGAAATTGTACCCATGTTAACACTCCCTGCAGAGGTATTGCACCATTACTTTCAATAGTTTTAACGTATTACGTAAATTATATTTAATACATATCAAATTGTTTCATCATCTTGGTAGATTCGTGGCCAGATATTTAATTTACTGCCCTCAAAAGATGCTACAACTTGTCGTCTAGTGTGTAATCAGTTTAAGGCAGAAGTGGATGAATTCGTCGAATTCTCAGCAGATCTGGATGAAACACAAGGAAATGAGAATGGGTGGTACCTGCCAAGAATTCTAAACTTGAGGTTAAGAGAAGTTGCAGTGAAAAGTTTAGTTGGACCTCCGTGTTTATTTGGTAAAAATCATGCTACCGTATAAATACATGGAAATGTACAACATAAATATGTGTATATGCAAATTATTTATAAGTTACTACTCATATACATTGCAGGTCATGTTGGAACACAACTGCTCCGATATCCACACCTTCTTCGAAGATTGAGGGTTGTAAACTCCAAAATTTCAGTTGAAAACTTGCATTACCTTCTTTTAGATAGTGCGACCACCCTTCGTCATCTCGACCTAAATTTAGCTCCTCCGGTGACAACTTCACCCACCGAATTGGGCCTTTCACCGGATAAATTTTCATACAAGTTTAAAAATGTGACACATTTATCGCTTAGCATTAGCACAGTGCCTTCTGCCACTGAGGAGGCTGTACATTTCGTGGAAGCGCAGGTGATGAGAGGCCCTCCAATGGCAATTCAGGTATTTATTAAAGAGTTAAATTATTGCTTTAAAAAACACATGTACATATATTATGTATCTGACACAATATTTTGGTGGATTATTGGTGCAGGAAGACGCCATACCTATTCTTCTCCTTTCATCAAAATTTGACTGTATTCGAAATCTCCGTGTTCAAATTAGATGCTGTCTGGGATTCAGACAGGCTTCTCAGTTATCAGCTCTGGTTTTGCGACTCGTTTCAAAGAGCTATCAGAGTCTGAAATCATTTGATTTAGATTTAATTCAAGGTTAGGTTTAGCTACGTATGCATGAAGTTGGAATTTACATAATGAATTCAAATTCGTTATTGTGAATGCGTAGGGCACGGACTTCCAGTTTCCGAAGAAAAACCTCTTGCAGATTCGGACATGGAAAAAATTGATATCGCAACCCTAAACAGAGTAACGGCTTTGGAAAATATACGAATAATAAACTCTACGGCTGTTGGAATAACTTTATGGCAAAACGTGTTGGCAAATCAGAAGGTATGGTTTACAACGATTTTTCAAATGTTTAAAGGTGCCCATATGAAACAAATAATTTCGAATATTTCCAGAAATTGAAGTGCATGGAGACGGATATTCTTCCAGCACCTGCTGCCTTGTTCCGGCAAATAATTTTAAATAACAAACTAACACTGACAGAGGTAGATATTGGCGACCTTACTCTCGACATTGATGAAGAGACAGGAAAAATCTTGCCTTTCGATATGGCCATTTTTGCTAATTGTTTGCATCTCACGAAGCTCACATTGGACAGGTAAGCAATATTGCATTGAATTCATTACATAAGTATTGTCCATTTTGGGTTAGCTTAATTTGCATTCGTTCCACAGAAATTCTCTGACCCGTCGCCGAGGTCCAGTTCAAGAGGCCGAGCTAATTCAACTCTCCCACCTGCCAGAAAAAGTTACCGAGTTGAATATAAACTATTTTCTGGTACCCTCCGATGAATTAATGAGCTTGTTCAATCCGACGAGAGGTTTAATATTAATTTCTCTCACACAATGCGGGGACTCTGGACCATTTGGAGTTCATGGTTCTGTTCTCCAGAAAATAATTACCCTTCCCACCATTCAGTTCATAGAGATTTCGCCTTTAAATTATAGCGTTGATGTTACAGAAAGTCAAAAGCTTGATCTAATTCTCACCACGTTTGGTTATCCTAAAAAGCATTCTTATTTTCAATTGAGAAGAGTGGACGCATCAACGCCAGACAAAGACAGTAAAGTTGATTTGGACGATTTAGAGTTTCAGTAGTCTCTTGTGAACAAATTAACTTTCTTGCAAGTTATTTACTAAGGATTAATAAACGAATCAAAATTACTCATGTCTAATATTTCACTATTTCATGACTGACTTGCACATGTTTATTTTCATCGTGTCATATCACAGTAGGAATCTAAAAAATATAGGATTTTCAACGAAATATAAAATTTGGGTTCAGTCGTCAAGTTAAAATTATTCATACATTATGTACATATGATAAATATATGTACATATGTAAATGCATATTTCCATGTATAGATAGCACTGCGTAGCTCAAGGTTACAGTCTTGTCAATTCTTAGATAACTGGAAGGATAGTGGTTTCAAACTAGTTTGCGTAGATAGATATTGATATCCAATTATCTCACCTTTGCCTTCAATAATTTAGTCTAACTAACCCATATGAAAGGTTGTTTGTGATTCAAATTGTCCCTGTCAAATTTGCAAAATTTCTACCAAATCTACTTAATTGTGTGTTGTCAATGAATGTTTATATTGAATAATGTGTTATGCAAACTGAACAAAGATAGAAATATGTAACCAATTGCGATCAAAATTTCAAAACGATTAACGGACATTATATAATTGTAGGGTTAAAAATAATTGACTATTTGCTTGCAAATAAGTCAGTCAATCATGTCAATCATGTCGTTGTTAACATTCCTTTTAAATTATACTGCTGTGTAAGAATACAATTCGAATGGTTAATTGTTGAAGAGTCTTACAGGATGGAGACTAGATATTGCAAACAGCACATAAATCGCAAGGAATAAATACAAATACATACGGTACAAAAATAGCATTTCATTCACTCTTAAGTATATTCAGAAGGTTTGTCATCTGCAGTACCTCTTGGATTGATATAAATATATTGCAATGTTACATCCTCTGGCCTTCTCTACGATACACCGAATAATTGACGTTGGTCGCAAGTACGGGTTCCACTGTTTCCAATGGAATGTTTCTGGAAATGCGATCGAGGTGACGACAGATCGCAAAACGCTTTTCCGATGGCGAATACTTGGTACAGCTCAATTACTTTATTGCATCTTTATCTACGCACGTCTTTACCAGTCCGTCGTCGTTTTTGGAGTGCCCATTGAAAAATGTACGGTCCACGTAACTTTCGTTGCGGCCTACAGTTTCTACACGGGGACTACATTCAATTCCGTGAGAAAACGGGAAGAAATTGCAGAATTTCTTACCAACTTTTTTAAAGTCGATGGTTTATTCAAGCGTAAGTCTTTTGGTATATATTAGAGTCAGCTTAAAACTGATTTTAATTAAAGATTCTTTATTCTTCGCCAGCTCTAAAACATCAAGAAGCAAAAATCAAAGAGTTTGGAAAATTGGTGCGGCTTTTATATTTTCTGTGCATTAACACCGGCATTCTTCACGCTCCTTTGTTTCTCGCTCTGTCCAACAATGCAAATTTCATATTTTCTGTTCTGTCACCACATTTTATCCGGTTTCCGCTCTTGTATCCTGTATTAAAATTCTGCTTTGCCATGTTGGAAATGCTGATGGGATTAGCAGCTTGGGGTGAGCATGGACATTCCAATTACATAAATTATTACATAGAAGGACTTAATGCTATTGTAGTTTTGTGTCATGTATGAAATTACTTATGACAGGTGCATCTGCTGTTGTGTATACGATAAGCTTCTGCGTCGTGGCCAATAGTTTACCTGCATGGGCGGAAGTGATGAAGTTAGTAATTTTAAAAATTATTTATTGATCCATTCATATTTAAACTTCAAACGATCCATATTTATGTCTGTATGTTGTGCAGAAGTGTATAGTTTCCTAATTTGATAGATATGATGTAACCTGGCGAGCTATACCCCTGCCTCGCCAACGATACTATCGAATTGTGCAACTTTTGATGCTACAATTCAACGATTGTTTTGCATATGACGCATTTCTAACGATTAGTGCATTATCATACGTTGGAATGGTTATCTGCGCATTTGCGACAATACGATATTACGGCGTAATCCCGTTTTTGGCGTACGCCGTGTTTCCTACAGCAGCCATTTTAATAGCTCTCTACGTCTTTCTTCTCTATCCAAGTGCCGGAAGAGCGTCAGAGTCTCATACGAGGATGGTGAGACAGTGGGGGTACGCGTTGTTATTTCCAATTAGCTAAGAAATATTCTATACGAATAGCGCCGATTTTGTAAAGTTTTTTTATGAAGGTATATCGAGTCTCACATAAAAACAGAGCGCCTGGAAGGAAATTCAGAAACGAGTCAGCCCCACAGATCACGTAACTGGGGCATAATAGCAAGAGCCCAAGAATTTAACAAGAGAAAGTACAACCTGGCATTTCTTCGCTCTTGTCGCCAAATTGGGTTTCAAGTCGGTCCCCTCTTCAATGTTAAACCTGGAACAACACTCAACTTCGCAGACATGGTGATTGATCAGTTAATTAACTGTCTGATTTCATTTTAGATATGCACCTTATGAAAAACTGTTGAACTTGAACAATTAAATAAAAAGTTATTGGTAGCTATTTACGTAATACAGATGTACGCAATACAGACGAACGTATGCTTTAATTGCTCAGTTTCTTTCCTTATCTGCATATCTAAATATGTACATGAATTAAGTAAAATTCTGCAGAACATGACGAACTTATTGCAGAATATCGCTCGATTGAATGACACACAGACCACATTATCGTTCCTCCATCAAATGTATATCCTATATACATGCATATGTTCTAATTATTTTCAGTCGTTGTTTCGAATCTAGAAATATGTACTTGTCATGCTTCATTGCCAAATAGCAGAATATGCATTTCACAACAACAAACCTGTGTGAATGATGAATCTCTCCATTTGGAAATGCCACTAATAAAAAATGTGATTGCTTTATTTGCACAAGTGTTGTTAGTCTATTAGTGCGAAATATTTACACTTTTCCAGCTTGTGAATTGTCTTTTTTTATTTCCACGTCTTTATGAACATTACACCCTGACTGATTATGATGGAAACTCGTCTCGAGGAGCTATTTCAGCTCTGTGACCCCACCGGTGTAGGTCACATCGGAAGAGAAGAACTTCGTAGCTTGTGTGCCACGTTAAGAATTTCGTTATCAGACGCAGATGCCATATTTCTGGACCTAGACAACGACGGCGATGGGTCAATAACTTTCTCAGAATTTTCTCATGGATTTCGAGACTTTCTCAACCCTGGGACGAGAAGGGGCAGTTTTCAGACGCCAACTCCGAGTGAAGAACAGTTGAATGAAATGGGGCGAAAACATGCTTCTGCGAGGGGAGCTTGGAGTAATTTCTCAACGACGTTAGGAATTGTTCCGGAGTCGGAATGCCTGGGAATTCCCGAAGAATCTGTAAGCAAATCACTTTCTCTTCTGATGGCGGATGTGACCCGACTCACAGACGATTACCGAAGTCTGGAAAATTCTTTCCGTCGGTCAGCTCAAGTACATGCGGCCCAATTGGAAGCGTTGGGAGAAGAAATGGTAACGCATTTTGGTACAAATTATGCACGGAGACAGTTTGAATTATAACTGAATGATGTAGGAATACGTCAAGACTGAGGCTCGGACGAAACAGGAGGCTCGAGAAGAAGCGGCCAAGCAGGTGGATGCTGAGAGAAGGAAAATCGCAGGTGAAATGGAAACCCAACTTGCTGAACTGTCGGAGCAACTTTTGTGCTTTAAAAAGGCTTGGATGTCCAATGAAGAGAGCAAAAATCGTGGGTGTGTCGCTGGCAATAATAATAATGGGCTCGAGTCTGAAAACAAAACCTTACGATCTTCGCTGCTGGAAGCGCAAACGAAGGCCGCCGTGCTCCAAAGTCAGTTGGTACTGAAGAGAAATGATTACTTGGAATTGTGCGAGGAATTGAAATCGTAAGGTTTACATATATATTTTAGTAAAAATAAGAATTTTGTGTTGATTAATAAATATGTTTCAGGGAGAAAGCAGTGCATCGCAACGCTGTTGAGGCAATGCAAGACCATCTCTCGTCCCTGAACGAGGCTAATCGTGTCTTGTGCGATGCGAATGATTGTCTTGTGACCAGTGCGACAGGGTCGGGTCCGAGTTCTTATGCCGAATCTCACTTAGGCGACAAGGGTAACATGTTATACAGTGGAAATAAGACAATTTTTAAGTGGAACCTAAAGTTTTCACACATCCATGTGTTACACTTCAGATAGCGGAAGAGGAACTTTAATGGACGAATTCCGTACTTCAGAAGAGATTAATAGTCCAGGATATTCCAGTTCACTTTGGTCCAAAACCATAATCTCAGAACCTCCCCCACAACTGGAACGCACCTTCAAAGTGATTTTGGCCGGAGATGCAGCAGTCGGGAAGAGCACGTTTATCGAAAGGGTTTGTCAAGGACACTTTACGCCCAACCTTAGCTCGACCATTGGTAAGTATTCCAAAGGTCAAGCTACGACTATGGTTATCTACTTAAAACTTTCACGGTGATATTTTTCTGATTTTCCCTATAAAGGAGTTGACTTTCGGGTCAAAAGCGTCGAGGTGGACGGCGTTGCGGCCGCTTGCCAAATTTGGGATACCGCAGGTATGACTGACGATTAGTTGGTGACACATAATTTCAATCTTAACTTTTATTTTTTGAATCAGGTCAGGAACGGTTTCGCTCGTTAACAAAAAGTTACTTTCGACGAGCGGATGGAGTTCTTTTATTATACGGTAATTTTACTATACATTGGGGACCCGATTAATAAAATCCTTAACGTGAATGTCGATTGATTCATATTATTTATTATGCGCTTTTGGTCTGCAGATGTAACGAGTGAACGCACCTTTCTCTCCATTCGTCATTGGGTCCACTCCATTCAAGTGAATATAAATTTAAATTGCACTGCAATTTGTCCATGAAAGATGGCTTCAGTTATTTATTATTCCCGTACAATTTGTAGGAGGGTGCCGGACGGAGTCTGCCCATCATTTTGTGTGGCAACAAAAGTGATCTTCGAAACCGCGAAGGAGTTGCGTGTGTCCCGTGGGAAGAAGGCTCAAAGTTGGCTGCTTCCTGTGGAGCCTCGTTTTTAGAAACTTCCCCAAAATCTGGAGAGAATGTGATGAACTCTTTGGTTCTGCTCGTAAGGTAACGCTATATGGATTTAGGTGCATGTAAAATTATACCCATATGCATGTTGCATATAAGCATGCTAGCTAACTACCATTAATACCTAAATATGATGACGTAGTAATTGTGAAAGTTCATAGTTTAACCAGTTTATGTATCCGTGTTTATAGGGAAATGAGTGCCATCGAGGATACGGAATTAAAGAACTCCGTCACGTTATTGGAATCGGTCCCATCCAAAAAAGGGTGCTGCTCGTCGTCGTAAATTTCAACTATTTTGAAAATAAAACTATAATTAACATTATTTACTTGTAATAAAACTGTAATACTCCTCAAGAAATCAAATAAATAAAATCGGTTGATTACATGGGGAATGCTAATTTGCACTGGTATTGACGTCAGTATAAATTACTATGCAATTAACAACTAAAAATGAAGTAGCAAATGCACCGGTTTGGTCATTCAATTCAATAGCTGACCTAGAATTTTTGCTTAAATATTCAAATGCAATAGTCAAATCCTGCGTGTTGTTAACCATTCAGTGCCATTCACAAAAAATCATGCTGGATTGAACCCCTGAAAAAGGACACAAGAATGTACAATTTTTCCGGATATATGGAATACGAGTGTCACTAAAAATGTGAACAAAAATATTGCCTACTTAGCTATTAACAGATCCATTCAAACCACATGCGTTGCATTGATAGACTCAATTATTGGTTCACTCAATTTCTACCTGAAAACTCGTAAAAATGTGTAACATGTACATGTTTAACGTGGTCGTTACCTTTTTACCATCTTTTTGCTTGCGTACTAACTAAGCCATTGACCTAACATGCAACTGTCCACGTATGTGTCAAACAGGCTTATGCAGCATTTAAGGGTTACTTCAACATAAGCTTAATAAAAAATGCGGACGGCTAAAGAAACAAATACTCAAGGCAAGCATAAAGGGGCAACTGCTTGTATATTGATTTAGTTATGAAAACATTTCAACGTCGACATGAAACGTGAGACATTAGTAATTTTTTGGTTGGTGTCCACCTGTTATACCATTCCTGGTATCAGTGGACGTCGCCTGTGTGAAGGTCATTTTTTACATGGAAATTGTGTGATTCCGAGTAATGAAACTATCGGAGAAAATGAAGTTTTATTTGTGAAGACGAAAAAGAATGACAAGGTACGTTAACAGTAATTGCATGGTTATCTGTACTTATTTGGTGTGTTTGGGTCTATGTAGGATGGGCTTTGATTAAACTTGTCCTGTTTGCAATTAGGTCCTTGAACGATACGAGGATGCATTTCCACATTGGGATGACCTGAAGTTTGGTTTTGCCATTTCTTCAATTTTCATGCTGCAAGCCTTCACTCTTCACGCAATGGGTCAACCACTTGTTTCCCCCAATGGGCCCGTTATGCTTTGGGATGGCGATATATTTGGTGCACAAAATTCTCAGCAATTGACAGACTGGTACACATTCACTCATGTTTTGCACGGGTTCCTCCTGTACCACGCGAGTGGTCTGGTTCCTGTGGTCAATACTTCAGTGAGGTCCAGATTCCTATTTGCTTTGGGGGCCGAGGCTGGATGGGAAATGTTGGAAAATTCCCCATTCATTATTGAGCGTTATCGACAAACAGCGTTGGCTCAAGGTTACAGTGGCGACAGCATGGTTAACTCCTTGTGTGACACGGTGGCAATGTCTTTTGGCTTTGTTTTGGCTAGTAAATTACACCCTTTGACAATTTTTGGACTTTTTGTTGCGGAGGAAGTGATAATGGGTGCAATTATTAGGGACAATTTGTCGCTCAATGTCATTCAACTTATTTATCCTATCGACAGTATACAAAAATGGCAAACTGGGCTTAGAAATCCGGAAATATCCGTAATAAATAGTACCACACTCTTGTGATGTGTTTTTATATGTAAACTATTATTAATCATCGAGATGACGAAAATAATAAAGCACGTGATGATATTTCATTGAATGTACACCATTATTGTAAATAGTTGATGTCTTGTTTACATAATTAAAATTTGCTAAATCTGACGCACTCGTACATCCGGCTGCATTGTCTCATAATTCTTTCCATTGATTGATTCAAAGACTACGTGAATCTTGGCAGTTAATATGTAATCGAATTACTATGTATTAATTTAGGATCACGTTCTAAATCAATTCTCTAAAAATTAAATGCATTTGTTGACACGTAATGTCGTATTAATACATATCTGCGAATCCTATCATTCTATTTAACATGCAAATTTCTAGGAAATGTCGTGCCTCCTCATATTAAAAACTTTTATATTTTCACGTACGTAGGTAGATGTATCAAGAGTGGATATATATCCAAGAAACTGGAAGACCTTAGTGCAGAATAAGAATTCGGTTGTACTTCTCTGCAAAAAAAAATTATACGTAAAATTGGACCATGCAAGAGCCAAAATATTTTACCCTTGCACTCTTTGTCATATTATATGTAATAGGTGAGGTTTTATTGTAGGAAATCACCGCTGACACTGATAAATCAAAAATCAAACTTTCAAACGTGATTATTAAAATATCATCTCGATTGTTTTCAGGGACAGCATCATCTTTTAGTATTGGCACTCTTGTTGTGGGTGGAGTTTCTAGTTCTAAGGCCGAGTTTCCCTTCATAGTTAGTATCAGAGCAAATAACCGTCACATTTGCGGTGGTACAATACTTGACTCAGAATGGATTGTGACCGCGGCACATTGCGCTGTATATTCCATGTCGACATACACAATTGTTGCGGGAGAACACAACTTGAACGTGGCCGAGGGGACAGAACAGGAAAGGAAATTGTCCAGAATAATTTCTCATGAGAATTATAACTCGTACGCAATTAAATATTTGAAGATTTTATATATATAAATACGTGTTGTTAATTCTTAATGCCCTCTTTTTATACCAGAGACTCCATGGCGAACGACATTGCACTTATGAAAGTAACGCCTCGTTTCAACTTTAATGTAAATGTCCAACCTGCTACGATTGCAACCAAAGACTTTGTTGTACCATCGACCACAATTGTCGCGGGTTGGGGTTACACAAAAGAAGGGGGAGGTTTGCCAAATATACTGCAAAAAGTCACAGTTCCCGTCGTGCCAAATGCGCAGTGTCGGAAAGATTACTCCAACCTTGGCTGGATGATAACGGATTCAACAATTTGTGCAGGGGCGGCTGGAAAGGATTCTTGTAATAAAAAAACGTTTCTCATCCCATCAATTTTATTTTTATTTATGTACTGCGAACTACATTTTTCGTATGAATACGTATAGGTAACGGAGATAGTGGAGGTGGACTATTCAGCAATGTCAACAATAAGAAAATTTTGTGCGGCATCGTGTCTTGGGGCATAGGTGAATTTTATAAAGTTTATCCTTAATATTCTTTGCGACTTAAACAATCGGTATAAAAATAACGTATGTACATAATAGGTTGTGCAAGGCCAAACCTTCCTGGAGTTTATTCAAGAGTCAGTTCTCACCTAGATTGGATTAAAAATAATAAGAAACGATAAACCAAGAACAATATATGTATGTTGAAAATGTCATGTCTAAAGTTTTTCAAAGTCAGGATTATTAATTGTTGTGAGAAAATAAATCACGGTAAACTAGAGTTTTATTTCAATTAATTAAGTAATTAAAAACCGTTAACTGTCTTCGGAAATTGGTGCATTTAACTAATTTCACAATATGTAAAATTCATTGAATAATTGTTTAGTCGTAATTTTACATATCATTATTTGAATCAATGCAAACAAAATCAAAAAGTTTTCAAGTACAAAAATTAATTTCATTTACATATTTACATTAGCCAACAAAATATAAATCTGTAGCTGTTCAATCACTTTCTACAAATTGATTTCATCTCTTCTGTAACTTTGAACTTTCTTCGTGCAAGGTCCGGAGCTTCATTCAAAATGAATGCCATGCCTCCGAGATTGTGCCAATCTAATTCATAAATTTTATCGATTAGATAACCATCTTTTAATAGATACAAATATGAATAAAATTATAATACCAATGTGACAGTGGAAAGTCCACACTCCGGGATTGTCTGCATAAAATGCAATCACTACTACATGCTTTGCCGGAACATAAACAGTATCCCGTTTTACAACGCTCACTTTGATTTTATCTCCGTCTAACTTGTCATCAAATCCTAGAAAATTCCCATTGCTATCATTTCTCATGGGGAACTTACTCATGACCCAAAAATGATGCCCATGCATGTGAAAAGGATGAGCAGCTTCAAAATTGTTTATAATTATTCGGACCGATGCAAACGGTTGAAGCGTCACGTAGGGAAATTCAGACGGGAGAGCAACACCTCTTACAACCTTGTGAAGAATGGGTTCGTCCTCTGGAAGTGAGAATAAGGTTTGATTGAAGGCAAATCGATCCCCGTCGTCCGTTATTATAACGCCCGAATTTAAGATAATGGTTTGGTCTGCGAATGGAGGAGCGACGATTTTGTCGTAGGGAAGAAGAAGGGTTTCGTCGAGTAAGCGCACATTATTTGGAAGAAGTGGCGACGGTGGAAGTTGATCCGCAGAAAAATTGTCCTTGTAAGCTTCTGTTTCATTCCTTATTTGATTACTGCTATTTTGGGATTTTCTATCATATTTAAGAATTGCTGTGACCACTGGTAGCGTGCAGTTTTTGCACTTTCCCTGAACAGTGTCAGGATCAGCAGCTGGCTCCAGGATACCTACTGCACGAATCAGATAACGATCCTTTCCTGCTTTGGACTGGTTGGTCGTTATGATAAAAGAGTACCGTTGAGCTGGAGATATTTGAATAACATCTGCAGCCACAGGTTGAACTACATCTATGCCATCGACCTCAATCGTGTCCAGAGAGTGGGAGTCGATTGAAAAGTTGAAACTTGTCCGACTGCTAGTATTGATTAGCCTAACGCGGATTTTCTTATTTCTTGGAGCGATAAATACGTGGCGACGTTGGCGTTTTTTACGGCAGCTTAGATTACGCTCCCAGGCTTGCTCACATGGGTAGTAACCACGGCCATTAAGGAGTATGGAGTCTGGAAATGGGGTCCGACCAAGTCGATTGCTTTTTGACAGGTACCAATCCTCGTTGGACGATGTCCTTGTGTGATACCAATCGTTAAGAGTTATGACAAGTTCCTCGTCATACTTGTGGGCTGGTGGTTTCTGCGGATGAATTATGAGAGCCCCCCACAGACCTTCAGCATACTGAGATTTTACATGACTGTGATACCTAAAACGCGTTACAAAATACTTCGTAAATAACATGATAATGAAACTTAAAGCGACATGTTAAGTTACTGTAAGTTAGCTTACCAAAAGGTTCCCCACTGTTCTAACTTGAACTTGTACCGCTGTGTACGATTGTACCTTAAAGGACATTGTGTAACCATGACTGGACCGTCTTGGAAGGGGGTTCCCTGCTGATGAATCCCATGCCAGTGCAGAGACGTGTTTTGCTTATCTTTGATCCTATTGATAACGTCCACTTGGAGGACGTCGCCAACTGTTCCCACGATTGTTGGACCTGGAAACTGATTATTGATTTGAAGTATCCAATTGCTTTTCACTCCGTCGGGGTGGCCAGGGGCATAATCAATTTCAAACGTATGCTTAATTAATTTCCCGTTTACGACAGATTTGAGTACAGTATTGACAGCCAGGAATGAAAATAGGATTCGGGAAATCATTTTCATAATGACGTGTCGTTGTGCTACCAAACCCCGTTTTGGAGGTATTGATGATTTTCAGTCATTTTAAAGGGTTTCAGGTTTGAATTATGCTGATTTTGGAATAATGGAATTATGGGATTACATATAAAATCATGTTTGAAAACATCCTCGGATATCCTATATCATGAATGCATATCTGGTAATTTAAAAGTATGAAAAGTTAAGCATTTATTGAAAAAAATTCCACAAACGTTGGTCACCTGACTCATCATGAACATTTATTTAGTAGAATTCCAGGAATTGTAGTTACATATTCAATCATTCCTCATCATTAAATGATTAGATACGTGTCATATGTATTAAGTAATTCAATAAACAGATTGCATGTATTCTTATGCAATTGGAAGGAATAATTTAATCAGACATACTGTTATTCGATTTGTTGAGCTATGTAATACATATGTCACAAGGTGCATTTACTGTTAAAAATCAATAGTCGTGGAAATATGTATGATGTCACTGGCATCATGATATTAGTACAATGCAATTAAGTCAATTTATGGATTGCATTAATTATTATTATCATCCACGACAAGGCGACGTTGACGAATTCCCTGGATTCTGTGCATTTTGATGAAAACATGATTTAAACTTTCATGAACTAAATCGTTTGAATAAAAATGATTTTAAATTTATGCACAAACCTTTTTTCCTCAAGTATAAGCAGCCCATCGTATTTAATAAACTCTGGTTCCAAATCTTCCACAATGAACTTAATTTCTTTGTCTTTAAGTTCCTTGTTGGCGTCTTGGTAGGATTGGCGGACTTTCTCCAAGTCTCGTTTAATGTCAGTTATCAAGTCTCTCAAGTTATTCTCTGATTTTTGTGTGTTGTCCAAAGCAGCCTTTAAGCTTGCATTTTCTTTCTCAAGGTTGGAAATACGTTCGAATGATTCTTTAAGTTGAACCTTCAATGTCTCAATTTCTTTTTCCCTGTCGATAACATCATTTTGGACGGAGTCCATTTGCTGCTGGTGTTCACTGTATCTGCGAGAGTACACTGCTTCAAGATCATTGGCCTTTTTGACCAATGCTAGCTTGTAGTTTGCATCTATTTTTCGAATTTCTTCAATCATGTTGGCAATTTCCTAAAATAAAAAAATGATCTGTTTAAAAATTCTTGATCTAAATTTTGTCAAAGTAATTACGTCATTTTTAGTGCTAATCTGAGTTGTGTGTTCCTCAATAATTTGCGACAGTTGGCCGTCCTTTAGTTGAAGTTGTATCGCAAGGTCAGCCTCTAATTGTTTTAAGGCGTGCTCAACTCTGGTTTTAGCGTCTCTTTCTTGGACATATTTTTCCTTAGCGTCTTGCAAATTTTTGTCCTTCTCTTGAGCTTGATTTTCAAGATCATCACACTTTTCATACGTTTCTTTAAGTTTAGCTTCAGTTTCAGAAAGTTGGTGTTGAAGTTGAGCGTAATCCTGCCTTTGAGCTTCGACTTCTCGGGTATACTTTTCATTCCTGATAAAATTGAAATTAATCATATTTTAGAAGCTTGCAAAATCCCTTTACAATAAGATATATGATTATACGAACTTTGTATTTGCTGCGCGTAATAGTGCATGTGCCTCATCTAGCTCATCTTTCAAGTTTCCAGCATTTATTTGCGCTTCGACAACTTCATCACGTGCCTTTTGCACTTCATCCTTAGCCCGACTGTCAACTTCATTAATTGTCTTAGACCAAGCTGGAGGAAGGGACTGTAAAAAATTAACAAGTTATGTGCTATAGGTTTTGAAATCCAATAACGCCCCAAAATACAAGTAACGAGTGTGTATACTTATGTATTTACCAATTGTTTGATTTCAATGTCATTCAACTTCTCACGGAATTTGATAATATCTTCAAGGCGAATATTGTATTTTTGAAATCGTATTTTGTCATTTTTGGTCTCGCTTTTGGAATCTGTAGAAATCAACTCTGCTGGAGGAATGGTATTGGCATCACTTTTCTTGCTTTCTTGAGGTAAACCTAAATAAATAAAGACAACGTACTCAGAAAGTGAAATTACTTTTTGTATTTAATTCAAATTTGTATAATACAATAAAAGAATAACATTGACAATAGGTATTGATAAGCTGCCTCATACTACGATCATGATTATTAATAGATAACTATGTAAGAGTAACAATGTAAGAGTTAAGTTGAATGTGGTATGCCCATTGCCGTTTGACAGTATCTACATACAAATTTACATATATGCACCTCGGAGTCACGGTCAATGACAAGTCTTGGGTTATTAATTTCGATAAGCTATTTATATGTGTGTGCGAATTTGTGTTATGCGAGATTCACTCAAGTCACAGCAAAACCACTCATTGTGCATTTAATAAAAATCAAGTGCATATAAAAATAACTTGGATGAACCACGAAATCAACGTAATTTTACAAAAAAGTAATCAATTATGCAATATTAATCATGGGTGCATTATTATTTAAAACCATCTTTGCCATGAGTTTCCTTCAATTGGTGTCTCAATTTGTCTTACTTAATACACAACTTACCAACGCTCTCACCCCCTTCAAGTGACATTTTTCTAAATTCTTCCACCAACGCTTCCTTGACTTCTGCAGGAATGTTGGGAGTTGTCGGTGCTGCAATTTCCACTTCGGCAGCTACTTTCTCCTGTCCTTGACTTTGAACTTTCTTCTTGCTCGATTTTGGTGGTGGCATATTTTGTGTCGTTGTCGCTGTTTCTTGGATTTTCCTAAAGTTCTTGCCACTTCTCAACTTTTTGTACTTTCTCACCAGAATTTTAGCCTCTTTCGGCAATATGCGAACTGCTGTTTTAGTGGCAAATCGCAAAAATCTCTCTCCAACGGTTGGCTGGTTCATTCGGAGCTAAAACGATTATTAAAACAGACTATGAGGAACATTCGAAATGAAGTAGTTGTATTTGCCTTTATCTACAATGTTGGAGCAATACATCAGTGATAACAAACATTTCCCCAGTGCCCGATGATTAATGAGGGATTCGGTGTAATCTATACACATATTTTGCAACTGCATTCCAGTGCGTTCCGGCAGCTTAACCGTATTGTTGTTTTATCAGCACTATGTATTCACACTTATTTTCAATATTGAGTGATGAGCTTGGAAATTTACTACATACATAAATATGTATCAGTTATTGTGACAATTTTACACATTGCTTCCGTGTGTTGGTCAATCTCTTTAAAAAACATGAATACATATGTTATTAATAGTTAGACGCATTGTTGGAATAGAAAAATTGTGTCATCATTATAAAAAACAGATGCAAATACATGTTTCTGATTTATGCACTTGTGTGTTTCAGCGATGTCCCATGTGCAATTCTCAAATAATCTAAAAATTCGATAATTTTTTCAACAGTGATTTAATAAGTACGTGTGTATAACATCAAATCTAATACATTGCATTATTATCGCACTGCTAAGATATTAGCATATACGGCAAAAAAAGTTAAATTTGAACACAAGCTGTTGCAATACATATGTATATTTAAGCACTACAAAAAAAACTATCATGAAATGTTGCTGCATTAAAGGTCGTTGACAATGAATCAAGATTGAGATTTTGTGCATACGGACATGCAATGTATAATAATATGCATTTTTCCTTCCCAATGCTTTATTTGCCTAATGTATTATTTGACTTTCTGCCTTAGCATGTTTCTACTTACATGCATACATATGTATATAGAAAGTACCAACAAATACAACAACTACGACAAGGTTGGTCGTTCCGCTTATTGATCCAACTTTTCGTCTCACAACATATGTATTATTGGACTTATTTATACATACATACGCCATCCTACCCTTGTTGATCGCATCGCCTTATATTTAACTTATTACGTATGCAGTGATAACATCCTTCTGTCTTTTCAAATTCAACCAAATAATTTTCAAGATCTTTCCATTGCACTGGTTTTAGATAGATAATTCGCGTAGTGGAGGAGTGAGTGGGAGTCTCATCATCGCATCACTCAAGGAGGAGGAACGTAAGTAAGATGCACAATTCTCATTGTATTGTGGTTATGCATGGTCTGTGCTGGTGAATCTCTTGATGCAGTTAGTTGCATATATTGTCTCATTGTAAATTATAATTTGTGTATCCTGACTGAATCATAACGACATGAAAAGGATACGCAAAATGTATGGTTGGTTTCCAATGCTGATTTGCTGGCTATGTTAATCCTCCGACAACGACATGCCGTGTGGTCCAATTCTAAAGGTTAGGAGATGAGATAATCTTTTCATTACCATTTCTTCGAAAAATAATGAATCATAGATCTGCATACATTTTATTGTATGCAGATCTACGGAACAAACCCTGTGTTCACACATAGTCACCACCACATCAGGTATTCCTTGCATTTGTATACACACTACTCGTAAAAGTGCTCGTAATGAATTATGATTGTGGTATTGTCGAGAAGATCTTTTTTGTACGTCTATTTAATATTATTCTCTTGTCTTGTCTGCTACACTTCACAACCCACTGACTCAACTGGGGACGAAGCATTGTTGCCTTGGGTTGAGGTTATGACTGAGAAGTTAAGAAAGGTAAAAGTGAGACGAATCTATATCTGCCTAAGTTTACCAAACCATATTAAAGGAAAGGCAGTACACCCACGCTGATCTTCGTTGAAACCAAACCAAACCGGCCGTCGTCAGTCAGAAGCTATAGTTATGCGATCACTCATGAATCTTTTCCTTTTTGGTTGACTTGTAAGATCAGTTTAGTTTAGTTTGGTTTTGAAGGTTTGAGTGAAGTGAAGTAGTTGAGTTCTAAGCGTAGTTCTTTTACCAAGATTCGTCATTGTTCCATTTTCGCATTAAAAAACTACAGCTGACCAAGTCGCATCTGTATTTCTATGAAAACCTTGTTCGATTATTTTCAATTTTAGCCATATATTTTTAAGTGAAAACATGCAAATTCTGTAGTGAATTACGCCACAGAAGTGGTCTGGGTTGAACCAGTTTGATTTATCAGCACTTTGCACAAGAGATTTACTAATATGTCGGGAAGACTGCCGGTTTCGAATGGGGGAAATGCCCAGTCTCAGAATGGAGGTGCGAAAATATCCAGAATGCAGGCTATGCAGGTAAATTAACTACTAATTAGCAGCATGACGCGTACATACACACATAAATGATGTCACGGAAGAGATTTTCCTATTTGTGCTGCATGTTAAATCCATATATTAAAATCCGATTCTTCCGTAGCATGTTTACCTCTGTAAGGATGAAATTCAGCGTTGAAGTTACGAACTTTGAAAGAGAATACTTAGAAATCGTTATAAATAGTAGCTAAATTTTACGAGTAATTTTTCCTACTTATTAAGTAAGCTACGAGGGTGAGACTGACTTAACATTTCCGTCCAATTATCGCGTGACATGACAAAACAGTTTATTTATTGTGTTACTTATTTTTGTCGTCATTGAATAGAACAGTATGAACTGCACCTTTCTTTTATTATTTTCTCAGCCAAGTGGGTATCTCATCTCAAAGGTGTAATTAGTAATTATTTCTTTTATTCCTAATCTCACACTAGACGTGCATACAATCCAAAATATGTGGATTCCTAAAACCTTATTACTATCCTGCAGCAAATATCATGTCGTTGTTGAGTTCAGTGTGTGATAAATGAACTTTTGGAGACAGGAGATAAGATGAGATGAAAAGATGTCATTATTTTTTATAAGGCTAAATCGTTCTTCCTCAGCTACGTATTTAGTAAAAATAAGTGGGATTGCTATACACATACATAGACATATGTTCATAGTATCCGTATGCTGCTAGCTCTTATGAAGAAGATGATAACCGTTTTTGGTTGGGCATGAGTACGGGTCAGTTAGTTCACCTAGCTTGACCATTTAGGGCTGATGGTTGAATGATAGGATGTCGTATTGTGTTATTCATGCTGGGCCTGACCAAGTAGGGACCATTCTTACCACCATAATGACGCCTTGTACCAAATCTGTATTGATTATGGCACTAACATGCATCGTCTCATTGTTGTGTTATTGCAATTAGTTAGTAAAGGAAGGTGATATGGCCAAAATATATGCTGCAAAAGAAATTAATCAAGGACGACATAAATCTTATTTACAATGTGGTCATATGTTTATATATATATTCTCGCAGACGACTGTGGAAAATTTGTTGGGTATCAACAAAAGTTACACATGAAGTAGTAGAAACTGAAGTTTGGGTCATTTATCGTTTTCAATTAGCGAAATGAGAAAATCATTCAGAGAGTGTTTGTACTTTAATGAATTATATAAATGACAATAATAAATTGGTGTTATTTGGTAGGATGACTAACATGTACGTACATATATATGTATTAGCATAGATTTAATTAGCACTGTTGTATATTCTGCATGCTTGTGATGCCAAGATCCAATTTAATTTCCCAACTTTGGGCATATTTTCCATGAATTTCATACACATGTACACGTCTAGCTTAAATATATGCATGCATAGTACTGCATACGGTGAAGCACGCAATGGGTCCATTTAATTTAATTAAAAAACTGTGTCAATCTAATCTAGTTTAAGTAACCAAATATTAGGATCACTAATAAACAAATTTATTTCTTCCTACAACTTCACTGTACACTGGTAGACTTCAGTTGTTGATTTTTGGAAATTATTTAGCATATCAGGCGCGAATATCTGAATGATGGTGGATGGGTAATACATGTATCTATGTATATATCTGGAAAACTTGACATTCAAAATATCGAATAGAGTATACACATTTCATCGGAAATAACCAATGCATAACAATGCGTGGACAATGAACTGACCATGCAACGTTGAAGGTAATGCATTTTGTTGGACCATTGTGAAAAAATCGTCGACCATTTTGTACAATGAGGCAATATCTATAAAAAAATTCGATCCAATTCGAATACAATAAAATAAAAATACATACATACATACACATCCACACATACGTATGTACATAGGTAATCATCGGTTTCACTCAATGTTATTATTATTTATTTGAATAGAAATTGCTTTTAGTGCTGAAATGGTCTATCTGATAGTATATAAAATACGACGGAAAACAGCAAGAATAACTAAGCAAACCATTAAAAACAGACAATAATGATGTTCAGGTTCAAGGCATATCTGTTTATACTTAAATGTTTATTTCTTCCATTACAAGACTTTGCCCATATGTACATTTGTCCATGTCGTTGAGAGTATTAAATTGATAAAGTATGGCGTTAACTGAGGAGGTAATTTCCACAGTGGTTTAATTTATAATTTTGCTACTGTTGAAAAATTATATGCAAATAAGGAAATGTCAATAAGAAGATGACAATTTGATGAAAATCCTTAGGTAGTTTTTCGGAGAAGTGAGTGGCATCTTAACCAACCTCATCAGCAATGTTTTCTCCTAATTAGCCACCTCCCTCCGGACTCGATTTCAGTAGGAGTCCCTCATTCTTGTTGATTTCGTGGTTGCGTGTCAAGATTAAGTGCTGTCCCCCACCGCTCTATTGTGCTCTAATGAATAGCGACACTGAATAATGTATCGGCATAAAAATCGATCGCCCTTCGTCACCACATCAAATTCAAGCTTCTTCATGAGCTTCGTCCTTATTAAAATTCCCCGTCTGTGATGATCTACCATTTACTATACTGAAATAGCAAAAACATTTTTCACTGGGAAAATGACACAAACAAGTGCATGCTCCACAATACTCTTGCACATTCTCACTTTTTGGATATCGAAACATTCACGGAATGTATGTATGTAGAATGGCATGGCACAACTGGAAAGTAAATGTGCGGTTTGGGTTTGAGTACCTTTAATGGATATTGGTAGGTTTTTGCATGGAATTTGCAATGCAAGTAAAAGACTGCTTTCTCCGTATGCATGACTCAGTTCTCCGGTGACATTGAGTCAACACGCACGATTTGTGTGTTGTAAGGACAAAGTCATGTTCCAAGAATTGTTTGTGCCCTCTTGTCACTTTCGATACCAAATTGTCTAAATGATCATGAAAGTTGCAACATTGACTTTTGAGCCAAGGCTTACAGTGAAATGCATTTAGTGCAAAGCCTGCTGTTGACAGCTATGTTAGTGCCCATGAAAAAAATCATACTGTGTGGCTTTTAATTGTCGGATTAACACTCGATGGACTCCAGGGAAAGATGGACTCATCCATCTTGACCAATCTGTATTTGAGTCCAATTACTCAGCGTTCAATGCAAGATTCGATAATAAAGGTATAAATTCATGGGTTATACAGATAGTCGTGTATTTATAGATATCATACAAATTAAGGTGTACAACGTAATAAGTTTAAAGTTAATAGCTAATTCGTTTTTATCATTTTATTAAAATTTAGGCACAGTTTCAACAGAAGCAGATGGCCGAGAAAGAAACCAAACTCTTAGCCATGCTGGATAACCAACAACAGAGACTCATTCAACATACCAACGGTGTACTCAATAAATATAACAATAATCAGCAAAACGTCAACCCACCACCGTTGCCTCCGGGAAAGGTAAGCATTTAAAATTTACCATTGCAAATTCTATAGATGGCATTTTTTTTGTATTGACGTGCAATTAAAAAGACCTTGTCGGGTATTAGCGCCTTCACTGTTGGTAACCATTTAGATGGGGTACTTCTAGCGTGCCTTGTACTTCATATTTACGTACTTTTTTGTATCATTTACAGATGAAATCCTTATATGACAAACATGTTGATTTAATAGTAATAACAGGACCTCAAGGGTACCGAGGGCAGTGATTTAGCCCGATAAAAATTTATTCTGTCCTCTGTACCCTCAGAATTGTTACAACCATGCTTTCACTTTCACCAAATTCAAAAATAGTTTTATTCACTCTCATCAGTACCAAAAATTACTTCTTTGGAGCTGGTTATTTATTAATTTTGCTGTATTTGTTTTTAGGTTCGGCAAATGTTCGAAGAGCGGCGTAAAGGGGGGTTTTCAGCCAGTAGTGTCACAACGCCAAAGGGTATTGACAAGTCCAATCCACTCGACCCCATCGTTGCTCCACCTCCAAAGACCAAGCCATCCGCAACCCTTAGCAATAAACCGGCGGCAATGGCGACTAACCCAATGAGAAAACTTGCTCCAAGTCCGATGCCTGTCGTGCTTCCGTCGACCATCAGTCGACCATCAAACCTCGGCTCGAGCAAGAAGCCCACGCCACCCCCACCAGCTACCAGTGCCACACATTCTTCTTCGCCCTCACCCAAGCAACTCACGCCCACGACAAGTCTCCCCCCGAGCAGGGGAAGTGGGGGTTTGTTGCCACTCGGTTCATCAAGGTCTTCTTCCGGCTCGAGTACGTCGACGACTCGTAGCAGCCCAACTTCGGGGTACCCCCCAGTCTCCAATACCACCAAATACTCAGACTATGCCAGCGAGTTGGATCGACGAGAGGCTAGCTTGAGTAACAAGTTGAGAGGAATTGAGATTTCTGCTGGCGAAAAGAAAGTGACCACGACTAAAAATACTTCCAACAGTGTGAGGACAACACCCTCTCCAGCGCCGGTTAGTACTCATTTATTTCTAACTTGGAATTGTACAATTTTCTCAAATTTGAGACCTTAAGAATGAGACGCTTCCTGTTTTGTTTCCTTCAGTATTAGGTGAATGAACTTATATTAGGGTTTGACATGTAAATAGGTTTTTCCAGCAATATGTGGTGATTCTTTTGGGTCAGTTCCTGCATTATTAATTGGCCTTTTGCTTTTAAAACATTTAGCTAAATTCTTACAGATTGGATTTTTCTGTTAGGATAGGTCATAATTTTAAAGAATATTTATTTCTCAACCAAGGGAAAAGTATGTGTATACATAATTGACAACGTGTATAAATGTCAAAGTTTTTGTCGTATACAAAATTTGTGGGTACGTGGAATCTAGATGGGAACTCGGTGGCATTGGCATGTCCCAAAACCAGAAACAACAGACAGACTCATAAATAATTCTGCCAATTGTGCGAAACCGAAATCGATATTTTCCATTTCCACTTGATTCCAGAAGCTAGAAATTTGTGGTTTATTCAGATACACAATGACGATGTACCTACATATGTATGTATGTGGGCGATATGTCAGTGATACATGGCTGGTGATATCCCCCAATTCAGACCTCGTTTAATATTTGAGCATTGCATAAAAAATCAAACTGCAAATTTGCACGAGTCATTCTAAGGCAAACACGCAAATTCAAACTAGACGTACTGACATATAGTATGTGACCAACGTCAGTTTTGACGTTAGAACGTAAGACTTTATGTATTACAGCCACATTTCTAAAATCCTGTTTTCAAACAAAAATCTAGTGACACATTAGTTGATTTTCTAAGTTTTGTTTTGAAATTACTGAAACATGAGACAGATACGTGGCTTCAAAGTTAGCGAGTCGAATTTAGATACATTTATTTTTCTCATTACTACGTTAAACACCGTAAACGAGCTTATTGATGGATGAGTGCGCTTCGTAAGACCTCCCCATACATTTTATAGTTTAGTACTACTCGCAAATTTCAAATTCCGTATATATGTATTAAAAGTCGTTTGCTCTACATTATCTTGATGATGATGATGATTACCTAAAAATTGGTGCACTTTCACCTTCAGATTAACTCAAAAAAGAATTTGATCGAAGCAAGTCAAGAATATGCATACAAACTTAACATTTCATACTCTCGCTTTTAGATATGTAAGTAATTTTAAAAATTGAAAGCAAATCCACTCCAAATCAAACTAAAGTATATAAATTGTAGTGGAAAAGAGGTACATTTCTTGCTGTAAATATACAATACAAGCGAACGTACTATTATGAAATGCTATAGACGAAGAATATGGGTAAATGAAGGATTTATAAACCATGAATATTTGACTTTTCTGCACAGGTTGTTGGTAGACCATCGCCCAAGCCTAAAAGTTCCCCAGCCCCACGCCCAAAAGGTTCTCCACCCCCAGGAATGAATGAGTGCAAAGTCTGCGGAAGATTTTTTGCTCCAGATCGAATTGCAAAACATGAATCGATTTGCAAAAAAGTTACAACAAGAAAGAGAAAAGTTTTTGACCCGACCAAGATGCGAATGCAAGGCACTGAAGCTGAACCTTACATTCGGATTGTTTCCGCCAAACCGAAAATTGCTCCAAAAGCGGCTGCGGCGCAGGTATTAAATTACATGTATAGAAAATACGCACTAAAAACCTTTATATGAATACGTGATTTAATGTTACATTTTCTTATTGAAGGGTAAGAAGAAGGTTGACTGGAGAAAGAAGCACGAGGACTTTATTGCCACGATTCGAGCTGCCAAAGAGTACCAAGCACACGTTTCAAAGGGGGGCAATCCTAATGACCTCCCACCACCTCCACCATCAGACACCTCTGATTACATTAAGTGTCCTCACTGTGCCCGCTCCTTTTCTGAGGCTGCTGCTGAACGACACATTCCCAAATGCAAGAATATCAAGTCCAACAAGCGTTAGATGGAAACATTACGTCATAAATATTTAGTATTTTGTGACCTGATTTCACACAATGCCCAAAATCGACTGACTGCTAATGATAACTAATCAATAATTTCGTAACCTTGGCTCAATTGTGATGGGTACCGGACGGAAGTGAAGACGGTAAATCTGGATAAAAGTTATCCAGTGTCATGTTGTATGTAGTATACAGTTAATTCATTACCCAATATCGTAATAATGAACGATCGTGTTGTAGAATTTTTGTAATACTAACCAGGGAGACACAATTCCGAATGAAATGGGACAACCTAGATGATTAAGTACTAACGGTTTTTTACGAGTATGTGCATAAATATGTATGTCGTAACCTTATGCGACTCATTTTGACCATGCTTCTCTGATGGCCTATAAGTGTCACTTTCTTTTTATGGGTATACATATGTGTCTGTGTAGAACTTCAATTATGTACATAAAAATATAACAAGGATACCGATGACTAACCAAACAACACCTTACCTGAAATATGTTAATTATATCAAAAACCTTTCATAATACTTTATATACCTCTGGATGACCTTTTTATCATGATGAGAATTATTGACTCTAGTAATTTATAAATTTGAATGGATACCATTAATTTGCAAAGTACATGCGATTCCTGCTCCTCATTTCTCGGTACAAAGATTTGCAAATTTCCGTCAATGAATTTCTGTTGCCTGTTGAAGGCATTGCGTCCCGATATTCTGAAAACCTTCATCGCCACAATTTGTATTTCTATCTGTACAAGAGAAAGTTTGTTCGGTCTCGTACATATGTACTTTCAGTAAATAAATTTCATACGGAGACATGAAAAGTCGTCCTGTGAAGTTACATGTTATGTACGATAAGTGGAAAGGAATCAAGTAAAGCAATAATTTCACAAGAATGTTTGGGTTTGTTCTTTATTTTACATACATACGTGCCTGTTTCTGCAAGGGCTTATCAAGTTTATTTAGTTGGGGAAAAACTTTTTTGGCTATTCCCAAGCTTATTTTATTGATCTTTTCATTTCCCATTAATATAAAGAATGGGCGAGAAGTTCACACAGTCGACTATATGCTTTCACCAAATCAACGGTGGAATCTCATTAACTTTTGATACTCAATAAAACCAAGTAAAGTCGATAAATCGACACAGCAGAATTTATCAGTGTCAATATCACCCTACAGAAATGTGTACATAACTGAGGAGGGGAGCTTGCGAGGTTGATAATAACAGATCTTGGTGCCCTTTGGATATGTGGTAGGGACCCATGAGTGTACTAAAACCCTGAAGTAGTTTGACTCCATGGCCACATTTGCGCCCGCCACACCCACTCAAAAATGTCCAAAAAACGCTTTCACCCCAGTTTTCACTCACTCAAATCCACGCCAAAAATCCAATTTTACTCGGATTTTGAAATTTCTTTCACCATTATACTCCCAGATAGTTGCTTTCTTCAATCCAATATCAAACTCAATTTTGTCGAAATTTTTAGTATTTTTAAAATTTAAAATTCTGAATGAGCATTGTTGTAGTCATCAACAAAACAAATTATGTTTGCGAAATAATCATCAATAAAATTGAGTTTGATATTGGATTGAAGAGAGCAACTATCTGGGAGTATAATGGTGAAAGAAATTTCAAAATCCGAGTAAAATTGGATTTTTGACGTGGATTTGAGTGAGTGAAAACTCGAGTGAAAGCGTTTTTTGGGCATTTTTGAGTGGGTGTGGCGGGCGCAAATGTGGCCATGGAGTCAAACTACTTCAGGGTTTTAGTACACTCATGAGTCCCTACCACATATCCAAAGGGCACCAAGATCTGTTATTATCAACCTCGCAAGCTCCCCTCCTGAGTGACAAGGGTTAACAACAAAACAATATGAAAGAATGTATGCATATTGATAATGCACGCTTACATGCCTTAATATCATATGCCAATTTGTTTTGCCGGAAAACTTGCCAAATTAAGATTATCCCGAGAAGTGTTTTTTATACTTGTTAGCTGATCATTAAAGGTATGTAAATATGAAAGTAACATGCAAACCTGTAAATTTTTCAGCCAAAGTTTGAAGTTAGAATCTTCACAAAACAAAACACTATTAGCACAAAACCGGATGCATTACGGTTATTTCACTTTATTTGAGAAGTAAAAACGTTCCCCTAAAAATATGGAATATTTAAGTTGTGATTGGTAACATTTTTAGTAAAAATAGATGTACGCATATGCCACGATTGCTTGACTTTAAGTATCTAGGTAACGTTAGTCTCCCTTAAGGGTAACTAGGCACTAAAAGTCAAGCAATCGTGCGCATATGCACTTCGAATCACGATTGCTTGACCTTAAGTATCTAGGTAACGCGTCTCCCTTAACGGTTGCGACAAATGGTCGAGTTACAAATAAAACATTCATTTTTAAATCGTTGGTTCAAAAACGGCGTTTGAGTCTCCAACTACTTTGACCCTTAATAACTTTTGAATGGGCAGACATAGAGACTTAATTATTTAGGATTAAATCATCGTAATTTTTAGTTTGATTTTTTAAACTGAAAATCTAGAGGGTACTATTTCGAATAGTAAACTTAAAATCTCCAGTGTGCAGCCCGAGTCAGGGCTTATGTACTCGTCACGTCCGTCTGCCCGTCTTGCGATAACTGTTGTAAAACTAATCCGATTGAGTTGAAATTTTGCACGCATGTAGTATGGGTCAAATGAGGAGTTAAGTTCGAAGATAAGCGAAACAAGTGGTTGACCGGTGGGGGTCATATAAGTTTGTCGGGTATTATGTATAGAAATTGCAAAATCGTCGTAGAAAGGTGAAATTCGGTACAGAGGTTGATAATGGTTTCTACTGAAAAAATTTTTACAAAGTACAATTGTAAAAATTTTTATCTGGATGGACCCTACCGATATCTAAAACTCATCCAATAGAGCTGAAATTTTTGTGGGGATTGTTAATGGCTACTAATGGAAGAGTATGAATTCAAAGTATTTTCATCTGGGCAGACCCTATGGGATGATCCATACCAATTTTTCAAATTCGTCACATCGAGCAGAAATCTGATAGAAAAGTTGGTAATGGCTCCTAATGTAACAATATGAATTAAAATAGGAAAAAATTTCAGAGTTTATTAAGTTAGTGTTTTGTAATGGTTTATGCCAAAAATAAATTATATGCACATGTTCGTTACGAATCCTGCTCTTAGAATCAGTGAATAATGCAATCTTAAAAGGCCCCGCAAAGTTGCTTTCTTTTTAGCCTCAGTAAGTTCTTATCGAACCATATGTCCTTCCGGAACACGATAGACAAAATGGCTGAACAGACTAAAAAAAATATGCACCCCACAAGTTTAAATGTATTTGGTACAATAAAATTTCATTGAAAATGTTTGGTTTGACCAATAACTGCAGTCTGACTCGGGGTACATAAAGGTTGGAGATTTCAAGTTTACTATTCGAAATAGTACCCTCGAGATTTTCAGCTTAAAAAATCAAGCTAAAAATTACGATGATTTCATCTTTCAGAATTAAGTCTCTATGTCTGCCCATTCAAAAGTTATTACAGGTCAAAGTAGTTGGTGTCTGTGCGATGGACTTCAGACACCAATGATTTTAAAAATAATTATTTTATTTGTAACTCGACCATTTGTCGCAACCGTTAAGGGTAACTAGGCACTAAAAGTCAAGCAATCGTGACTTCGAATATGCACGATTAACTTATATAATTTATGTAAACAAATTTAATAATGAAAAAGAGTTTGGCTGGTCCATCCACTGGTGGTGGTACATTGGGGACAGGTACGACCCCAGTGGAGGCAAGAAAGTCGAAGGCCCGAATATCATCCGTGCCACCACCACCACCAAATCCAACGGTATGTAACTCTAACTCGAATCATTTTATCATACACATGAGCAACATCGTCAAATTACGAAAAATTTCCCTCGATTATTTTTAGGAAAACTGGAGAGAAACTGATGCCCGGTTCCACGCGGAAGTGGCCGAGGACAAAAAGAACTTTGCCCTGGGAAAGAAACGCACCCTCGCCTCTGCCTCCCACAACGACCTCAGGTCGGCTGCGAATGCAAATGTCGCTGGTGCTGTGGCCATCGTGGCGGTTGACTTGACCGTGGTCATCGAATCCCAGTCAGCGCCCAGTTTAGCCGGCATTGTCCACGTGCGTCCTTTTGATCCAAATGTGTTACCCGAAGAACCCTCCCCGGATTATTCCAAGTACATTCAATGTCCACATTGTGGGAGAAAATTTGAACCACTGCAGGCATCCAGACATATACCTCAATGCAAAGAGTATTACTTTAATATGGACGATAAGATAAAGTTTCAAAGGTCCAAGTCAATGTCGAAGTAATGGAGAATGAATTTGAGCACGACGCGACAGTTCCATAAAACTTGTTGAAAACTAAATCACAGACCGATTGATAATAAAGTCATACAAATTCTACACAGGTACATATGGCATGATTTTGAGGCAAGTTCGCGAAACACTGCTAATTCCATTCATGATGACGTACGAAATCAAGGTTTTCATTGTAGACATAGTCAGATTGATATTACCATCTCTTCCGGTTAATTTATGCCACATTCTACGGTAGCAGGCGGTATGTGCATACTGCATATGTACATAATCATGGGTGCATTGCTGAACTAAGTACCATCGACCCTGAAACAAACATATTACGTATGGCTTATTAAGCCATACGTATGTATTTGATGACGGGTAGGATGTCCCGACTCCGAGTACTTCTGAGAACGGGATACAATTGTCAAACTGAAATATAATCCCATGCAATAAAACAGAATGTGCAGAAATATTCGGAGTTACAACTGCCAACGCCAACGGCAACAAATATTTGTTTATACAATCAATGCCATAAAATTGCACATCCTGATCCTAATCATAAAGTTCGATAAACCCAATTGAGAACATATGGCAATTTTGTATGTTTCCTCAATAAAGATTCGCCACTCACAGATAGGTCCTTGTCCTATGCACTTTGTACTTCATGTCATAAAATAACTAAACTCTTATGCTCTGCTAAACTACAATTATGTATTTAAGAGATTTCATATAAATATTTATGAGATGATTTTCTCGATGCAAAAATTATTTAATTATGTAAAATTGTGAAGAATTTGTTAAAAAAAAGTATAATCAAAACATTGTGCCTTATGTCCATTCAAAATTCAATGAGAAAATATATTTGTTTCTTTCATAAATTTGGAACCACATCGGATACACAATATATAACTTGTAAATTGGAATTTGTGGAAAAATTATTCAGTGATTACCTCGTTTGATCCTGTTGGATTGGAACATTGGAAAAGTGAATTAATGAACGGATAATTTTGTAGTAAGTAACAAGTAACAGAAAGTTGACATACAGTCATTTTTGATCTTTGAACAATCGAAGAACGAGCAAATTTATCAATTGCTTATCAGTAACAAATATTTGGCATAAAAGATTCAATGTCGTCAGATCTGTAATGTTGGTCACATTAAGAGATTTTCAATTGGAGATTATTTTGGAAGAGAAATATATCTGGATAGCTGATAATAACGGCGAAGTAGACGAGGAAGAGAAGTGATTAGAGGTCACCGGAGAGAACTGAATTTTGAAGAACTTCATTCAATTAACGCACCAAGCAGAGAGCTTATAACTGAATGTAAAAAACAAGATTTACTAAGAATAGCATGATAACATTTTCTTGTTCAAATTTTAAAATAAACGCCAAATACTTCTTGGACCTTACCTTCTTGTAAACACGGGTGGACACGACGCCACCGGGTCCTTCCAAAGTCATTTTCATCTCATCGTCAGTAAACTCTCGGAGAATCTGAAGCGTCTGATCACCACACTTTTGACTGTGCACCAACTTGGTGTCACCATCAAGGGTGATGGTGGACTGTAAATAATTTTAAAAAAACTATAATTATACCCACTTGATGTAATAATGAGCCATGCACATCATATTTCCTGATATAACCTTGATTATAGCTTCTTATATTTAACCTCATGAAATTCATTATTTTGAAGCCGGTTTAAGTATTCGGTTTTGATGCCATGAAAGGCTGAGTAATAAATTTCTACGAGGAAGAATGTTGGCAATATAAATAATATAAATTACCATTGAGCAATTGAACAACACGTGGATCTGAACAATTGGAAGGTAAGTACCTACATAGTCTGGTTATGTATGTGGTGGTGTGATTTTTTCACACGAATTCGGGGCGTTGTTTAATTCCACTGAATAAAACTAGCGTCATCGAATTTATTTTAGTCATAACTATCATGTTACGGAAACGAAATATGAGTACCTAGTTTGCAGTGATGCATTTATATAACTTTTACGACCTGACTAACCTACCGTCATTACTACTAAAAAACCTTTCCCTTTGCTCAGGATAATTACCAATTTCACGAATGCATACAGCTACAGCTAGAGGAGAGGGTACCATGTTCATATCATTTCACACTAAAAAACTAATGTGTAATTTAATTGTATTACTATTGCTGCAACCAATTTAACCGACTAATCAAAAAGTGACTACAAATCTTAACTCAGACTCAACCAAAAGTGTGATAAGCTGTAAGAAAGGAGCTCCAGGTTTAACCTAACTCAGCATGGTTTACTACTTAACAAAATGTGACAGCGTGACACCCATTATCCTTGAACGAGGACGTTATCATCATCATTACCATAAGACTACCTACCCATCACCACTTACTAAACTGATATGACGCATAAAATTTAAGAGCCAAGAAAAGCTCCTGTATTTTTAGGGCGTTAACGCACACTTTGAAATGTACTTTTAATTTGTGAATTTTCTTTAGCGTATGCATTTCATTGTAGTAATTAATTTAGCTGGCTAAAAAGGCAATTTTATTCAAACCAATACCTTGCAGTTCCTCCCATCAGCCGTTTCTTCATCAAACTCTTGTCCCAACTTGAACTTAATGTCGGTCGTCTTGAAGGTGGTCGACGTTTTAATGTTCCAGTCATCCCCATTCTGGGTAATCTCAGTAGTGGGGGTGGCTGTGGCCTATCGGAGCAGATTTTCATGGTATACGTTACTCAAATTATGAAACGCTACATCAACACTATGCAAATTTCAAATTAATAAAATAACTTACAGCCATCTTTCGCATTACGAGCCCAACACCTACAAATATACCAAGAAAACATTATTCCTCGTAGTAATCGGCAATCCAATCGCATCAATAGAGATTTCTTGTTAGTGGGAACACGCAAAAAGAAGAAAAGCCGGCTTCACAATGAGGATGATGATGATGATTAGAAATTCTCATCATTTTAGACCTTGAACCTTGGATCGTGGAAGTTTGGAAGTTGGACTTACCCACAGACTTCATATATTCCTCAAAGTTCTCACTCTTCGTAAGCTTGTATGACCCGGTGATAGGCATGTTTTCAATGTTTCTTCCTTAGTAGATGATAAGACCAAAAAAGAGTTTAAATTGGGAATGCAATTTATGGAAATTTGAATTTCGAACGGACGTTGGAGGATTACGTGCTGCGGAGTGAACAGATTGAAACAGACTGAGCAGATTCAATGATTCAACCTGATGCTATTGCTATGATAATAGCATGGCAGGCAAGTATGCATGTAAGTAGTTGGGTCAAGTTCGAAGAGCTGTTCACATTCAAACTACTTGTTTCACGAATAAATTACGAGCATCAACTTTGAGAAAACTGGAACTGCGTGGGAAATAAGTGAACAATGGGATGAGCACGAAAAAATAGTAATTTGCCTAACTAATCCTAAGTAAGAGTACGAGACGCCAACAAGGAACGGCCCTTGGGCTGAGTGGTCTGGAAAATGACTGGCTACTCTTTCCTGTGGCATCTTGTAATATTCTTATGGATAATATAAATATATAAATATATACATAATATTTTACTCACAATATGCAAATGACTGACAGGCTGGTTTAATTTGAGTGTACGTACGATATAGCTATCATCAATTACAATTACAATAAGGATGCATGGCTCAATCACAGAATTAGAGGAGTAATACTATATTACCCTCAATCTATTCTCATTGTTCTCCAGCAGGCATTAGCTGTATAAATAAATGTAGTTGGTTGGTGGAGAGTAGCGTCCATTAAGCAAATGTCCACAAAATCTGATAATAACCCCACATTAATGGAAAGCTTTATGCATGGAATTCAGAGTCTTGGACGACCTCGGAGTTTTCTAATGCAGTTCACGGTCTGTGAGAAATTTATCAAGTAAAAGAGCAATGTTTAATGTTTGTTCTCATACTCGCGCAACAATCCAAATCATCATCCTTATTAACAAGACCATGCATTCATAAAATTTCCTTCCCAGTTCCCACTTTCATGCAATATGTAGCAACTAATCCTAAGCCATACGACAAAATATATCTTGGAATAGACTGTTTCTTTCGCGAGGATGCTTTTTGGACGTGGGAAAACAACTTTTGAACACTCATCCATGCCCACTCTCGTTCTGTTTTTCTCTCCTCTTGTTTACTCAAGTCGAATAATTATACTGGAGAATTAATTATAAATTATAACAAATGTTCCAAATAATTAATAAACTTCAACCTTCCTTCTTTAATTTATTATTTTGAACTGGTTCTTATTCTCTTCTGTAGTGATTGGGGAGTGAATTTTGTAAATTATTTTTGGTAAAATTGCATTATTACGGCCTAGCTCGGATTTATTTCAGTGGACTAGCTCGGATTTGGCTGATAATTTTTGTGTAAATACCTATTATGGTCCCCTGAGCAAGAAAATACTTTTTTTTGCGGCGGTCTCGAAAATTAAAATTTCTAGAAAGCTTCGAAATTTTGTATAAAAATTATTTTTTGCCTCAGATTTTCCTGAAAATGATTTTATAGACTAATTAAACTATGCTGAACAAGAATATGAAGGATTTTTTGAAAAACATTCAATAGTAAAAAAGTTATAAATTATTGAAATTTTGTATACAAATTTTTCTTGGATGTTCCAGAGAATTTCAAGACTTTGTCTCAGTTTCCCACACGATAGGAATATTTTGTGGTAAAATCAGATTTTCGGGGTAAGATGAGATTTCTAGTTTCCAGCACTCCTAGCTAGCTCTCCTAGGTACCACTACTAGCCAGCTCTCCCAGATAGCTCTCCTAGGTAGCACTACTAGCTAGCTCTCCTAGGTAGCACTACTAGCTAGCTCTCCTAGGTAGCACTACTAGCTAGCTCTCCTAGGTAGCACTACTAGCTAGCTCTCCTAGGTAGCACTACTAGCTAGCTCTCCTTTTTCAAAAGCCATTTTCATGAAAATCTAAGAGAAAAATTATTTTTATACAAAATTTCAAAAATTTTTAGAAATTTTATTTTTTGAAACCGCCGCGAAAAAAGGTATTTTTATGCATATGGGACCTTAGGGTATTCACACAAAAAATTTCAGTCAAATCCGAGCTAGGCCGCTATACTGCAATTTTACCATAATTTCTATACCAAATTTCAAAAATTGACAACGTTTTTGTTTTTCGAGACCGCCGTGAAAAAATTGAAAACTTATTTCCGCTATTTTGATTAAATTATAACCCATAAAATGAATGATTTTCGTTCAGATCATTTGTTGTATTGTAATATGATGCACACTTTTCTGTGTGGACGTGCTCTGGTGCTAAGTGTGGAAAGGCCCGTGCACCGCACCAAGTTGAGGCAAGTTGAGCTATCTATCTAACAGAGCTACATTTCTTATCGTGTGATCCTAAGCATAAATCCATTAAAATGCACGGAACATTCCAGTCTGTTCTCAATGTCATAACATAAGAGTCTGGGGTGCTCAAAATACCACAGAATTGACAATATTGGTCAAAGATATAATAAAAGTGCTGCACACACACATATGTACATAGGCTTGATATAATATATGAATATGTACATATACGTGTACGTGTTGCTGAAGATGATGTTTCTTAAAACAGCTTCAAATAATGGTTCAATAAATAAACGACATGCTTGGGATATCCGTATCTTGTACATGTACCAAAACTATTTACCCCCAGCAAATATGTACTTTTAAGCAAGAGATAGTCAGAGTTAATTTTAGTATGGACACAAAATGGTTCACGAAAACTACACAGTGGTGCTTTTGATTAAATCGAAGAAGGGGAATTTGAAGTGTAAAGAAAACATCTGAAAAATATCCAACCGACATAAATGAATCACTTGAGAAAATAGCATACCAATCTCGTCAAATTAATAAATAATAATATGTGAGAGGCACATTTCTATTAGGTTATACATACATTGACCTGTATTCAAAAATGACAAACTTGATTTAAGAAAAACATATAATCTAACTTAAGCAAGCTAGTCATCCAAATCCATAAAATCTATTAGAGAAATATCTAAAATAAATTTCCTTGTGAGCACATGCACAACCATAAAATTTAGTTGAACACAGCGTTTACTTGGTTAGCCTAGTTTTGGGAGTTGTTTTGGAATTCTCTCCCTCCTGTGATCTTCACCATCCTTTGAGCTTTCTTCTTTTCGATTTGCTGCCCATGTCCTTTGTTGTTGTGCTCGAACTCGAGCTGCTCCTTCTGATACCGAATTTTGTCTTTTAACGCCAACGCTTCATACCTGTCCTTGATATCTTGAGAACAGGAGGCCCACATATAGCCAAGAGTTTCGGAAACCTCAAAAAATAATACCAAATACTTATTAGCTTTTCGTTATTTAGATACCATCGATAAAATTTATGAAAATTTCGAGTACCTCGGTCATTTTGAGGTTTGGATAATCTTTCATCACTTTGGGGCGTTCGTCCCAACAGTACCAGAAGAAAGAGGTGAGTGGCTTTTCTGGCCCTGGTGCCTTTTTGAAACGCATTTTCTTGAGATTGCTCAGCTTCTTACGTCCTCTTGATTCACGACTCTTCATTTCCTCATTCGGCTGAGTCGCCATGAGTTCGAATGGCTTCCTCTCACTGGTCGACATGGATTTCCACCGGTTAGAGCACAATTGACAAAACTCGTGGTAGCTTGGTCTTTCGGCGACGAGCGTTTTCATTAGTTGAACGCGGCAAGAGGTCACAAAGAGCTGGAAAGGCGTTCTCTTCGTGCTTCCACTTCTTCCCTTCGCCTTCGCTACCTTTACTCCCTGTTTTCCACTTTTCTTCAACTTGCCGTTCTTCATCGCTTCGAAGTTCGAATCAAAGACCTGTATCTGAAATAGTGATTATTGCTTGTTAGTCAGGTCACCAAATACATAAATCCTTAAAAATTTAATTTGCCTTTTAACGATTCCGATAGGACCCTATAAATTATCTGTAATTGTTGAATTTTGGTTCAGCCAGGGTCAGTTTAGCTGATTTTATGGATTGGTCTATCATCAGAAACAACTAAAAGTGTTGAAAAATGGCTACACAACAGGCGAATTCCAAGTTTGTTTAAGTTCTTGGTAGAGTAAAAAGGAATTACGCCCGATGATAATTAATAATGATAATTTGATTGACGTTGACGAAAAAAATCATCTAAAAAATATGGGTTCATTTTGGGTTCATTTTTGAGGCAGCCGTTGCGAGGGAGTCGTACAATCTAGAATTCCGCTCTGTCAACTTGTCTCAAGAGATTTTATTTTTATGTAAACATATAAAACCAAAACGTCAACGTCCATGAAAAAATTTGCTGACATATCTTTTCATCCGCTATCGATTATTAATTGGATTGCATTGAAGTTTTAATGGAAAAACGAGAAAAAAATTACTTCATTTGTCAATACATATTTCGAATACTATCTGCAATTCATTATCAAGGCATGTGTAGAAAAAGTGGTTTATTATGTTTTATCAATTTAAGACGACTTATTCAAGTAATCTAAAGTAGGCGTTCTCGAAAAGTCTTGTATCATAATTCTTGTATCTTTATTAACCCATTAATTTCATTAATCAACAGTAACTTGAATTTCCTAAATATTAAAAAATCTGGACAGTTTATCCTAAATGTTAAATTTATACTGTTTGTTTGGCTGGTAAAATACTAATTCAATTCATTAAGGACTTGGTGGCTTGTTCTGTTCTGATTGAAAATCTCATAGTTAGGAGGCCTTCTTGTTTTTTAACTACATCTACATACATTTCAATTTAAATTAATTTGGGTTAAAAACATTTGTCATTTTTTAATAACCTGTTTCATATTATGAGTAAAATTATGCTCCTCTAGTCAACATTAAAAAACACTTATTCATTGTATATAACTATACAGATTGCAAACGTATTGTATCAGTATTTGTTAATCTATATTTTAAATGTGTATGTAATTGTATTAAGCTCAAATTAAAAGTTAAACAACAAAACAATTAAGTCATAGTTTAAAATTGCAAGTATTTCAAAGTCACTAGATTTCTTTCAAGACCGCTCTTGTTTTTAACTAGAAGTAATCCATAACATGTACGTTTTCATATATTTGTAATACCGGTTGGGTCTCCTAATTAAAAAGTTTCAGCACGATGGTTAAGTATTTATAACATAGCGTGTCGTCAGCATGGCAGGATGATTGTTCCGTATTGTACCAATTTTTATAAACAGGTTGTCTTATATAATGCATACATTCCAATTATACAAGTTGTAAATCGCATAGGCAAACTATGTATCTATTTATTGGTACTTCATATGGCATAATAACAGATGCCAACAAGTCGTGTTACATCTGGAAGGTATTCATAATCGTTTACATAAACGGTTCTTAAATTATTAATTTTAAAAAGTTAATTGCACTTGTTGTTCAATGATTGTAAAATTTTGATGCGGAATATTCTTAAAATGTTACAAGTTTATGTACATGACAAAGTTTAAACTAATAATTGTACATGACGATGAACAGGCGAGGTATATTTATGTAACTCCGTGTGGTTAGTTTCAGATAATTTCAGTTTCAGACAACCTACTATGCATGGTTAAAACTCATTATTGTTATAATAACTATGTATTTGAGGTAACTGGCAATAAATGATTATCATATTTTAACATATACGACGGTAAATTTGGTGGCACTTTGTTAGAAACCTTTTTGTAATTTGTAGTTAGTGACGAAATTGTAAGGTAATGTTAATTCCATCCCCCGGTTAACTTGTGAAACATATCTTCATTTAGCGTTTGACTGGCGTCTTTGGAGCGAAGAGACAGGAAAATATATCCTCCAATGAATTCATGAACAACTTTACAATCTGGAAAAATAAATAAAACCAAATTAACAAACTTTGTAACACCAAGAAGTTTTAATGAGCCATGCATTTGGTAGGCCCATTGTTATCGGCTTACTAACCTGCGGAGAGGCATCCAAAACTGATATTTTCGTCATCGAGCTGAATCATCATCATTTTGACTTCCCAGTTGACGTTCCATGCCTAAAAGAAGGATATAATTATTAATTAAAAATGACGCTTTTATACATTAAATAAGTTTATAAGCTTATAAATACCTTCATGTTATTGTATCTCCAGGTTTTGATGTGGTCTCCATTATTGATATCCATCCTCATAATTCTGTTAAATGCAACGCCGAGCAGTTCCTCCTTTTTCGATCCACAATGGACAATGAACAATGAAATTCCAAAGTCGGGAAGAGATTGCCAAGCTTTAATATACTATAAGAAAAATAAACTCATTCATTTAGTTTTATTCAGTTATTTAGTACTTATTTAGTCTCACCTTCATTTTTGCCTCTACCAAATTACAATCCTTCACATTGGCATGCGCTTCAAGGATCCTTTGCGGTAACTATATTTACAGGGTGGTTGAAATCGGAGAAAATGGGAATTATAATAATCAATTTTTGTCGTGAGCACTACCTTTCCCTTAATCTTTTTAAGAAATCTGGGTGCAATGTATTCTTCTGGTGTAATATCGAAAGAATTTGGATTGATGGCAGGGGCTGGAGCACGATGTTGCATGGACAAAAATGATCTGATAGTATTTACTTCAGAGTCGTACGAACTATCGGCCAGAGTCTTTCCTTTAGACCCAAGTTTACAAGCAGCCATCCATTTGGCGTATTGATCCTCCTGTTAATATTAATACGAATCATATTATGCATTATACAAAACGACATAAAAGTAAGTCCATGAGTGAAACAACGCGTCTTAATATAATGATAAGCACTAACCGAATCACATCGGATCCAGTATTCGGTCATCCCATCTGGTCCTGGGACCTCTAGTTTGATGCCGTACTTTTGCTGTGCTAAATTTACGTCAGGAGCGACCTCACAGCCTTTAAGGGAGATTGAGAATGCAGAGTCGGGATCTAAAAGAAACATTGTACAGCTAGGATAAGACAGACGATTTGATAATTGATGACACATAAAGCGGCATCATTGTGTCCAACCAGCTCATAACTAAGCATCATTTAAATATTTGATGACTTTTGAACACTCACCGCCTCGACTTTTTTGAAAGTTCATGTACAAGTCTCTACAGGTTACGTGATACTTTTTCCAGCCCTTTAGCGTAAACTTTTTTGGTTTCATTACTCGCAGGCTGTCGGATAACTCTGGGGTGTGCATAATACTCCTATTGTTGACTCCTGATCCTTCCAGCGTTACTTGAAGATCATTCAGTGCCGCGTCTATGTCGTCTTCACCTTGGTTGGGAAAATCTGGTTGAGGGACATTGGACTGGAGGCTACAAAATATATGTGTAATATCAAATAGTTAGAAATGTCAAGTCCAAAAAGCTATGTGCATAAAACTGTTATGAAAGGGAGGACACTCATTACGGTCACCACCAGTCGTAGGTGTACACAAATAAACTTAAACAAAAGAAGAAGAAAGTCACAATCACATTTTACCTGACTTGAAGCTGCAAGAAAAGGGAAAATAAATAACATTATTAATTTTGCCGATTCAAACTTATTTAATTTTATTAAGTATTATTTTTTGGTGCACTCACCTGTAACGCCGAAAACATGAGCATTTCTTCTTCCGTGCAGTCAATCTCTTCATTTAGTAGTTGCCACCGAGCTTGTTCATATAATTGGTTGATTCGAACAGCATCAAATTTAGGGTTTAGGTCGTAGAAAGAGTAGAACTTAAAGCGCAAATTTAAAGTGTCAAACTCTCTCACGCCTTGTTCCATTATGGACAAAGATGAATCCAGCCATCTATGAAAATACGACCGTCTTAAAAACATTACTCATAAAAGGAGTAAACTAGTAATATTGTCACACTTAATTGTTATTAAAAATAGCCATAAAAAAGTTGGACAATGTGACAGACTTAAAGTAATAAATCCAACTGTCACACAAAACAACAAGTACCCCACGACGCTACATACTGCCTCCTTTATGTGAGTACTGTCGAATAAAATATACAACTGGGGTCTATATTTACTAAATATTTAGTTACACCGACAGAGTTCAACGACCAGAATAAGTAATGATTTTAAGCCAAAAGGAACACAATTGCATAAACATTTATAATCTACATATGTCCATTCCTGCTGTATAATTCATACACGTTGAAAATTTACTGAGAAAACGCTATGGATTCTATGTATGTACTTACGCTACGTTAAGCCTCGCTTTCTCCACCAGATTTCTGGGCCTCAAGTGTTTCAAATTTGGGTCAATGGGCGGTGTGGTGGCAAGGGCTTCGAGGTGAGCCTGGAAAACAGAACATTACATTACCCTAGTCAGCCCGGGTTTAAACAGTAAACAAAAACAGCAAAAAAAGCCTTATCCTCGCATCTGGACGACATAAATGCTGTTATCGAGTAAATAATATTATTTTTATTTTTTTATTTTTTTTATATACATACGTATATCATTTTTAAAAACTTGTCAATATTATTGGTATTATTGTTATGAGTTATAATTGTATGCCAATTAATTTTTTAATTTATGTGTAAAGTAAAATCACCGATGGCGTCGTGAGTGTGATTTTACCTCAAGAGGAAGTATTAACCATCGAAGGTCGTGATATGAAACCAGAAAAGAAACAACCGAAGAAGGGCAGATCAGAGGGGAAAATAAAATGCCCCGAGTGCGACTACGCGACAGACAGACGATTTGATATGAAAAAATAGGTTCATTTATAATTAATCCTACTTATTTTTAATATATATATATATGTTTATAGACATTCTTGTGTTCACACAAATGTGAAACTTTTTGGATGTAATTTGTGTGGTTCTAAACTTGGAAGCCAACTTGGATTGGATAAACACTTAAAAGATGGGTGTACAAAACAAGGAAAAGGCCGTAAGACTGAGTTTGCGGAGATTCAAAAATTACGGTATGCTTTATAAGATATGTAGTAGACATTTGATCAAACAACTGACTAAATTTTTGAATCTAGGAACCCTGTCTCTAGTGCTTCCACCTCGCCACGCAACCCTTCTCCATCAAAGAACCATCTTCGATTCGAAATCACTAATTTGTCTCGGAAATTAAAAGAGAAGGAGGCAGAGAACCTAATGCTGAAGATGCGTTTGTCTTTAACCAAAGTAGATGGTGTTAAGAAATCCTTTCTCCCAAAACGGAAGCAAGTTGAAGAAGGGAACACTTGCCAAGCGAAGAGATTCAGTTATTCACAATAACACATTCTTGTCATATACAACCAAAATTATTATTGCTTTACAATAAACAATTTAATCTGATTAATATTGATTTGAGTCGAGTTCAAACATGTCATTTTTCTATAGTTTATTATACTCAACCTTTCGAAAATACTCTGTTTTCTGCTTCAGGAGAAATTTAATTTAAATTTAGTCTGACTTACTGACACCTCGAGGTCCAGCTCGTTGAACCCGTTGGCACTCGCGGACAGAGGGATTGGGGAGTAGGAGGTGTTCCCATTACCCAAAGTGTTGTAGGGCGAGGCCCCATTTGACGACCAGCTAAGTGGAGAACTCATTGGCGTCTTGTTGGACGGAGAGCGGACAGGGGCGCAGAGGAAACGTTCCCCAATCCCACCCCCACTTCCGCCAGAAGAGTTACTCCCTGTGCTCTGATTGTGTCGACTGTACATCCCGTTTGAACTCGCATTAGCGACAAATGTATTTGTGTCGGGTGGAGGGAGGGGCGACCTTCCTCGACCCCCGTAAGAATCATCCCCATGTCCGGCATGCGAAGCGTAGCCATTCCTTCGACTTCGGAGAAGCTGGCCAAAATTCTGTTTGAGGTGTTCCGGACCCAAAGGAAAAGCGAAAGATAGTTCCTCAGGATGTCGAATTCCTATACACAGGAAACAATGGTCAAGCGTTGTTCATTGTGCATTATGTGTGACGATAGGCGAGGATCGGCATATTTAAGGGCAATAACAATGATAATAATGAGGCTTCATTTGGTGGTACATGCCATCATGTATGTATGTACTATGACAATTGCATTGTTGTATGAATGTCGAGATTACGTAGGTAGTGTAAAGGAGGTGTCGTACACAAATGCATGCAGAGTCTGAGACACTTAAGAGCAATGCGTATGCAATGAAAAATTTAAAGTGAACAAAAACTTGCATTTTGATGCGAATGCTCGTCGTTATTCACAGACAGGAAAGAACGAGTTGGTGGTGGGAATTGATGTCTTTACGTGGGTGGATTGGATTTGGAATGGGATGATGATGAGAAAAAAGAGATTGTTTCTTGAGCAGATTTGCATTGTACTTATGTATCTGTGAGTAGAGTATTATTATATCCAGCTCTATGCTACATATCTGTAATATGTAGAGGAGGAAGCTTGATGATGAGATCACAAGTAAATATACGAAACTCGACTCGAGATCAGATTTGGATTGGATTATAAATATGTCTACATGCGAACAAAATGAGTCGTCAATGTTTGATGGATTTGGATGCATTAAAGTTTAGATAAGAAACCTCAAACGCTGTAACAGTTGAAAAATTAGTGTAATGCATAGATCTTTTGAAACTATTCATTCTTTTTACTAGGAATGCTGGATGAGTAAAAACGAAGCAAGAAATTTCCTCTGTGTGTATACGTTCCACTTTAGTGAGATCGAGATGGAATCGTAAAATTTGAGAATGTAAATAAAGTTCTACATCATAAAATCCAAGTTTAGTCAGCTTTCAAAATTTTACAGATTCTCAAGTCCCGTTGTTTTTCTAGTAAGCAACGAGCTCCATGAATGTGAGCATGGGCAGGACTACTTTTAGAGAAATGATTTCTGGAATAATGCGAATTTCATTCAAGTTCACGCCATGATAAATAACACGAACTATCCACTCCCATTAATTTCCTTTCTTGCCATCACATGATTAGATTTCCGAACTGTCTATCTCCACCATTTCTATAAATGTAAGACTAACGGAATGTGAATCTGAGCTGGGCTTGTAAGCCGATATCTCGCGTTATCCTTATCCATATGCACCCATCCAAAACAATCCACTATCCCTACTTTTTCCTCACTTATCCCGCAATCGTTTATTGCAGCCCGTCGTAATTTTTTAGCCAGGTTATGTGATACTTGACTAACATGGACTCAAAACTTTTGAACCCTTTTTTATTTATGCATGCGTATCAAAAATGATGGGATGAATTTGGAACGGTGGAAATATATACGCGAGCGATCTAATTTCTGTGGACGAAGTTGAGTGTCAGCCAAATTAAAATGAAGCGTCTGTCTGTTTCAACTATGTATGAATGAATGTTCACCATAATGGATGACACGCTGAACTTGAGCCAGTTACAATTAATTACTCCCATAATAAATGTTGAACATACCCAACTGCTTACACAGGCGAACCACAGCGTTAAAGGTTTTGATGGAAAAGTCCACCTTACAATCTAGCGTTCTTCGATCAGGTAACTGAATCCTTAGCACCTTCGCAAAATCCAAAACGGATAAAATCAATCATTCACCAATCAATTAAATACATGTCCAACGTGTAATGTACAAATACTTCGTGTGGTCATTACCTTGTGACAAGGAGTAAAGTATAGTAACGCATCGGCTTGTACTCCGTACTGGTCAAGGGTAAATCTTGTTCTGGATAACCAAACATTGCGCTCTGGCCACCAAAGAGCATGATCTGACCAATCGATTGCTACTCCTGAAATTTAAAAAATAAGTAAACCGTAAAAAATATATTTGAAAGAAGCAGCTCATTATCGCCAAATCATGAATGACTGCTCATTTTTACAATGCTGCTGGTTTGACATTTGACATACGGGTGGAGTGGACAATACTATTCTGCAGTTGACATAAATAAGTGGACGATAGAATTAAAAAGCGTGGGTGGCTAATGAGTTGGTTGTGCTATAGCTACGATTTGGTATACTAGATACAAACTCCATACTACATCCTCTACATATATCCATGGGTTTGGCACCTTTTTACTAGAAATGTGTTGCATTAGCCTGGATGGGTGTGGTGTTTTTTCACTCCATTTGAGGCGCTTATATGTAGTTTCTCTGTTTGAGGACTCTTAAGCATAGTTACGCTGATACATAGCTATGCATGCTTAGGTAAATATGACCTGGCTGAGATTTGGGGAGTACAAGTAGTGAAGTGTAGCCAATATTTATATCGAAACTTGACTAAATTATGTTACAGTGAATATAACACCCAACGACTACCACTACATACATCCGATTTACAGAGAAGCGTTTTGCAGACTGGGTAGTAGAGTCGACGGATAAATGTATTCACCAAACCAAACTCAAGACGAAAGAAAATGCATTTCTCTTCCGTGTTCATTGCTGCTTCCTTCAGACCTCATTTACTTTACTAATTCTATCAAAGGAGTAAACACGTACTGTGTCACGCGACACAAAGTTACCAACCAATTCATATTTTTTGAGGAATAATTAAAACCATTTAAAAAAATAGATGGAAAAGGAACGATTTATGGCACACAAATCAGACCCCACCCATCGCATTCACGTTTAATGAAGTTCCTTCCTCCTCCAGAGAAAAAAAAGAGGAAGTTGAGATATTTTTAGGTGGCCGAGAGGCAGCTATTTCTTCACTACTTCCTTTCTCCTAGGTCTCTCGTCGTCTTGAGACAGATCTGGCCAAGAAATTAGTCCCGAAAAACCAAACACACATAAGCTCCCACACACACACAACAGTTTACATGTATACCCAACCCTTCATTCTTTCTGTCAAATCTCCAACACCAACAAAGCGAAATGAGACCAACTCTAACTAAATGTCTTTAAGGGTTGGTGAATGTGACCACGAAAAATTCATCATTTTCAGCTCAAAATTTTACAAATGTTTCAGTATTTTCATCCTATTTCTTTTTCATTTTTCAACAAATTACATGGATGGATCTTAATCTCGCTCATGTTACTTTTCTTTTTTCGGGTTGAAGCCTGTCTATTTATGACGTGACATGGATGATGGCGTGTGCCCAACGTGTAAATCGAAATGAACTTGTGCATTTTCTTGGGTAAAAAAACAGGGCAAACACAAGCCAAAAGTTTTCCTCCCTAGTTGGTTGGAATCTCAAGATTTCAGTCAAAAGATAATCGCCATTAGGAAACATGTTACAAATAGAAACAAATAAGGAGCATTCCAAAAATTCTTTCGAGAAAAGGGAGGAAATGGAAATTAAAGGAAATGACCAAAAATTCTTTTACAAAGAGAAATATCATTAGTCAAGATAATGTTCATGTTGACCCCGAACTTTGGATGTGATGACAGGGCGAGTGACAATAACTTCGGTTAAGGAAGTTGTTTAAGCCTTTGTTTCTATTTTAAAATGGGTTCATTTCAATTTTATTTCCGAGGGAATTGGGTATTATAAGGCTTTATGTGACAGAACCAAAATTAACAGTTCAACACGATTGTTTAATTGATGGTGTTTGCTTTGGTATGATCCTCATTGAGATTCTAGTCGGGTACGTACTTTATTCTTTGCACAAGGACGCCAACGGTCATTTCACTCAAGATTCACTAGTAAAAAGCATACTCTAGGGAGAAGAAAAGAACCAACAGCAGCATCATCATTATATCAAGCGCAGGAGAGAATGGAGAATGTTGGCCAAGGTGATTTTCTCAAAAGGCAAATGCTAAAATAACCAAGCTTGGAATGAATTTTAAAGCCCACAGTCAACTCACGAGTATCTAAACTTTTTCATATCAACTAAAAAATCTTCGTATCCTTTATCATACATACCATATGCACTTATGCTGGATGTTGTCTAGAAGAAAATTTGCATATATATGCACGTCTCGAAACACCGTCATCACATTGCTAACTAACCAACTTAACTTGGCCCACGGAAAAGGAGCAGATGGTTTGAAAATTGCAAATATTACAAAAATTCTGCGAATAAAATTATGAAAATTGTTCTCAACTAAGAAAGTATAGACGAAAATGTGCATCGGCATAAAAATTGAAAGGTTTTAAAGCATTTCGGGCAAGTGGCGAAGGTATTAAGAAAATAATAAATTTCAATATATTAATATACATGAATCGAAACAATGAGGCGATGACAACACCACGATGCATCACTACAAATGAATTGTTGACACATACATATGCATGACTGACACCAGTTTAATCCATTGCATTCAGACAAAAGCATAATAAACATGTGAAGAAATACGTTATTAAATTAATTAAGCTAAATGACTGTAAAGTATTTAAAGTTGTTTTGGGAAAATGTGCTGTAAAATGAGCTAAATTTATTAAATTGGATTAGATTAATCATAACAAACTTCGTAGGAACAGCTATATGCATGAGCAGAGTAATGAGGATAGTAAACTTTTAGTACTTTTACGTGTCTTTGAGCCGTCTGCAATTATAGGAGATTTTGGCCAGATGCAAAATAAAATAGGTCTCAGAGCTTACTTTACGGAGGATTATGTGTGGGACGAGTCCTTGGACCACTTACACATTGCTTCTAGTATTACAAGTAGTGCTCGACACGAGACGAGACGAGACGAGATTGCCTTGTCTCGTCTCGTCTCGAAAGTGACTCGAGACGAAGTAATCGAGACGAGACAAGATGACGATTTTGTCATCTCGTCTCGTCTCGAATCTCGTCTCGGTCGAGACGAGACGAGATGTCTCGATATTCATCCATGTTTTTCGAAATATCTTTTGTTTTCTTCAGATAATCACAAGCTAGTAACGGGATTGTTAATTTAAAAAATTTACGACGCTTCCATTGAGACATTTCACGTCAATTTTCGTTAGTAGGTAATCACGTAAACTTATTATTAACCTTACGAACTTTTGACGAAACGTACGAATATCTCTTAGGTGATTTTTACCCAGATAAGTCAAATTTTTGGTTCGTAAGATGATCTTCGCAGGCTTATGAACGTGATTACGAGCTTACGAAGGCTAACATGAAATACCTAAATGACTCGTAACCGTCATAACTTATGTTACGACATATGTATATGTATATATCTACTAAGAATATTGGGGATATGGATACGAGGAATCGCTACACACAGTATATACAATTTATAAATGGTTTTATATAGTTAGTGTTATATTTGAGTTTATTTAACGTAAAATCAGGACATTTGCAGATTGGTTAAAGTTTTGATCATAATTATTAATTTTAGCTATTCGCTGTAAAAAAATTGAAAGAAACTGCATTTCCCTAACCTGCCCGCTCCTTGCAGAAGGCTAGTGGAAGTAGTGGACAGAGAATTTGTTGCTAAATCTCTAAATTTGTGATGCCTCGAGACGTCTCGTCTCGACCGAGATTTGTCGAGACGAGATGGCGTTGGTCTCGTCTCGATCTCGTCTCGTCCCGAAATCTTTCGAGACGAAAAAGTTTGTCTCGTCTCGTCTCGTATCTCGTCTCGTCTCGAAATGTTCGAGATGGTCTCGTCTCGCGCCGAGCACTAATTACAAGAATACGTATATACATATGCCCATTTGCCCATAAAGATCATTCGCAATATGTCTGTAATGATTTGCACCCTATACATGAACATTTTGGCTTCGTTTTCATATTAGATTTTCTGCATCTAGAGATTGGACATAGTTTTCATTACATGTCAAAGAAAGAGATTGCCTGTTTCACCTCCAAGTGGGAAACAAACATATTGAAAACCTTCAATCGTGCTTATCACCGGTTTTTGAGATTGAGCATATTTATGTATTTGGCTGCACCAAATAATACGTACAAGTTGCAGCCGGAAATATTTATTAATTTTTACGATGTTTTCTATGCATTCATTTCTACGTATAGCTGGTATAGACAACCAGAAATTTGTAACTCACACATAATACTCTACTTTTTTCGCTAAATGAAATGATAATAAGTGTGGAGTGTGCCTTGTCTCTCGGGCTCGATTTGTTTACTTAACCATTAATGGATTACATTTACTTGCTTAGAAAACGACCTCACCTTATGCATTACCAAACCAAAAGTCAACAAACCAACTACATGCAAATGTATATCTATAGACATATACATATAAATACAACAACCAACATATTTACAATCACATATATTACGTATATAGGGTTTATAACGTTGTATTAAATCGTATGTGTACATGCAAGTAGAAATAAAATACCCATCGTGAAAGTGAAATGTCGTAGCTCTTGGATGTAGCAGCAAGCAGTGAAATACGAAATGGCATATGAAAAACTTGTAATCAAATTAAATCAAACCATAAATCGCAATTATGTAAGTGTGAAAAGGTCTAGAAGGACTATTAAAAAACAGTTTTATTGGTTAAATCACAATTACTCAAGAAGAACAACAAATGACGGCAAATGCTTCCCCATGCAATAGCTAAATAGGTATACCGAATTAATTAATTGTAATCAGAAAGAAAATCACATCAATCGTGTAACATTGCAAAATGCTTATTTATTGGTGTTGGTTGATGATTAAACTGAAAACATTGTGCGTACTCATGTTGACGATGACGACGTAACTTATGTAACGTTTGTCATAACTCCAGTAAATGCCAATTTGAATAGGTTATGATATTATTGACTCAACAATCCTGGATGGAAATGACTATATAGATACATCCGGCTGGGTTATCTTATTTCACTTTCTATGCATCATATTTGGATAAATTGGGTAACAGTGCTGCGGTAATGTGGTCTATCTATGCACTGCGGTTTATTTATCTGCACAACTAATAAATCTAATTGTCGTAATAAAATTTTAGGAAAATCAGAACTGATGTTAAAATGGGAAATATTACACAAGTATTTTTTATGCAACTCAATAAAAATTGCTATTTATATGTATCTAGGTATGTAAATATGCGGTGATCCAACCCAACTCTCAGACTCAGAACAACTAGTCCTAAATATTCCATAGTTGATAGTCTAGCAAGATTTTTGCGATATAATCAAGATGACAAGTTAATTATAATGATTAGATGAGGGCGTCATGCAATAATTGACTACATGCAGTCTGTACCCTTCAGTAAGAAAGCACCACTAATTAAAGTTGAGTATAAAATAAGTAAGCCGACATGAGGGAAAGCACGATAGCAAAGATGTTAACACACGCAACAACCGAGCAACAGTACAAAGTATAACTGCATCTCCAATTAAAATATAATCTAGCTGACTGAACTACACATCATGCCCAGTTAAATTATTCAGTGGGTGATGGGTTAATTAATTACCACTATAAAATAGATCCCGACACGGATTCAAATCTCTCCTCATGTACAACAAGCAATTATCAACTGGTTTTGTACATAATAAAATGTAAAGTTTCAGAAACGTGAAATATAGTCTGCTACTTTGTAATTTAAAGCTATTTCATTTGCACTTTTCACCTTTCGTTTCAACTCTAGCCTCAAGGTTTTATATTGCATGGAGTGTGTTGTGGTAAAGAATTAGTAATTGCAAGTGGATACATAAATGCATGGTTTAAATTTATTGTGTGCTCTGTGTATGCATGAAGATAAGCGACATATTACACAATTATGATAAGGTTTGCAGACCCACAACATGAGTAATGATCAAATATTAAATGATAAGTCATGGTGTTTTGACAAACTCCGTACAGAAATCGAGAAACATAAACAGGATAAGCTGAATTCAATGGAACTTACAAAACAATTGATTAAATCATCAACATTGTGTATTGTTAAATACAAAATTCTGAGACTGAGGAGCGCATAATATCATCCACTGAATATGCCCGGCCTTTATAGGTTGATGGAGGTATTTAGGTCACTAAGCAAGCATACATATATCCATACATCTGTATGTGTATCATAAATATTTACAAAATTCGTTTGAAGAACAGGATGCAATGTTTAAAATTAGATGGAACGATGTCATTAAAATTAAATACGTACGTTACACGCAAGATTGTTATAAAAGAGATTTGAGGAGTTTAAAGACACATACAATTCTTAAATTAGTGAATGAATAATGTTCTGACGATGATCTTGATAATTATGAATTTTTAGGTTTTAGGATGTATTCATGTACTTACATTGTTGTGTACAATGTTCAGCTTTTGAATAAAATAATGTACAAATTGGAAATATGTATCTGAAAATTTCTAAATATAGGCAATCATTTTATAGTTTGCTATGCTCACCTTGATTTCTTAGGTCATCTGTAAGTTGGAGCATGAGCCCTCCAATGTGCGTTTCTCCTTTGACCCGTAGCGTCCTTGGTTCCGACCCCATGTCGGTCACCAGCACTTGCAACTCCCACGAGCCATCCCCCACTAAGTTACCGTCCGCAAACATGATAACAATACCGGTATGCAGATAAAAATCTTATTATTAAGCAGTTTTTAATACAACGATTATTTTTCTTAAGGTCTCAATATTCAAGCAATTCACATTTCCTTGCACATTAAAATTTGCGTTCACGTTGTTCACTTTCTCGAACAAAATTCAACAACAAAATTCAACAAGTGAGAATCCTTCAAATAAGAGAGGCACAATTTATAACAGTGTCAAGTTTTTGTGTTTGTAGTACCAGTTTTGCTGTGGAGTTGTTACCAGCACTGGTTGTGAAAAGTGACTGAAGTGTAAGATGAAACCTAACCAAAAAATACTGCAAAGAATAACGATATACACATCCCACACGGACCTAGGATGGAAAACAGACAGAAGAACAATATACCAAAATGTTCACAGAGATGTGTTAAGAGAGAAGAAGTTTGAATGTGCAACCAGAAGAGAGTAAAGGGTTAAGAGAATGCAGGTTTGGATGATGTGGTGTGAAGTGCCTGGTATCAGAGAGCACAAAATGTTTATGAGAATGAATATAGCAAAATGTATGAAAATCTAGTGTTATTTAAAGGGAATTATGGCGACTTTTTAAAGGATTTTTAAGGGTAGGAGTGACCAGTGCTTGACAAATTGGGGTCAAGAAGCGTCCACACTGAGCATACTGATTTTGATGCAGTATGATTCGTGAAATTGGCTAACTTGAATATGCATAAGAAGGACAAATTTTTGAATAAAAAATATGTAACACTTTGCAAATAATTACTGCTCAACTCTTCAAAACAAAAGCTCCTAAATCATTCAGCGTCAGCACCAGGAATCCCAGTACAAGTACCTTTGTTTCAAAATTTTGAAGTTTCTGAAACAAAATGCCCCTCAGTAGTCCAATCCCGGCAAGGTCAAAGTTATAAACAACAAGTTCCAAAAAAGACAAAAATGAAGCTTTACTAAAACGACGGTTTACTGACCAGGTTTATTGACGACGATGGAAGGATAATGTAGGATAATAACGAGGAAAGTTTCACGACACAATTCTGTAAAAATGCTGACAATGTCGGGCGCAGTAGGTGCACCTGCAGGATTTTTAGCCAGAATATCATCATTGGAAAGAGAAGTCTCGTTTTTGAAGCAAAAAGTAGAAGACGACGCAAGATGGAAATTCTGTGTTCAACAATTCGTTCTCGACAATTTTGGTAACTAAAAAAATAATTCTGCGTGTCCAGTGACAGAAGGATAATATTCTTAATGATATGTCTTTAAATCAGCATTCGACATTCAAGGCGCCCTACTGCACGGGCAGCGTCGTAGAAATTACTCAACGACGGCTACGTCGCCTCATTTGAGCAGCAGGTGTGCTCACCCCGAAAAGAGAAAGACCTCATCCTCAGGAACATCTTATCGAAGTAAAGTGAAAGTTGAAAGGACAGACCCCATACAAACGAGGCATGGAGTAACGGACTACAATCCGCACAATCGGGGTGACGATGACGATGATCAAGACGACGACATTAGTCCAACTGGTTTCATGGATGAGGATGATGATGATCCGGAAATAAATGTTCATTGTTTTGGCGGAGTTATGGAGGATGGAATGGAGGTCAATGTGAATCCAAAGGATCTCATTATTACGCCAGATATTAGTACAGGTATCACAATTTTAAAACAGTTTTCCTCCTAAAAGTTATCGTGTGACAGTGATTGATTACCCAATCATTACTATTTAGACAACGAAAAACGAGATGGTTCTACGATAGACCCAAGTAAAAGACCTGCAGCTACTCCTACTAGAAGGACATCCTTGCTGGATGACACGGATGATGACCTCTGTAAGACTTCAACAGTCTTGATCGGGTACTTCGGATAAGCAAACTGATATTGAGCGTTTATTTTATTATTGCACAGTGGGTGATGTGGGAGCCCAATCTTCAGATGACGACGCTTCTTCTGGTTCATCTTCTGATGACGTCTCAACTCGTCGTCCCCACAGAAAAATGGAGTGGACTCTCATCGGAACTTATCCGAATGTGGAGACCATGAAACAACAGTTCAATTTGAGAGAATGGGGACTATCCACTAAACAGACCACAGGATCCGGTGCCAAAATATATTATTATTGCAAAGAATGTCGGAAACATGGACCAGGTCGATTACTAATTCGATACAAAAGTGAAGAGAGTGAAGTAGAAATTCTAAAGAATCAATTGGAGCATGATCATACAACAAAGAAAAGGTGGGGAAAATACCCAGGGGACCTATATGGTCCCCTGAGCAAAAAAAATTTCGCCGTGGTCTCGAAAACATACACAATTTCAAAAAAATCTTTTTTTACCGACAAGGTTAACGGAGGAGATGAAGGTTGAAATTCTAAGTCTGTACAAAGCTGGAATGGCAGACTCACCAAAAATATTAGCAGCTCTAAAGGTCTCAAAACCACACATGCGGCAACCAACCGTAAAACAAATTTGTCACATACTCAAACCACTTAGACGGGTGGAAAGAAAGCACAAAATGAAGGTATTTAGTAAAATTGTACATTATGTAATTATGTCAAAAACTAAGGTATATTTAAGCGGAAACTTATTACGGTCCATGATATAGGAAAAGAAGAAAGCTGCCAAAGAGAAACAAAGACAAAAGAGTTGCTCAGTTGATTCAACCTCTGGGGAAAAGAACAAGGTCACAAAGAAAAATGTCAAAAAAGATGTCAAAAACGTCTCTACCTTTGGGGGCGGAGTGCCATCCCTGTCGTTTCCTTCCTCTTCTCTGCCCCCATTCCCACTACCACTGTCATCCGGATCTTCTTCTACGACCTCAAGTGTTGGTGGCAACCTAACTTCTCAGCAGCAGCAACACATCAGTCAATTCATGTCAGCAGCAGAATCAGCAGGGTCTCGAGATTATCAAAGACCTCACGTCGTTTCTGTTCCTGGATTCCCAACCCCCAGCCAGCAACAACTCCAACAATTTTATCAGCAACATCAGCAACACCAGCATTCCCCATTCGACCCACCCAGTAATGTCCACCTGGGACAGGCAAATTATCCTTTAGAGTTCAATAAATAAAAATTGCCTGATAGGAAATTGTTGTGTCATTTCCTTACATATAAAATTAGTCATTTTAAACATGAATTAAGGTTGTGTTAATGTGATTTGTGATATTCATAGTACTATATGTATAAGAATTTTTTGTATATATCATTCTTATTTGGGAGCAGAAATTAAATCAAAGCCAAACACTGCATAAAACCAAAATTATGCATAAGTTGGTTTGGGATTCACTAATTACAATCAATCATAAGATACGTATTCAGTTTTACTTTCACTTTCACTTCGCCTTATCCGTTACATTTATGTAAGTACGTCCAATTAAATGCATAGGTTTCTCTCATATTTTACAAAATGCTGCCATGAATTTACTTTCACCTAACTTTCTCGTCAAGTGTACTTGGGAAAATTGAGACAATTCGGTGAAAGCATCTATCTACCTACTTCTCATTAGTCTCAATTCTCAAAAGAATGAAACTACCGGCAGCAGACACAACCCAATGTGTTGTATGTACATACGTGCAACCTTGAACCTATGCTAAAACTCCACTTTTCTTCTACATGTGACAAGCGAGTGCAAGGATTTGTACAATTTATTCCAAATTTTCATATTCCATACTGACCGAAAACAAACAATACTGAAAATGTCCGTCTTCAAAAAACTCCCGATCGACAAAGTGGACTTGAAGGGAAAACGAGTGTTGATTCGGTAAAATAAGACAAACTCTTAAGCGTGAAAAGATTTGCAGAAGTAAAGATCGTTGGATTTTTATTCGACATCGATCTTTTAAACTAAATGATAAGATTACTTAATTTCTCTGTCATTACTTTTCAGAGTGGATTTCAATGTCCCTCTCACGAAAACAGCTCCCATCACGATTACCAACACCCAACGGATCACTGCCGCCCTGCCCACAATTAACCACGCCCTGGCCACGGCCCGCTGTGTCATCCTAGCGTCGCACTTGGGACGACCTGATGGATTTCCGAACGAGAAATACACGCTGAAACCGGTCGCGGAGGAGTTGGAACGTCTTTTGAAAACCAAAGTCCACTTTTTGAAAGACTGCGTTGGAGACGAGGTTGAACAATTCTGCTCTACGGCGAGTGGTCTTGTGCTGCTGGAAAATTTGAGGTTTCATCTAGAGGAAGAGGGCAAAGGGGTGGATCCAAAGAGTGGAGAAAAGGTGAATTTATTGAGCAAGTCTACAGGTGGCATTTTTGTAGAATTAATAATGATAAGACTACACTTAACCGTGACAGGTGAAAGCCACGGCTGATCAAGTAAAGTCTTTCCGTGCTTCGTTGAGGAAGCTTGCAGATGTTTATATCAATGACGCCTTTGGAACAGCCCACAGAGCTCACAGGTACGTATATTACCTTTGTGTTATTTTGCTACGTGTTGTATAAACTGGACTATAAAAATATTTATATATTATTTTAATATACCTCGTTTATATCATTGCTAATAATGTTTTTCATGTGAATAGTTCCATGATGGGGGATGGCTATGAAATAAGGGCTAGCGGGTTCTTGCTGAAAAAGGAACTAGATTATTTTGCAAAAGCATTGGATCAGCCAGAACGGTATAATTTTAAATGTTGCAAACTATCTTATGGTTCTATTGGATACAATTTTTTACAGACCCTTTCTCGCCATCCTGGGCGGAGCCAAAGTCGCTGATAAAATTCTACTGATTGAAAACCTATTGGAGAAAGTGGATTCCATGATTATCGGAGGTGGAATGGCATTCACGTTTTTGAAGGTCTTAAATGGTGTTGAGGTATAAAGTTAAATATACTATAACACCAACTACAAGTTTTTCAGAGCAGGATATTATAAATAATTTTAAATGTGCAGATTGGCAATAGTTTGTACGATTCTGAAGGAGCCACTATTGTGCCCAAATTAGTGGAGAAAGCAAAGGCTAAGAACGTAACGATTCATCTACCCATCGACATGACGATAGCAGATGCTTTCTCCGCAACGGCAAATGTCGAAAGCGTAAAAGCTTCTGATGGGGTTAAGGCAGGATGGATGGGGTTGGATGTTGGCCCGGAAAGTGCCAAATTGTTTGCTGATGTCGTCAAAAGTGCAAAGGTGGGTTTATTTACAAAATATACATTATTATAATCCTCATTGCATTAAACCACTTTAAATATTAGACTATTGTCTGGAACGGGCCAATGGGTGTTTTCGAATTTGAAGCATTCGCTGCTGGAACCAAAACTGTGATGGATGCAGTAGTAGATGCTACAAAATCAGGAACTGTTTCTATCATTGGTGGCGGAGACACTGCGACATGCTGCGCTAAATGGGGGACTGAAGAAGCTGTCAGTCATGTTAGTACAGGTGGTGGTGCAAGTTTGGAGTTATTGGAAGGTTTGTTACAATATTTGCTCAATCCCTAATTTCCAAAAATCAAATAACTTATGATAAATTTAATCACACAGGAAAAGTCCTTCCGGGAGTGGCAGCATTGTCCGATGATGCTTAAATTCCACTTCATAAGTCTTTATGTTGGATGATTATTATAGTATCATTAAGTAGTTAACCAGACAATAAAGGGCCCTTAAGAATGTAATTGCAAATTAAATTTACTGATTGGCGTACAATTATTCGCAAATACATGACATAACAACGATATATTTACATAGACTGAACATGCGGTGGTGGGTGTGTAAGTGTAACCTTCATGTTGCACAAAATTGACAAATCATTAAGATATACACGTTCCGATAGTTTTTTCTACTCGTGGCAACTGTTTAAACAGATTGAAATAAAAATTCCCGTGGGTTGGTCTGTTAATTTGCACATGAAGTATTCGTTGTTATATAAGCTCGGAAATGATAATAACTTGGAACCGATTAGTTCTTGCCTGATGTTGAGTTTGAAGTGATGTGTCAACTGCTGTGTAGTATCTCCAATTGTATGGCACAGGCAAATGTAATATTTACCGACGACAAATATCATGATATACGACGTTAGAAATATATTTATGGTGGTTATCTAAACATACACGTTTATTTTGATTTTTATAAATGAATACCATTATAGTACTTTTCATACTATGACAATTACAGACGAATGTAGATTGGTTTAGTTATAAATAATATTGTGTCCAACTGTGTGGGGTAAGAAAATGAAGGAAACCATGCATGTAAAATTACACTATTATCTCGTAATTATCTTGCGATTTACAACAATATCTGATTTAGGATTTGTCGAAAGTTATTCCGTAAAATTTCCAGAAAACCCCAGATTCACATTTTTATCAATAGTTTCACAAAATAGTGTTCGGCTTATTTCATCTACTAATAAAAGTTTTAACGAACGTTTATGGGTTTCGAGATTAGAATATATCTTGCAAGGTGCAAGTAGCTACTCAAGTGATATTCATATTAGCATCATGGATCGTAAAGACGACAGCTTAAATCCCGAGATCGGAGACAAAAATAATAATTTCGTCGAACATTTGGTCCTTTTTGCATGTAACTCCATATCGGAACTTCGGAGCAGCATTATTAATCATTTATCGCACAAGACAAAGGTAATTTGTTCAATCAATTTCAATTAATATATGCATAGACACACGTAAATTTAACTGATCCGTTTTTGTATCTTACAAGAGATTCTTTGTCACCAATGAAGTAACCACATTTTTAATATTCACGAACCAATCGTTAAATTTTCCTTCGATCATATCAAATGAATCAATTTCATTCTTTGCACTCAACTCCAACGTTTATACAATAAGATCTGGAGATGACCGACTTTTACAAAAATTTACCATGTCTGAAATCTACACGCTTCAAGGCAATGTTGTAATAAATCTCGAACCCGTTAGAATTCCATTTACGCATATGAGGAAACAATGGGGTCGAAGAAAAAATCTCAAGGGAATTTTAATCACTGCAATTGCTACGGTATGCGCTTACACAATAATCATTCCATATAATGACATGTTAACAAATATGTATGTACATTTTTTGAATATTGGGGAATAACTTGATATCTTTTATTTCAGAATGAACCACAAACAGAGTACATAATCCTCAACGGGGAAGTCGTCTTGACAGGTGGCATTGGTACTAACATATTTAATTATTTCCAAGATGCCCTGAATTTCACGTAAGCTCATTTCAGTATAAAAACGTATGTGCAGTCATAACTTGATAAGACTCTGTCTTACATACATATGTACGTTTTTTGCTACACACAGTTCCAGAATAATTGTCGAAACTGTCTGGCCTAAACAGCTTGTGAATGGGAGCTGGGTCGGAATGGGGCGTCTCTTAATAGAGGAGAAAGCTGATATTGCGATAGTTTTCACCACCCACTTACCCTCCAGAGCAGATGCGTTTACAATGCTGGTGCCTCACCTCAAAAATGCGTGATTAAATTACATATCGATGTACATTTACGCACAAAAGATATTCTAAAATAACAATGCCTATTTTCTTGACCTTACAGACTTGTAGTAGTATTTCTTCAACCACCGTGGAATTCTGTGAGAAATGTTTTTATGTCTCCATTTAAGCCAAAATTGTGGTTTAGCTGCCTCGGACTTGTGTTGGGATTCTTTGTCTCATTTCGCATAATTATTTATTTTATTAAACATTACGTCATCGAAAGAAGTTATGAAGGCAAAAGGGATGATACAGTTCGTGAGACAGCGAGTGACTCGTTTATGTGGATATTATCAGGAGTTTGTAAACAAGGTGGGTTCATTTTCTGTACATGCTTTACATTAATTGAATATTTCTACTGCAAAAATCGTAGAAATCGTAAAATCATTTAAAAACTGTAGGATGGATGATATGGAGAAATTATACCCCTGCTGGAAATGCAAATTCGCTCAAAATTATATATTGCATAGTACTTCCATGTACAACTCTGATAATTTCGAACTACTTTGGAGCATCCTTGTACAAATTCCTCTCTGCGGAAAGGGTCTCTATAAAAACCTTGGGCGATTTACTCCACAGCGAGTTATATCTGGTTGCTGACAATTCGAGTCAAACTGTCTTAAGCTTGATTACTGTACATAATAAATATAGACCATAATATTGCCGTCAATGTACAACCAAGATATTAATCTATGAAAATATTTCAGCACCCGGAAAAAGTTTCCTGGGAAAGTGAGGATACAGCGGATATTCTCAGCAAGAAACAGATTATCATAAAAAACCCGCAACTTGTCAAGCCCGACATTGTTCAAGGCACTGGAGCATTTATAACGTACCCAACAACGGTACATTTGGAAAATTCGAATAGCTGGAAGGACAAAATGGATGGGCGAGATTTGTGCGACACGGGGAAAACCTTAAGTCTCCTCCCCTTCTCAACACCCTATCCGGCAGGGATGATGATGTCAAAGAGAAGTGCGTACAAAGATCTCTTCAACATCCAGTAATGTCTAGTTTTTTACAATACTAAGGAATACACAATTTGGCATTCAACATTAAGAAATTATTTGTAGGATAATAATTTTAATGGAATCTGGAATGATGCGTCGGTTCAGCACTGCATTTCAAAAAACTATGAAGCCTCGATGTTTAAACCCTCGTGATCTATTGTTTGGGAAAAATACCATTAAATTTTTAACAATAAGTTTATCAATGACAGATCTTCTGACAGCGTTTATTATTTTGATTGTGGGCGTAGCTTTATGTTTAGCTGTGTATTGTGGAGAAATGTGTACTAAACGAGTGTTTATGTTACGAAATTTGTAATAGTGTCCAGAAATTAATCGATGCTTGTTACATATTCACTTCCCGTGATGAATTGCACTTTGCAAAATTACAACAATCTTGCCACTTTCAATGCTTAGAACAGACAGCTTCCACTATTTGAAAAGCCGTAAAAAAATAAAATTCATCATGGGAAATTTTAACTTTATACTCTTGAGCATAATTGTATTTTTTTCCAAATATCAGCAACAATCAGCATGCATACTGGTTGTGAACCCTGGAGAAATTAACCAATTTTATAATTCAACTGTATCAAATCATCAGAATTTAGGATTAGCTACTGTTTCTGATATTAGTTTGACAGCGAACGCAAATTCTTTAGATGTGCCTTACGTTTTACAAACTCTAAATTTACATGAGAAGTTATATATCTCTATTTTGCAAAATTTCAACAATAATTCACTCGAATTAGTGAGGTCGAAGCCTGGTAGAATTTGTTGGAAAGTGTCAAACCAACAAAGTTTGGAAGGTGTGAAAATTACTGTAATAATTGCGGTAATAATCATTTTTGTCATATACATAGATTATGTTTTGCATGTTCCCAACAGCCAAATTTTCTAAACAATTGTGATTAATCAGGATGAGCCACAAACTGCTCATAAAGTTATAAATGGCCAAATTGTGCTTCTGGGAGGACTTGGAATAGAAATATTTCGATGTTTCGAAGATGTGCTCAAATTTAAGTACATACATATTTATAAAAAAATTCATACTGTTTACTTTTTATTTTAATAATTAATCTGATTAATATATGTATATAGATACGATATTATTGCTGAAAATACATGGCCAAAACTGCTTGCTAACGGAAGTTGGCTTGGGATAGGAAAGATTCTGAAGGAAGAAAGAGCAGACCTTGCAATAGTTTTTATCACCTTTCTAACGTCTCGAGCGAAAGATTTTGGCATCCTTGTCCCACACACGAAAACTCCGTAAACCGAAAATACTACCAAATATATTGAATTTTTTTAGACGTTTTAAAGACATTTATCTTCTCAGCAATTCTTTTTTTTCTATCTGCAGATTAGTTGCTGCGTTCTACCAACCACCCGGCCAATCGAAAAGAAACAACGTTTATCTTTTACCATTCAGAACAGTGGTTTGGCTGATTTTTATAATGACACTGATTATATTTTTTATTTCGGTGGAATTGGTTCATAAAATCAGCGGGAATAAAACTTTTACTCCCAAAAATGACACTTTGACTGTAATCAATATTTTATGGATCCAGTCTCAAATTTCTCAGCAAGGTAAATTGATAATATTTATTTACTTGATAGTATTTTTGATACTTACGTACATGTCTAAATAAACTCCAAATATGTATGTTTCCTTGATAGGATGGTCACCATTCATAAATTCATTTTCACCCTTTTCTATAAAACTTATCTGCTCGATAGTCGTCCCCTTGAACCTCTACATTCTGCTCAGCTACTACGAAGCAAAGTTATATACGTTTTTTTCTGCAGAAAATATTCCCATTAGAAATGTCAGAGATTTGTTACAAAGTGATTTCTACCTCGTGGCGGATACAAGTAGCCAAACTGTATTGCAGTTATCAAACGTAATTGTCTATCGAACATAAATACAGATGACGATGGTAGATAAATAAACTAAACTTTATGAATCCTGATTAACAACACTGTTTAATTGATATGCAGAACCCAGGACTTTTGGCTAGAGAACATAACATGCCATTAGAAATTATATCCAAGAAATGGGTGATGAAAAGTGTAATTGATTCAAAAAGCGACTTGGTTTCAAAAGCTGCAGCTATAATCTCTTATCCGGATACCATAATTATTGAAAGCAAAAGTGCCTGGAATTTAAGTGACTCTGAAATTTGTGGTGGGACCCTTGCCAAATTAAATTTCTTGCCTTTCTCTGTCCCATATTCCGCTGGTATGATGACCCCAAAGAATTCACCGTACAGAGAAATATTTAATATTCGGTAATACTTCGTGAAATTAAATATAATGAGAGGATATAAAATCATGAAAACTAATAATACGCATATATTTCCAAAGATTAATCAACCTGATGGAGTCTGGACTTTTGAAGAGATATCTCATCAACCTTGAAGTATTTGAACTACGATGTCTTCGTTCAGACGTTCGACATATGAACACTAGTCCCGTAGAGTTTGTAATGTTGGGCATTTCAGACTTATTTCCAGCATTTCTAATTTTACTCGTGGGAATTACTCTGTCTATTGGAATTATTAAGTAGCTTCAGCTACTTTATGTGAAGACTTTGTCTGTCTGTCTGTCTGTCCGTCTGTCTGTCAGCAGGATATCAGGAGAACGGATCGAGATAATCGAAATCGGTTTCCGCCATCATACATAGGACCCCAGGGGGAGGATCCTATCAACTTTTGGGGGCAACCGGACCACACCCCCTTTGGCGACAGGGGGTGTGGTCGGGGCAAAATGAGATTTTTAGTGCAATTTAATCTATAGGTGAAATAGAGTAAAATTATGTGTTCCGGAGTTGTGCCACACCCCCTCGGCGCCAGGGGGTGTGGTTGGGGCAAAATGAGATTTTTAGTGCAATTTAATCTATGGGTAAAATTAGGTGAAATTGAGTGAAATTAAATGAAATTAAGTGAAATTAAGTGCTTCCCCGATTGTGCCACACCCCCTCGGCGCCAGGGGGTGTGGTTGGGGCAAAATGAGATTTTTAGTGCAATTTAATCTATGGGTAAAATTAGGTGAAATTGAGTGAAATTAAATGAAATTAAGTGAAATTAAATGCTTCCCCGATTGTGCCACACCCCCTCGGCCCCAGGGGGTGTGGTTGGGGCAAAATGAGATTTTTAGTGCAATTTATTCTATGGGTAAAATTAAGTGAAATTGAGTGAAATTAAATGAAATTAAGTGAAATTAAATGCTTCCCCGATTGTGCCACACCCCCTCGGCCCCAGGGGGTGTGGTTGGGGCAAAATGAGATTTTTAGTGCAATTTATTCTATGGGTAAAATTAAGTGAAATTGAGTGAAATTAAATGAAATTAAGTGAAATTGAGTGTTTCCCCGATTTTACCGCACCCCTTCGGCGCCAGCGGGTGTGGTTGGGGCAAAATGAGATTTTTAGTGCAATTTAATCTATAGGTGAAATAGAGTAAAATTATATGTTCCGGAGTTGTGCCACACCCCCTAGGCGCTAGGGGTGTGGTTGGGGCAAAATGAGATTTTTATAAAAAATTAATCTATAGATGAAATAGAGTGAAATTAAGTGTTCCCGAGTTGTTCCACACCCCCTCGTCGCCAGGGGGTGTGGTCGGGGCAAAATGAGATTTTTACAAAAAATTAATCTATAGGTGAAATAGAGTGAAATTAAGTGTTCCCGAGTTGTGGTGGGACCGTTTGGGGTGAAGTACGTCTGAAGCTACTTCCGTATGCGCGTTTGCGACGGTTTATTATTGTAGAACAGATAGCGGATTGGAATAATACATGAGTTATAAAATCAATAAACGCAATTTATGAAATTAATTCTGAATTTGGATGACAAGATGACGATGTACTGTACAAAACAATATAGGCCGTTAGGTCAACTCACAAGCATTTCAAAAACTAGGGTGGACTATAAAACAATGACAATTTGATTTGATCAGGATTGTGGCTTTCAGTACAAACACTCGATGAGATTCACGAATGCTAAATGATGCACAGCTTGTAATGAACAGAACTTTTATTATGGCCAAATTGAAATTAACGAAAGTCGTGAAATAATTCTGAGTTAATAAAATTTCATAATAAAATAAGTAAAATAAAATGAACAGAGATAGAAATAAATCTCATTCAAAACTAAAATTCAACATAAAACAAGAAAAGTCCAAAATTATAGAATAAAATCTGTAGAAAACCCCCCGAGAAACGAGTTTAGATTTTCCACGTCACAACAAAATAATGAACTTTCTATATTTTAGTGGTTTTAGTTATTGTAATATGAGATTTTTGAACGTCATCAATGATAACTTATCATTTGCGACGAGTACGTTTGCCTACGGGAGACCCAGTTGCATCTGCTGTAACAGCCTTACGTTTCATTGGTGATTTCTTAGTTGCAGCATTTTTCTTGGCGACATTAGGTTTCGCCTTTCCTTGTTTTTTGGGGGATGAAACTTTTTTTGGCGATAGTTTAAGCTCGGCTGACCCATTATTTTCAGCATGATGATCAACACCACCTAACGCCTTCTGGACCCCGGAAACAATCACCTCAAATTTTGCTGGAGTTACCTGACCGTCTCCATTCTACAATTAACATTATTTTATTATATTTTTCAGCCAACTAAAAAAATATTGACCAAATATTTGCCTTTTTGGAATGGAGAAGTGGTCCCCCCACAATTTGCACTTCAAAGTCTCCCGTTTTAGTAGGCGTCTTTTCAAACGTCTAAAATTTCCATACATGTTTGGATTAGAAGAGATCAGAAATAGTACATTATGTGGTAAAAATTGTTACATAAATTATAACTTACAATCTCCAATTGATTTGGGAAACGTTGTTCAAGGTCCTTCTTCAGATCCTTGAACCGCTTTCCAAACGATCATCCGCGGCTGCATTAATGTGAATAAAACCAACGCATAAATTAAATATAATGTAGATTATCAATAATTAGTTAATTGTTATATTTATATACCAATGAGTGACATGAATCTTCAGAAGATCCCCATCTCCCATGTCTTTTGCGTTTTTGCTCATTTTCAAATTTGTTTTTCTATAACGGACAATAAAAACAGTTTGTATGTAGAATACTCGTCGTATATAAATCGTGCTAAAAACCGTATTTACATTAATGTGTAGGTTATTCCTAACAAGACAGAACTTGCATGTGTAATGCTATGTTATTAAATACATATTACGCAATAATTTACCTTGTACAAGATGGAGATAAGATAATACAGCCGACTGTCAAGTTGAAATTAACACACCTCTGGAAATGCTACGAGCTACGACTGAAACTTGAGAAGAGAATGGCAAAGACCGCCCATGTTTTTTTACGTGAATGAAAGTTGAACAAAGAAATTTAGACGCATATGCCACTTTTTATGGCACTTTATTCATGCACATTAAATATTCTAAGTTTTCAAAATCAGAAGAATTTTACTGATACATATATATTGTGCACTGTATCATTGTAAACAAATTATTACGACTTGTTCAAAGGGATTTTAACGCTTCTTCCGCAGTTGGTCTTTGGTCGGGTTTTCGACTCAACATGGCTCTCAGAAGGCCATACTGTCGTTGATGGGTGGCCTCAATGCGGTCCAAAATCCCATGTTCTCCCCTCCGCACGTCGTCCAGCGTCCTCTCCACTTCCTTGGCGGTCGCGAAAGAGTGCAGCGTTACCAAAACTATAAGCCCCACGGAAAAAATGTCCGTTTTGAAGGTGTAGTCATCATCTCCCCGTTCCATCTCTGGGCTGGAGAAACTTCGCCCTCCAACTTGCATAGTCAAGGACGTGTCGACAGCGGGCATTTCTCGGGACAAACCGAAATCCCCGATTTTTACAATAATTTCATTTCCACGAAGGTTGAGCAGGATGTTATTAGGTTTTAGATCCCGATGAATTATTTTGCGCCCGTGAATGGACGCCAGACCACATAAAATCTGCTTCGTAATGGTTTTAGTGGTCTCAAAATCTCCAATTCTATCGGGATGTAGCTCATACCACTGGCTAAGATTGGTGTCCATTAGTTCCATTTTTATGCACATGAAGGTATTCTTCTCCGCTTCAGTGACAACGATTTGACGTTTCTAAATATTTCTGAAATTATTACTGTGTCTATCGCTGTTTAGGACGAACGAATATTAAAGTCGTAATAATTCACGAGCACACTTACAGGGGCATCTTTTAGAACAGGAGTTGGTGGTGGCATGGCTAATCAATAAGATTAAATTAATTTAGCTTCATAATATGCATCATGTTCGTGTCATAAAAGGTGTCGAATATACATTGAAAGAGCAAATTGTGTCTTACATTCAGGTCGTCGTAGCCATTCAGTTAATGTTTGTTGTAACGTGCCTTCAAACCAGGCTTCTCGATAGGCAACAATGTTTGGATGTTCTGGCAATTTCGCCATGACCAATACTTCTCGCATAAATTTTGAAAAAAATTCGAAAGCATCGGCCGCTCCAGAAGTTTTCGTGAGTAAGAGAAATTGACCCACCGAAATCCGTTTGATTGCGTATTCCTTGTTATCAAAAATGCTGCGCACTTTGAAGACCTCGCTGAAGGTCCCTTGATCCAGGCGTTCAAGTACGACAAGATTTCGCTGTTGCATCCCTTCAGATGCAGCATTATCTTGGGTGGACATTTCTATTGGAATAGGCCTGGTTTGCGGGGTGGATGCAGCACTTCGTTTCGAAAAGTCCTTCAAAAGGTCTGTAAAATTTTATATTCTCTTGAATTTTGCATTATAGCATATACATAATTAATTATATGTGTAAGTATACATACCAGCAGCATTTCGTAAATCTTCGCTCTCTAAAACAGAAATAAGCTTTGCGACCGTTGCCACCTCGTTCCCATTTCGACCCCGCCACGTTTCAAGCATCCATTGGATAACATCGTACATTGTCGCATTGCCGCTGTTGAGCTTGCTGTTCATGGAGAACAAATCCCGAGCTGGGATTCCTAAGGCGTCGCTCACTTGCTTCCATTCGTTGAGAAATGTGGTGTCTTGAAAAAAAGTATAAATATATTTTGTTGAATGAACGTAGATAACCAACTTTTTTTAAAGAGTTTACTTACCTTGAAGGAGTACTTTGATGTGTTCTAAATTTACTGGTTCCGCCATTATTATTATTTCTTAACTATGCAATATTATCGTCTCTTAACTTTGTTCTGACGACGCGCAGTTAAGAAGACAAATTATAATGATGGCTGACTTAAATAATTGTGTGAGGACAATAGATAAATATGACGAATAGTTTTGGTTTATTTATTGTGTTGATCAGTCAGGCAGGATGTTTGAGCTGAATTTTATCCAAGTGGAATGGTGATAACATAAGTCAATTTAACTTTGCTTATCTAATGCTGTAAAGGATTGGATAAGTCATCGTGCTTATCATTATGCATAACTGAATATTTTGTTTACACAAAATATAAAATGCATCGTTGAAATTAATTATGAAATGGATCTGTAAAATCCTGTAATTTAAGATCAATAATTGTCTCCCTCAACCGTGGAAGGCTTGGGGTATCTATCCTTTATAAGATTTACTCTACTATCCATAACCAACCTGTCGAATAGTCCACCTCGCTTATCGGACGAAATTAAGTAATTAAAAACCTTCCCATAAAATTAAATCCAATGAGTAGAAATCCGGTCTTTTGCTGCATTTTACACCCTCAGCTCCAACAACTGGAGCTCGATAGAGTCGTGACGACGTGACCTTACCTCTGCGGTTTGAGTTACCCCATTCTGCAAGGGTCGGCATTGGCCAAACTCTCCAATTTTATGGGAGGAACCAAACTATTCACCGTTTTCTTGGCCTGAAGAAAATTTTGACGGTTTGAGATCGTAATGACCTGGAGATATTTCAACCCGTCAACAAATAAAAATAACATAGGATGAGTTACGAAGATAACACTTGCATTTTGTAGTCTTTTCGTAAACTAATTAATCAACTTGAAAAAAATAAAGAGTAAAAAATGTTGAAAAATTATCCTTCATAAAGTTCTTTTTTAAGTTACGGGTGCAAACAATTTTGCATCTTCTTTATTAGTAAATCTTTGTAGCATTTGTGGACATAAAATATGCACGTGCCCGACGGTTCATAACGTGAAATTTATAGCAGGTACAATTGATAGTACGTTCATTTCGTATCTATTATAACTGATATCTTTGTACGATTCATGAAAATAAAATTTTACGTGTAGCATGCAAATAAATTACCAGGATGGATCGAGAATAAACTTGGTCTTTGCATAATCAGCAAAAGGTTCTATGATTCCATTCGAAATTTAACCTCTTTGGACGCGAAGATACAATTGTCAATAAATATAAAGTAGATACAATTTAATTAAACTAAAAAAAAAACAAAATTTAAAATCGTTAAATATTATTTTAAACTCCCATCATCTCTCGAAACAAGGGGTTAATGACGTCCACCCACTTTTCATACCCTTCACGAGTAAGATGCAGTTGGTCGTCTAGGAATAAATTGGGTTCTACCACACCCCACTCGCGAGAAAAGTGGGTCCACAGGTCCAAATATCTCACTGGAGAGGTTCCAGGGTTGGCTTGATCTTGCCACTTTGAAATTCGTATGTTCACGTCGGTTAGTCGAATCCAGCGATCCGTAAAATTGTTATCCCTGGGCATGAGACCTATGAGAAGGACTCGAGTGTTTGGGAGTGCCTGTCGAATCCAGTTCAACGTCGCAGTGTAACCACGCGAAATTTCTTCAGCGTTATAAGAACCAGCGCTGTTTGATCCGCAATCGGCGAAAACAATGAGTTTCAATGAATCCTGGAGTCCATCTACTTCTCCGTTTTGAATTCTCCAAAATGCGTGCTCGACTCCATCGCCTGGTTTTAAAATATTGTAATTTATATTTTTATAAACGGTTATGATTCTTTAATAATAGAAAGCTCTCAATACTAAATATATGTAAATAGTACCGGAAATGCCATAATTGACAGCTCCATATGTAGAAAAATGACGAAGAAAAAGATCATCCGGCCACCAATCAGTAATAGAAGCTCCTAGGAAAATTGCTCTGATCGTTCCATTACTGTTGATCGTTGTTTGGACATAAGACTGATGTTGGGCAAGCCAGTTGGGGTCATTTCGTGGCTCGGGCACCCACGGCACACCTTTAAAAGCATCACAATACAATTGGGTAGAAATTAAAATGGGTGGGAAATAATTTCAGGGCACTTACAAGTCACGGTAGAAATTAGTAGAACAATAGCAGCAAAAGTAAAATTTAGTAGCATTTTGACAAGAATTAAGCAAACGATCTAAAATTGGCATACAGATTTAAAATATATGCGCAACTGTTGCGGTGAAGACTGGATGCATCTGCTTTTATATCTTGATTAGACCCTCATCAATCAATCATTAGAAATCAATTTAAATAACAATTAACTAATGTACCGCGCGCAAGTATTGTTAGATAAGCTGCTGATCACGATGATTGGTTACATCATCGTCGATTCCATGCTAAAATGTATTATCAAGTTCATTCCGCGTGGGAATAAATAATCGATGATATCATAATCATTGTAAAACTAGTTGATATAATTATTTGTCATGTGTATTAAAAACGTAGGTTTATCTAAACATAATTTATTAAATTACATTGCTACGAATCAAGATATTTGTTTAAGAACGACACATGATCAGCAATATTGTCAATTAGGCCATCATTAGAACGCATGCCAATAATTTTTCAAGCTTGCACAAGGAGTGTCACTGTCAACTGAATTTTATGGATGTAACAAAGCTGGACAATTAATGGAATTATTGAGAATACATATTACATACATATCACGGTATCTATGTGCAAGGGTATAATTACGTCATTACTATTTTGCTACATTGAAAGAAATTTGTTATTTATTTTACATATCCGGTTAAAATGTGCATTTACACGAAATTTTAATAAATAGAGTTTAAAACAAATGAAATAAATAAGTCAGTTTGGAACTGTGGTTAACTTCCGTATTGTTTTTAAAGAGATGACTAATTTTGAAAGGAAATTGATTAAAAGCCAGGTTGTGTTTAAGCACAATTATTATGATTATGGTAATTCATTGAATAAAAAGACAGGAAACCACATTTTGATTGCCAGCATCTTTTCTATGATGGTATGACGTCATCAGAAAACAACACATATAAATGATCACAATACATCATTTAATTAAAGTTTAGACACTTTAATTACATAAGTAAGAAAAAGTTTAACGCAAAAACATGGATTTTTGGCGTATTATCTTGACTTTTAAGCTCTTATTAGTGCTTACGTCGTGTTTACCTTTACCCCCTTCTGAGGAAAATTGTATCAGGAGTGTTGGTCAAATCAACTGTGTTATTCCCGAAGGACTGATTTGGTCCTGTGTAAAACCTAATTTAATTCTTGTGAAAGGGAGCACGACAAATTTGGAGGACGATAGATCTTCGGCACTTTCAAGTCATGGTTCGCAACAATTATTGGTTAATTGTACGGCCCCATTTCCAATCGATGTTCGAGTATCAGGCTTCCAGGTTGAATTAAAACACTTATCCTACACGGCGATCGGCTTTGATAATAATTACGTATATGAAATTATTCTTCACAATTAGGTACATGACTTGACACGAGCACTTTTCGTTCGCAATGCAGAGAACGTGTTTAACGAGGCAACCTTCGTGTATTCTGTGGGGTTGCGGTATGACCGTCAACCGTTTTCTAGAGTGCGTACCATCTCCGTTGTCAAGTTGAGGGATGCAACAGTGACATTTTCCGTCTTTCATTTGGGAATGAACGAAAGCAGTGAAAGTACAAGACGCGAGTACAGACTGGAACAGAGTCCAAAAACCACGATTATTCCATGCATTTCTCCAGATCCAACAAATCCTCCCAAACTCGTTCATGTCACTGGGAACGAGTCACAAACGGTGAATGGCACGGAATATGACGATACACAAGGCTTCCTTGTGAAAAATGAAAATGGTTTGACGCAAACTTTTACAGAGGAAATTTATGATTGTTATCTCAATGGACGAAATGACAAAATGACTTCAATTAATACCACTGACAACATCAATGCTAATCTGCGTTTCAAGTTATTTCCCAGAAAAGGTGACGATTTTGATTGTAAAATTACAAACTAATCTTGTATAGCAGTCACGGTAAACATGTTTCTTATTTGTCATGTGTAGAGCTTCAAGTCTACCCAGAATTTCAACGGGTTATACTTTTTCAAAAGGACGAACTTAGCCTTATCTGCAGATCTAATAAAAAAGTGCAACTAGTGGGAGTATTTCGAGGAGAAAGTGTTAAAGCAAAAACGACCATTGAATTTGACGAGTTCACATCAACATTGAACCAAAAATTTGTTCAAGTTGGGGACAAAGGCAATGTTTCGTGTGTTGACGAAGAAACCAAAACGGTCCTCTTTTCGTGGACTATTCAGATATTGGGTACAATACACAAAATAATAGACTGAAGTAAAATTAAATGCTCAAAGTGTATGTACAAAATGTATCTAAGTACGTATGGTAATGGGCCTCTCTGCAGATATTGAGGATAACAATGAGCTGATGTTAAAAAAAATATCCGAGGATTTAGTTTCATGCGTTTCGTCCCCGGAGAACCAGCCAGCTAAACTTCGGACTGTATTTTGCCAAGGGGAAACCAATTGTGAAGCAAGTAAATGGTGTTTAGAACCGGGAATGACATGTCCCGGAATGGTGGGAACGCCATGCGAAGACGGAAGTTGTCTCCAAATGAACACAAGCAATCCAATTCTCTCCCAAGGTTAATAATTTAATTAATTAATTAATATTTATTAATATTTATTCATAATACAATTCTTAATAATAGGAATGATTCATTGTCAATCTGGGAATTATACATATACCACAAACTTTTTCCGAGGATTTGATGGCATATTATGTGAGATCAAGTAGTAAAGATTATTACTCCAAAACGACTATATGGTGCTAATATACTCACTTAATTGTAGATTTGGACTGGAAAACTGCACCACTAAATGCACTCGTTGAAGTTTTTGTACCACCGAAAAATATAACTATGTATCCCCATAATTCGTATCCGTTTGGTTGTAGGGCAGCCCCATTTATTTCAGATGGCTTGATCCAATGGGTCATCAGAGGAAAGGATGGTTCTGAAATTTTGCTGCACAAAAGTAAGTACATATACACTCAAACCTTTGTGTATTTCTGCTATCAGTACTGTATCATTATATTGATTATCATTTCAGAACGAGTGCAAAATATAGGTCCAACTTATAGTCTGGATGCAAATCTCTACACCGTGAGAGAAAGTAACATCCGATTAATTTATCCCAACGATTACGACGTCTTGTGCATGGTTCCGTTGTGGAATGCCACAGGCTCACTTCGATACCACAAAAGGATCAATGTTGCGGGTACAATTTTTCATAGATTATGAATTTGAATAAATTTCGGACATTAGGTTCTCGTACTATTACTTTTTTTATATAACAGCACATGTAGCACCGGTGAAAGAAATTTTAATTGCGTCAGCGTGTATCATAATTCTGTTGATTATCCCATTGGTCATCGTGATTTTGAGACTGAGAAAGGCCAGAGTATGAAAAATAAATATGCATATTTTTAAAGGAATTATTACATTTAATTGTAAAATTGTATGCTCTTTGAAATTAGGCTGCCATCAGAAATCTGACAGAACAGGAAGTGGAACAATTTCTTAAAGGAGATCCATCTACACTTAACTCCAAGGATAAGGATGCACATGAGAAAATCACAGCCACGCCGTACAATCAAGATTTTGAGATTCCAAGGCACAAACTTCTCATTGGTCAGAATTATACATACAATTATATGTACAATAATTAAAATACACTCATTTTAAATGGAAGGAAATGTGTTTTGTAGATAATGAGAACAAATTAGGAGAGGGAGCCTTCGGGTTGGTCTTGAAAGGGAAAGTTGAAGGCATGTCAGACGTGGTGGCAGTAAAGACTATGAAACCACGATGCGAAGTGGACCAGTTTAAAGGATTTATGTCTGAACTTAAGATAATGATGTACATTGGGAGGCATCCAAACGTAGTTGCGCTTGTGGGTGCTCACACGGACAAAATCAAAGAGAGTAAGATTAAAAAGGGACGCATTAAAATAATGAAACTATTATATTACTATTGAAGAGAAGGGCGATAAACTATTCCCCATCTTACACTTTTTAGAAATTATGCACATTGTCGTGGAATACTGCGCAAATGGAAGTTTAGATAAGTTGCTTCTTGCCAACAAGAACAGATTTATAAATCAAGTTGAGGATGGGAACCGAATAAATATAAACATTACACCAACCTCTGGAACTGCGTATGAGACATATATGAATAAAATAATACACATGCATCAATAAATACAAATTTTATGTTCTCCCTCAGATTATATAATAATGTTGCACAATGCAATGACTCGGGAGAGAAATTGGAAAATAACCAAAATTATTCCACTGATCCATTGAGGACTGTAGATTTGTTTCGTTGGGCGTACCAAATTGCTTCTGGGATGAATTTTTTGGCAACGAAAAAAGTAACAAGCGTCTGGATGTCTCTAATAGTTAATATTGAGCAACAAACATACACATTTAATTTTAAATTCATCTATTATGTGTTTAGGTAGTACATGCCGATTTGGCAGCCCGGAATGTCTTAATTCATGACAATGGGACGGCAAAAATCACAGATTTCGGACTGTCACGACAATTGATGAATTACACACAATATGTCAAGAAACATCAGGTTCTTAAATATTGTCATTTGCATAGCTGTACATATTTAAACAAGTGTGAAATTTATTTCTGATGTTCTTGCTTCTTCTCTGACTTACAGGAACCCTTGCCGTGGGGGTAATGTTCAATTAATAATATATAAAAATCAAGTAATAGGTAATAAAAATAAATCCAAAGGTGGATGGCCGAAGAAAGCCTTCGATACTTGTCATTCTCTACTCAGTCGGACATTTGGGCCTTTGGAGGTATGTGCAAACGATAAAATTGCTAGTTTATTACCCAAAAACTTACAAGAAGTAATTTACCTTTAGTGACGCTATGGGAAATGTTTTCTCTTGGCGATATTCCGTATCCTGGGCTAACTTGGACCATCGCATTTGTGGATGACTTGTCAACTGGACTAAGGATGACGAAACCTAATTACGCTCCAACGTTCACGTAAATACGCATTCGCACATTAATTAAAAATACCAATATATTAGGTGACATTTGAAATAATTATGCATGCATTTTAGCTATGATATGATGCTCAACTGTTGGCATCATAAACCAGAGTCGAGACCATCATTTGAGCAACTTGCAACCCAGTTTAAAGGCATTTTGGAGGCACTGGATATTCATGTTGAGGTATAACGTGCAGAATTATATGAATTACATGTACGTACATAAATCAAGTTCATTACTTGTTTATCAGGAGGTGATATCTTCATCTCCACCAGTACAGCAGCAAGACAACAATGCACGAGTGATTACTAATAGCATTTCTACGAATAAAAGGAGCACGGTTGGCAATCTTTATGCAAATCAAAACTGACAGCACTTGAAAATTGCACTTTGTAATTTTTCCACAAATAAATTTAATAATTTATCCTTATGTGTACTTATTTTATATGCATTTATTATATCGATTTGATTCTGGATAAACTATGAAGCAACACTTTTCACTATTTCACAAGTGACAAAGTATATATTACATAATATGTACTAGATATTATCTAGATAGAAGTATACTGCATTTGTTAAAACTTGGCATGATAATTTCTTCGAGTAGTTTTCTTGGAATTCTCATTCTTTCTCGTGTTACCACATATTTTGTATTTATAGTTTCGTCATCAAATTACATCATATTTTTTTAATGAATATGGAAGTTGTGTCTTGATGCTAGTTTAGTTCACCACTTCCAATAGCAAAACTGGCTAATCGACGCTTATTACATACCATTAGACTGAAACTATATTCCAGTTATCCAGATCTAACATGCAATGTAATGTACACATTACATGATTATTTACAGTAAGACGATCAAACCACATTCAACATTCCTATCCTGGCCAAGAGAAAAAAGAAATATGTACTTGTGCAGATCGAGCTGAGAGTTTCATGCAATTTTAGTTTTGACATTGGCTTTTCAACGTGCACAATATATTTTTTTACATCATTGCTGACTTGCAAATATATGGATCATCTTCTTGTTCGTTAGTTATATTTAATTTAGTCCGTTTAATCCCTGTGTAGATCTTATTATTATTCAGCTGATTAATAATAGAATGTGGCAATTGACAATCTGCTTCCTGTGCTTTTTTCTGGTTTGTTCAGAAATGGATTTCTCCTTAGGTACATTAACATGTTGAATAACTTATTTCAAAGTTTAAGCTTTCATTTATTATAAATGATTTATTTCAGGTGACAATGGCCATGTCGAAAAACGGACCGCGTTTTCTAAACGTTTCTTTTGGAGTGGCGGAAGTGGAAGTTCAGAATTGGAACAATTGGTGAATTTGATTGTTCAGCGTCTTTTGTTGGCAGATAAGGTGGCAGTATCCAAGTGGGACAGTAAGCAACCGATTGAAGATCTGCCAAGAGAACAAATAATTCTTCAACGGGTAGTGGAACAAGCACAGAATTCTGGATTGGATCCGACGTGGGCTCGATTATTCTTTATCGGTATTTGACTGCATGCCTTCTACTCAATTTTGTAAATACTTTGAGACGGTCGATTAAAATATGTGTTACAATTAGACCAAATTGAGGCAAATAAGGATATTCAAACTGGACTTCATAAACGCTGGGCAGCAAGAGGTGGTCGACCGACTGGTCCAGGAGTGAATCTGGATTCTGAAGTCCGGCCTAAGATTGACGTAATCAACGCATCATTGATGACTTTGAGCAAAGCCACAAAGTCAGAACGGAGCCTAAGGTCTTGTAAAATAGCAACAGGAGAAATTACACGCTTGTTGGCATTTCATCGATACAAATTGAGCTATCTACACCGTCAAGCATTGCGGCGTGCATATCTGTGTTTGAAACGATCAAGAGAAACAATATTTCATGATTTTCATGGGGTGTAGGTTAAATTCTCGAGCCAGTATTTCATTAAAAGTTCCTTTGCACTACTAAATATATTTACATATTCACATATTCACATTCAATTAATCGTAAGATTGGAATAAATATACAATAATATATATTTGCGCATGCAATTTGCTGTTGATTTTTGACGGTATATGTATGTATTAGTAAACTTGAGGCAAAGAAGACGCGTTTTCTTGATCAACGACGACCTTTTAGGTTTGTAGTTTTCTCATGCACAATGTATTGTGTGGGGCTATCCTTAATAACGTAACGTTGAATAATTTGGGCAACATGGGAAGTTCTAAATGTTCGAATACTATACTTCATGGTTCGTGAGTGTTGAAAATTTCATGAAATTCCAACCCGCAAATACTTAGAAATAATGATATTATGGTAGTGAGATGATTTTTTACAATAGTTACATTTTCGTGTAAGTTATATGAACCTTCACGACATATGCACGCTGAAGTAGAATTTGTTGCGTGCGTTTCTAAAAAAAATAAGTAAATAGGATCCCAGTCACACCCATTACAATTATGTAATGAATATTCTGAATTAAATAAATACAGACAATTTAGGACATACTAATCCACTACTCTTTAGAACAACTATATGTACTTAACTTTCTACTTCTCTGCATGCTTTGACCATGGGATGATATAGACTTGTTAAGTTTTCATGGAACATGCAAGCAACAGCTCTGTTTATGCAAAAAATACTGGAACAATTAAGTATATCAATTGGAAGCATAGTTTTAATTGCTAGCTTCAATAGTCCAAAACAAATTTAAATTACATGAAAACGTTCAGTATGCATACAAAATACATTTAGTTTAATCCTTCCTGTTGTACTTTATGGCAAGTACATGCTTTTTATCCTTAGATTTCCTCGGCTTAACCCCTTCAACTGGAAAGTCGTCAAAACCCAACAGTCCATTTGAGTTCAGTTTTTTAGAAGTCCGGGCTTTCTTCATGTCATCAGCGCTACGATTCTTCAAGTTTCTCTAAAGCAGCAAAACAAAAACAAGTAAATAATTGAACTAGGAACATGTTTTTGCATCGTACGACCAAACAGCTAAACGTACTTTGAGCTTCACTAATTTTCCCAATTCTGCTGTTCTGTCTCCAGCAAAGTCCTCTTTCCTTTTTCGCATTCCCTGAGATCGTGTTACTCCAGTCTTCTTCTTGTGCTGAGTAACTGCGGTTGTGGCATTACCACCAGATGGTCCCGTCTTTGAATGTCCTATTGCAGAATTACTTGATTTGTTCCCTCCTCCGTAGGCAGAGGCAGTAGGTTCTCGTCGACGGTGTAAAGAAACTCTTAATGGTCTCTTTTTAAATAGTGCATCATTTTTGGCCAGCGCTAACTCCACGGACGAAGTTTCCAAAAAATTAACATATCCGAACCCTTTGCCGTAGCCAGTATCACGGTCTCTGATAATTCGAACAGATTCGATTTTTCCACACTCTGCGAAAAACTCCCACAACTCATTGTCTTGAGTCCCTAAACAACACCAAACCGTTAAATATCCGACAAATGACATTTTTTGAACATATACTATTACATTGGTTTTCCTTTCCACATATGAAATTGACAACTTACCAAAATTAAGATTCCCAACGTATACAGTCTTGCTATAATCTCGCTGCAAACTTCCGTCTGCCATATCAAGCACCAAATGATGGCCATCCAAGGTAAGTTCTTCTCGTTGTCCTTCCTCCTTGACTCGCAGCGCGTCCTCCCGACAAGAAAAACGAATATACGCCGTAATACTATCTCTCTCAGGGTGGAAATCTTTTCTAAAAATATGATAATGTATGAAAATCGGGTCAAATAAATGATGTGTTAATCCAATTTCTACTACAAATATATTTACCTATTCATCGCAACTTTCTTTGACATTGTTGGCTTTGATGGAACACCACACCGTAGTCGAATAGTTTCGACTGAACCTCCAAATGGTTCAAAAAGTTTCGATATTTCTTTATTTTTGGTAGCTTTTGGGACATTACCAACAAATAAGGTACGTGCTTCTAATTCAGGATCCTTGATTTTGGGGCCGTTCGTTTCCTTCAAGGATTTCTTAATCTCTCCAACCGTTTCATTTTGTGCTTTCTTATCTGCTTTTACAGCTTTAGGCCCATTGTCTTCGGAGACAGCTTTCTTATCTGCTTTTACAGCTTTAGGCCCATTGTCTTCGGAGACAGCTTTCTTATCTGTTTTAACTGGTTTTACAGCTTCAGGCCCAATGTCTTCGGAGACACTTTTTTCTTCTTTCAACTTCTTGGCTGGAAGTGGTTCATTTGTTTGTGATTGCCGAGGTACGTGTCTTAACTTTTTTCCATTAGCGTCTCGTTTCTTACCGTTGTTTTTAATTTTAATCTGTGCCACCGTTGGGATATCAGCATCAGCAGACTTTTCTTTGTTTCCACCTTTTCCCCGTTTATCCTGCCTTGTTTGCCAGGCCATTTCTCGGGTGGCAAAAGTTCCAGCCAATTAATAGTACAATAATTAATTGAACAATAATTAATTGAACCAAAGAAAGAGAGGAGAGAACTAGACAAGCTTGAAGAAACGACTTGAAACAAGCACGTGCACACGACGATTGCGTCTCAACGACTGAGGACTGAATTCAGAAACCGCTACTTCTCCTTCAAACTTTTCGCACTTTTCTTGTGGCAGGCAGGTACATAAATATGTGCAATCTACCGCTTAGATAGTGTAAATTATTGAACTATAATAAACTATTTAGCGTTCTGAGGTAATTGTTCGTGCTTAAAAAATAATTAACGAATTGACCAGGTTTTGTCCTTCATGTTTCAGACGTGTGTAGCGAGGTACATAGTTCAACAATTGAGTTAATTTGTGATTTCAGGATATTTTATTGCAATGTCGTCGAGTTGCGAGGGGGCGCGGGTGGATGGACGATGGAAACCTCTGCGAGAGGGTGAAATGTCGCCCTTCAAAATGTTGGTGACCCTCTTCATTCGGGAAGTGTATGCCGTTGCGGCGACAGAACGTAAGGCGACCGAGGACAGATCCGTCTCCCCCAAAACGTTACTCCTCATCTACAATCTCATCTCGGTGAGTAGTGTCCTCAATCTTATCCATTTCCTGACAAGGAGGGTACACATTTATTAAATTAGAGTATTCTTTTTCTTTCGCAGTCGTATGATTTGGATTCATTCGTAGAACTCAAGTCAATTTTGGAGAAACCAGTGCATGCTGTTCGTCCAGAAGTTTTGAAGAAATTTAACCGAATAGTTTCAAACTTGGAACCAAATAATTCGTATTTTTTGTACGAGCTTGCAAATTCAATTGTGACGATGGAAGCCTCGCAGATGGTCGTTTTGAAAAAGAGGATAGCAAAAAATAGCCCATTTGGAAAATTTCTGAGAGGAATTTATCTTAATGTCAAAAAGCTGTCGTATCCTCAAGTGGATTTTATGTACAAGCAATTACTTAGTTTTTTGGGCATTCCAGGCGAAATGCATAGTCATAGTCAGGGGAAAGTTGGAAAGGATAAAAGAGTGTTGAAAGGGTTAGATCTGTTTCAGGTAAAACTAATATTGCAAGTTTGCAGCATTTATTATTAAATATATAAATGTTTTTATTTATTTTTATAAGTATACTAAAATGTGTTTCAGAAATTGGAGGAAAAGAAAAACGGGGAAGGATTAGATCTCGAAGTATACAACACTTACATAATGGAGTACAAGAAAATGACTAGAATTGCAACTGAATCAGAGAAAACTTCATATGATATCCACTCAGATTGGAAAGCGGCCAAAGCAAAGAGCGCTGCGGAGAGAGCGCTCACTTTGAGAAAATTATGGACCTTGCCCCATTTGAAAGTTAAAGCTGAGAATGAGGAAGATTTGCCCACAACTGCCATAACGCCAATTCCAATGCCTTGTGACAATGACGGCGTCCTGGATAAGCGTGATGTTCATAAAGTCAAATCCGCAAGGAGATCTCCTCGTTCACAGCCTGAGGTTTCTGTAAAGCGAATCACGCGTTCTTCTTCTAGTCCAATAGGAAAAGGGGGGAAAACAACAAAAAGACGATCTAGTTCGCTCAGGAGAATTTACTTTTCTAGCCCGAGGTTTGAAAAATTAGATTGTGCTTTTTTTGTTGTTCATGATTTTATTTTAGTTTGAGTTAACTACTAAAATATGATTAATTGAGTGCTATGTATATTGCTATTTCGTTTGCAGACCGACTTCTCAAATAGGGTCGTCCACAACTTCGTGTACAACGAGTACCACCATGACTGCAAATACCTCAGTGACACATTCACCAGGACGAACAACTCGCTCATCCGTAGTAGCCGGAACTTCGAAAAGCCCATTCAGTCCAATGTGTTCTCCATTCTTGTCGACCCCAGCTCCAAGTTTCTCACAAGTGGGAGTAAAAACAAAACTTATAAATACTGGGGCCTTCAAAATTCGAATGAGAGTTTTTCCCAACTCTGTCATTCAAACAACAACTGATGGATCATCAACATCGAAAATAGAAGGTCCTTCCACTGGTGGTGGAAAGTCCAGGATTAAGAAAGTCTCCATAATGAAAATGTCGTCTGACGAAGATGACTTTGACGACGATGACGAAATCGAAGAAGACGAGCACCACGATGTTGTGATGAAATCGCCTTCCCCTGTTGCAAAATCTAGAAAGCATATCACGACGCCGTCATCATCTCATAGGGGAGCCGCAGTATCAAAAAAGAGGAACACGCCTATAAAACTATCTTCTACTAATGATAATGTAACACATAATACTGCACTGAATAGATATTCTTAGATTAATTTATTTTTCATAGATTTGCTATTTAATAATATTTTTAATATTTCAGATGACACGAGCGACCAGTAGCAGTAGCCAAAGCATTATTAATCAACCTGGACAAAGTCCTCAGCTAGCACCACTATCGCAACCTCCAATAACGCCTGGGAAAATATTGAGAAATACCAAACTAGAAACTAAATTAAAACTGGGTTCGACGACCACGCCAGTTTCTAAATCAGCTATGACTGTACCGACTTACGGTTCTGATCAATATGATAAACAGTGGCATGTCATCAAACATTGGAGTAGAAAGCAGATTGAGCGTTCAGTGAAAGGTTTGATTAATCGCCTTTATTCCGCAAATTGTTCTGTCCCTAGTCCAGCGGAAATCTCTCAGTTTGTTCGTCTCGCCTTGACGAATCCGAGCAGTTCAGTTTTATACCCGCATCTAGTAAGTTTATTTACGAACTATCATTTGACAATGTATTTGTTCAAATATTGCAAAACTATTTTTACTATAATATATCATATCTTTAGCATTATCTGGAATATTTGAACTCCCTTCGAGTAAAAGACGTTGCTCGATGCACGGATTCCCTTCGTGCTTCTTTTGATGTCAGAATAAAGCCAAATACCACCGAGATTAACAAAGGAACGACGTATGCCCCATACAACGCTGCAATTTTCTACCACCAACTTGGCTACAAAGATGATGCACTGTCTTCGTTGAATGAAGCTTTTCGATCTGGCCATGCTGCCGGTGATGCTACGTGCCTTCACCATTGTCACAATTTGTGGTCCTGCTTTCACTCGAAAGCATACACTGATGCGATAGTAACTGTAACAAAGGTAACAATCCTACTTAATAGCTAATACTACAGGTATATTTACCTTAATTTGTAAATTTCAGGAAGTTGATAATAATATGGCATATCTTCACTCATTGAACGTAATTGTTAACGCTTTTGATGTTCATTCTCGTGGAATTGCTCCAGATGAAGTTTTGCATGTAAGATGACTTGCACATGTTTAGCGTTATCTATAGCAAATCAAGTTTAACTTTAGTATGATTTTCTTTCAGAGCCTGTGGCACTACAATGCAGACTGTGATTTAGAAGAAATGGAAGGTCTCTTATTATCAGCGTTGTCCAACTTTTATACCATATTTGGTTGGCATGCGGTAGGTTAATACTCATCGTCAGTAAAATATTTAATTAAGGATATCACGTAATTAGTTATTCTCTTACATTCCGTTCCATAGATGATTGCTTTTCCAGCCGAAATGATTCTGTATACAAATTGGAAATGGAGTTCTCGGTTTTACGCATTTGCCCTCTGCTGCTTATCGCAATGTTTACTCTATCATGGGGATGTTAATTCATCTATCGAGATAATGGAATATGGCCAAGGAATCTTTGGTTTTGATGCTTCTCCTGCTGGACAAAATTTTATTTTACAGTATGCCATCTTCGAAGCGATAAGAAGTTATTTATCCTATGAACCTGTTTCAAGCAATGTGATTGCGACAATAATTTCTATCGACGAAATTGAGGGAGTTTACTGGAAAGGATACAATCTTATGATTAGAAATAATTGGAGAGATGCTAATAAACTTTTTACAAAGTTTTTGGTTCATTTGGATGATAAAGAGCAGTCCAAAAGTTATATGAGGACCGATCTGAAATTAAGGTGAGATGGATAAAGGTTAAAAATTAATAATACTGTAAAAGAAAAGATTACAACCATGATTCTTATTCTCAGTCGCTCAATTATATACTGATTATTGTTACTTATTAGATGTCTTCTTTTACTCGCCGAATTGGAATGTTTATGTCGCAATCCTGCTGGATCTGTAACATATTTATCCGACGCATTGGATATTGCTGCCACAATCCATTCAGACGTTTACACCACGCTGTGTCTATATAATTCTGCTGCAGTTCAAGTAGGCGAAACGAGTACTTTAATTAAGATAGATATATACAATGAGATCGTGATTTTTCATCTTCGTACGATTTTCGAGTTTGATGGCTTAAAATTTGCGAAATAATGAGTAGATCAATAATCCGTAATAATATTGGGGGCGCGCTTAGCCAGTTTTCGAGATAAATGCCAAAATGTGCGATTTTTTTTTGCAAATTTTGACTTTTGTCTCAAACTCGTCCAAATTCGGTTTAACATGACTGAGAATAATTTGATAAATTATTTTTGGACTAGAATAGAGCCACTGCCTCGATTTCGGACCCCAATTTTCCAATTTATTGAGTTTTGCAAAATTATTTCAATTTCCATATTAGTTAAGATAGATATATACAATGAGATCGTGATTTTTCATCTTCGTACGATTTTCGAGTTTGATGGCTTAAAATTTGCGAAATAATGAGTAGATCAATAATCCGTAATAATATTGGGGGCGCGCTTAGCCAGTTTTCGAGATCAATGCCAAAATGTGCGAATTTTTTTTGCAAATTTTGACTTTTGTCTCAAACTCGTCCAAATTCGGTTTAACATGACTGAGAATAATTTGATAAATTATTTTTGGACTAGAATAGGGCCACTGCCTCGATTTCGGACCCCACTGTTTCAATTTGCCGAGTTTTGGAAAATAATTGCAATTTCCATATTATTGAGATAGATATATACAATGAGATCGTGATTTTGTTAATGCCGCGTTGCCTTGTTTGATTAACAATAATAATATACTCAATTGTGTTGTTTATTTTTTAAAGTGTGAAATTGGACTTGAGAAAACAAGTGCATCGACCATTGAGAAGAAATTAAGATGTGTCATTCGCTCAACAAATCCATGGTTGACAGCCAAGATGAATTTAGTAAAAGTTAAAATAACAATGAAAATAGAAGAAACTGTGACAAATGAGACAAGAGTCCGACTTATGGCCATGTTGGATGAGTCGGAACAGCTTTACCAAAATTGGGGAAATAATTATAGATTAAAGGATATTTTAAGCTTAAAAGCAGAATTAATAGACAGGTAAATAAATTCAGTCTTTTATTTTTACATTTCATATACTTATATGATTGTATTTATTTCTATATTATCTTTAGGTCAACCGATTTAGAAAGCAATGGATCTGGATTTATGGATCAGCTTCACGAAATTACGACTCATTTGAACTGGACAAAAGAAACTTGCATCATGTAGGCGACGGTATAAAAGTGTCGATCTCATTACTTAAGACGAACTTATGGGAAGGCTTTACCGTCTTCTCCTACAATTACTACACGTTATTTATATGGATTAATTGTAAGTATGGATTAGACTTTTGTATTTTCATGCTAACGTATCCGCATAATTGGTTCAACCTGTTAATATTGATCATCAAAGTAAGTTTAATCCGCCCACTAAATACAAATATTTACAATTTGTATTGGAAAGCTAAACTATAACATCAATAAAAGTTTATTTGTTATCATCCAACCGGCGTAGGGTCAAAGTCAAGTAAGATATGGATTTACTTACCAAACTGCATAGTACAGTACAGCAGAAACTTAACATACAATATTTAGCACTTAGGGTTTGCTCGTCAGTATCTAAATGTATGAGCCTATCAAAATGCATAACAAAGTTGACCTTGTTTATAACATGATCAATTTGATAGGATGCGGTTCTACATATGTATCAAACTTCTAAGAGTTGCAAATTTCCATGTTCAATGCCGTGCCTTTAACGTTATCCAATACATAAATACATATTATACTCATTCATAATTGCATTATCTGTAGGGAAGGGTCTAAATCGCGTCTTCACAATTTAGTAAATGCATGTATGTATATATGCTAAATGAAGCGTGCATAGTCGCAACTTTGTAATAAGATTAGATGCATTAATACGCTTTAGGTAAGTATACGGTGCAGTTAATCCTAAGTTGGGTACATTTTTTATCTATCACTTATTCTCGACGGTCATAAAAAGCCGGTTCAGTTAATTCAGTACATGTGTCGAATGCACGACAGGTGAATGTGCTATCTGTGTCTGGGACTGGATGGACAGCTAGATATATGGGTCGTCCTACATAAATTGATCAGCAAGGTGTACGAACGACCACGTTCCCGTCGTGTGATTCTTTTAACCAGCAATATTAATTTTACTATTTATTTTAGCACCTCTCATTGCACAAACCTACGTGTAAGGAATCGAACGATCAAACCAACCAAACCATTACAATTCACACCATGCACAGAATTTCCTCAGTATGGTTCAGATTTTTCCCGAGGCAACATCCATTCATCTACATACACAATATTAGACATAGAAGCATCGTTCCCATTACTTAAATATACAGTACCAATAATACATAAGCAAATCCATATTGCATTCGCTATCCTCCATTCATCCAGACTCTTTTCTCCAGTTTGAACTCTTGATTCTATTTATACCAAACATTCTGCATGTTGCCGTTGGCTGACTAAAATAGTTACAGCTAATAGCTAAAAATTTAGAATACTTTGCTGTTAGTAAGTCGATTACGAAATGGTTATAGAAAGTGGGACAGTGGGCGAAAGTGCTGTAGGGAGCACTACCACTTCAAATTGTAGTTGGGCTAGTGGTTCTATTAATAATGGGAAACACGACCAGGGTAATAATGAGTCGGAACAAGCCTGTTGCACTTCCGAGAACAACGGAGCTGTGGGTGGAGAACAGAGAAGACGAAGTTTGTCGACATCGGCGTCGTCCAATTTTCAGACCTTGTTGGAAAAGATTCAGACCAGGATTGAGAGTGGAGACCCATTCTTCTCATTAGAATTCTTCCCACCCAGAACAAAGTCTGGTGCTGTAAACCTCCTAGCAAGGTTGGTGACAAACTACTAGCGTAATGTAAATACTAATGAGCATTTTTGCATGTGCATCTGTACGTATATTACTTGGTGAGATGGTTTTAATGGTGTTGTTAATTATATTTGTTATCCTTGCAGATTTGACCGTTTCCGAAATGGTGGTCCTCTCTTTATAGATGTGACCTGGCATCCTGCAGGTAATTAACCATCCAAATTATATAGTGCAAAATTTCCCAACTTGATACGCTGTATACATTAACGTATTAACGTATTAACGTATTAATAAATGAATAAATGAATGCATAGGTAATCCGGGTGGGGACACGGAAACTTCGTCCCTTATGATTGCATCGGCCGCATTAAACTACTCCGGTCTGGATACTGTACTTCACATGACGTGTTCAGATTCTGGCGTGGATGACATTAACCGACATTTGGAAAAGGCTAAGGCACAAGGAGTTAGAAACATTTTGGCATTGAGAGGAGGTGAGGAAATTTTTTCATTGTGTGTTAACCTTAATAATTAGGCATGAGGAAATTCTGTTGGGTAACAGCAAGTTGATGAGGGAAGGTTAAACTACATGCAAAGTTGGATATTGCAAAGTTGGTTCAACAATTTTTTAGTGGTGATATGATGATGTTATATTATTACTTGGTGGATGATGGCTAGAGAAACCAGTTATTTAATAACTTATTTTCCTTATTGATGCCCTTTGAACAGTATTATAATTATAAATAACTCTTGTGGCAACGTCATGACTCATCAGATCGTTGATTTTTATTGTGTATAACATGATGCAGATCGAAACGATGATCACGCACCAACAAGTCAACCCCACTTCAACTATGGGTCCGAACTCGTTCATCATATTCGATCAAATTATGGGAATGACTTTGTCATCGGCGTCGCCGGATATCCAACACGCCATCCGGAATCCATCTCGGATGATGACGATCTTCTTTATTTAAAGAAAAAGGTGGATGCTGGTAAGTTACCTTTTTAGACAATATTTTGTGTAAACCGTCGAAATCTAAAAATTATATATATTTCGTGTGTTTAAATAATAGGAGCCGACTTTATCGTTACGCAGCTCTTTTTTCAAGCCGAAGTGTTTATAAGATTCGTGGAGAAATGTCGAGCGATTGGGATTCGGGTGCCAATTATCCCTGGTAAGTAATGTATTATCCTTACTAATAAGTTCAATTCGCATTATCGTTACATAAAATAGTTGCTCGATAAAAAGATCCTTCATTTGCAAGAAGATAATCGCATAATATTTTACATAATGAATTTTTACTTTTTAGACATATTTATCTGTATCTTCTCAATTGATTTTTCCAGGAGTTATGCCGATACAGTCATATGAATCCCTAAGACACATTGTAAAACTGAGCAAGTTGTCCATTCCACCAGAAATATTGGAGAAGATTGAACCCATTAAGAGCAATGACGAAGCAATTCGAAATTATGGGATTCATCAGGCTGTAGAAATGATTAGAGCCTTGTTCCAGAGTGGAATTGCACCTGGTGTTCATTTTTATACGTTGAACAGGTTATTTTATTATCCATTAACTAATATACACGTATGCCAGAGTACCTATTAATTCCTCTACTTAAATTTTGCATATGAATCGATTATCCTTATTTACAAGTTGAATTTAAAATCATATAGAGAAGTTGCAGTAATGACCATAGCTAAACAGCTTGGCCTATGGAATCCAGACCCTCAACGTCCTCTCCCTTGGAAAGTTGTGCCAAATTATCGACGTTGTGCAGAAGAAATTCGACCCATTTTTTGGTCTGCACGACCAAACGCTTACATCTACAGGTAGATATATGTACATTCATACGCATCTTAATGCGTATGAATATGTAGAACATTAACGTTTATTAATGACAATATATAGAACTCGCCATTGGGATGACTTCCCCAATGGCAGGTGGGGATCTGCGGAATCCCCTGCTTTTGGGGAGCTTAAGGACTATTATCTATTTTATCTCAAGAGTAAAAGTGCAAAGGAAGAATTGTTGGAAATGTGGGGACCATCTCTTTACTCGGAGCAAGATGTTTGGGATGTCTTTTATGCTTACTTAAGCGGCGAAGATAATGCAAAGTGAGTAACTTCAAATCCATGAAGAATTTGTCAATATTTACTGATAAATCGTTTTAGAATATTGCAATGTGATATTATAATTTCATTCGATTTCTCCTTTTAGTGGTTCAAAAGTTACAAAGATTCCTTGGAATGATGAAGAGCTCTCTCCAGAAACTAACGAAATCACAGAGAGACTCGCCTATCTTAACAAAAGGGGAGTCCTCACAATTAACTCGCAACCCAACGTGAATGGTCTCTCAAGTTCAGACCCTACCCATGGATGGGGCCAGGTTGGAGGGTACGTCTACAAAAAGGCTTACCTGGAATTCTTTACTTGTGCCAAAAATGTGAAAAATCTTAAACGTATTTTGGCCAATCATCCACAAGTCAATTATCACATCATTAGCAAAAATGTAACCAAAAGCTTCTTTTCAAAATACATAAAATTATTTCAACTTTTTAATGATTTGTAATAAATTTCTTTTAGGGCAAGTTTAATTACACAAATGCTCATCGACAATGCCCGATTGCGGTTACTTGGGGTGTATTTCCTGGAAGAGAAATCATCCAACCTACCGTTGTAGATCCCGAGTCATTCTTGGTATGGAAGGATGAAGCTTTCGCGTTGTGGAGAGAACGTAAGCGTGCACATATATATATCACTTCACTCGGTACAAAAATAACTTAAACCTTGTGTGCAAACAGAATGGGGAAAATTATATCCGGAAGGATCAAAGTGAGATTTTTTAAATAAATGCTTACTCAATTCTAGTCCAGCAGTAATGCATGATAATTTTTGTATGTTTAGATCTCGACAAGTTATTGACGCAATTTCTGACTCCTACTACTTGGTTAATCTAGTTGACAATGATTATCCAAAGGAGACTGTACTGTGGGAAATACTTGATCAAATGCTAGAACTTGGTGGAGGGAGTGGAAATGATGATACAGATAATCATAGCTTATCAGAGTGTTCGGATGTGTGGTCTGAATCGGATGACGATCTGATTGCTCATCTTCAGCTATCGGTCAAATTAGACCAGAACTAACTTGTCCAATTAAATAATATGTATTATTGTAAAAGTGAAAGTATCGTGTTCATGTGTGACTTTTGTCTTCCAGTTCATTATGGTTTTTTATGTGTACACCAGAAGGATAAATCACATCAGGACCAGTAATAATAATAATACGGATAATAATGTAATGTTGTGCTAATTCGATAACGGCGAGGCTATAATACTGTATGTAACAATTATTTGCTCTGTGATTTGAATTTCAAGTATTGAACAAGTCAGAACCTGTTTCAACAAAGTTAATCTCATATTATGTATATGGACATGCGTTAAAGTTGTCCTTATTTTAAATCAACTAGTATTAAATAATAATTGAACTTCAATTTAATTTAATAACTTCAATTGTTGAAGTTATTGCCAGTATGATTACTCGCCCTTCATGTTATAGATATTTGTGTCACGTTTTATTTCATCAATTGTATTAATAAAAGCTTCTTGCCAATCTTTCGATGATCAATTCTCTTGATTATTGTATTGGATTTATTGGCCTAAAATTTGGACATGTGATTTTACAATAAAAATAATGACCTTATAAATTCACAACAATTCTCGTGCTGAATTAATGGACAATTTTTTCTTTTTGTTTTTACAATGGGAAATTAAAGCAGTATGAATTGAACTAATACAAATTGGGGTATTTAGAAATATTTTTTGAGTAATTGGTTATCATTACAAACAACATATAAAAGTTTCGCTAAAGTTTAGTTATAGGTCATATAACGTGGAGTAGCCGAGAATTTGGCGTACGCCTTAATGACTTTGTTGATAGCTTCAAGGAAGTCTTTCTCAGTTGCTGCAAAGAAAAATAAAAATAACATTTTTGTAATTATCGTGAAGGTTGTGAATAAAATAGAAGGCTTCCTTACCCACTTTCCTTCTTGCTCGAATAGCAAACATTCCTGCCTCGGTACAGACTGATCGAATTTCAGCACCTGCATATTAATACAAATTGTTATATTGATCAATGTAAAAATTGTAAGCGAATTAAATAAGCATGCATACATATATCTTAAATTGCTGACAAATATATTTGATATATACCGGTGGAGTTGGGACACAGTCTAGCTAACAATTCAAATCGAATTTCCTTCTCGGTAGACATGGATCTTGCGTGAATCTTAAAAATGTGACTTCTTCCTTCAAGGTCGGGAAGTCCAAATTCCACTTTACGATCAAGCCGTCCTGGTCGCATAAGGGCAGGGTCAAGAGTGTCTGGTCTGTTGGTGGCCATGAGAACTTTAATGTTTCCTCTAGGATCGAAACCATCCAACTGGTTAATGAGTTCCAACATGGTTCTCTGAACTTCATTATCACCACCAGCTCCATCATCATAACGGGCACCTCCAATGGCATCAATTTCGTCGAAGAATATTAAACACGCTTTCTTACTGCGAGCCATTTCAAAAAGTTCTCGGACCATACGTGCCCCCTGTTATAAATTTGCCACAAAACGCTATCTTAAATATTCCGTTATGTTTAGAATGCAGCCAAAACTTGTAAACACCACAACTAACCCACCTCCCCTACATATTTCTGGACCAATTCAGATCCAATAACTCTAATGAAACAGGCGTCCGTTCGATTCGCAACAGCTCGAGCACAAAGAGTCTTTCCAGTTCCAGGAGGTCCAAAGAGCAAAACGCCCTTTGGGGGTTCAATTCCCAAGTTGACAAAGCGTTCCGGCTACATCACACGACAACGTTTCAGTCTTTTTAGTTAGTAATTATTATGAATGCAAATTTAGACTTTAATTGACACTTTAATTAACTTACATGCAACAAGGGTGTCTCCACAACCTCTCTCAACTTTTCAATTTGCTCCTTACAACCACCAACATCGGCATAAGTCACATCTGGCTTCTCTTCGACTTGCATCATGGTTACACTTGGATCGATTTTTGGTGGAAGAGGTATGTGGATCTGATACTTGTTACGGTCAACCCTACGCAAGTCGTAACCAAGATCAGAATAATTAAATAAATCAAACTAAAGTAGTATTGTTTTCTTACCCAACACGCATTCCTTCTTCAATATCAGTGGGAGCCACAGAGTCGGCCAAGTCTACCACAAACTTTGCAAACTGTTTCACATTGATAATGTATTTCGGATCTTCACCCTCTGCTCCGCGAATAATCTTGGTGCATCTCGCGACTTGAAGGGGTTGCTCATTTTGAAGAACTTGCTTATCAGCAGCCAAATCCCACAAGGCTGGAGGAGCGAGTCCAGTGTCAGACTCCTTAATTCCAGACAGCTCATTCACACGCTTGATAATGTTTTGGATATCCTCTTCCGTAGCCTTAATCAACTTGGAGTATGGTCCTTGCCCCTACACAAAGGATATAATTTGTAAATTACAAATTGTAATGATAATTATTGATAATTCAAACCAAGAAGCAACTATTCGCACTTACGTAGGTCTTCAACAATGCAATGTCTCCTTCATCCAAAGCTATAAATCATTGTATGAAATTAGTTTATCAAATTGTTTTAAACATTTGTTCGATTAAAAAATTAGAACGAGGGTCAAGTTACTTGACCCTCGTTCTAATTTTTCGTTACTTGACTCAAGTAACGAAAGACAAAAATATGAAGTAAGCACTTACTTTTGATTTCCTTCTCTTCCTTTTCCTCTGGAGTGCGAATTTTTCGCATATCATCGCCCAAATGGTCTGGCATATTGATTTTGTTTATTCGAAACTTTAAAATTTAAAATTTAACGTCGAAGCTATTTTTAAAAAGTTTTCGATGAGAACTTTGATTTCGGCAGAGAAGCAGCAACAAAAATGATGAGATGACAACTTTGCTCGTATTACGAAGTTGCGCTAGGTTTAGTCTCACATTCCCTCAGAGCCAGCTATTACAGTTACTGAATTATGCTCAAAAATGTACAAAATCCTTTACATCAAATTTAATTGATCTAACTACTTAATTTATGTGTTACAACGTGACATAACCATCTTATAATATCACAATGTGCTATAGTTATTATTTACTTGACAACTTTTCAATACGCATCGTGGCCATAAACTTGTAGATAACGGATGTATGGCTTGCCTATATCTTTATATGCTATCTGAATAGCTGGGAAAATAATGCACAAAGTTAATTGGCCATGTTATTTGAACCCAATCCTGAAAGAAAGCCAGATTTCATAATAGCCTTTAGAAAAAAATCCCTATATCCCAAAATGTAGGGCAAGAGAGCCAATTTGCGATAAAATCTCAGATTCTCATTTTGCCTCAGGTCATGAAAGACAAGTAGAAAAGTGATAGCCTTCCTCATTATTACTACCCAACATTTGAATTGATGGAATTGAGGGATACTTATATGTCATAGTCCAAGATATGAGCATGCACATAGTCTCTCATAATAATAATAATGCCAGGATAACATGTCCCAATCCCCCAAGCTGCTTTCACCATGAATCCATGTATCTCTCTCCTCCTGCATCTCAAGATTTCCGTTCCGTGCACCGCAACTTCACCATGCAACCTCTAAAATATGGTGACTATCTGACCCGTGATTTAACCAAGTTTTCCTCCAACTTTCTCCCAAAATCCTAATATCGTTCTTCACCAGGTTCACCACCACATTCCATTCTCTTCCCCCTTCTTGTCATGCCATAATCTGCCATATATGGATACATGCATTCTCTCCTCGGCCCGTCTGATTTTCTTCTGTCTTTCCGTCGCCCTCCTCGTCCTTCGCAACTTTCCTGCCTTCTTTTCCCCACCTGCTAAGAGGGAAAGTCATCCAAACAGAAATCCACTGGGGCCAGGTTAACGAAGGGAATCCGAGACCTGCCACCACCAGCCAGCCACATCTGTCTCATGGGGAATGTGAATTTGTAAAGTACTCTGACGCTGTCTGGCTCGACAAAAAATAAATTAGAGTTCAAAGCTCACCGTCATCATTATAGTGGAACATCCAACAAAAAAATATATAACACATGGTCATACACATCCATCTAAAATGAAAATATTCTGTAAAATGAGGCAATTTCCTTTTGAAACTCGAAATTTTAAAATTGCACGATCCCCTGTCGTCTCATTCTCATCTCATCCCGTAATAAGTTCTCTCTCTCTCTTGTCAGTTGTCGGAGAGGAGCCAAGTGGTGGTGTTGTAGGAGGAGGAGGAGGTATAATAATGTGGGGTTAAGGCTCCCAATAACCAAATGTAACGTGGTGGAGTAACCAATCCAGCCTTAGGATAGGAGAGATTTGGCTTTTCTGGGAGAAAATAAGCCGACAGAAAGGAAGGAGAGAAAGCGGACTGAGTCGCCGTGGTGAGAGAAAGTTGGCGAGAGTGAAGGTGGTGGTGGTGGGATCTCGGGAGGTCCCTTGCGATGATGAGATGCGATGTGGTGTCGGTGGCCTGGTCTGCTTGCCTCAGTCGTCCCGTTGTTTGCGCCAAGGAAGGCTGCCTCGTATCCATGTCCTCGCCTGGTTCCTCCACGGGTTAAAAGTTCCAGTCCGCTGGGAACTACCAGTAGCTGCAAGGACCATCAGGCACCCTCTCGCTCAACTTTCTCTCCGCCTCGATAGGGTTACAGACGTGACCTGCACCCCAACAACTTCATCAGAAGAGTCATCATCCAAACCAAATAGGGTTTGATTGATTTCACTCCATTCCCTCGAAACTACCAACTTGCACTTTCTCTCCAACCCACCAACCTTCCTCTCTCCAACTTGAGACGGCTTCGGGCAGGATGTCGTAACCCAGAAGAAACGGTTGAAACGATTCTCCCTCAATTTCCGCCGTGCAATTCGTGTTGTTCTACTCAATACGAGGTTAAATAATAAAAATAAAATACAGCAGAGTTAAGCACGCCGGGCCAAGTCAAAGGGTGAAAATGGACCAGGGATCGTCTTCTTGGTTCTTGTACTTTTTCCTTTGCACTCTGCTCACATCTCAACTGGATGGAATGTACGGGTACTTATATGTAATCAGTCTGTGAAATTAATTATTATGTTGGTTAATTATATGTTGGTTAATTGCTACTCATCCATCAGCGAGGGGACGCAGAAAGCGCCAAACAACCGTGAGATTGAGAAACGCATCCTGGACAAAGTAATGAACACGAAGGTGTATGATAACAAAATTCGGCCGGTTGGTGCGGGTGGTGAAGGTGAGCATCGTTCCCATTGCTTTCTCCCTCCTAAGTAATCAAGTGTAGCAGGAGTACCGCTAGTAGCATTATCTATGTAGTAGCCGTCATTAAGTGAGCCATAAAATAGAATAAAGTGGTCGACTGCCCCTCCGTACGTACGCAGTAGTGGTGCCGTGAATTGAATGACTAACTGACTTGATTCACACCTCCGCAGCTTTCACTTAACACTTTCACTAACACGTATTCTGTCTTGTTCCAGGCGCCACTGTGGTCAACGTGAATCTTTTTGTGAGGAGCATTGCTCGGATTGATGACGTAAAAATGGTATGTTTCACTCGATTCTAAACTAATATTGTAGATAATTAAGGGACGAATTTTCGGGCTTATGATTAAATTCTATACTCATCGAATCGTTAACACACATTGTTTCATACGAAATGTGAATGTCCTTCAAAGTTTCATTAATTAAGTATAATGGAAGTAGCGGGGAAAATGAAACAGGAAGAGAAGGCAGGACAGTTAATTTGTTAAGTGTGTCGTAATTATGACACGACGACACCTTCAATTCAAGAGAGCACTCACTTTCTCTGAGTGAAAGAAAAAAGCCCTGTCTCCTTAGATTAGCGTTGTGGACGAGGCAGGCTGAGACTTTCCCTCCCTACAAAACCGCATTAGGATAATAAACATAACGCACAGTGCCAAGAAGTAATGATCAGAAATCTGAAGGATAACATAGCAGCGGATAGAAGAGGATAAGTGGGGATGAAGATGTTTCGATAAGATATCCGATATCAGACACCACCACAAGACGATTAAACAAGGCTATCCATACGTACCCAACTGATTGAAACCTATCCAACTATTTTTATATAAGTACTTTCACCGTCCAACAAACTCAACATTTTTCTAGGAAAGAAAGGCTACTTCTCTCTCTTTATGTATGTATGTATAACCAGTAGAGTCGAATGGACGGATGTTGGATAGCAGTTTTTTGTGCGCAGTTAATGACCTCACTGCTGAGACAGACTGACTAGTAGGGCTACTTTAAGTTATGTATGTATATCTAAGGCCGTCGGAGGAGAGGAGGAGGAGGAAGGGAAGCATGCATGCAGACCTAACCTAGTCCTTCAATTCAAGGCAGGCTGGCTGGCTGCTTTTTGGAGGGGAAAGCAGAGAGAGAGATATAAATGTGGATTTGGCTCTTTGCCACGGGAACACAAAAGTTCCCTTCACAGTGATAAATTGAACACCAACTACTAAACTTTCTCCTTGGGACGCATCCTTTCCTCCTCCGCCTGCTCCCGTCTTCGCTCCCCGTCATTGGACCATCATCGCTGTATCAGGTCCGCAGTCCAGCCAGCAGATGTACAAAAGTACCAAAATAGAGAGAAGAGAAAGCAAAAGGGTAGCAACTAAATCAAAAATATCATGCTCACATTAAAAAATAATCACTGCTTTGAAGTGCAAAAAAGGAAGCGCTATAAAAAGAAGTGCTTCAACCCAAGTTCCATTAATCTCGTAGAAAATTGTGCACTCTAAGAATATTTCTACAAGTTCTAATTTGCATATATAACTTGAGCATACGCATATTTTCGAGTGGGTTGGATTTGAATGGGAAATCGTCATGGATTGATGATGAGCATATAAATGCATCGATACGTGAGCACTTTTTCAGTCGGCAATGATCTCTTCCAACCAACAAAGTGTTCGCACGAAGACTTTGCCAATGGTTTCACGACTTTCGCTAGAAAGAAAAGTTTTTTTTGTGCGAGCTGCACGATGCCCATGCATGGAGAAGGGTATCAGGTTTGGGAGGAACATTCCCAACCTTAGAATACATACATACAACACAAGAAGCAGCAGCACCACTTAAGCAAAGTACAAAAAAACTTGGAGGCACACTATTTCAAAAGTTAACTTTTCCACTTGTCATGGGTCCTTGGCCACAGGGTATTGAATGGATATGAGTGTTCTCACTATGCAATATATGTACGAGTATTCAAGGTTTTCTTTCGCAATTAAGCTACAAATTGGACAGTAATCGTAGTTCAGATACAAACTTACAAAACGGCTGTTTCGTTATTTTTATATTTTTGTTTTTCATCAAGAATTAAAACAAAGGATGCAATCCTCCCAACTTATTGAAATCTATCAAAAGTATATCCATCAAACACTACAAGGGCAAAGCACTTTTTCTTTCATATTTCTTTCACTTTGCTATTTGGTGAAAGTTTGCTTTCCCCTCACCCAGAGTAACAAGGATTTAATAGAATGGGAGAAAAAGTGCTCTTGAACTGAGCAACACTACGTAGCGTAGTAAGTAGTAGACTAGACTGAAAGAAAGACAGCAAAGAAATGAATCTTTGAACAAGATGGACAGTGACAGCTCAAGGAGAGATGAAGAGATAGCTTTTACACGCAGCAGAGATTGACGACGAATGAGTTGAGGTGGGCGAAGGCGAAAGTAAGCAAATAATAAAAACAAGGAAACAAATGAGATTTTCAAGGAAAGGGCACAAAAACTCGGGGAACAAAGTACAATGCAATTATTATGAGTTGAATCAATCAAGGTTGGCGAAAGACAAGATAAAGTGAAAGGTTCACTAGTACAACCTCAGTTCCCGGTTCTTTTATTGCACTTTATTGCCAGATATTGTTAGCCAGATTTTACCCACGTAATTGTTAATTTAAGTTGAATTATGCATTGTTGCACTTAGCAAGCAAGCAGAACAGAAATTTGAAGTACATTTAGTAGGCGCAAATCATGTTTTACTGGAATTGGATGGAACCATTTTAATATCTGGAAAAATTTTAGCTTGTAGAATGCCGATCCCTAACAGATATACATAAGATAATTAGCAACGTATGCATATATGGCACATGTCGGGAACAATACTTGCAATTACCCCTCCTATCTAGCAAAACTAGAATTGTCCTTAATGGATTACTCAACCACCGTGCTGTAGAACGCACACTAATCTAATTTTGTTGTAAAAAGCAATTGAACATATCCATTTCCTAGAGGCACTTAGTTCTGCTGCTTAATTTTCTCCTGGACACCATGCAGATTTGTCATAATTGTCACAATCAGTATGCATCATGCATAGAGCGATTAGCTTGAATGCTCCACTTTAGTCTCATATAGTAATTATTAATCCTTGATGAAATCAAACAAATAAGTTGGGCAACCTTCTTCCTTCGTCCTTTAGTAGCATCAACTACTCAGCAAAATTTGAATTCGCTGAAGCCAGGTCTGGGGCAACACCTGTTCAGTTCTGCTATATCCGCTATACATAAAGTAAGGAGGAGGCTATAACGATTAAACCTTTTGTTAGCAAAATCACCCACTCGGGAATCCCTACAGGTAGAAGGCAAGTATTATAAATGTCTGTTCCCTAGGGAATCCCACTTTCACTTCAATCTGGTACTTTCACTCACTGAATTTGATTTTCTGCCTACATATATTCATCAAGAAGGCAGTGGAACTTTGCCTGCTTTCGACTCTGCCTGAACATCATTTGTTATTAGAGAAATGCGAGCAGAGAAAGTGATGGATTGCTTCATTTTAGGTTGTGAATTGACTTTGATTGTTCTCATTTGGCTTTCCGTTACTGGTCATTATTATATTGATTCTGGTATTACTGGGAAGAGAAGGGCAGCTAAGAAGGAGAAGCTGATGGTGACAAAGTGCATTATATTTATGGGGACTATGAGTGATTATATGTACACTTTACTGATTATTTTATTTGCTCATTTTCCTTCATCCTTCTATTCCTCGAAACAGAATGGACATCATCAGCCCTGCTTTCTTTTGTGCACATAGCAAGATATACATATGGACGGTATTGTTTAGCATTAGTATTGTCCTTCTATACGACTATTAACGATGGTACGTATGTAAGTAGAGAAGTGTCAATTTTTTGGCAAAGCATAGGATAGAACTTAACACTGTTAAATCCCAGTAACACATCTCTCTCTCTCAATTCTTCTTGCCAACCAACATCCCTCAAGCCTCTAATAATCCCCTCTCATCCCTGCTTTATACTAACGTTGTGATTATCCTTTTCCATTTTTATCATCCACCATGTCCGCCAGGCTCACTCCTATTATGCAACAACAACGGCAGTGTCAGAATCCAAGGAGAAAGTGACACAAAGGCTGACTCTCACTGAGGAAGACAGCATTTTTACTGTGACACCAAGTAAAATATTGCACAAGTTGTGGAGAGTAAATCTGTATAATAGCCGAGGCGGGATGGATAGACAACAATAAATGGGCATTTATCTCTTTTACTGGGACTCTACAGGAAGGGAAGAAGGAAGGAGAATGTACAGTGACACATCTATTACACCGTCATCTATATGCAGGTATATAAATATATCTTCCTCCCATCCTGTCCCGTCAGAGTAGGGCAAATAAGGAAGTGAAGAAAATATAGTAAATCAGAAACCAAATCTGGATCGTTCACAAATCCAGAAAACTTAAAATTCAATAAAATCATCAATACTAAATTTGCTCATTTTCCAAAGTCATTTGCGTTAAATTTGTATTTGATGAAGGTACGATTCACTTTTGAAACCCGTCATTTCAAAGAAGAGGAACTCTCTATCTGTACGTTTTCTGTGTCTCTTCAAGAGAATATCGATCTATTACAACAATCTCACACATTATACTCGTAGTATAAGTCCTTAGACCCGTAAAATCGTATAAAGTCTTACACTTATATACAATGTAAGTATAGTATTAACCATGAAACTAGCTTCGGAGGTTGAAATTGTACATATCATGTCATACATACGTATATAGCAATCCTTGCTTTCACTCTGACTACCACGTACTACGAATTCTATTCTCCTTCACGGTATTTTCACTCTTCTTCAGCTTCCGGTTTCGGCACATGTATGGTGAGATGCGATTCTACGAGAAGAAGGGATAACTGAAATGGAATAAAGTGCAGCATAATATTTTTGCCAGTTTCAGTTTCATACTGTTGGCTGGTGTTGTAACAAATGCATAATAAAGTTTTGGTGCATTGCGCTTTGCTGTTAGCGAGCTGATTGCTTTTGTTTTCCTTGATATGTTTGCAAGATATCGGGATGAAGGGCTACTTTCTCTGGCACTGCTTTCTGCTTTGGCACACGAAACCATTATTATTCTGTCAACGGAATAAATTCTATATTAGGCATGACACTTTGCTGTAGGTGCACGGGGAAGGTTCATAAATTATAAGACAAACATCCATGTGTTGAAAATCCTTGTATATCAGGTTTTTGAACGTTTTCGCCCATTATTATTTTTACATGGTCACTCGTCGATCGAGGTGTTGAAATTAAAAGGAGCAAGTGTTGTATGTAAACCTCCCACACTCCTCATGCACACAAAATTTGGCATCAAACAGGTTTCGCCTGTAGTACCAAGAAATATTATATATGAACGAGGGCCAGGATGATGAAGAGCATGTAATGTAGTTTAGTAGTTTAGTGCCAATTTTGTTCTGCATGGAATAAAACACAATGAGAGGAAGAGAAAGTGAAAGTGGTTGGCAGACTTTGTCCAGCCGGTGGTGGTGACTGGCGATAGTGGCATCAAGTCCATGCGGTACAATTCCCTGTAGAAATAGCAGCAGGATTGTTAATGCAATTTAGTTTCTGTCAGGTACAGAAAGTTTCACTTTTTGTTTCTGCTTCATATTCATTCCCATTTCAAAATCATACATAATAATTTGTCGCTATTACTAAGCGAGCGGGGGAAAGGAAAGGGAAGCAAAATTTGTAAATGTCATGGGACGAGTTTACTTTCGAGTGGAGCCTTCAACTAAACTAACTGCAGCGTTGCATGTCATATAACTTTTAGTCGAGCACGTTGGACATATTTAGATAAGGTCCTGGTACATCCATGCACTGCCAGTCGTCGAGTCTCTCGTAGAATTCTGCAAGACAGGTGAATTGTATCGCCATTTATATTGTCCTAAATCTGAAAGAAGGAAGACATTGCTAGCAATCCTGCATTGTAACGATAGTTTGTATAGCATAACGTAGCATTATGTAAAACAGGAATGTCTATCGTGCAATGAAATATAACATTGCCTTGCTGCTCCACCGTGCATATCTCGACCGACTTCCTTCTCTCGGATACAAACGATCCCAGCGAAAATGACATCAACTTGTCTTTCTTGGTACGTATAAACGGTGAACAGAGAGAAATATCGTTTGGGGAAAGTGTAGATTGAAGAAAAACGTAATTTACAGAGCAGCATTCGCATTTTACGGAATTGGATTTGTGTGCAATGAGCTGAAGTGAACTTATTACACAGATGAAACACGATATATGTAATTTTGCAATATTGAATTTCCTGCTAAATATGGATTTTCACAGGAACAATTTCTGAATATATTTACATATTACACATACATGCTCACATTCCGACGTCTGCTTGGTGAATATTCGTAATGAAATTTCCTCTCCTCTTCACAGGAAATTATATCAGCGACTTGGCGTTACCAGTTGTTACCGTCGCCGCCTTTTTCTTTCCCTTAACACGCTCTTTTAGTCATTCTGCTTTTTGGGTGAGAGAAAGTTATCTCTCTACCTTTCCACCACTTGACTTGATTTCCTGTCTGCCATTCAGATAAAATTACATTATGCTACTGTTTTCGGTGTATACGTTACGTGCCAATGAAATGGATAGAAAAAACGGAATCAAAAAGTCTAGGCGAGAAATGAAAAAACCCAAAAAATAAATTATCACAAAAAACGAATCTCTCTCTTCCTCAACTCTCAATCACAGTTCAGCAAAAAAAAATATTTCCAAATTATTTGGATCGAATGGTAGGGGAACAGTCTTTCACTATGTAGATATCCCTCCCTAAACATAGTGTAGGACATCATCAACGACATATAAATACATTGTATACACTCCTATAATGTCATCATTTAGACATTATGATGATAAAGCTTCTTGCTACACATTGTAATGATAATTATGTAAGTTGTTTGTGTCGAATGTTGTAAAGAAACGTAGTAATCAATCAATTTCCAGATTGGGAGATTCGCATTTTTGTGCTGCTATTTTGCCATGAATGATGATGATGATAGTTGTGATAATTCTGGTTGACTGGATGTGCTAAAAAGGTTTTGATCAAAAGACCCACACACAAACAGAACAGAAACGCAGAATGTGCTAGAATATGTTTGTGTAAATGGAGAAAGTTTGAGAGAAAGTTATGCTTCCATGAGTTTGCGATAAAAACATTTTAATGAGGTTGGTTTTTTTCTTCTTTTTGATTACAGGAATATTCAGTTCAACTCACATTCAGAGAGCAGTGGTTAGATGATAGGCTTCGTTTTGACAACTTTAAACCAACGCCGCCCAGTAAGTCATCCATGTGAAAACGAGGTTTTGGTTTGTTACTAATCAAGATCAATTATTACATTTACAGAGGATTTGGCATATCTAACTTTAACAGATTCAGGTACTGACTGGGGTTTTGAGACGTTTTCCTACAAGTTAATGATTTTTTCACGAGTTTTTTGCTGATAATATTTCATTCAAACAATAATTCCTAGCCAAAGTATGGATGCCGGATCTCTTCTTTTCCAACGAACGACAAGGACATCTGCACAATATAATTACGCCCAATGTCTATATTCGGATATTTCCTAATGGAGAGGTGAGATTCCCGTTAACAGTTCGCAAAAAAGGATTAAATATATTTGTAAGTACTAAATAGTAATAAACTTTCTCTTTAAGGTTCTCTACTCGATTCGGTATGTAAATACATATTAGAAAAGAAACACTATGCACAAAAATTAAATCATGTAATGTTTTTTTTTACTTGTATAGGATTTCGTTGACACTGTCCTGCCCCATGATTCTCAAGTTGTTTCCCCTGGACAAACAAGTCTGCACTCTGCGAATGGCTTCGTGTACGGTCTTAAAAATTAGGTGACATTTAAAACATTAGAAAACGTATAATTATTGTGTGCAGATGGTTGGACCACAGAAGACGTAATTTTCAAATGGAAAAGCAATGATCCAGGTTTGAAATTTTCTTTAATTTTCAAATTTCTCATCTCTGTGTGCATAAATATGTACGCATGTATCTCAGTCAAGCCCTCTATAGTTTCTGTGTACATTACTGACCATGAGTCTGCATATATGTACATATCTTACATACACAACATCCATGCATATTTAATTTTTTCCAGTTCAAGTCACCAAAGATCTTCATCTTCCCCGTTTTGCACTGGAACAGTTTACAACAGGTATGAATTTACATATTCCCAGGGAATCTAATCTATTATAAGAATCTTGAAAAGTTAATATCTATGAAGTATAATTTAATTTTTTTAGACTATTGCGACTCGGTGACCAACACTGGGACGTACTCTTGTCTAAGAGTCGATCTCTTGTTCAAAAGACAATTCAGTTACTACTTGCTCCAAATCTACATTCCTGGATGTATGTTGGTGATCGTCTCCTGGGTCAGCTTCTGGCTCGGTATGTTTTATATTTTGCATCTTTATTTGATCAAATTTTTCATATCTAAATGAATAATTTCGAATAAAATATTTCTTTGCTATTTAGACGCAGGTGCAGTTCCGGTAATCACGTAATTCTATACTCACGCAAATGAATAATGTTCCATACTATTATATTAACGACAGTATTAAAAAAATTATTGGGATATGAAATTAGTGGCAAATTTTTTTCAGGCGCGTGTCTCGCTTGGTGTCACCACACTTCTAACAATGGCTACTCAAACGTCGGGTATAAATCAAAAGCTCCCACCGGTGTCTTATACCAAGGTAAAACTGTTTAAATATTTGGTTATAGAGGTATCATTTAAAATTTGGAGTCATCGATAGTTGAATTATTCGTGCGTCAATATTTCTTTTTAAATAAAAATTGTCCCAAATGGGAAAACTTTCCTCAAGTCTTTATTTTTTCATAAATTTAATTTGTAATTGTTGGAGGATATTTATTATATGTTTGAATGTGCTTTGACAATAAATTAAAGGCCCTGGACGTGTGGACTGGTGTGTGCCTAACGTTCGTCTTTGGTGCATTATTGGAGTTTGGTGAGGATTTAAAGAAAAAATTGCATCCTAAAAATTCTTGTTAATTTGTTACTGAATTTGTAGCACTCGTAAACTACGCCAGCAGAAATGATCAGCATAGGTCAGCAGTTATAAAGCAGAGGAAACAATGGGAGGCAGAACAAGCGGCAGCAATGGAGACAGCGGTATTATAAACGGGCGATTATATAATGATAATTGATAATTTTACATTTCATATAAGTTATAACAATAATCTCATTATTAATTGCTTAACAGAAAGCGGCCGCTAATTCAAGAACTCCAAATTCTAATAAGCCAATAATGGCATTGGTATGTGATTATGAAATATCATGGAATTTTTTGCATAAACTTTTGCTTTTGAAAAGCTTTTGATATATGTACGTGTGTATGTGCATAGGCCCGAAATAGTACTGTGGGATTCGACTCGACAAGCGGTGACGATCCTGCGTGTCCATTGCATTTTGGCATCCTCAGCACTGCATCATGTACGAAAACCTGGTTGTCACGATTCCCATCGAGGTCTAAAAGAATTGATGTCATTGCACGGATTGTGTTTCCATTATTATTCGCCTTTTTCAATGTTGCATACTGGTGCGCATACGTCTTAAGAAAGGAAGATCCAGAAAGTCTCATTCAATAATTGTCCAACAAAGTACTTATGACGACATAGTCAAAAATAGGCATAGTCTTACAGAACATTAATGTCACCACTCACTGCGAATGCGAAATTTAGAGGCTTGGAAGTGCAAATTAGAGAATGACAATTCTTACTTGGCGACTAAACCTCAATTTTGTATTTTTATTCATACAGCGTAACCGCTCCTTAGTCGTTCGTGAGTTTGAGAATGATTTTGACTTTATGAATGTTAACATGTGTGTATGTATACAATACAATAATTGTATTGTATTTATGTATAAATTATTTATACATAAATATATATACTAGAGAACCTCGAAATAATGCTGTAATACGGTCTTCTGTACGAGTATAAAAGTAGAATTGACACGATTATTCGATAATAATAAATCAAGAATGGTACAGAAATTCTACAAAAGAATAACGAAACGTAATAATGAAACTAATAATAAAAACCAAAGATATTTGCTCATCCGTCATCAGTGTTACTTGTGTGAAATTTACCTATAAGTAGAAATTGTTTAGCAATATTGTTAACTCCTATCTGTCCTTCACAAAATGCCAAGTATTTACATACATACATATATAATTAATTATAGAAGAATACTCAATTATGTAGACAACATATAATAATAAATTGTTAGCTAAGGTTGATATTAATAATAGTGTATAGGGACAGTATATAAGCTCAACGCTATCAACGTATGGGATTAAATCTTCAACGCCGTTATGTAGCTATTAATTAACTATGTATTAAATATTTATTACTACACAAATATTAAGCTTCCGTTGATTTTGAAAAATCAATTACTAGCAATGATAAACGAAATAAATTACATGCAGATTTTTCAGATTATTTGGTCCAGTTGGTCTTGATTTGAAATATGCAGTTTCATCATACTAAATGCATGCATGTGGATTTATGAGTGCTGAGTGTATAAGTATACAGGTGTTTTGAAATATGCCAAATTTTTATCTCGAACCGTGAAATTTAATTTGCGGCTAATTCCAAGTTAGAACTTTTATGTGCGTGCAAGATTTGATTTGCGTGAATGTACTTAATCTTTACTAATGAGACAAAAACTGGTAGATATATTTTCAACTTTAATTTATTACCCAACATATTATGCTTATCAGGAATTGAGAATCAAAAAATAGCTAGAATAATTAATTATCAAACCAAAATTGACAAAAACACCTTAACTGTTTGATAATTTTGTATCTTTATTTCATACTCGTATGAATTAATACTGAAGTGTTTGCAGGTGAACGGATTATGCAACTCCAATTATTCCGCAAGCCAGTCGTCCCCCCGCATTTCCCGTCTTTTTTGAACCATCGTCTCCACCCTTGCCCAAATCATCCTCCTTCTCGTGAACGATAAACGCTCTGCCGAGAACCGAATTGTCACCCGTGAGAGAAATCATGCGATCGGTAATGTTGATCACGGCAACCCCTTTGTCGTCTGCAATATTGCATATTGTCAAAGTCAAAAATTTATACTTAGCAAATTAAATAGTTGTAATATAACTGACCTGCCATGATGTTCCCCAAATCTCCAACATGCCGAGTCTCATCTCCTGGAGCACCGTGCGTTAACTGCAACAATCATCAAGGCAATTCGTTAAGATTGCATGCAACAGTCACAAATTAGGAATTCATTGTTTATGAAAAAATAGTGTATATGATAAGTGATTTGATACAAATTGGCAGCATGTGCACAATTAACGACGCGAGTCCAAGGAGTTTAGAATTTGATGTTGGCAAAAGATCAACAAGCCAAATAAGATGACAGCGGAGTAATGCTAATTTATTATTTGCACAATGCGCATTATTTGAATTACTTATTACTTAAGACAAACATGTTCACCAAGAGCTTGAGTATTAGGCAGTACATACTTATTAAAAAAAGAAAGCTTGTTCATCATTATAAATATGCTGCATAGAAAGTTATTTGTTTCAAATTATGTGCAAGTTCAATTGGGCGGAACGCGATTCGTGATTATCGTGACATCATCGTTACTCCTATTACCATATTGCATGTTTTTATAAACACAGAAACCTGGCTGTTGAGATTTGATATGCTGCACACATTTTGAAATTCAGTTCAACAGCCTTATTTTACATTCTGGAGTCGTCTAACGTATAATTCAGAATATCTATGTAGCATGTAGTGTGTCTTTTAGCTCCAGCTCTTGGCGTGGTTCTCTCATACTTGTTTGTCTTATCTATGTATCTTGTGCAATTGTATAAAGTTTGAAAGGGCTAGTTTACACTCTTTTATTTCTATCGCAAAGTCTTGAAGAACGTGACAAGAACCAGATTTTTCCATAAAAACAAACCCAGTCTCAAAATATATGCGAATTTGTATCGTTCCAACATCTGTACTACTGATAGGAATTTATGAGTTGAACTTGAAACTAATCACGGTGGTGATGGTTGATTGCATTTGATGCTCGCTTAATATTTACTAGCAAGGTTTTTGCAGCATTTTTTTGCATACTTAAACTCACCATGTAATACAGCCTGTTACCTACCAATCTGATACAGAGGGAAACTGTTGTCAGAAACCTCTTGAATAAACCGTCGCAAACGAAATGTAGCGAAAGGGTGAAACCCATTAGTCGTTCCCGACCATTTTCTACAAAATCTTATATTTCCCCAAGACGGGGTGCGGTCACATCCCCTCAAATGTGTCCGTCTCATTTGCTCTACCTATTTCTACAATTGTATTTTTTCATAAAATCTCACTTTCCCCAATGCGAGCCGGAGGGGTCATGGGTACATATATGTAGGTACATCTTCGGAGATTAAATTGTCTTGCGTATTAATTGTAGAATACCATAATGAACTATTCCAAAAAGAAAATAATAATTTTCGAAATTTCACAAGCATACCCCCGTAGCGACGAGGGGGTGCGTCCCGCAACGCCCAACTTCTAAATTAACTCCTACCCAAAAATTTGAGACACGTAGGTGAAAATCTCATGTTGAAATTCAAATCCGTTCGAAAGTTATCGTGGATACGGACCGACGAACAGACAGACAAGACTTTCCCATAAAAAGGTGTCACCTGTTAATAATACTCGGTTTTGCTATGCACCTCTAAATATTTTTGCAAATCTCAAGGTTAGTCCAGGCTAAACCTTTAAAGTGACGTACTCCTATTATAATAACGATGATCATGGTTGGAAATCCTAATTTTTTGTGCCCAAGTGTCATACATGAATGAAGTGAATGCAGATACAAAGGCAGTTCATTTGTATACTAAATACGTCAGCGGAGATGTCTCACCAAATATAGAAAAAATAACAAAATGAGTGATGAGCAGGTAGAAATAGGCACAGACCAGAACGGATGCGCAAAGATTTTTAATCCTTGCATCGCAATCATGGACGGTTTCATAATGAAACTTTCATTATGGTGATTGACAGTAAGCTAGAAGCCATCTCGCTAAACTGTGTCATTAAATTGTACCTTCATAAAGCATAATTTATCAGTGGTAAATTATCGCCTTCATTAAGCAAACATTTATGAATACTTATCCCTTTGAATGGTTTATAGATTCGTTTTGTGAACATAAATGGCACCTCAGTCAATGAATTTATGTACATACGTATGCAGTGAACCGCTTGTTAATTAAGCCCATATTTGCATATCTACCTATTTATTTGTAAAATTTGGTGAACACAATTTTTCCTTGGGAGTGGCTGTGATTGATTATGTAAACCCTGGAGAACTAATCAATTAGACAACCAAGATTTTTTGAGGGGAGGATTCATGAAATGTAAGCATTTAAGTATGCGAATACTTAGAATGGATTATACTTAATAATTGGTCCACAAAATTGTAATTTGAAGAGTAAATTTTGTATAATAAATCTGATGACGTCCGTCCTTCTGAAGCCGTAGTTTAGAATGATGTAGCATTTTGCCAAGTTATTTTTGAACGCGTCAAGTGGCATTATTATTTTTATAACTACTATAATATTAATAAATGACGTACACAGTTTTGTATACCTTATTCAAGGAAAATTACAGGAGTGAGTTTTATCTATATCTAGTACAGATAAAACAATAAAACATTGGTAAGCAATAAACGTGGAATAGTCAGGAACAAAAGCGCAATTAAGAAGTGTAACCTCTCCTTAGATTAAAATTTGTTTCAAATGTTAATTCCATCAAAAATTATAAGGTTACAAATGTTGTTACCTTCATGTACAAGAGAATGTGGGCAGCCAGCAAATGCATTACTTTTTATGTTGCAGGCGTTATTACACAATTTTATGAGTTATGCTGACAACGTGCATACTTCAGCATGTTTAGCAAAGCTATAAGCTTGGCCACTTGGACTCACTCAGTTGATTTGACAATTAGCAATTAACACTTTTCTACAAGCAGGGGGTCGCCCAAGTTATGCACGGCTCAAGTTATTCAATGTCACGCTTGACTGGTTACCAAGATGAACTCATGTCAATTTATCTCCTTCATATGCATGTAAAGGCATGTTCCAATGACATTTTATCACGATCACCTGAGAATACTCACGAAATGCAACATAAACAAATAACGCTGGTCATTTTCATTACCATTTTGGGATTAAAGTGACCTCGGGTAGACGCACATCCTCCTCTGATATCTCCGGACTCGTGAACATGAAAGCCATGCTGACCCTTGGGCGTAAGGCCTGTGAGAGTCCCGTTAATTTTGACGGGGGACGATGGCTCATCTTGACTAAGGTCGAGCGACCCGACAATTCCGCTTTTGTCCACTCCGATGTTGAAAAGGACGTAGGCTTTGGTTACGACAACTCCAGTCTGCACAAAAATATAGAAATCGAATAATAATGGCCCAAAATAATGACGATATCCTGGAAAATAGTGGAAGTAAGTGGTGTGCATGACTATTCTGAGAAGAAGATCATTAAAAATGCATAAACAAAGTTATGTGATAAGGAAAAACATTCATGTTTATGACTATTCTGCAGTATGCATGTCCAAAAAGATTGAATAAGGGGAAATCACTTATTTAATATTTTAGAAAAGTGACATAAATGAAAATGTTCACAAAAAATGTATTCTATTTTCGTATGTACCTGCGCCGCGGGTGCACCTGAAACGGAAGTGACCACTACTGCAATAATAATTGCCACACACAACGCCGACAACACCCCAACAACTGCCACCGTGCGCATCTTCATCAATCAAGTACGAGAGTAACAAGGTTGTGGAAACTATTAACTGCTGGGACTGATTAAAAATGACTTTTGCTTTTCGCAATGTGTTTTTATTTGCTGAATGAAATGCAATGAAACGAAGAGGATGTTTCTTAATGGAAGCCAAGCCGTCAACTGAGCAATGGTGCATCCGCTCGCTTGTTTTTGTGGTGCATATTTTATTAACCAGCAAAAAGGATGAGAAACATCCAGACTTGTTAGAGGAATAATAGCCGAAAATGAATGGTCTTGTGGCTGGCACATTTGTATTTCCATTGTATATGCGTTGTACACATATTGTATCCAAAATATAGTATTGAATGCGATGATGTGGGTTCCATTTGCTATACATACTACAATACCTATGACCTGCAGTAGGCAATGCGTTTCAACTTCTCCGAAATGTTTTTTATTGCGTGTATTTACATACTTACTGAATTGAACAACTAAATCCTACCTACATAGCAGACAAGTGCATGAAATGTAATTATTTTATTTTAGAGAGCGGCAACGAAGGTAAACCTGAACCAATTATCGGGCCAGTTATTCCACATTTTTATGTGAACTTGGGTAAAATGAAGTAAATATGACTAATAAAGCAGGTAAATATTTACCTGTCCGTACCTCCCCCAAGGAAATATATTTATTTAGGCTATATATGTTTCCATTTCGTTAACGTGGTTGTTGACGAGTTTATTCTATGTGTTATCATCCCTTTTAACACTCCACTTTATTTTGAGGAAAATAAACAAACTTTTATCATTAAAGAAATATGGAAGACAAAAACTATGTTTATTTTCCTGGTTTAATATAGAGCTAAAATGATGGCAAAGGCATTACGTAGAAGTTTGGTAAGTGGCGAAAGTACTTATTTCGATTCACCACCCAATATCAAGCAGATAGTAAAATATGTTAATCCTGCAAGTAAAGTGGAGTCTGCCATTACGGAAAATCAATAAAACCACTCGAAAACGCTTAATTCCACTTTTCCAATGTATTCCATTGGTTTATGTGTAAGTGTTCTTTTGCTAAGCATATTACAGATGCATGCGGTCGGAACGGATTTGCAAATTCAGTGGCGTGGATATTTGCAATTTGCATGCATAATTGTAACTTTGAGTAAAATGGGTTGAAATACATAGAATTTTTAGTGGCGACTTTTGATAACTTTGCTAGTTTTATTTATACGCAGCAGGAGTTGAAAGATTTTAATAGAATAATAACCATCTGTAAATACCTTTTCTTCTAATTCATATGAATATGTGCTTGTACATGCACACATATTTTTGACGCATGGTGATGGCTTCAATACTTTAACCACTCGAACTTGAACGTTTTATGTAACATTGCAACATATGTGCACATACTGCAATTTCAGTTTACAAAATGAGATAAAGATTTTCTATAAATATGTGTTTACGACCTCAGTGTCAACTGTATCAACTTTTTATTGTCAATGCATGATTGATGTTTATCACAGTTATAGATTAGGTGTGCTCATTAAACTGGGCTTAATATGCGGAAAATGCCATTTCCAGGAGTAAACTGTTGCTTGACAAGTGTTTATTTAAATAAAATGAATTTGGCTTACCTTTTCCTGTTTTCTGTGGCACTGATTGCCACTACAGACGCTGGATATGTAAACCCTTCATTAATTTCTAAGGTGAATCCTTCCTTGCCACAAGCTTCTTATTTAATTATTTAATTAATCCTAATCACTACAATATACGTATATGCATACAGGTTAGAAACAATGGAGCACAGGACATCATCATTGAACTTTCTCCAGTTATTGAGCAAGTTGAAATCAGGTTACGAGGACTTACCGGTGACGCCAGAGTCACTGCTCTCGTTACAAACTTAAAACACCTCATTTCAGTGGCTCAAGCACCATATTTGAAACTTGCATCAAATCTTGGTCTCGAATTCACATCCTTTTGGGCCACTAATGTTATCCTTTTGAAACACGTTGATCTAAATACCTTGAGCGAATTTACCAGGATGACGGGAGAATTTCAGTTGAGAGAACAGCACACCGTTTCAGTTCCAGCAGTCCGGGAAATGTCGACATTGTCAGTCGACCAAGGAGTGCAATGGGGGGTCGAGAAGGTCAGAGCACCAGAGGCTTGGGGGGTTACCCAGGGCGAGAATGTAGCCGTAGGTTCGATCGATACTGGGGTGAACTTGGCTCACGAAGCATTTGTAAATAATTTCGCTGGAGCGTGGCGAGACCCATTTTATAACTCCTCCACGCCCAACGATGTGCAAGGTCATGGCAGTCACACTCTCGGAGTAATTGTTGGACAAACTAACGGTATCGGGGTAGCTCCAGGTATTTAAAGCGCTGCTCATTGTGACCTGACATTTATAACCATCTCATCTAAATAATGTTGGGAAAAATACGTAATCTTTGATACCCCATATTAGGTGCCAAGTGGGTAGCATGTCGTGGGTTGAATAATCAAGGGTCCGGAACAGAGGCAACATTAACTGACTGCGCCCAGTGGATGATTGTGGCTGAACCTCGTCCTCACATTGTCAACAATGCATGGGGCGGTGGTTCAGGGTCAACTTGGTTCGATCCTTTAGTCGCAGCATGGAAGGAGGCTGGAATCATTCCTGTTTTTGCCAGTGGGGGGAGTGGTCCAAGTTGTAGCAGCATCGGTTCACCTGGGGACCACTCGGATGTAATCGCTGTTGGACGCACCAATCCCAATGATGAACTTGTTTTGGGGTCTGGGAGAGGACCGTCCTTCGCAGGACAGATTAAACCTGATTTAGTGGCACCAGCATTAAATATCGTGTCCGGTAGGTAAATAATTTGCACGTTTTGTTTGCCAGCCAAAAAATGCAATCTATTTTTGAACGGTTTTATAATAAATATTATGTGAATATTTAGCTGGACCTGGAAATAACAACTATGTGACCATGTCAGGGTCATCTTCGGGTTCATTTGTATCTGGTGCTGCGGCGTTAGTTATAAGTGCTAATCCTGGGATTTCGGCAGATGAAGTTGTCGGAATTTTGAGAAACTCTGCCTTTCGTCCTCCAATCTCCAGCCCGGATGATTATTGCGGCCCAGGACCAGATTCTTACCCTAATAATGGATACGGGTATGGCCGAGTCGATGCAGCGTCTGCTGTAGGCATAAATTGATGAACTCTGAATTCACCCATTCAAAATATGTTGTTGGTATAATGCACTTAACTTATTATCTGCATGCAATGGTGATATGTAGGATAATGATATTAATAAATAAAAAATTTGCTTCTGAAATCTAAATCATCCTCCTTGATTTAATTGCGATTGACCATTTGGCAATTATTTTCCTGAAAAAGAATGTACATGTTTCCTTAATTTTACTCTAGCCATTTATAGTACAAAAACAATTTGCTATATGCATAAATTATCCCCACCGGTATGTATGTATAACAATACTTGTAATTTACCACGAAATGTATCCGTACATATAATATCTAAATATCCTAAGGATAAACGATACTCTTGACTCTTGGTATAATACCTACAGATATTTGAGATATACTTGCAGTGCAAAGCATTTTGATATGGTTTAGTTTAATTAATAAATATTGGTACAATCAGCATTACCAAATAAATGGGTACATAAATATGCATGTTAATATCTTAAACACGGATCCAGTAATTCCTCTATTGCATGCATTATACGTACAAAAATATATCAGCAATCCTCGGGATCCTGTTCGCTTATTAACAAACACATATATTAAAATAATTATTAATATTAAATGTATTTATATCACACAATATCATAGTCTTTGTACAAAATTGATTCATTTGCATCATCCAAGTCATCACATCACAAGTTAGAATGTTAATCCAAATGGTGATTGAGTGTACAAGTAATATGCCTCCTCTCCAAGTAAGCACAATCGTTTATTTCTCACAATTCGAAAGTACCCCTGATCACCCCACTGCTTGCCGTAACTGGAAAGTAATTTAAGTAAATGAATGTTAAATTAAGAAATATTATTGTATGTACATATTTATACAAGTATAACCTGTTTTTGATAATCCAGTAATCCACCTTTGTATTATTTATCCCCCATTCACTCCCATAACCTACAATAAGGACCATGTGATTTCTAAAAATATTATGAGAAATTCCATGAGGATCTGTACACGCTTGGTCATATATTCCACCCCTGTACATTTTCAAGTCTAAACTCATATGCATGCCGGCAATTATTGGACCAAAATCTCGAACAACTTGTTTCATTCGTTCCTCATTATTGATTCCTCTGAAAGGAACGGCTGGGTAATATCCATCCAAGCCGACCTTCCTGCGATTCCAAGGACCATAACAGTAACTCCCTACCTTATCTTTGTACGGGTAGTCCCACTCAAATGACAGCCCATTTTGCTGCATGTACTCCAAACCTGTTGTTGGAAGATTGTCATTACAACCTCGATAGCCACTATAGTTTCCAGCACAGTCCAGCAACTCCTGTTCACTGAGGTCGGATGGCGAACCCCACGTGTAGGACGACGACGAACTCCCATCGGAAGCCATTTTCACTAAATAGTCGTGTGATTCCAGCGCAGCAACGGTGGCAAAGAAGGAACAGGAACCACATTTACCTTGGTTTTTTGGGTAGGAAACAGCCCCATAGCTTCTCCAGTCGAGAGAATCCTTTTCGGACTCACGGTTTGCATAATGATGGGGAAACCAAGGTGAAGGCTGTGGGGACTGATTGTACGCTCGAGACGATCTGTTTTGCTGTTCTTGTGGTAGAACAGTTGAAAGTGTTTCTGGTTCATTAGTCTGTCAGATCACAACGTATCATTTTACTCAATTGTAGATGCAATTTAAGCTTGGAATATTTTCATATTTCATATTGCCAATTCAATTACCATGTCTGTAAACTGATTAATTCCTTTTTCATATGAACTGAGACCCTGTTTCGTCAATAAATTATGGTAGGCAACCTGCAGTACGTTTTGCTTAAAAATTGTGCTGGATTCTGGGGAGTCAGACTTGATTTTCCTATACATTTTCTAGATTCACAAAATGAGTTGAAAATGAAAGACATTCAAGTTTGTATTACATATTCACGTACCTGATACTTTTTGTGCAGTAATCGGATTGTAATTGGATCTTCTAACTCTTTATATAACGTGTCAAGTAAATTTGCGTTTTCTAAGGCTTTACCACGTCTGACATTGAGATCAGAAAATAAATTCTTGGTATTTAGCAGAGCATCAATGTCTTTCAAAATGTTTGCAGTAATCGGGACTGTAAATAATGAGATAGTATGTATTAACAAGTGACAGTCACATACATACATACTATATTTGGAATAAGTTTTTTTTAGCAACGAACCTAATATACAGAAATACAGTAATAAAATTTTGAAAAATATTTGTTTTAATGAAAATTTTGAAAACCGTTGCATAATTTATGTTTGTATGAAAGTAGTTTCCACTCGTGGCAATTCTCTGAGAAGGTGGATGATGATGACTGATGGAGGAGATGGATATCATGCTTATAAAATACAGAAAAAAATTTGCATTCAATGCCATGGGTGAATTTTTAACGGGTCTCTTCACTCGTTCCTTTGTCAATGGTTTGTCAGCACAAGTTGCACATTCAGGCCAATAATTTGACGATATGTTACATTGTTGCTGCATTACGAGAGAGATTCATGGGAGGTGATGATCTCAATCGAAACTGGGTTATTCTTAGGTGATTTTATGATGGCCAATAATATTTAATAGCAAATGTAACACATTGTAATAAATAAGTGACCTTTAAAGTTGTTCTAACGGAATACGGGGATATATGTAGGTTTGCTGTATATTACTGTGGTTGACGTAATAGATAATCCTGAGCCATGGCTTTATATACAACCTTTGAGTGTCATTTGGCTTTCCGGCTCATCACCAATTACAATATATTCATATTTAGGTATAATTAACATATTATTGAAACGAATAGTCTCAATGTACTAAATATTAATGTCAACAGATTTCATTTACCAGGAAACATTATACATATTCTAAACTGTACGCAGGGAATGGAAATTACGTTAATCATGATACGTTGATCATGCAGGAAAGTTTTCTTTCCTCAATGTACTCGTATTTTAAAATAGATCATGCAGCTTTTATAATGACATTATACGTTGACAATGAAAAATTAAGAAAAAATAAGATTTTGATCTTAAGGGAGTAGAAATTTTACTGACAGATTGAACACGGACATGTTTTAACGTATGATTAGCTTACCATTTTGTTGGCTTAAAAGCTTTAGCTATTGATAGTAATGATATTTATGCGACAAAAATAATGAAGAATATTTCGTTATACACATTTCCTGCAACAATAAATATTTTTAGCCCTTTTGCATAAAAAAGTAAAAAACTAATTTCCATAAAACACGTTCACATCATTAATATTAATCTGGTATCATAGCTGTAGTTTACTGCTTTGTATTGTAACAGGAAATTGTCAATAACCTTGTTGGAATTACTATTAAATGACCCCGAACATTTGTTATTTTCAGGAAGTTGTATTATAGACGGGTTGTGAACGTGGAAGGATATCGATTGTCAATGACGAAATAATAACCAGCTTGTATTTACATATAATCGAAAATAGACATTTCATCATTGCCGGTGGGAGAGAGATGTTAGCGATGTGGCGTAATCTAAAAATATTTTTGGACAATGCAAATCGTGACTTGAAGATTTAGAAGAATATGGAGTTTGAAATGCTTTTGATGCGTATTATGAAATCTGTACGTCTGGTACAATTGAAAGAAAAGTGCCGGAGAAAATCAATAATTTCTCTTGTGTCACAAATAGTATCCCAAGTTGGAAAAATGCGAAATAACGCAGACATTCCCAATATTTTAGAAGATTAATAATCATTCTTTGAGCACCTATTATTTATATTTGTTCGATAAATGTAAACTCATTTAAACGTATTTAAGTCGTAACATGTCATTAGAAATTAAATATTCATGTAATTGTAATTGGCTATTTTTATAGCTGCTTTGTATTAACCATTTTCTACAGTATTTTAAAAAACATATTATTACAAAAGCATTATTAAGCTAGAATTATAAATAGACCGTCAAAATTTTTCCATACAAATTTTATTTTCTGTTCTTGCAGGGTGAAATCTGTAACAGCATTATTGCGTATGATAAATATACGCTAAACATCTGAAAATTATAAGAAAACTATTACGTATTATTTGTTTTAAATAATTATTAACGTTTACTTCTTACCGATCCAATGAATGAAAACGACATTTTGACAAATTTCCCAGCATCTAGGCCCAAATCTGCCCGAAAAATGTGGCCTGACCATAGTCTTCCTTCAGTATTGTCACGATGGCATAATTCCAGCAATCGTGTCTTGAGCAAGATGGCCTACAAACATTTATTGCATTTTGAAATAAAATTTCTAGACAAGCTAAATAAAATATTAAAGTTTTTACTTTGTGATTGGCTTCCGCAGAAATTAGTATAATTGCTAAAAATTGTACAACTTTGATTAGAATGATAAACTGTATAGATAGTTGAGACGAGTCCCAAGCATTGATTACTCGCAGGACCATCAGAGGAACACTTGCGGATACGAGGCAGAGAAATATAGGGCGATTAACGTTATTAAGCAGATGAATCAGTCGCCTTAAATGAATAAATTTGTAGATAAGGCTCTGAAAATTAATAATATTATTTATGCCGTTTGCTTAATGATTGATTTATATTTTGTTAATTCACTACGACCAAACCTTTAAACTGTATTGGGTAGAAAAAGCATCCTTGTACAACTGTTTCACCTCCAAGTAGAAGGTTAATGACGCCAAAAACATCAGAACATGCGACATGCCCAGAATTACTTTTCCCCAAGTGCGGAGAGTCATGTAAATCACCGATACCGAGAAATACGATGGTGTAAAGTCTTTCTCTGAAATATGAGTATGATTTTTCACCAAACAGAGATCGAAGAGAACTTGGGCCGAAGAAAGGCGGAAGTTGGCCTCCAGCGTGGGTGGTCTCCTGTGGCCGTCAAAATTAAAGATTTGCAAGAGTTCTCCTCCAATCGGAAAGAGAAGGCCGAAACAGAAAATAATAGTCCACTTAAGGCTGCCGTGCACCTGTAATTTCAGGAAAGGAAGAGATAAATATTAGACAATAACTTGTGGCATGGCATGCTGAACGTATACCCAATATTCTCGGTTTCGTTCCTCCTCCTCCTCATCATTGTTGTGATTATGATAGTTTTCAACGTGCTCTGCAGCCCTCCTATTTTTCAAAAGGTAGTTCAGAATCTTTTCAAGTGCCAAATGTTTTCCCCTCCTCCAAAATGTCCACCCCCAGAGAATGAAAAGTATGAGCGAATTGTGTAGCGTTTTCCAAATAAGGAACAGGACCGAGGGTTGTTCCACGACTAATCCCCAGTATGCTCCACGAGTTAGAAAAATTCCTTGAAAAACATCCATTCCCAATATAACACCAGCAATTAGTCGCTGCACTGAGTGGCCTTGCACTAATTGGTAATGATGTACCACTTCCCCGTAACTGTTCTTCGTTTTCAGCAAATCGACCCGGAATGGGAGAATGGCCAAATAAAAATTAAGATTTATAAATTTGACATAAAACCGGTCCATAATACAATCTCTAATTGCAAACAATAGCAAAAATATTATGTTTGGCTTTTAATGTCGATGTTGACATCGACCGAATGGGTATTAAACTGGTGAAGATTTGAAGTTATTCAAGCATGCTCCGAAAACTAAGTAGGATTGAAATTGACATTTCATCAGTGGGGTTATATAAAGGAAAAGGTATTAACAGCTATTGTGTTCAACTGCCCTTTTGATAACCTTCAATAATCAGGAAATAACACCTTTCCTTCGTTTTATAAGATCGATATGCCACCAACAAGGTTAACTTAAATGAGGGACCTATTATAATAGAATACATTTGGGTAAGGTAAGGACATAAATTAGCATGATAATGTGTTTCTTGTGCTTAATGGAATGAAATAAGAAAGTGGAGGGTGTTGTCATTATTATTGGTGTGGAGTGCATATGGCGATGATAGATACGTATGTAGCATATTTGCGAACCACCCAATTTACCGATCGACGTAGACTCATCTCCGTGAAATTACTATGAAAGACAATTTTTCATAGCATGACATGAGAAATTGAGCAACTGGCAATTTGCCATGTTATTAAAAAACCTTCTTATAGACTACCGGAGAAGAATATTTGTATACGTAAATACATACATACATATGCATCTAACAAGTAAGTCTTACTTAGGATACATAACTGTAGTGAAAATGTCCTGAGCTCTTATCCAGCCATTTTGTCATGCATGTTAAAACATACTTGTTGCGCAAGCAAGTGTAAGAGACCATAGAGTTCCTTAGTTGGTAATATCTGGAATTTTCTGACAACTTGCATGAAGCTGTTCACACATACTTAAATACTATTGTTGGAATACACAATAAGGCACTTTCTCTAATAAATGGTTAATGCTGCAACCTGTCTATCACCTCCCCCATACATAACTTCTCAGGCGTGTCGAACTGCATCTCAATATTCACTACTTTTACAAATATTGCTCCTTAATAACCATTACTGAGAATGTGGCTGAAACAGTTTCCCAAGTTGAAAGAATCTGCAGAAATGCCAAACCCTACGTCACAGTTCATGGTTCCCCTACATCCTCAAATGAAACAGCTCAAAGAGTTTCAACAGAAGGGTCATAACGACTGTGACACCCTCGACGCCACTAAAGCAATCACCCTTTTCAGTTTAAAGCAAAACCAAATGTCAAAGTTTCAAGCGCATTCTTTGAAAATTTCCACTATCGCTGGTGTAGCACAACATGCGGTTGGAGAAAGCAATTCTGACAGCGACTTGGAGGCTGATGATGATAGCGAGCGTGAGAATGAAGGAAACGAGGATCGAGAAATTGCCAACCGATTTGAATTCTTGCTCAGGCTTTTTGTCAATTTGGGATACTACATTTGTCTTGTGCCATTTCGCCTTGTTCCGGTGACGCTGGATCACAAGGCATATTTTGAAATTCATCATAACACCCTTCAGAGAGTATGTGCTTAATAATATATGTATGTACACTCTCCCCAATACATATATGTACATGGGGGAATAATATTACATGTGTACTGCTGAATTTATAGTGAGATAATTTATTTTGCTTTTTTCTGCTATAGGTGATTAGCATGGCGCAATGTTGTACTGCATCGTTCGTATGTTTCTTGGTAGCATACGCACAGATTGGTGGTCAAAACATTGAGAACAACCCGTTAGTAATTTTTAACTTTTGGTCGTACGCTGTTTTTTGTGGTTGGTGTTTTCTCTTTATAAACATCTTTTGGAGAAAGGAACATCTCATTCTGGCCATTGTAAATCACGATCCACAAAATATGGGCAAAACGCCTGTGAATAATGCATCAATTGGCATGAGTAATCGGGTAAGAATGACCTATGCATATTATTAAATGTCTCATGTCTGCATATCTAAAGCATTACAGAGAAAATATATATGTAGATAAAAATGATGAGTAATTTTCCCGGTGATTTTTTAGGATGAATGGATTGCAACTATCTACTTTTTTGGAGTAGTCTTGGAAGAAATATATCACAAAACGGTTTTCTATCTATTTCCAAAAACATATGTCCTGCAAACAGCCGCAGAAGTGTACTCAGGAAAAGCGATGTACTCGCTCTTTGTTCGAAATAATAGCGATCCAATTCCCTGGGTGGAAATTACCCCCACCACATTTGGAATTTCACTTTGGCACTTTGTGGGCTGGCAAATTTTCGGAGCTATAAAATCCTTGGTGTACATCTTTGTCACGTTCCTCTCCCTCTTTCTAATGGGAAGAATTAATAAAGAGTTTAGGGCTCTGAAGAAGATCACTCTGGGCAAAAATCGTCACGGAGGAAGCTCGAGTTCAAAACAGGTGCGTATTTCTGTACATTATTCATGTATACATTTGTACATAGATTAGTATATAAATAAATTAGCATAATAATCTGCTCGTCTTTTTTAAGATTTGGACACATTTTGTAGAAGTGAGATCTACTCTTCGACAAGTTAATGAATTGACTGATCTCTGTGTGTTGGGAATTTACTTGATCCTTGTCCCATTTTTGTCATCTGCCTTCATCCAACGATGGGATTCAAAGTTCATAGAATACAAGGTTTTAATGATACTGCAGTTTGTTTGGCCGATGATCGCTTTGGTGATGGCAGCAGAAACTAGCAGACTTGTGGGTTAAGCAATTAAGAATAAATTCAGCAAAAAATTCGGTACACATCTTAACTCTGTCTTGTATTTCAGGGTGAAAAATTTCTTCGAGCTGTAAAGGATGGATTTGAAAATGTGCAACGCTCCAATGCTCCTGGAAGTCTGCAGAATAATTCTGCTTACTTTGTCTATGAAAATGCAAACTTCTCGATGAAAGGTGGCAAGTTTTTTAAGTTATCGTATGGTTTTATGGGGGCGACGTTTAGTGTGGTCATGACCTATGGGCTTGTAATTTTGGGGTTTCTGCATGATTCACATTCAAAGAAGCGAAAATGTTAAAAATTTGAAGTACTTAATTCATATAATGCATACAGATACGCTACATATGTACATATATTCAATTCAATTGACTCTGGTTCTTTATATGTATTACTCATTAATCAAGTAATTTTTAAATTCACATACAATATAAATACGCCCATACATACGGCATACATCGGTATGCAAATGCAATGCATTATGGAAATAGTTATGTTATTTCTATCATTATTTTTTCTTCTGTTTAGCATTACTTTCGCGAATGGTTTTTTCTAAAAAGTCCCACTCTTCATTTGTAGTATTAATGAACTGGTTGAATTCGCCAGCAGCAAAGGGTAACTCTCCTCCATCAAGTACTACGGTCTGTACATTAAAAAATAGTTAATTCAGTTTAAAATTCATCAAGTTATAATTATGTATTTGCTTCCGGTCATAATATACCTCGCCTGTCATCCACGATGCGTAATCACTCAGCATAAAACTCGCCAGATTTGCAATTTCTTCTACTTCGCCAAGTCGCCCGATTGGCAGTTTATCAAGCATATTATTTGTAAATCTAATAAGATTCACAACAATTAAATAAACTTTAATAGTAAATCTTTGCGCGTAACAAGTTACTTGCACCAATTTACCTTCCAGTTGGATCTAGTCGACTGAAAGCCCCCTCCGTTTGGATAGGTCCTGGTGCAATGCAGTTTAGTCTGATTCCGTATCGACCCCACTCACTTGCTAAGGACCTACATATTTACATATGTATCACATATATTTTACAAATATGCGCTAGTATTTAACACTGACGAATAGAAATACCAGTGTCACCTGTTCATATTTTCCACACCAGATTTAGCTGCGGCACTGGATGCCACAAATCCAGAGCCCCTGAATGTGTACGTAGTCGTGATTGCAAGGAACGATCCTCCTTGTCCAGCCTTAATTAGTCTTTTCCCCAAATCCAGGGTAATATTTGCTGAACCATTTAAAACGATATCGACAATGGTTTTCCATGCATTTGGAGACAGGCGTTCTGCAGGAGAGACAAAGTTTCCAGCCGCGTTGTTAATTACTACGGTTGGAAGACCAATATCGGACTCGATTTTGTCGATTGTAGTCTTGACCGCATCCGAGTCCCTTACATCGCAACTCAAAGCAAGGACGCGGTTACCAGTGGATGACGAAAGCTCGGAGGCAGTTTTCTCGAGAACATTAGCACGTCTGGTAATTAATTACATGCACAATTTTAACAAAATTTTAACAAAAATTTATTCTGGATAATTGTGAATGACTTGGTAATAAATACCTTCCCAAAATTGCTACTGAAGCGCCCAGTGAAGATAACATTAACGCCATTCCCTTCCCAAGACCTAGCGTGGAAGGAGAAATGATTTAAGAATGTTATGTAAAGTAAGCTATATTTTAAGTATTTGTTTAAAAATTTGACCTTACCAGTTCCACCTCCAGTTACCAAAGCCACTTTCCCTTTGAAAGTCCCCTTCGGTAGCATAGGTGTTTTCATGGCTGGGAAGAATTTAGATTGTGGTTTGCTAGGAATGGATGACATTTTTGGATAGTTTATTAGTACTCAATAAACAAGAAGTTTGTATTTTAAGCATTCAATTGTTGGACAACTTTGAATTATTGTAACACTCAAAATAAATTAGACTTCAAGACTTCAACTATATTTATGTAAAACCGGTACAATTTACCAAATATTACTATTACTCAATCTTTCTTGATGTACATACATAAACACATTACAGTATTATACCATAACGCAGAATGCCATAGCAGGATAGCTCGGTTATGTACATACACATATGTGCATAATAACATTAGAGAGAAGCAGAAAATGTTACATTTATTTACATATACGCATTATGTTTGTTATGTTCCAAGTCTAAAGGGTGAAGGTTAACTGGAACCCGACACGAGTTTTGTTACGTCAATCGGCGTGCATGGCTAACTCCTCAGTTTCGTAAAATGCAATGAAACTCTCATGAAATTATGTACGATGTGCGATAAAATTATGTGCGTTCAATGGATTTGATTGTTCATTGTAAAGAGCATAAATTAATTATAAAATGAAGTTAAAATTTTGAATTTCAGCAATGCTAACAATTATTTGAGCAACAAATTGTAATTTATGAGAGCATGAATTGTAGAGGTTACAGACTGTCAAGTTTTTTTAGTAAAATGAAATCCGGAATTGTACTCTATTTATGGGTATCTTATAAATACGAACGAAAAACGGAATAAATTGCAACATGGCCTTAAAGCCAATCACAATTATGATACTGCATATTGTTCAAGTGTCAAATATTATCAAGATTTCAGTGAGATTATCGTTCAAATTGTATGCATAATGTTCGTGATGCATCTTCCGCCGTCATTATAAAAGTACGTGTGAAAGATAAGATATGTTTTGTTATCTATTATGCAAACACAAATTATCTGTCCAGTGTATGATGAATGACACTTAATATCTTTTGCAAAAACGTATTTTGCAGTTTTACAGATTCATGAACATTCAATTATTTGTGCATCGTTGACGTTAACAATTACTTTGATATTTTAAATATTTTAATACCAAACATGAAGGAAAAGACTTATTGTTGTGGTTGTTGTCCGGCTTCGAATAGCGGCAACAAGACATCATCAGTGAAATCTAACAATGGTCAAGCAACTAACAGGGAACAGCAGCAAAATGTAATTCAGATGCAACCACTTCCAATTCAAAATCAAACCAACTTGGAAACTCAACAAATATATTATTGGGAAGGTTTTCGATCGAAAGGGGAAGAAATACGCCCAGAAACACTGAAGATTTCTGTTCCGACTCAAATAAAACAAAGTATGCTCAATCTCCCATATTCAAAAGTGACATAAATAAAGTATTTATAACATGATGTACTAAAGAAAAATTCTGTTTTGTCAACTATAATAGTTTCTGCTACAGAGACTGAGCTACTTTTCCTGCTTGAAGATGGTTCTCTTTGGTCTTTTGACAAGACGGATGGTAACCCTGCATATTACGCTTTTATTAAAACTATATCGGCTATTTTTTTAAATTAAGGGATCCGTTTATCATCATCTACGATAAAGCCAACCGATCAGGGATTCTCGAAATCGTTGAAAATTGAGTATATCGCTTGTGGTAAGTATCACAGCTTGGCTTTAGACATTAATGGTAACCTGTATTCATGGGGGTTCAACCATTTTGGTCAACTCGGACTGAGCTTAAGTCACGAAGATTGTGAGGTTGTCAAGTATCCTCAACTTGTAAAATCTATGGCGTCAAAGGTAAATAAGGATTGTGCTGGTTTAGAATAATCTCCTAAGCAAATTTTAATGCATACAGTTGTGCACAGGTTGTCATTCAAATTGCTGCTGGAGAAAACCATTCTGTTGCACTGACAGAAAATGGAAGTTTGTATTGTTGTGGTTCCAATTCGTGTAAGTACAATTCAGAAAAAGTAATCCATATTTTGAAATTATTCTACAAATTGCTCTTCTACACTTTTATTATTTAGCACAGCAACTTGGAATCAGTGAATCTATAAGATATAGCACAATCTTTATGGAGATAGTGGCAATTTCAGGTCTACCCTGGGGGTTTATCGCAGCAGGTATGTACACATACACACTATTGTTAAAATCATTGTAAATCATGGAAAAAATGCACTACAAATTGAAATTTTATATTCATTGAAGGTGGTAATCAAACCTTTGGGTTGACAATACATAACTCAGTCTTTGGTTGGGGAGACCAATCGAAAAACCAATCCGGAATGACATACAATTTTGAAGAAGAGATCCCCACCAGTATCGGACCATCTGAAGCTGTAGTTTTTGATGACGGAACTCTCTATATTGCTCCTGGAAAATGGCACACTGTTTTTATCGGCAAAGTAAATGATCGCTCGAACCATTCAAGATATTCTTGTATGTAACGCATAATCCAATTCAGGGGGAATCGGCCCGTGTGTATGGCAGCAATCGATTTAATCAAATTGGCCCATCGTTCAATGAAGGGCTTGTAACTCAGATTGCTACAGGAGACTACCATACCGTGATGGTTGGTAATGGGAACCTTTATGTTTATGGCCCAGAAACTAATGAAACGGAAGAAGATATTGACATACCAAACCAGCCAGCACCAATACCAGTAAGAAAAATATGTACGACTCCAATGGCATTATTGCTGTGTTTCTATCCTTTAAATTTCAAAATATGTATCAGATCACCCTTCCAGTCAGTATGTACAATGTGTTTGCAAGTGGAAATGGGACTTTTGTGGTTCCCTTGACCGATGCAGCAACTCAAAATAACATTCGACACGACATGGCAAAAAGACGGCAAATGTTCAAGCTTACCAACGAAAGCCTAACTTCATTTTTAAGATTGCAACCGGACGATGAATTCATGGACGCAGGATTGGAGAAAAGATGGCTACGTTTGTTTCAAGTCTCCATTTGGAACGCTTCGTTTTCGTGAGACGAAATAAATATTAACATGTATTTCTTTATTCAAATGGATTATCGAAATTTTACTTAATTTTACAGAAGTTGTCAGAAGAGTGGGCTTGCAGCAGCAGCAACTCCTTTGGGCGAATCGTATTTCGGATATAAAATTGATTTTGTAATGGCAGAAACTTTCATTCAGAAGATCTGGAGCTGCAGGGCTCGCAAACTGCACGCAATTTTCGTCTCATATCTCGATAGTTTAATGGATGCTAATTCTTCAGTGCAATGCGGTGCAAGACACGAAGAAATTTGTCCAGCATTCTCCTACATCCCGCTAATTATTTTCAATAGTCCTAAAATTAACGTAAACGTTGACGTTGCCGTTGATACCCCACCCCTTCAAAATGCGTTTGTTCGCTTTCTCAGAGACTTTCTCCTTCAGAGTTACTCTCCTGTTAATGAACCAAAATATCTGAAAAAGTTTGCAGCATTTTTATTCAAAAATGAAAACCTTAAAGACAATTTCACTACGAATATTATAACGCTGATTTATCACGGCTACTCATTCGATCAGCTGCAACGCTTAGTGACTGCTTACAAAAAGGTGGTTGTGAGCACTATTACCGTCTTTCGAGATGAGGGGAGTAGCCTTGATGCCGCGTTGGTGGTATGCGTGCTTAAATAACTTCTTTCAAAAATGCTATTCAAAAAAACATTAAAAATATGTATTTTGCGCAGGCCATTCAAGACTGTCTAAAATTTCTCAACTCTTTAGCTGTAAGAAACAAGCAATATAAACGAATCAGTCGACATTGTTTTATAATCCCGCAGTTGCAAAATCTGGCAAGTTTTATTTCTTTTACTGCACAAATAATTGAAACTAAAATTTGAAAATGAGACTAAAAATAATATAAATATGTATGCATCTGTTTAAATATTTTAGATTGATCTTAATGCTGAATTTTCTGAATGGATGCAAAACAAAACATTTCCAATTGCTCCAGCGAGCTCAAGACAAGTTTACTTGTGCGATTTTCCATTTATATTTGATGGATCTGCAAAAGCAATACTTTTACGAGTATGCATGTATACATACTTGTATGCTCTAATGTATTAAGATTTCTAAAATACATACTCTAAAAAAATCAATTTTTCAAAATAGTGTGAACAAAAACTTCAAATGATTGGAGCAAGCATTCTCTCTCGGATCATTGAACCTCCAGAGTTGCAAGGATTTGTACTAGTCGTTCATCGAGAAAGGCTTTTGGAGGACGTACTTCGACAAATATTTTTGTTTGGTCCCTTTGACTTTAAGAAACCGTTAAGAGTAGGCATTATACATACGTATTTATGTAACAAGACCAAATCAGGTGCTGCAAATAATTATAAAAATCCATATAGATTCATTTTGCTGGAGAAGAAGGCCAAGATGCTGGTGGAGTACGAAAAGAATTTTTCCTTTTACTAATTCGAGAACTCTTGGATTTCTGCGCTGATCGAGGACTTTTAAAGCTCAACGATGAAAGTCATCTTGTTTGGTTTAACGAGTATAACGGGAGTGCAGAAGAAGTCAAGTTTCTCATGGTTTTTGGAGTTTTAGCTGGATTAGCGATTTATAACAATACCATCATCAAACTACCGTTTCCTGCTGCCCTGTACAAGAAATTGTTGGGAGAGTCGTCCGACATTGAGGATTTAGTAGAATTGTCACCCACAGAAGGAAATTCGCTGAAACAAGTTTTAGAATATAAGTATGCAAATCTAGTTTTTAATTACAACCAAAACTTTTCATATAATTAGTACTATAATTTCTATGCAAAGTTTCGGTTAATTTAACGTCGTACTAAAAAATATGTCCAACAGGAATCCCGACCTTGAGCAAGTTTTCAGTCTCACCTTTGAGATTTCGAAAGATGAGCTTGGAGTCGCTAAAAACAAGCAACTAAAACCAAATGGGAAAAATATTCCAGTGACGCTGGAAAACAGTCAAGAATTCGTGGAATTGTATGTAGACAACGTTTTTAACAAAAGCGTTGAAACTGCATTCACAGCATTCAAGAACGGATTTGAATTGGTCTTCAATGAAAGTTTTGCAATCAAATTGTTTGATTGTGAGGAACTAAAAGAAATTGTAGGGACTTATAAAAAAATATTAATTTCATGTTAAGCTCATTCATATGTATATTTGTGAATACTTTATATAACTTACGAAATATTACATATGAATGCAGATAATTGGAAACGAAGACTACGATTGGGGACGCCTCGAGGTGGACTGTGTTTACAAAGGAGAATTTCATAAAGGTCATCAAACGATATGCTTTTTTTGGGAAATATTTCACGAGCTTGATCTCGAACTGAAGAAGCAGTTTCTTTTATTCTTGACCGGAAGCGACCGTGTACCAATTTCAGGGATGAGTGGAATCAAAGTACAATAATAATCTTACATATTTAATAGCATGAATCCCACGAATGAATAATTGATGCTTCTAAATATGTGTAGATATGCATTCAGTCCTTACCTGACGAGTCATATTTTCCAGTTGCCCACACCTGTTTTAACCTCCTTGACATGCCAATCTATCAATCAAAAGAAATTTTAAAGCAAAAACTTTTGACAGCAATTGAGCACAAGGAAGGATTTTATATAGCTTGAGCTTTATTCGGTTTTATACTTAATTATGTATGTTCGAGTTGCATTAAAGTACGCTTTTCAGAAAACTGATTACTAGTGCTGACTTGATTTCTTTTCAGTTTAAAATTACTGTCCCCTGTTGCCGATGAACATAGCTGGACTTTGAAATGACATGAAATGACATCATCTAAATTCGAAAAAAATGTCACACACCTGCACATTATCAATTGCCATCCATGACCCATGGCCCATGCACGCGCGTAGACTTGGCACTTGGCACTTGCCCTTGCTTTAGTGAAATACTTGCAGTAACGCTGTTGTGGTTTAGGATAAAACGAGAATTTCATTGTATTCTACTGCGTATTATGCCTCCACATATCTTGTAACGTGGTTATGTCACATACCAAAACTGTTTCACAATCTGTACCATCAATTACTTGACAATATATAAAAAGGGAACTGGAATTTTACACTTTTGTCGGAGTGGAAGCCGAGACAGACTTGGATTCGGGTAATTAACCGTCTCGGCTGGACGGAAACAAATTGGCTCTGCTCTCTCGGTGTTAAATGACTTGGCAATGAGACTATATAGTAGTTGGCCGATAAAAGAATGGTATGTGATGTGTGCGATAAATGGAATTTGCTTAACTGGCAAGTATGTACGTACTTGTACGGTGATAATAGTTCGGTGTTGTGGGGGGCCATCGCTGTGTGGGATGTGTAGGTGTGTGGAGAGGTAGTGAAGGTCAAAGAATATGAGGTTATTTTGGATGCACATTTTTTAAGAAAGATTTTTATGAGCGATGAAAAACACCCAAAAGAAATACCGACTTTATACAAATTGACACTTGGCTCATTTTTTTGTCATGGAGCGAAAGACAATTACACGATCTTATTTTCTCCTCCGATCCCAGCTCGAAAGACGCCTTGCGACATAACATAACGACAACACTTGTCACCCACTAGTCATCCTGTCACTCGAGCAATTACTCAAGTCATCGGACGACTTAGCTTTTCTGCAAAGTATCACCAAGAGTATTTTTTCAAAAAATGATGCATTCATTAATAATCCGTTGTTTGAAAAGCACATCGTAATTCAGCATTAACCATCTTTTGTGTGACACAGTGCTTTTTTAAAAGGGTTCTAAAATTAGGCCGTGTATTACCGTTGTACAACAAGTTAAATAGTTTATGGGCTAGGGTTCAGCTGTTTAGACATAGTTTGAAACTTTAAGTTTATGTTTATGGTGGTGCCTGTCTCCACATTTTTTGCATTGTCTGCCAGTCTGCCACAACAAAATTTGTCATCTCAATTCATTATTTTCTTCGGCTGAGAATATGCACAAAGATCTAGAGTTAAGCTAAAAATACATGGACAACAAAACCTGAAGAAAGTTTATGCGTAAAAAGATTGTGGAAATGGGTTTTTATTTTCATTCATGTGATAGTTTAAAATAATTTACATTATTACAATGCTACTTGTGCGGAATGAGCTATGCCTATTTTAGTACATTGTGAGATAAAAATAAATTATAACTTGTAAGCATACGTTTAGCAGTATGAAGTATAAAAGAAACCCAAAAAAGGAAAGCTTAGATGAGGCTAAGAAGTGCGATAAAAGTATTTAATAAATTTCTTCTCCAGTCAAGGATATAGAATTTTAATATTTCCGGCATCAGCGCCCCATTTCAATTTAAGCTGACTAAATTGCATAAGCAACATGTTTATGTATACATATTACTAAGAGTCGACTCTATTAGGTCAGACCTGTATATTTATCAACTTTCTGTATATTTGCAAGCATTCATAATTTTTTAGATTTGATGCATATTTGTTTGTATATGGTAGTGAAATGGGGCGCTGATGCTGGAAATATTAAAATTCTATATCCTTGACTGGAGAAGAAATTTATTAAATACTTTTATCGCACTTCTTAGCCTCATCTAAGCTTTCCTTTTTTGGGTTTCTTTTATTTATTAGTTTTTATTTGTATTGAAAAGTAAGGCCAAAGGTCCCATGAACTCCCAAAAATGTCCCAAAAATCCGACTGGGTACATTTCCGAGAACTTTTTCCCAAACAACGATGAAATTCAGAGACTTCATCATTCATCATTTTTCAAGAGACCCAAGCGTAGCCTAGATACTAAATTTCAAGCAATCGTGTTCTGAATTGAAAAGTTGCTGGGCCGACCTTAGCAACTCACCTTTGGGCGGTGGTGGGAGCGGTCACATTTCACCACCATCAAAACTTTCTCAGTTTTAAACCGATTTGGAAAATTTTAATTTTGTATTTTTATAGAAAAAATGTATCAGCTTTTTATCCGTGTACTTTTTTCATACATGCCTTAAATTTTTTCAAATCTCCAAAAAACACACTATTGGTTGGGTTTCTATTGAATATCTCATAAACCGTTGGATGCTTCAGGCGGCCAAATCAGGGCTCTACTCGATGTAGCCATAATTAACTCTGGGCAAAATTTCATTAAAATCGGTTGGAAATCAACGGAGATCTGAAAAAATTAAGCTTTTCAGACCTGTAGTGAATGCTTACTTAGATGATTTTTTTCGATATAGTAACTATGGCCTCATCTAAGAAAAATGAGAATATGTACATATACATGTAATCGATATATATAAAGTGGCTTAATCAAACTTGGCTACAATTTTGCATTCCACATAAATAATAAGATGGAATTTGAAAAAGAAGATTCTCTGGATAATCTCAACTTCAATTCATAAAACAAACAAGTATTTTCGACAAGAATGTCTTTGGCAAATTGTCATCTTACGGTATCATTCATGGGAATAAATAGTTAACACCAAGAAAACGTACGGATTATATTTATCTGAATGGCCCTACAGCAAACCTATTTATGTAGATTAGATTGTAATCTTATCTGCTGATTTTTTATTGCGTGGTTTTTAAGGTAAATAATTACACTTTAGTATAAAATGGGTTCAACCAACCGAATATTATTGTCCGATACCGATACCACCAAAAGATTAATGTGTTAAGTAAGATACATATATGCATGAGTTTGGTATGACTCATGCATGTACATACTTATAGCAATTGCAAATATGTATGAATTAATATCCCATTCAACAATCGACAGAATGTGATTTTGCAGAAGAACAGCACATTGCCAATGTCTGCATGTTAATCTAGACTTATGTGCATAATTTTCAAAGATAAGTTCTAGAAAAGCAAGGTGAATATTTTTTAAGTGTTCCAGAATTACACATCAACGCATTGGCATTGAATGTCATAAATTATGCTACAAATAAAATATGCATAAATAATTCTCTCAACGTTTAGCTTTTTTGCGTTATTCATCATAAATGTTCTAAAGAAATTGAACCCCCGACCAGAATCATAGCCTTTTTTTGGAAGTATAAAGCATGCAAAATTGTTATGAATAATGAGTCCACCGGTTGAATCATAATTCACTCTCCGACAGGAAAGATAATTTGATCCAGTCCGCCACCATTAACGACGGCGTCTTCTTCATCTGCAGTGACTAACAAAATATATGTGTCTCTAGATGGATTCTGAACATCTTTCTGTGCATCTTTTTTGAAACAGAGACCTTGATCGTTACAATTTTATATACTCGCATACAAATTAAACAGCCGCCGTATATAAATATATGCATATCCAGATATATTAATTATTATGGGGGACTATACGTATGTATCAAAGTTTTATACTGAAACTACCTTTAAAATCAGAAAGCAAAGGTCATATCGTACATTTTCATACTGCATGGAAAGCAGAAGAGTACTGTCTCATGAAGATTCTTTGACAACACGAACTTGGTTGTGAATGCCAATTAATGCTCAACCAAAGTGATAGTAATTGGACGAGATTAGCTGATTCGGCGTTCTTTCATTTATTTATACGTGTGCGACTCCCGTTTTATTTGTGTATGACTTTCTTCTATATGAACACCTTCTTCTCTTCTTCTTTACCGATTAATTTATGAGGGACAAAAATCTGTGTATAAAAGGATGAGACCAGTTCAAATTATTCAGTCTTATTTCATTCACTCATCAAAATACTTGATATAAATTGCGTACTAGTTTCGAGAGCAATTTGGATAAAGTCTTGAAGGATATTTTTATACCGAGTTAAAATTATAGTAGAGTATTAAAAACACCAACCTGTTCTGATTTACCAAACGATTTTGTGTTGTTATTTTCAAATTCTTCAAATAAAAATGGTAAGTCGGCTGTGCACCACGCATAGAAATTATTGTCTTAATATGTATTCAGTGAAACTTATTACCTTTTGTGAATAATCAATGACTTTTCTCTCAGGAGGAAAAAATGCGACGCGAATCGAAACAATATGTAGAGAAATTATTTAAGCAGTTTGACAAAATTGGAGCCGGAGCAATTTACAAATCCGATATGAAGAAATTGGTAGAAACTGTTGTACCAGAAACACTTGGTGACCCAGAGTTGGAAGCTTTGTTGTTGCAGCATGTCAAAAGTGAGTTATCGAATCTGGCAATTCTGACAATTTAATCGAAATACTTTGTGAGCATTTAACTCATTATCTCATTTCCTGAAACTTTAAGGAAATAAACACACCGTTCTCAATACCAAGACGAGGCAGATGGAGATTGAATACAGTAAGTCGTCTCACTTTGCCTCATGAAAAATTATGTTTAAAAATTGGTCAGATTGCTTGCGATGTAATTAATTTCACTATTTTATGCCTTTAGTGGATGACACAATAGACTTCCCCTCCTGCATGGCAATTGCGGTCCATTTTCTCACAAAAATCGAACGGAAACAATCCAATGCATTTGCAGGACAAGGGCTTATTCGTTTCTCTGACTTTGATAGAAGACCATCCATGCTGGTCGACCCCAATGTTCTCCAAAAGAGACGTCTTTTCTAATTTATATTTTTGCCAGAAGAGGATGAATTATAGCCGTTTATATAATACGTAAATGGAATAAATTAAAAGCGAAAATTATTTATTTAAATTATTGGATTGTTTGACAAGTTTTTAGTCCACTATTAATGTTGGAGAAAACTATGAAATGAGAGTACAACGTACACACAGATATATATCCTTCCTATCTATGCACATACATTCGAAAAATTATGCAAAATATTTACATACACACCAGTGCTATATGCTTATTCGCATACATATTTTACGTTATCTATGAAAGCGAAGCCTCCTGCATATCTATGTACATGCTGGGGTACAGAAAGTCATCTTGCCTCAACTCGAGTCTCCAATTTGATGACAAAATTAATTAATTCAAAGGCACGAAGTATAACATCGGTAGATTATACACGTCTATAATTATATGGTCTGGCTGGAGTCAAAAGTAGCAACTGCTGAACTTGTAATAAGATTGTCCGGATCTGATCTCGGCGAAAATTTCTGATGATAGACATCATGTCAGGAACGAATTGGTTTTATACGGTTTAATCTCTCGCGCACCAAGGATGGAAAATTATGGTAATTACGGTCAATTATCGCTAGTCATATCATTATTGTACGATTTGTACATACATGCACATTATGTTTATTGGTTGGTGTAACTTGAAGGTCATTCCTTGTGCGAAAATGTTTTTGAGACGACTTGTGGCAGGGTAAGCATCCGATAATGCGGTTTTGCTGTTAATATACTATCTACATATATACAACATACGTGTGCAAATTATCAATATTTTGCACTTGAAACTGCGGTAGACGAAATAAATCAAACGTATATAATTTGATTTTCGTCCTTGTTGTATACAAACATATCACTTATGCACGTATGTACATACATACATTACACTTGCATGCAATTCAGTTCCATTTCCATTCAACCATTAGTATCAAACTGACACTTCATCACTCCAGACTTGACAAGAACTTGAGTTCAAAATCTACAAAATGGACAACATTAAGTACAATGGGAGCTGTCACTGTGGTCAAGTACAATGGGAAGTACTTGCGCCGAGAACTTTGAATGCAATTGACTGCAAGTGAGTTAACAACGTATTAATTTTTATTTAATAAAATTGACTGCCTGTGTAGAGCTAAATATGATCTTAAATTTTACATTCTACACGTATAGCTGTACAATTTGTATCAAGAAACAGAATAAACATGTGATTGTACCTTCGGCACAATTTAAACTTCTCAGTGGTCAAACAGGATTATCTACGTACACATTTAATACACATCAAGCCAAGCATATGGTAAAAAATTGTTTACTATTTATTAATGAACTCCATTAAATTAAGAAAAAAATTATGTATGAATCCAATTGATAGTTTTGCAACAAGTGTGGCGTGCAGAGTTTTTACATACCGAGAAGTAACCCGGATGGAATTGGTATTGCATGACATTCTTATGAACATCGTATTAAGATTAAAAGTGAATACATTCCAATTTTTTACAGGTTTCATGCCGCATTGTATTGATCGACCCCAACCAAAAGTAGTTGTTGAAAATTTTGATGGAAACAAATGGGAGGAATCAATGGAAATGAAGGGTGCTGATATCTCAAAGAGGTCCAAGCAATGAAATCCCAAATTTATAGCCACATTCATGTTAGAATTGAAACATAAATATGCAAATATTTATTTAAATAGTGGCGTTATGTTTCACATATTTGAAACATAATTTGCACCAGTCATGTCTCGTTAATATAAATAGATCTATGCAATTCACCAGAATAAAATGCATAAGAAATGTATGGGATAAATCAGGACAAGTAAATGTATTACTATGCATTGCATGTAATCTCCCATGGTTTATCAATAAGAAAAATGTGTAGACTGGTGGTTCCAAAAGCATCATTTACTTCCTGAATGCATGGTGGAGTTCTCGAACGCCCGATAATGGCCTAAATCGTCAATAATTAGTTACGCATTTAAATAATAAATAAGCTACATACAATTTGTACATATTACTACTTTTTAACTCACGTAAATTCTGGCTGTTTGTGGACGTTCAAATCTGGGGGAAGACGTGGTAGAGAAAACTTGAAAAACAAAGCCCAGCATTTCGCCGTCCAATGTGAAAAGAATTTGTGCTGGTAAGATTTCTCTGCAGTTAGTTTGCTGCCATTCTTCAACTTTCCAAAAGTTGTGGAGTCCCATGCCAGGAAAACATTCGCAGTTTGACCATCCCTCAGAACTGGCTCTGGATCGATAATTAGAAACACTCTTCAAGTAACGTGACGTTGGACCGTTTTGGAACCACAAACCAGTCCCGGTGCCTCTCAGCAGGAGGTCAGACTCTGTTCGACCAGTCGTGCAAATCGAAGCTGCATTAAAAAACAAACATTAAAATTATGATTGTATAGGTCCATGAATTAATATTAATTAATTAATTACCTGGGTCCACCATATAAGCCGTTAGTACAATGTTTGGTTTCCCTCCCACTGTTTCGTTCTGAAACATTGTTTCTAAATCGTATCGAAATCCGTATGCTGGATGGATAATTTCTTCATGAGGCATCTAAAATAATGGACAAAAGTATTAATTTGTTTGTTAATTTATTAGTCTGATAATTTTACTAGCTAGAATAATTTATTTACCAATGCTTGAATCCCAGCAATAACACCATTCTTGTCAAATAGCAGATAAATGGCATCGTCATTTAATTTATAGCGGAATCCAGAAAATTTTCCGTCATTTTCACACGTAGTGCTGACACTTGTCCATCCTTGGGCTAAGGCGTCTCTTAGGAGTCGGGGTTGTCGGACAAAGTGTTGGTCAGATGGACGCTTAAAATGCATGCAATTATTTATTTTCAATATGAACATTGGTTGAATTGTTACGAAAAATAATTGTTAGCATACCTGTCCAAATTTCACTAAAAACAGATTATACGGTCATTAGCAAGATGTAAATTGAAGACAGTTTTATACATTACAGATAAATGACAGATTGAATAATAAAATCATTCATACCTCTAAGGTCATCCCAGAAAACACAAGATATCTCTATAATTTTTATGTGAGGAGAATTATAACTTGTCAATTGAGAAATGCGTTTTGTCTTAAATGTCTAAAATTACCTGTTACAAAGGCTGCAATAAGGATTAATGCAACAGACTTATTCATGGTAGTTTTTGTTCTTATGCTCAACCAGTTAGTCGTTTTACTTCCAGCAATAAACTTTCTGTCTGTCATAATATCCTAACATCCCATTTTATAGGAAAAGCACCAATTTTTGTTGTTTTAATTTCTTTCAATTTTTAGTAGCACAAGCTGAAGCAAGCATGAAGCTGAGCACACAATTTTATTTGTAATCAGTATCAGTCATCATGACTTGTTACGCATGTATTTAGATTATGTTTTAACAACATGTCAAGATCTGAACTTAAAATATGCAACTCATCAAAAGCACTGTGGGAAACAAAAATATTTTCTAACCTTTATCGTAAATTCTTAAATTATAATCTAACGCAAATACTCGTGATTACACATTACACATTATCTTTTCTCTTATTTAAACTAATTTGAAAATCTGGGAATTCTAGACTAGAATGATAAGCCTAGTATTTCTCATTTAATTCTTATTTAAATTATAAATTGATAATGTTCAGCACTGCACTGCACACTGTCGAAAAGTCCATAAATTAGAAGGAAACTTTCAACTTTACGCAAGCTAATCTCTTCGCATGCATCCGGCTCATGAAATGCTTGGCTTCAAGCATTCACAAATGTATGTACCTATGTCAATAAATGTTCCCCTTTTTATTCCTGTCATCCCGAATCTACAGCTGATTTTGTTTCGTGTCTTATTTGTTTCTGACTAAATTTTTGATAGCCGACTTTCCGCCCACTTCTAAAATAATTATAAAAATTTATACGCACGTTTGAGTAGAATTCATGCAAAGAACATAGATACATATACATAGAGTACATATACCAGAGCAATATTGATCCAAGGTTTACAATATGGTCAGTAGTTGGAAACTTTTGTACAGTAACAAATAACAATAATTTTCAAAACATTTTGTTTACTACCATCTAATTTCAGAGTTGGCGAAAATTAGGAGGACACTTCTCTCTGTTCACAGCCGCGGTGGCAGTGGGTGGGATGGCGACAACGACATCATTTGCATATAAGTCTAGAAGGGATGTCGTCGTCACTGCGGCTGTGATCCCCCAAATGTCGCGAGAAGAGAGGCTTCGTACTAGCATCGAGCGAGCGGTGACCCACTGCGATGATGTCCAGCGTCATTTGGGGCTTCCTGGTCTCTCAGTAGCTGTGGCCGTTGATGGGAACATTGTGTTTCGACAAGGTGTTATGCATGCCATATCATCACTTGAATATGGATTAACGAGTCGTAACAACGGATATAAGTTATTATTATGTATTAAGGTATGGGATATGCCGATGTTGAAAATAAGATACCCATGCGACCTGACACCGTCCTTCGAATCGCCAGCATATCGAAATCAAGTGGGTCAGTTTAAGTTTGCTGAAAATCGGTATAGCAAAAAGGAACTTATTTTTAACTTTCAGTTACGATGGCCATGCTGGCGAAGCAGATGGAGGACGGAAAGGTCGACATTGACCTTCCCGTCCAAACGTATTTGCCAGACTTTCCAAAAAAGAAGTGGGAGGGGTCCGATGTGACCATAACTGTCAGACATCTCTTGTCGCACATTTCAGGCATAAGGCACTACAGGAAGAAGGAGGATATAGAGAAAAAGAAGAAATCAACATCAGACTCGGATTTTAAAGAGTTCTTTTGTCAAGAAGGCTGTGAGAGCGTAACAAAAGCTTTAGAGATTTTTCAGAACGATGAGCTTATTTATAAACCAGGTGACACCATCATAACAATAAATGTTCGATTTATTTACTTGAATTAAATTTTTTGGATACCTTTGGATTTGATTAAATTCCTTTACTAGGGACCACATACTATTACACTACGCATGGTTGGACCGTTGTTTCTGCTGTGATAGAAAAAATTACCAAAACTCCGTTTGATAAACATGCCAAAAGAATGTTTCAAATTTGGGGTCTTCAAAACACTTATATGGACGAGCATAACCCCATAATTACAAATCGGGGAAGGTATAAACTTTGGAGAGTGCGTTTTCCTCTTAGAGTATCTAATAATAATAACATAATACTATTATTATTAAATACTCTAAGGTTTTCCTATAAGTACATAAATTTCCAATTCTGTTGATTTTCCTGCTGGCAGATATTATAGGAGAGATAAAGAAAGCGAACTGATAAATGCTCCTTGGGTGGATAATTCTTGCAAGTGGGCAGGTGGAGGGTTCCTATCGACGGTGGACGACTTGGTTAAATTTTCGCACATAATGTTGTACTCCGCTCAACAACCTTTGAATTCTAATGGCGATAAAATGACTAAAGCATTTCTGAAACGGGAAACTATTCAGGTATGTACGGAAGTAAACAGTAATAAATAATTAACCATTTCTTGAAAATAATTAATATTCGTCACTTCATGATGAATCATATTTCAGAAATTGTGGACGGGGGACAAAGCAACTGCTGCTCCGTGCTGGGACAGTCTTTACGCCTTAGGCTGGGTCGTTGGCGACCCGTTTTCTCACTGCGTGGGGTGCAACTCGAGGGAGGAGAAGGTGGTGTGGCACAGCGGGGGCGCCGTGGGTGCGTCCTCCATCCTCCTCATTCAATTCCCACCCAAGTCAGATAGTTCATCGAGTGAGAAAAATACTGACACGAGTAACGTCGAATGTGTAAGTGACCAGCACCAGAAGATGAACGATGGCAAAGTGAGGGGCATTGTAGTAGCAATGATAACAAATCTTCAAAACGCAAGTTTAACCCCAACTGCTGAAAAATTGACACAAGAGTTTGCTTGGATGATGGATTCTTGATTCAATTCTATAATATTTATGATATTTTTCGTAAGGTAAATTTCAGAAAAACATTCCAATTTGTATCAATATTTATTTGGGTAGTCCCAATTTTATTGTGGTAATGAAACCTTGTTAATGAATTGTGAAGGTTGAGCTAATAAATAATTGTAACGAAACTCGCGAGTTCTTTCGGGATTTATTTTACACACTTGTTTGCAGAAGTATTTAGCAGTAGTGGTCAAGATGATGTTGAATGTTACATTTGGAGATTACAAAAATTTCTTTTTACACGAGTACTTTTTGTACACATACTTAATGCCATAATTGGTCCATTAACCGATACGATTTTATGACAGTGTTGTATGATGTACACACATAGGTATACATAAGTCGTTTGATTACTTATGTACCAGGTAGATAGTTTGGTAGGTAATAAAGATTCCTGTAAAGAAATCGTTAGCATCAAGATTCAGGAAATGAATACTTTTGTATATTCTCAGCCAGTCCAGTGAACTTCAGCGTGGTTTCAGCCTGAGTCAACATTACATTATACAATATTATTCATCTCGATTGCTGGAAAACATTAATTAAGCACATGCCCATTGTATTTGCCAACAACATTTCTGGTCAAACCATCCATCCAATGTGCATAATATCTTTTAAAACAATTCTCACCGCATGAATGTTTCTTGTGCATACAACAAAATAAAAGAATGACAAAATTAATGCTCTCCAAACGTGCATATTTATCTACGTACATATAGCTCATCAAAAGTCATGGCGTGTCTCCCCAACTTGAATAATTTTATGATTCGCTATGTTTGTGACGAGCTTTAAAATATGGACCCAAGACAGGGACGGAATACAATAAAAGTTATGATGGTGCGGTTGTGCTAATCAACCTTAAAACATAAGAAGGTAAACTAAAAAAATATTTAAGCTAAGCAGAAACAGTAATTAAATTGGAATATGTAGGCATCAAGCGTTGCATATGACTGATATTATTCTGCTACATATACACCTCCCTTAATAAATAATATTAAATTCACAAGAAGGGATATTCATATCATTTTTGGTTTCGGTAGCTGTGTTGTCGTGGCGTGAGTGATTTCAATTACCTCACCATCGTCCTCTCTCACGTTCTGCCACTAAACTAAAATAACTCTCACTTGTACTTTGCTTCTGGCTTGGCGTGGGGCTGGCGTTTGTGGAGTGCATGATCCTACTTAAATTTTGCATGGAAGTTTTATAATTGTGAGAATTTTTTAACAACAGTTGGGTGTGTTGATAGATATTGAAAACGGGAAGAAAACGTATTGTTCGTCATCATCACTGGAATCACGCATCTATTTCTGGGCAGAGTTAACAATACTTATTGAACAGAGTTGAACTCGTAGTCAGGTTTTAACCGAAAAAGTTAAGAAAGATTAGAGAAAAATTCAATAGTTTCAGCATATACATCAGGAAATTATCCAAAGGACAGCTTTACAGAGCAATCACATTTAAAAAGTGCAAAACCCATCTCCACCAATATGAAGACAGAGTATGGACATCGGGCGCTAGCCACTATTTCTGGGGTAAATTTCATAGTTTTCAATTTGTAGCAAAATTTTTTGTAAATTATAAATTGGCTTATATTAAAAATTATTTCATCAATAATTTTGCAAGATATTCAACACTGCATAAACATTTCTATTGCAATTATCATGTTCTACTAATTTGTACAATAGTATAAATAGCTCATTTGAATATTATTTAATGTCGTTAAATTGTCTTAAATGCTATAATTAGTATATTTAAGTAAATATGCATGTTTGAACGACCGAAGTAATACATGTGTCGATGTGTCCCATTATTTCGCAACGTCCCATACAGTATACTTGAGTATGAATACCTAATCGGTCTGTGATAGACGCTTAGAAAGCACAGATAGACATGCTCATCAACTAAATTAGTTAATTAGCTTACTATGAAATAAAATAGTGACATTCATACCATGACAAATCGAGATGCCAAGGCCCACCCAACGCACTATTCTGTGTCATGTCTCATCTAAAGTGATACGTAGCAGAACAAGCAAAGAAAAACAAGGCAAGGTTAGTCAGAAGACTTAGTCGTCACAAGAATAAATATGAATATGTGCAGACGCAGAATCCATTTTAACACCTCTCGTGGTAGTAATTTAACGGTGCCCAATGACCGTGTCCAATGAGGTGACACACTCTTAAATAGTCTGGCAACTAAAATTAAACCTGGGCATTCAGAACGAAGTAATCATAAATAAGAATAAGATGACGATCATGGGAAGGAGGATGTTTCTGTTGTATTTAATTGCATATGGACTTAATTGGGATGACTTGAATGATTTCCCCAACGAAAAGAGGTGTATTAACTGAACAATAAAAATTGTAATGACTTTCGGATGGGTGGTGTAGATTTACTGTATTGCGTAATAATTATGGATTGTAATTGATTACGTGTGCTATTGGGTGTGTAATTAAATTATCCTTCTTTTTGTAATTTACCTATAGATTATCGGACTTGGCGTGTTGTTGTCCTCGACGGTATACCTGATTCAAGTCGTTGGCTACCAAAATCCAGGGCTTTTGTATGGGGGCTATGTCCCTGGTGGGGCTGACTACTACAACGCGTCCTACAATTTATTTGGCTACCAGTTCAACCCGATCATTGCCATCGCCTCGGTGGGTAAGGCACACTTCTGTTAAACTATTTATACTTTCTTTTCTTAGTTTATGGATAGATTATTGTACAAATGTATGTATTTAAATGATTGGCAAAAATCATTTCGTTTGAGTTTGTATGGGAAAATTTTCAGGTGTGGTTATTGGTGCACTCCAGTTCTTATCGGCCTTTGCGCTATGCTGCACCTCCAGAGTAAGAAATATTAAAAATTTGTTACTCCATTATACCCAACTATGGTCGATATAATTGTATTGTTTATTAGTTTTCATGGGCTTCGGTGGCATGGATCTTACTCCACGTGGTGCTTTTAATTGCAGCAATAGTCGCAATATCTCTGGGCTTCTACTACGAAGTTTATCTGTACCTCTACCCTGCAAATGGGATTTACTATGATGCTAATACGGGTCAGTGCAATCGAAGGATTTTATTTTAGGTAACCAATGATAAAGATCAGAATCATTGTCAATTGCTTGGCCTTATTAGGTTTTCTCGCACCAAATGGTAACCCAAGGTTGAACGGGTATACCGGATATAACAATGCACTGTATGGAGGTGGTGGGTACAATACACCTCAGTTCAACGGATTTAATTCTGGGATAAGGAATTTGTTTGGATATAACGGGTATAAATATCTATGTAAATCATCATAATGTTTCATGAATATATGTGATTGATGATGTCTCGCTTGGGTATAGATACTATAATCCCAGTGGACAAGCATATCTTGCCTTTCTTGGGATTGATATTGTTTTTCTGCTTGCGGGAATATTAGTTGTGGGATGTACGGCTCGGAGGGAGCGGTATCAAACGGATAAGTATGACTCCAAATTGTATCATCATCGCAACGCGAGCCCTGCCACCACAAGAATGTAATTTGTACGAAATCGAGATGATGCTAAACCTGTCATAATGATTGTGAATATATAACACTTTAGGTTTATAATTACAAATGCAATAAAACTTTCCAATAAATATATGGATTACACATTAATACAAACAAGGTATCATGATGGTATTATTGAATTTTCTCTAGATTTTGGTAACTTGTTCAAAAACTAACGGAGAAAACTACCATATTAACTGCCAAATATTCAGTAATCATAATTAAAGCATGTTCCAACAAGATTCGTTACCAAAATGCTAAAATCCTGAAGCTTCGAAAAACTTGAGACCATCTAACCTAGAAAACACAGAAACATAATATGTATTTATGTTTTCTTTTTAATGCAAATATTTTGCACGCAATTTAAAATGTCATACATTTCCTGTTCCCGTTTCTTCAAGGACATTTTCTTCTTTTTTGGTGGCGTTGGAACAATTACCGGCTTTACGGCCGAGGACATTTTTACTTCTTCCTCGAGTTCGGCCAATATATCTGCAATTGGTTGCATGTCACCGACAATTACGGTCTCTTTTCGCCGTTTCTCCTCTTTAATCGCCTTCTCTGATTCCTTCAGAAGAGAAAGTTCTAAAAAAGAAAGTGAGCATATTTTCAGTAAAATATTATAAGCTAGATTAACTAAGTAATTATAGTAATTATACATACTTTTATGGAAAGCCTCCTTTCGTAGCTTCCTTCTCGTCCTTTTATCCTTGAACTGATTCTTCAGCACTTTATTTAGCGAATTAGACGCAGCATTCTTTGCAACGGAATACCTGTCCCTCTCAGATTTAATGAGGCCTTTCCTCTTGAGGTTCTTGACGCTACCTGACACTAAATTTACCAAGGCGCTAGCACCATCCTTCAAAATTGCTCTTATCGAATCTTGCTTTGTCATTGTGGCTCCGAAAATGTGGACCGTGTTGGACGAAGGGGACGCGAAAGTGACGGATTTTTTCGGGGACGTTTGTGGGGAGGAGAAGGATGACTGGACAGAGGAGGCAGATGACGTCTTTTTCAGTGCGGAGGCACGGGGCTTTGGGCGTTTGGATATTTTGGAAGCGGAAATAAGGGACACAGAAGGAACTTTATTATGATGGGCGTCACTCTCAGAATTTTCAGTCGGTTTGTTAGCTCTTGAAAATTCCGAAGACTTTCTGAAAGGTTTCGCCACACTACGGGCTGGTTTTACACGAAATTTCCCCATAATGTCCAGAAAGGACGACGGATGACGGATAAATTCTCAGCACAAAAAAATTAATTATTCAACCGTAAAAAATGTTGAATATGCATGTGGCTTGAACGGATGTCATGTTATTCATATTTTTGCTACACGTGCACCATACAAATCCCTCAATAAAGAGCAGGGGACACTGAGAATGTAGATCTGTAGATTTATACAAGGCATATCACAATCACACGGATGGGGTTAGTTTCATAATTAGAAATTTATTAATCTATTGATTCATAGCTAAATATAAATAATTATGGATGACAAAGTTAAACGTATTACAGAAATTTCTATTTTTTAAATTTATCCAACAGAACTTGTTACAATGCTGGCAATATTCTCGTCGGCAGCTCGGACCGTGAGTTGCAAGTTGACTCCGTCCGATAGAACAAATTTTGCTTTGGCAAGAACTTCCACTCCGCCACGAAACAAGCCTAATTTGAATAAACAGTAATGTTATAAATATTATCATATCTTTGTATGAATACTGATATTGTCAATCGATGTTTGAAACTCACCAGCTAAAAGCAAGGAATGGGAACTTTTCCCATCTGGAATTCTATCGGAACGGTCACAAGGTTGCATTCCCAAATAGTTTACAATATTTTTGACCGCTTCAGGAATAGTGGTAGCATTGGAAAGTGCATAAGTTTCCTCTTGTTCTATTTCAAGCTCTTCCCAAGCAGCACCAAAGTTGGCTCGAGAAACAGGCAATATTTGGTCAGAAAGGTTGATGTCAATGTCCTCCAACTATAGAAAATATTTCGAATTATCATCGTATTATTTAACAGCAACAAATATTTTATTTAACTTCATGAAGTTGGCATAAATCTCAACTAACCACATAGTCATCATCATAGCCCTCTTCAGAATCAGGGATGCCAGTGTCAGGGTCGCAATCTTTTACAAGGAACTTAAGGGTGGATCCTATTCCTATGCCAAAAGTGCCCTCAATATCTTCTGGCCATGAGAGAACCACGTACGCATAGCCAGATCCATATCGAAGTTGGTTTATTCCAATTGATACGACCTGTTGGAAGCCTTCAGGTAGATCTAGATCCACCTGATGTTCAGCAAGACAAAAATAATTTAATGAAATTATTATTCAAAGTTTAAGTATTACTAAAACTTCTTATTGATACTTTTCATGTGAAGAAAATATTTAACGTACTTTAACGTTCTCGAGTAGTTGATCAGCTAAAGTGTTTTCAATTCTGAATTGAAGAACCAAGTACGACTTGTAAACATGCTTGACAACTTCGACCAAATACTCGGTTTCCGACTCTGTCAGCATCTGCTTGACACTAGACTTGAACAAAGGTCCCAAATCTAGTCGATTTAGTTCCGGCACCTTCTTTAACTCCTCAGCTTGATCCACTCTTGTGTTTGCGAGTGTCTTTTGAGCAGCTGCGGTTACTGCCGGAAGTGACTTTGGTTTCTCAGCGGCAGCAACAATTGATTGCTCTGGAACTGATTTGATATCAAAGGGCTGACGGAAGTCAGACTTTTTAAGATATTCCTGAAGGGCAGACTCTAAAACAACGACGCTGGTAGCCAGTGAATTCAAAATGTAATTTTTGTCCGTTTCCAAAAGTTGAAGATACAGAGTTGCTCGATCCCGGACTTCATCATCTCCATCGACTTGGCATCTCTGCATAAATATAGCATTTATTTATATAAATACATTTTACGAATTTGTACACAGTTTGTTAAGTGCTCACCCTCAAAAGTACCACAACATTTGATAGCAAATTCGGGCAGTATGCGGCAAATTGGGCCAAGGCTGATACAGCTGCGGCACGCACCGCCGGCTGTTCCAGAATAACGCGATTGTAAATATAGCGAATATACTTTGAAGGATTTTTTGCTTTCGGGCCCTCCTTTCCGAGAAGATGCAAAATCCGTACGGCCAGCGAGGTGTGCTCACAATCTTCAATGAATTCGCACAAGTGGGACAATCCTATTTCAAAGATTATTTTGGAAAACATTAGTTTACTAATTAATTTAGTATGCAAACAATATTACGATTATACTATAGTCTCACCAGTCTCTTTTGCTTCTGGATTTTCTTCGATTATGGTGATGATTGTATCTGCAATAGCAGCCTTGTATTCCAATCCACCCTCATCTCTCAAGAGAGCGCTCAAGAATCCCATGAGACTTCCATGTTTTCTCGGAAACTTTAGGCACAAGCTCTTGATAGCCTTCACCACAACGACTTTGAACTCGTCCGATATTTCTTAAGCAAACAATAATTTCATTAATATGCGTGGATGTTTCAATAGCATGTTTTTTAACTAAACATTATCATGTCATAAACATTGAGTATTTAGCCAAACTTTGTTGTACCTGATACAAACGATGCAATTTGTTTCATTAGTCTATCGATTGAACTCTCAGCCCCTGTTTTCAGAAGAGTAGTGATGGCTAATGTAGCAATGGAACGGTTAGAATCCGTGATAAGATTTTCCAAGTCCACGTTGCAATTGGTGACACTGGTTGGATGGGCGATTGCAATCTTGTTGAGTGTACGAACCGCTGCAAACCGCAATGCAGGTTTCGGGCTGGAGCAGAACAACTGAAGAACACTTATTGCAGGATTTAGATCTCGGGGTACAATCTGTGCAATCAATTATTACTTCCTGTTAAATAAGAATCATGCAATTTAATAATCAATGAATATTTTGGCACTAACCTTTCTCAAGTTGATAATAGCATGAGCAGCTTCAAATATTACAAGCTCCGATTTGTGTCTCAACATAGCTTCTAAATAGTCAAAGAATGGACTATCGGTTGGGAGTTCCTCTTCATCAACCAACTTTGCCGTGATTCGAATCAATAGTGATGAAGCAAACGGGGATTTCAAGTGAGATTTAGTTAATTTTGACACCAGTTTGGTTACAGCAAGACGATCCATCTTTCGAATTTGGTATAAAACTCCAAGAGCATGATATTGAACCATTACACTATTACAAATAGAAATTTTCTCGTCATTAATCCAGTATGAGCAGTGAGCACAGTCAAGTACTCTTCACAATTCGGTTGTATTTGAATACTTAATAAAGAAAAGAAATAGACTCCAGTTTATTAGTACCTTTCACTATTTATCGCTTCCTGCACCTCAGAAACCCATCTTTTTACAAGTTCTCCACTCGTGAAAGTCAAATGGTAAGAACGAACCAATGCGGCACTTGACACTGTGGGCAACTTATCAACAATTGCTTGCTTCAAGTAACGTTCCAACGCTTGGAGCATGGATGCCTATATTACACATTTGAAACAAAACCATTAGTATACATCAGCTCCACCACCCTTCCTGACTGAATTAAATTTGTTTTAATTATAATTCGTTCATTAAAACTTACATCCGTAATAGTGCACAATGCTCGGATCGCTGCACCTCTGTACAAATCTTCCTTGCCTGTCATGTCCTTTGTTAGAGACGAGGTCACAATGATGACATCCTCCGCAATGTGACTCAACTCCTTGATTCCTAAGTACACCATACGTCTTAAGACTGGATCTCTGCATTGGAACAGCTTGGTCATGGCGAAAAACACTTCCGTTGCCTCGTTTGCATTTAGTTGTTCCCCTTGGATGAGCAGGTATAGGATTTTCGACAAGATTTGAGTGCATTTCCTGGGATTGATGACGGATTCGTTAAAAGCACGAGATTCCTGGAGAACAGACGTCTTTTCCAAATTGGAATAGATGCTGACAGAGGTTCCTAGTAGACAGAATATAATAATTTATTCGCATAAGTCATATTATATTAGTAAAGAATATCAAGAATATTGTACTATTATGAAATTATAAAATTAAAATTAAAAGCTTTATCCATTCCTAAACTCACGTTTCTTACCTTCCTCTTCTTCTTTCTTCTCGCGTTTGAAATTCATTGTGCTAAGTTGTTGTTACAATATGAAATTTGATAGTAAACGACTCGAAAAAAAGAAATAAGCTAAAAAATATTTGTGTTTGCAAATTAATTTGACACACCGGAAAGTGGAATTCGACTGCCACGTCAAACGTGAATGAACTGGGGTATATTAAGATGAAAGCAGGAAATTTAAATTCTTAGTTCAAAGTACACAGTCAAAAATAAGTCAAATATAAGTCAAATAAGTCCAATACAGTCAAAAATAAACACAGAACGAACCGTGCAAAATTAAAATTTTTGATTTTTTTGAAAACGTCTTCTAATTTTGTATGTAAAGTTTAATTTCAATGAGACAAACCATTTAATTTGGACATCATGGCACAGCGACCCATACCTCTGATCGCCGTTGCTCCGGTAAAGGGTCCTGCTCTTCCACTTTGGTTTACTTTTGACTCGAACGAGGACGAGAAAGAATTGTGGCATTTAGAACAAGAATTGGCTTCAGAGGTTAGTTCTTATTCTTATTTTGTTGGAATCTTGTATTATTTGTTGAATGGGATATAAACATTGAACGTGTTAATGGATTGGTGTTTAGTTGGAACGCATTGAACAAAAGCACTGTGATACTGTACCGGTTGGAAAATCAGGGAATGAGGTTGATTTATTAATTTATAATTTAATTATGCTAATATGTAAATTATGGATATATGGAACGAGCTAATACTAGTTTTTTTTTGTAGAGCTACGTGGACGACGATGATGAAGAAGATGAAGAAGAAGAAGATAACGACGACGATGAGAGCGAGGAAAGGGACGAGAGTGATGACGAAGAAATGATTGATGATGCAGAGGATGCGGCCGACGATTAAGAGACTAATATACAATCTAAATTTGTGGACAAAATTTATACTTTACAACTGTACATACTGTGAATGAGTGAGCGAGTTTAAAGCAATACGTACAACGTTATAAACGACGATATTTATTTTACTTGACCACAATTTGTGTACCTGTGTGTTCTACACTAAAAAATACTTGTTCTGAACTAACCCATCAAAATATTTAAAGAAAAAGTTATCCCAAAATTAAAATGTTTAAAAAAATAGTTATCCAAAAATCAAAATATTTATCAGTGCACATAAGAGATCTATATATCTAGAGATACTCATCCTCAGTCATCAGTTTAAGGTTCTGTATAGAAATATTAAGTAAAGTCAACTTCAATTTTATAATTTTTGTGATATCGTCGTACAAAACCGATCAAAATGCCAGGAAAAGTGAAAGTTCGAGTAGTTGCTGGGCGAGGTAAATACACTTCAAAATAGTTTCAATTTTTACAAAGAATATGACGGTATCTTACGCAATTCTTTTAGGTCTTCCAATCATGGACAAGTCAAATGATACAACGGACGCTTATGTGGAAGTCAAGCTCGGTCAAGTTACGTACAAAACTGATGTGTGTCGCAAGTAAGAAAACTAAGTTAATTAGAGTTCTTTGGATTAATTCAAATAATACTATATTGGATTGTAATCTCACACATACATGAATATAAGTTATAACTATAATGTACAAATAGGTCTCTCAATCCTCAATGGAACTCAGAGTGGTTCAAGTTTGAGGTAAGTCAGATAGTTAGAGGACGCGCATAACGTATCATAATTTGTACGCAATTGTATGCATTTGATTATATTATACATATTTCTTGTAGATGGACGATTTAGAACTGCAGGATGAACCGTTACACATAAGGTATGATTCGAGTTTCATTCAGAGCGTGTCTCTGAAATTTTGCGATAGTCAGTCTGGTTCAAGTGCCGGGGAATTGGAACTTAGTACCCGGGAAACGTCACCCAAAAGTTCCGATCCCCTAGACATTTTAGTTATTCAAGTTACAGGGAAACGGAACCCACTTGTCGCAGGATTTAGCGAGCTTCGATTCCCCGGTACCCTATTAGACAAAAGTTACGATTCCCCGGAACCCACGATTTTTCTTTAATTTTTCATAAATTGAATAAATTCCCAAGAAAAAATTGTATTGTCTCAAATTAACAGTCAACCAATGAAGAATATTGGATAAAAAAATTAGAATTTTTTATAGTGGCGAAGTTTTCTAAAATCGCAAATATCTGACAAATTTGAGGAGCGGCAAGTCCAAAAAGGTACGGGGAATCGTCACCCAATAATTATTTTCAGGGAAAAGTACAATTATTTTATAGTTTTTGTTACAATTATTGCGTTATTATTATGTTACAATTATTTTTCTCCAAAAATAATTGCATTTTTCTCTGAAAATAATTGTTGGGTGACGATTCCCCGTACCTTTTTGGACTTGCCGCTCCTCAAATTTGTCAGATATTTGCGATTTTAGAAAACTTCGCCACTATAAAAAATTCTAATTTTTTTATCCAATATTCTTCATTGGTTGACTGTTAATTTGAGACAATACAATTTTTTCTTGGGAATTTATTCAATTTATGAAAAATTAAAGAAAAATCGTGGGTTCCGGGGAATCGTAACTTTTGTCTAATAGGGTACCGGGGAATCGAAGCCCGCTAAATCCTGCGACAAGTGGGTTCCGTTTCCCTGTAACTTGCATAACTAAAAAGTCCAGGGGATCGGAACTTTTGGGTAACGTTTCCCAGGTACTAAGTTCCAATTCCCCGGCACTTGAACCAGACTGATAGTTGGTTTTAGCAAAAAAATCCATTGTATTTTAGAGCACTTGTAAGATCCCTAACTTCTTACTTTTGTTTAGGCTTTGGAAATGCACGAGTTAGATTTGGTTCAAATTTTTGTAGTTTCCTGTTCTCCTAGACTCGAGAAATCGCAATTTTCCAATTCCTTTACTTTTGACTCCATTGTTCCCGGGAATTTTCGAGCATTTTTTGGGGGGCAATTTAGGACCCCCCCCCCCGCAAAAAATTTCAGACCTCCTGGAAAAGGCTCCCATTTCGACGTATGCTTTTGAGCTATAAATAAATCTTGTGTGCATACGCGTGGACTTCCGTAGAACTGTTACAAAGAGCTGTTTTACGAGTTGCTCCCAATGTTTCGACTTCATTTTTGAACCATTTGAGATAGAAAGTTTTAATTTCTAAATCACCAAAGATATTTAAATATGGAGCATTTTGGTTATGAGCTTGTTGATTCTATTAAATTTTGAACTATTGTTTCCTTCTGAATCGCTTAGATTAATGGACTATGACACTTATTCGGCGAACGATGCCATTGGCAAAGTATACTTGGACTTGAATCCCTTGCTTATAAATTCAACAAAAACTAAAGGTACTAATGTCATAACCCATGTCATTAATGATCATCATTCGTTAATGTTATAATTAGAATGCTTAATAATCAGCAATATTTTTTATTGTAGACAACTGGGGCAAGACAATTTCGGGTTGGTTACCGGTTTATGATACAATGCATGGACTTCGAGGTGAAGTAAACCTGATTGTAAAAGTCGAACTATTTTCTGATCTCAACAAGGTATTTATAAAACATCGAAAATTTGACGTTAAATCTTTACAATTGTACAGATTTATCGATTATATAATTCGTAGCATTAAAATAATCAAACCAAATTATACATTTCAGTATCGTCAATCTTCGTGTGGAGTGCGATTCTTTTTCAGTAAGTTTGTACTGATCTATTATCAGCTTATAAGTTTCTTTCACTACTTGGTTCAGCTTGTTTTTAAGACTTGTGCATTTTACCATGTTGAATACATTCAAATTTTGAATAATTTTAGGTCCACAGGTCCCGGAGGGATTTGTTGCTCACAGTATTAATGGTTTTGTTGAAGAATTGGTTATTAATGATGATCCTGAATATCAGTGGATCGATAAAATTCGAACCCCACGAGCATCTAATGAAGCAAGACAAACTTTATTTCAAAAATTAAGTGGAGAAGTTCAACGCAAGGTAGGGTTAAAAACTTTGGAGCTTGGGGGCAATGCAGTCGTCGGGTACGTCATTTTCTACAAGTTTTCGCCGAGTTTTCAATTTCTTAAGGTCAAAGCTAAAAAAAATCATCTATGCACGACTATTTATTTGCAGGTATAAACAGTGCATCGACATAGAGGGAGAATCTGGTCTCGTAATTCGAGGGATTGGGACCGCCATGTATTTAACGAAATTATCAGAAAATCAGCTATCGCCTGTGCCTTTAATAGAAGGTGCTTCAAAAGAGTAAGTTTATCTCTTATTGATTTCTTAGTGCGTTTCTTGTTTTATGGTGGACTAACAAAAATGACTTTGACTTGATTTGATCCATTGACCCTTTGATATTGAATTATTAGGCTCATACATAGTTGCCTTTGGGCCTTGAGTTTGATTATCTTGTAAAACTCATATAGGTTGGTTGGATTTGACTTTCAAGATACACAAAAAATTATGATTACAAAATATTTTTCGTTATAATTTATTAAACTCTTGATGTGCTTTCCTTGTTTGGTGGGGCTGTAAATATTTTAGGCAAATGTAAACATATACCTGCTTTTTGGACCAACGGGGTTGAATTATTGTCAGAATCTTATTTAAGTATTTATTTTTATAACCTGTTGCTTATTTATTTTCTTGTAACGTAACTCTTTCAAAAACCCATATCTGCACGTAGGACATACATCTGTATGTATGTATGTACATATCTATTACCTTCTTTCAGTATTATATTGTGGTTTTGTTGTTTCGTAAATTAAAAAAGAGGCTTTAGTTGGTTGGAATTGCTTCATGTACTATGGTGGCGGTCACTATATTATTTTTGTGACATCTCTTTATGTGTAGGTCTCAATGCCTCGCGCTGTGTCAGCAACATTCGCTTCCTCGAAAACGAAAGCAAATCCCAATCCCAAGTCCTCCCAACATCCAACGCCGCTATAGACACCTGTTACCCAGCATGTCCATGTCCCGTAATGACCCTGTCTGTGATCCTTTACCTGTCCCAACTGTCAATAAATCTGCCATGCTATTTCGAGGTGACCTTAACCGTGGAGCTCTTAGTTCATCTTTCTCCAATCTTTTTGTGAGAAATAGGGCTAGCAAATCGCCCAGTCCAAATCCATCACAACAAGAACCTGATCGAGGCCGTTCCGTGTCACCACCAAAGTTGACCAAAGCCATGACTTCTGTCTCATTACGCGTACCGACAACGACGAGTAGTGGATCAGGAACACAAAGGGTCACCAGAATATTTTCTGATGAGAAGAAGAAACAAAATTTTGCAACGGATGATACTCAAATGAAACAGAACTTGGTTATTGCAGCCAAGCCAAGCCAGTCTCAACCAAATCTAAAGAAGAATTTCCAGTCTTCGCCTCCCCCTCCCCCTCCTCCCAATGCTCAAAAAAGTCTACCATTCAAACAATTTGGAGACAAAGACAAAAAAGACAATGCAACAAGTGCTTTACTACTAACCTCAACAACTAACTTGAAAGACAATGACTCGCGAGATTGTAATACTAACACCCATAAAAAGGCAACCTCTTTAGAACAGCAGAATAGATTTTTAGCTGAGATGGAGCCGGATTTAGTCTTAGATTTAGAATTAGTAGCATCTGGGGACACCCTGTCAGAAATTAGCGAGGAACGTGAGTCTCAAGAATCCTTCCGTGGTGGTGGAATTGATCGTTTAGCACCGATTATAGTTCGACCAACTCCATCACCAAGACCACGCCCACAGTCTCTCTCTGAAAAGGAAAGTGACGACTGCTCCATCTCTGAAGATTCTCCACCCACATCCCCCACAAGCACTGCATCCTCTAAAACTAACAAATTCACTCTGCTCAATTTAAGAAAGAAGCATCGTTGGATGACGCGAAGGGAGCGATTGAGTACAAATTGTTTGGTGAAACGTGCTTCATCCAGCGTTTCTTCAAAATCATCAGGTCCGATAGTACACTCACCTCCTCGTCCGCTCCCTCCTCTTGGGGCTGGCAAATTTCCCCTGGCAAAGGCCAGTTCGAGTAACTCTAGCTCTTCTACTACAAAGATCAGAGTAGAGTTGGGAAAGATTTTCAAACGGATCTCCTTCTCTGGAGATGGAGACAGTGATACCAATAACTCTAACTCGGTCAAAGCTAATAGGAAATTGTCGCCAACTAAAGGACTTTATCGAACACCTCGGCGGCTATTCTTTCGAAGAAGACGTACTCGAAGTAAAAGTATTAAACATGAGACTCGAGCTATACTCGTTAGGTCCAATAGCGAATGCGAATCTCAATCTTTCTCCATGAGACATACATCTTCAGAAACATCATTGCCTTCCATTGGCAGTGAGCCAGCTGTCGTGTTCAACTTTCCAGGTGATGAAGAAGATGACGATGATGACCTGAATAGTGTAGTGGGCGATCAGGAGAACCCATCTTCTTCTATGGTAGAACTGCAGACTAATTTGCTCACGGAAAAACAAAAGACGACAGTGACGGCTAAGAAGAGCCCAGTAAAATCGCTAAAAATCGTTGAAAAATCTGCCCCCACATGTCCAAAAACTCCACATGCCACCGCTATTCCGGTAGAACACGCTAAACTGCGAGAACTAATCGGCGACCTCGGTTACGATACTGGAAAACCTTTACAACTTTACATTTCTAGCATGGACGCTTTGCTTGTGTATGACCCTGCTTACCCTGCTCCTTCTTCTTCTTCTGTGGGAGGGGCTGTGAATAGTTCCTCTTGTGTCTGCCTTAATGTAGATAACAGCTCATCACCTCTAGCACATGGCGGCTCTTCTTCCGTGGCTGCTTTTTCTTCCATTACTGATGATGATGCTAATAATACCGCTTTACATGGACGACTTGACTTTGACTCTACTTCGGACCCAAGTAAGACGAGGGCTAAAGTGGATACTCTGCTGAAACTGAAACGAGCCGACAGCTCCGTACTTAATTTAGGCGAGAGATCTAGCAGCAGTAAGAATAAGCCGGAGACGTTTGAAAAGAGTAAACGACACAGAACGGAGACACTTGTAGAATGTAATAGCTCCACGAGTAGCAGTGGCAGTATGACGACAAGTAGTAGACGGTCAACTAGCACAACGAGCTCAACTACAAGTGGTGGTTGTACCACAAGTGCCACAAGTAGTAGTTGTACAAAAGCTTTTAAGAACTTTGAAATGAGAATGCCAAAGTTTAGACAGAGTGACGATGAACAAGTGGAAGAGGAGTTGGAAGAAAATTTTGAAAAATTGGAGAAATTTGTGCGAAATGCACAACGGCAAAAAAAAGGTGTTGATAGCAGTAGTAGTGTAATTACGATTGGATCTGCATGTAGGTCCCCCATCCCTGAAGAATATGTAGAACCCACAGCTGCAGCGTCATGTGCCATACCCAATAATACTAATTCGTCCCATAATCCTGCTAGTTCTCCACCAAAAAGATTAGGTTCTCCTCAGAAACCAATTCCTTCTTCTACACATTCTACTAGTGGGGGAAATGGCTTTTATGGTGACCATCATGAATCCAAGAGCAGTGGTCAAATGTATAATGGAAATAGTGGGAGTGGATCCCCAGAAAAGGGTGGAGGCGCAGCAGCCGCTTCAACGCCAAATACCAAACAATCTAATTATGGGCAGATGCACAGAAGAAGTTCTGAGTCTGATTTAAGCACTACGCCAAATACTAAAGGTAAAAATCAATACAGCATGGTTTAAACATTTCATTTTGTAAGTGTTGCTGTTACTGTTACTCAGGTGGTGGTGGACCAACTTTCAAAACTCAGTTCCAGCGTCCTTTTGTGATAAATGTGGATCCCATTCGTGGACAAGAGTTTCCATTTATAACACTCTCATCACAATTTCCAGAAAATTTCATTCGATACTTGGGCGGAACAGTGACTGCTAGGTCTGATAAGATGATAGATTAGATCTATGAATAAATTAAAGGAGTTACCCTTCAGCCGAGGCGGACTGAAGGGTTACTTTGCCTATGTTGCTGTTGCACTAAATTTTGTACAAATGTCTTTATATGATTTAGATCTGTCAAATTGTTGAAGAGTATTGGAAATTTTGAAGAGCCCAGCCCTGAAACTAGAGACGGCTGGTGGAATGAAATCAGAATTGGTAAGTTTAGATTGTTTTACTTTAAATGCGTAGTCCCGAATGACACATTTAAATTTAGTAATTCTTAAACGCATTTTAGAAATGAGATCTCACTGTCGAGCATTTGGGTGCAATGTACTCTTGGACTACGAAGAAAAGACAACCATGTGGTCAGACCCGACAAAATATTGATTACAAACAACACATCCCTTATGGAATAGAATATTTATTTAATTAGATAGAGGACACCTATTTGAGAAGAATTTATTAATTTTATGGTGTGTATGTATGTAGGGATGAAGTGGCAATTTTAAGTGCGTCTGGAACAGCAGCAATTATATCTACTAGCGGAAATTGTGGCGATGTGAATATGTCTGAACTAGGAGATGTTAATAATAAGGATGGTCACAAACGAACTGATAGTTTCACTGGAGTTGTGCAACTCAACATGGCAAGTAGTGTATGAGTATTTACATCATATCATTTATAACATGAATACTCATAACGTTGTATAAAACTATTATTATTAGGGTGCTAGGTCATCCCCAAAGATATCTAGAGGACGCTATGATGACTCGGACGAGTTAGAATATCCTTGCAGAATGCTTCACATTCCTCAACCTAGTCTTTCTCTTCCAACAATAATTAGAAAGTCGCGATGTGCATACTGCAGGTGAGTTATGTAAATAGAGCATTAGCACATGCATGTATACATACATATAAGAATGGATAATGGATCCAATGTTTTTATAAAACAGGAAGGGCAAAGTACCGGATGTGTTGGTGGCAACTATTGATCTTCCACCAGGACTTCACACAACCGGTCGCAGTTGTTTGATTCAGACACAAGTATTTCGTTCCAAGAAAGAAAGCAAAGGAGAAGTGGGGGCAAAAGAAATGAGCGATAGTATCCCATTTCTCGAGTACGAACTTCACCGTAGATTGATTAATAAGTTGAAAGTACAAGGACTGAATGCAATTTTTGGATATAAAGTAAGAATAGCTCCAAATTAACCTTTGCAAGTTAAACTTATCAACTATGAATTAGGTACAAATCACCCAAGGGGATAAAGTCGTTGTTGGCGTGGCCACAGGCACCGCCGTTTTCCTCACTGTAAGTTTAATCAACTAACATTTAGTTAATTAAAAGTTAATACTAATTAACTTTAATTTCAGGCACTTCCGGTTCCATCGATTCCAACAATTTGTGCTGGAAACCTGAAAACAGATGCTCAAAAAGTTCTGCAGTTTCAGAAAGTGATTCAAGAGACATTTGAGAGAAATCGAGAAATATTTGGAGTAAATAATATTGTTCTTCCAAATTGGGGAGATATAAATGGCTCAACTTCAGATGGCGAATCAGACGATGAATTAGATAATAGTCACGAAGCCAAGGACACTTTTGTGCTGGAGGTGACCAAATTTTGTTGGCAAACTATAATATAAGGCGGACAATCAATTTGATCAGAAGAGAATTTATAATAATTTAAATATTTCTTAGGTTGACGACGCAGAAGACATTGATATCATTACCATGTTAATAGATCAGGCTATTCCAGTAGGTTACAACATGAGCAACATTGAAACTATAGTAGGATTCGATGGTAGGAAGGTGCTCAGCCAGCAGATGTTTAACCAAGTATGGAGGTGTAAAATTGCTACAATTTCTCAAAGACAGTTGACAGCTTATTTTGAACGTTTGATTCGGGTATATGTAACCATAATAATCTTAATATTGTATATACATATTTGTTGAAAGATGGTAGACAGACAATAAGTTTTGTTGATTTAATTGTATTTATTAGTTGGTGAGCTTCAAGCTTCGTCGTCTTCAGCCATGTGTATTTACCAGAATGCATTTTACTATTGATCTCCCAGAGTCTGATGAGATGCAACTGACTGTGATTGGTAAGTTCATACATAATCTAATTGTAAGATTATTACTAATACAAATTATTAGGTTAACTTAAATTGTTGACATAAAATTTACCATTTTTATTATTAGGGATGGCTCTCGGTCTGGATGCAAAAATGCATCAGGTGTCTTTACCCAGCACGTCTGGCAAGATTGGTGAACTAGGAAAACAAGACGGTATTCTTCTACATAATTTTGTTTGCACTGCGTATGCATAGTTTACAAATTTAAATATGACATGGTTACATTATGATGGCGATTTTCTGCATAGACGATCCAGATATTATTTTTCAATTCGATGAAGACAAAACAAAACTTGGCATATCTTGTGAATCTTCCGCAGAAAACTTGGCCAGTTCTAACCAGACCCACCATTCTACTCCTCCTCTCTCGGCCGGATTGCCTCAAAAAGTACCTCATCCCTTGTCAAGTCCCACAGGTGCATCAGGATTATCAGGAGGACTTCAACAAACCAAGATTTCTTCGGGAACTAGCCCTGTTACAGCTTCTGTGAACATTGCATTGCCATTGAATGTGAGCCACGGTCATGGAAATTCCAGTAACGTTAATGTGAGTTCTCAGCAACACTATATTACACCTACTACATCAACTATCCCTTCTGCTACTGGGGGTGATGATGATATAATAATTTCAAAATCTACTCGGTCGGATTCAACTTCTTCCTCCACCTCCAATAATTATGAAATTGGTGGGGTTCATCAACAGCTTCCTCTAGGTGAAACAGGACGTAATAGAAGTCACAGCGTTTTCTGTGCTCGTCATCCCAACTCCAACTCTAAGTCTACTAGGTTTATCTCTTTCATCAAGCCGGTAGGTTTGATCCAGGGGTGTGGTGCAGAGAAGCGTGCATTTTTTTGTAATAATTGTATTGCTGTTCATCATTGTTGCATTAGACAAAAATATGTGGCTGGCGTGTCTCAATCTCTTTTTATGTGTGTGTACTTTGGGCCTATATTATTATCGTCTCATCTCACTATTTATTGTCGCAGGAAGGAAAGAGGAATTGCCTGCACTCTTCCTGTTCCTTGTGCCCATTGTTGTTATTTCTCTGCATCTTGTACATACACCCAACCTGTGTAAACCACCAAATTGTTTTTACACAAATATGTATACGTATGTCCTTTGTATTGACCATCAAATTTATTGGTTTGTGCCATTATACATATATACACACCTTATTACTCATTTCTTTAAAAATTTGCAAAAGCCTCAGCATAATCCCACATACATATACATATGCGTATAATCTACATATGTACATAAATAATTGTAATCCTATGCTGCATTAAGATAATTCCTCAGGTCAAGAAAAAACACCACATATCGATGTTGTAAATATGCTTTTAAACCCCAGCTATCATTGATGTAAAAATAATTTTCACTTATGCATGGATCATGAATTTTCTTATAATCAATGCTCATGGATTATGTTGTGGTTGGCCTATAAAACATGTGAAAATGTTTGATTGACTAGTTTTGAAACGGGCTGAGTGTTTTCTTTAAATTGTAAATATGTACACATGTATATAGCTGTGGTGGATTGTATCATTCTAATATTTCTAATGAATGTTTTGTGTAATGTTTCTAGATGCCTCTTCCTGTCTCCAAAATGCGTCATTGGGTCGAAATAACCCCCCAAAAATCAATCAACGGAGCAAAGATTGAACGCTATCTGGGCAATTTAAACTTTTACTTTATTAGGGAAACAACAAGTTTACGCGAGGTGGGCTATAACATAAATAGTGCTTAAAAATGAGTCTATGTTTCTGTGGCGTATCGTTAAGTACATATTTATATCTAGAGATTAATGATAAATCTTTGCGTTTCTCAGAGTGGAGGTGTAAACACTTTCGTCCATGCTCTGTTTACCGACTTTATGGCGATCGTTCGTGCTCACACAAGTGCTCTCGGAGGAAATGCCATAGTTTCTTACTTCATGACGCGATGTGACCTATCTGATTTATCTAAGGTTGGTTATGGTTATTATTGAGTGTGAATAAATGTGGACGACTTAAATAGCATAAACCAAGTAATTGCATATACTTGTTTTCAGTGCGTGATCAATGTTGGAGGCGATGCTGTCTTCGTATCATATCCCGTTCACCATCCTGAAGACGGAATCGCTATTGGTTAACAGAAGAAAGATTTACGGCGTTTGTGATTTGCATAATTTATGTTAACAGGTCAACCGTTTCAGTCATTTATTTATACGTGCTATGTATTTGCTAAAGACTTTTGCGTTTCAATTTATGTTGTATACTAGAGTAATTAATGATTATATTTCCCAGTTTAAATCTTCCATCCCTAAAAGTATGTACTGATCTTTGGAGAAATAATTGAAATTAAACACATGCTATTTAAATGTACTAAATAAATACTCATATTATGTGTGTGCATTTTATTGTAATCAAAATTATGTATATGAAGTGACATCATCTCATAAATACATTTCCATTATCATATTATTATTTTTTGGTAAATATAAATAATTTCACATACTTATAACAAAAAATAACAATGCTTAGAAAAAGTCTGCCGCTCTTCTCTTGTGATTTGATGAATTATTGGATGACGAAGACGGTCCTAGCGTAGGTGTTCTGGTGGAGCGTGGTGGTGTTGGCGTGGGAATAAATGATGAGCCACTATTACCATAAGGTGTGGCAGCTAGAGATGCGGGAGTTAAAACTTTGGGGGTTGACGGCTTTGGCGTATATGACGCTGCTAGGGTTTTATCTCTTAAGCTTCCAAAATGGCTACCAACTAGGCGACGAGCAGCAGGGGACATTGTACTCAGCCTATCCAGTGAACTTCGTGGTCGTGGCCTATGAACAGAATAAACAGATGTGAGATTTGCACTTTAGTACAACTTGCATTTCCATGTTGAGCAATAACTTACGATGCAAGATTATTTTTCGCCGTTTCAATGGCTTTCAATTTCCGATCGCGGTATCGTTCAGACACTTTTTCCTGTAGTTGCATTGCAATTTTTTCCCTTTTGGTTGTCTCCAACATGCGGTATGGTTTGGTTGCATTGTCAACAGGGATTGTGTCAGCCCCGTCAAGGCGAAACGGAGTTCCTTCGATTTCTCCCCAAGTTAGAAAGGGTGACTCTTCTACACCTGTGTCAAAATCAAGAAATTAAATAACAGAAACAACATAGAACAATGGCAATGCGTTTAAAATGTTTGTACCAGGAGTGGGTGATGGTGTTCGCACGAAAGAAAACCCATTAACCTTTGGGGTATCTGTCTCAATTTCTTTCCCGTCCACCCCTATTTTCGTTGACGGTCTCTTCAACAAGTTGGTGGAAGGTGTGCCAGATTTTCCAGAGGTCTCCCCTTTGAAAGGTGCTTCATCAAATCTGGTATTTTTATAAAATACTTTGGGAACCTTTTTAGCCAACTGAACTTGTTCCTCAGGAGTATATGGTGCTCCTGCATACATAAATAATGAACAGAAGAACAATCACATTTGTATACCTATCTATAAATATATTTTTAATTGACCCCTCCTTACCGTCTGGAGTGTACATCAAATAATTTAAATTCTTGTACGTCCACCCATCTACAGAGAGTGGTTTTTCATATTCCGCCTGGCTTTCTATCGATGGTAAAGCATTTGATATGGCAAACTTTTCAGCATGCTCGTCTTCCTTGCCGTATAACCAGGAATACTAATGACATACAACAAAATTATTACATATGTAAAGCAGCTGTCAAATTTCAACAAGTATCGGATTACTAATTTGTCTCACCTTGATTTTATGTTTCTTTTCTGAATTTTCTAAAATCTCTTGGAAACTTTGATTATCTTCAGAAGTATACTTGGCCAAAAACGTATTCAAACTTATCGAGGAGGTCGTAGAATCATTTGCACTCTTGGAAGAGACGGATTTGGCATCCTCCCCGGGTCTCGGAGCCATGGGAAGGTGGGTTGGTGTAGACTCTCCTGGATCGGGAGCTTTCTGGCCCTGTTTTCCCATTCCCAAGCCGGACGGTGTAGGTGTTTCAAAACTGGATGGGGTATTACGGTTGGACTTGTCTAGAATGACAATTATTAATACGAATTATTATCACTACTATGAATTCAAATTACATTCCTCATATAAATATCATATCTTAAACATACCATGCAAGCGAGGAGTTGCTCCGAACGAATATTTCGAATACAGCTCTCTCAACATGTGAATGTCATTATTTTCAACAGCATTATGATATGCATTCTGCGCCTGGAGTTTCTCCAAATCGGGGAAAAAATCGCGTTGGATTATCTTTTCCAGTTCCTACAGACAGGATTTTAATTTAAAACATATTAATTAATTAGTTAGTTATTGTATGAAGAAAGTAACCTAAATCATTACTAATTGTTCTTAATTTAATCTTGCATACCTCAACGTATTTGTCCTCTTCTAAAACCTTTTTCTTTTTGTGTGGATGATCTGCTGGTACTTTAAATTCAGTCAGTGCAGTGGACGAAGACGATCTCCTCGATGGGGGCGACAAAGACGATTTCCCTTTTGTCGACGACGAAATTGACGTTAAAGATGAGATCTGGAGGCTTATTTTATCCATCTTTCTAGATTTTGTTGATTTCCAAAGAACGTCGGCAATTAAACTGACGAAAAGATAGAAATTTTTAAACAGGTAAAACTTAAAAAAAATAATTAAAATTTCGTGAAAGGAAGAAAGTTAAAGTTTTAGTTCATCAAAACACAAAACAGGAAGGTCGTCGTATGATCTAATTGTAAGTTCATATTTGCCTCGTGCCTGCCTACACTTCTTTGCACGCCCCAATTGTGACGGCATTGAAGAAAGGAAAATTCGGAAAATTGCATGAACTTTTGCATGGCATAATTTTAATTTTGGTTATGCAAATCGTCGTTAAAGCTTCCAAATGAGCCTCATCTAATGTTACAATAGCCCCTTTGGAAGAGTCAACGACGAAATATGAGGTGATGATAATACAATAAGTTAACTACTTACTGACGAGTAATTACGATTTGGCTAAATGTTCTTAGGTATTTATCTATATGCATTTTGAAATTAGAATTCAGCTTCAATTGATTTATTCAAAAATTAGAAGCTTAAAAATGCATATTAATTTGAAGTGAGTGCAAATTATGGCCTTGATCAATCGGAGATGCTAAACGAAAGATAATGCAAATTATATTGTTGGACAGTAGCGAAATATGTACATACAATGGCTTTGATCAATGTATAAATTCCTACTATGTGAGTGTATGTACGCGAGGATCGGAAATGTACCAGAAATGAGACAGTTGTCAGACATTAACCTATCCGACTACGAGACAAGTCTGTAATCAATAATTAAATTTAAAATTTGCATCACCACCTTAAATATGGAGATATTTTGTTTTCAGAAGGTCGTAGTTTATAGTTTACTTCCACAGTCAACGATCGACATTTGCCACAGTAAAAGAGACGTCAGACTTCACCAGGTCAGTAAAACTTTTGTTAACCACTTGGCATTTTTTCCTCATATAAGTTGCAAATATATGAAGGAAATTTAAAAGCAATATGTAACAAACCAACCCATTAATTAACAGTTAGTTAATTCATCTTGCTTGTTCAGATTTGGTAGTTGGTTGACGTCGTTCTGTTCGTAGAGTAGACTTATGATAAAATGTAACCTTGACCTAACCATATCTACGCACATCTATTTATTTTCCGTAGTCGCAATGTCTCGCCCTCCACCCCCACTAGCCAGGCTGTCCAAACGGAACTCGTACATCTTTGAGAACTCCCAAGTGCCAGGGATTGTCCAATTGTTCCGACAGTCTAGCCATGGGGTGAGTGAAAATCTTTTTGGTGTACAAATGATAAATAGAAAATATTTATTGAATCATTAACAAATAACAACAAGAAGACGACGCTGTGTGTAATTACTCGAGTTCATAAAAGTCAAATATTTATTTTTAGCTGGATCAATCTGATTTTAACTTTTATTTGACTTGATTGCATCAACATTTCCTCATATCCTTGTGCTTTATGCATTATGCGAGTACCTACAAGTCCAGGCCTCCTTATACAGCGTTATGTATCACCACTATGAATATCGCACGTGCAAGAAATTCCGCACTAAAATAAATCACTGGTGGTTTACGTGGTACTACTTTTATGTGAATGAAGGATTATTAATAGATGACACACGCGGAGAAAAGGTCATGGTATCTTTTAATGTTAATGTTATGTCACAAAAATTAATGGTTTAGATCAGAGTTCTCATTCTTATTTAATGTCTTTCTTCCGTAATTATATAGTGACATACATACATAGATCGCAGTTTCATAGTTTCTGTGAATTGGGATTGAGACGCAAGAAGAATCTCGTTTCATGATATCATCAGCAGGGTCTTCTATCTAATTTCATTCACTCATTTGTACATATTCATGCACAGACCAATTCATCGTCTAACCTTATTTTATTTATCAATTTTTTGGACTGTCACGAGACATTATTTTAAATAATTTTTGTATAATTTTATTTTGTGATATAAAACACAAGTTCTGCACATAATTTTATTTTCACACATGGGGATTTACGAATATTTTGTACCAAAAAAGGTGGTAACGCTTTATACTCTACGCAAATGTCGGGCGCGACTGGTTTGTTCAACGTTTTGTTTTTAATCTGTGCAGTCTGGCCTTGTCGCGGCTCAGCCCGGTCACCCGACGACGACTGCAGCCCACTCTCGAAGTTATGGCTCAATCCGGTCGCCCTCCCTCCACTCTCCGGCCCCTGGGTCAGGATTGTGGTCCATGGAGGCAAGCTATTCTGGGTCTGGGCGCCTGGGGAAACCGAAATTCGCGACTCCCTTGCCATTTACACCACCGGTCATGGTGGAGAAGGAGGGAGAAAGACAACCACTTCTGAGGTCGGAGGAAGAACGTGTCGTGCTGCCCCCCGCGGTTGCAAAAGTGGAGGATGAAGAAACTAATTTGATGGACGATCTGAGAAAAGAGCTGGACACGGATATGCATACAATTGGAATTCAAGAACTATATGATCGACTTCGAACTAACCCTGCTATGGTACATGCAATTTACATACCTTTCTCGTGTCTCTCTCCTTCTCACTACTGGTTGTTACGATTATACGAATTTTTGCTTTTTTGTATGTATCCAGGGATTAACAGACGCCCAAGCGGCGGCAGAACTGAAGAAATCTGGACTGAATGCACTCACCCCACCGGAAGAAACTCCAGAATGGGTCAAATTTGCGAGACATTTATTGGGTGGATTTTCTCTCCTCATGTGGTTTGGAGCTGCGCTCTGTTTCACTGCTTTCGCCGTTCAAAATGCATACATGTCCGACGCTCCTTATGATTATGCAAGTGATATATTTGTTATAATGCTGTCCAATTTTACTTATTTTGACCATGGTTCAATACTTGTGCATGTAGATGTACTTGGGTATTGTGCTCGCTAGCGTGGTGTTAATTTCCGGACTTTTTTCCTACTACCAAGAAGCTAAATCGGACAGGTACTTGAAAATAGAAATCAAACCAAGCTTTTTTATCCTGTCAGGACTTACTAATTTTCTGTTTTTGTAGGATTATGGACTCATTTAAGAAGTTGGTACCACAAATTTGTTTATCGTTGTTTTTTTATTTATTTTGTTATTGTGCATGTGTTTACCAATAGGTTGGTGCCTCAAACGGCCCAAGTCTTGCGAAATGGGGAATTGAGCTGTGTCGATGTAACGGATTTGGTGGTTGGAGATATTGTAAATGTCGAGTTTGGAAATAGAATCCCTGCAGATATTCGTATAACTGAGACCCAGGGACTAAAAGTTGACAATTCTTCTTTAACTGGAGAATCTGAACCACTCCCGAGGCAAGCACTTTATACATGCTTAAATTTTCCATACTACATTGGTGAGAATATATTTTACTCACAACAGATCAGTGCTGTGCACTCATGAAAACCCAATGGAAACAAAAAACCTTGCTTTCTTCTCTACTTCCGCAATCGAAGGTACTGGGCGAGGGGTGGTCATTGCGACGGGGGATCGAACTCTCATGGGTCGAATTGCTGGTTTGGCGTCCCGTCTCGAGAATACGGAGACTCCCATTTCCAAAGAAATGGACCACTTTGTCTCTGTCATCTCTGGGGTAGCCGTCTTCTTTGGAGTACTTTTCTTTGTTATCTCGGTAGCCATGGGGTATTCGTGGCTGGATTCTGCAGTCTTCTTGATTGGCATCATCGTTGCCAATGTACCGGAAGGTACGCATACTAATTTTTAAGCCTCATACTATAGAACACAAATGATAAATCTGCATCTGGGATTATGAATATTCCATTTTCTTCCTTAGGTCTTCTTGCCACGGTCACGGTTTGTCTCGCACTCACTGCGAAGAGGATGGCGTTGAAAAACTGTCTGGTGAAACATCTCGAAGCTGTTGAAACTTTGGGATCAACGACAGTGATTTGTTCCGATAAGACTGGAACTTTGACACAAAACCGAATGAGTGTGTCGCACATGTGGTTCAACGGAGAAATTCAATCAATTGGAGCAAAAGGAAATATTAACATGGATGATCCCACTTTTATCGCCCTTGCAACGGTGGCGAGGCTTTGTGGACGAGCTCGGTTCAAGGTACGAATATGTGTCTAAAGTCATAATAAGGTCGTGTATAGACTTACAAAAACTCCCAATTGACGGATAAATTTTAATTACTTTTACAACAAAGGTCGGCCAAGTTGAGGTGGCAAATGCGTTTAAAGAGATTGAAGGTGATGCCTCTGAGGCAGCCCTTCTTCGTTGTATGGAAACTCAAATTGGAAACGTTGAACTGTTTCGAGCACGGCATAAAAAACTACACGAAATTCCGTTTAATTCCACAAATAAGTTCCAAGTGTCGATCCACCAATATGACGACAAAGATCCCCGATTACTTCTTGTCATGAAAGGTGCTCCAGGTAGGAGATCGATCATATAGCAATGCCTTAGCTAAGATAAATTATTATTAAACCATTTAAAAAATATTTAGAGCAAATTCTTCAACGATGCGATACAATTATAATGAACGGAGTGGAGGAGCAGTTGACCGATGAATGGTGCAAAAAATTTGACAAGGCGTACAAGACACTCGGAAATATGGGTGAACGTGTGCTTGGATTTTGTGACTGTCGCCTACCCCTTGATAAATTCACTTCGCATTATAAATGGGATCACGATAATACGGAGTTCCTTGAGAATAATTTTCGTTTTGTTGGTCTAATTTCTCTTATTGATCCACCGCGTGAAAGTGTTCCGGACGCGGTAAGAAGTTGTCGGACTGCAGGAATTAAAGTGGTAATGGTAAGTTTCCAGTTCGATATTCTCAATTAATTTATTTATTTATATAGAATAAATATAAATATTATTATCTAATTCTTGTCAGGTGACTGGAGACCATCCCTTAACAGCCAAGGCTATCGCACGAGAAGTTGGGATCATTAGTCCCGGAAACATGACCGTTGACGAAATTGCTGAAAGAGATGGTGTTTCCGCCAATGAAGTGGACCCCAGGGAAGCAAAAGCAGCAGTTATTCATGGGGATGAATTACAAGAATTTACGGCGGAGGATCTAGATCGAGTTTTAATGTAGGAATTTAATACGTCGAATAAATGGATGTCGTTTGAATTTCCTACTTGATATATTTGAATATTTATTTTGTTTTTAGGAAGTACAAGGAAATTGTGTTTGCTAGAACTTCGCCTCAGCAAAAGCTAACCATTGTAGAGGGTTTTCAAAAACAAGGAGAATGTGTCGCTGTGACTGGAGATGGTGAATATCTATCTATTTAGAACATTTACCTACTTAGACCTTCTTAACTTAATAAGTACGTACAAATATTCCAGGGGTTAACGATTCTCCTGCCCTGAAGAAAGCAGATATCGGTGTGGCCATGGGTATCTCGGGTTCCGACGTGTCTAAAGAAGCCGCTGACATGATCTTGTTGGATGACAATTTCGCCTCCATTGTCACTGGGTGATTAAATATCCAATAATATTTGTCTATTTTACCTTGCAATTGAAAAACTTTAATTTTTCACGAGTTATGCATTTTATAATGTATTTGTGATTTGATTTAAATTGCAGGATTGAGGAAGGGCGTTTGATATTTGACAATTTGAAGAAGTGCGTCTATTACACCCTTACAGACAATATTGCGGAGCTGATACCGTTTTTGCTTTTTATCCTTCTACGAATTCCGCTTCCACTTGGAACCATTTCCATCCTCTGCATCGACTTGGGCACGGATGTTATCCCTGCAATAAGTTTGGCATATGAAAAGGGCGAGTTGGATTTGATGAAGCGAGCTCCTCGAGACCCCAACAAAGACAAATTGGTCACGAAGCAGTGAGTTGCTTATTAATTCTGAGATTATCACTTAATAACATAATTGGCAAGATATTTACTCTTTTTGTCTCCCATTCCTCGAATCCTCTTGTCTGGAGAAAATGATGAGTCATTCCTTAAATTTAACTCTTTTTTGTTCTCCGCCGCAGACTGATTGCGTACTCCTACGGGCAAATTGGAATGATGCAGTCCTTTGCTGGAATGTTTGCTTATTTCGTGATTATGGCACAAAACGGTTATCTACCCGGGAGACTATTAGGCATAAGAAAAGAATGGGATTCACCCGCATATAATGACCTGGAAGATTCATATGGACAGGAATGGGTAAGACATGAACACGGCAAAAATTCAATTATTAACATTTAACAAGCACATGATTGCAAGACATAATTTTCACAAATGTGAAAGAACTGCTTCATGTGGTACCTATAAGCCACACATTCTATTGCATGTAAGTAACTTACCTAAGCTTACTGGATAGTGCATATGCCTGATAAATTCACGATGGCTTTCTTGGTAAAGCAAGTAAACGATCTGGAAAAAGCGATAAATAAACAGCAGTAGAATGGAGTACGTAAGCTACTTGCTACAAATTTTTTTAAGATGACGTTAAGGGTTGGTATTGTTGCGGCTGGTGGTACGCATGGTGTGGACCCAGTCATAAATTAGGATGCAATCATCTATTCTCATTTTCACAAAGAATGGTTCATGTGTTGTGCATATGCCCAACTTATGGTTACAGAAAGTTTTTAAAATGCATAAGCGAATATATTACTTACGCACTATAGCAAAATCAAGAGAATTAAAATACTTCTTTCTTGTTTCAAACGTTACAAAAGGAAAACGTTTTAAGTTTCTGGTCACGAAGTTCGTTGGTTTTCTCCGTTTTATTTTAATCCTCCGACTTTTGTTTGGTTCATGGTCATTAGGAGTTAGAGTGTTCAACATGAAAATTGACATCCATATAACAGTTTTACATGGTGTATGTCGTACATTATTACACATTGGATGTTTAGGCCATGGAATATTATGTACATTCACATGGAACATTAAGAAAACCATAATGCAAACATCAACTAACGACGTCTTACAAATTCACTCAACTCAACAATGAACAAAACATTTTATTTTTCTTGAACTTTATAACAACTCGAGTTTTGAGTGTGAATCAACAAACCTTTCAAAACTTGGGGGTAGAACCATTCGTCATTTTGCTTGTTTTGGTATCATCATTCTTCTCTTTGGCCGGTCTTTGGCTTTTACGTATGAAGTTCCTCTCTTCCTTCCTCCTAGTTGACTTTTGACTCTGGATTTTTTCATCCATTTTTCTTACTCAGTGAGTGAAGGTGTTTAAAAAATCATCCTGAAAACTTGGCTTTAAATGATAATGTGTATCTTCTAAATTGCGATGATCACCATCAAATGACCTTTTTAAATGCGGTCACATTTTTTATTTGCAGACATACTATAACCGGAAACAACTTGAAAACACTTGTTCTACTGCGTACTTTGTATCGATTGTAGTTTGTCAATGGGCAAACTTGATCATTTCCAAGACAAGAAGATCGTCCGTATTTAAGAAAGGATTTGGGTAGAGGCAAAATTTTAAGCATTTTGAAACAATCAAGTAGCGATAAATTGGATAACGTTTATTTGCCGATGTTTTTCAGAAATCATGTTCTCAGTTTCGCCATCATATTTGAGACTGCGCTTGCCTGTATTTTGTGCTACACGCCCGGAATGGCCACGGCCTTAAAGATGATGCCCCTGAAGTGAGTCGGAAAAATAAGTTGGAAAAAGTTGGATATACACTTTAATGGATTGGTTAATTGATGTAAATAATGTTTCTTAGAGCCTGGTGGTGGCTTCTGGCTGTACCGTTTGCCGTCCTTATCTTCGTTTATGACGAACTACGACGTTTGATTATCCGCTGCTACCCCGGTTCCTGGTTTGAAGACGAGTTTTACTACTAAAATCGGAAATATTTCTAAATTATTGTGTCATTATTCAGAAATTATTAGGAAGCTAAATTAAAATATGGTAAAAATAATCTTCTCATTTGCCAAGACTGACTAGATTATCAATGCGTGATATAATATGATATGTAAACTTTTGTGATATGAGCTTGGACTCATGCTCCTAAAAATATATTTGTTACCTTATTATTCGTACACTTTGTTGTGGAGAGTGTGTTGTCTCTTTGTGTTATCAAAGTCTTCATAGATTCGTATAAATGCGTAACCATTGTTTTGTAGTGAAAAATTAAAGAAAACTCGACATATTTAATAATTTATTACGCATTCATTGTTGCACCCGACAAAGAATTTTACACTCTACGCATAAAAATGGTATAAAATGTAGATTAAGCTATATAATACGTGATGGTAGTTATTTTAATTGAGAGAATTTTTTCATTTTTAAAACTTTAGTTAACAGAAATTGCACCTTCATAATTTACTCCTAACATACATGCACATTTTCATTAAGATATGTATAATACTGCACCAAAACGAATAAGTATTTAGGTCCTCAAAAACATTTACTTTCCTTCACACAATTTTAAATGGTTTACGACAAGCGTAAAATTCCACACTCAGTTTTTGTGTGCGATATCATAATAATATTTGCATAACAATTGCAGAAACGTGAGTTATTTGGATTTTACACTTGCATAGTTGGGGGTGTGTATGTATGAATATTGCGTTAAGAATATCAACATGAATCACCACTGGGAAAAGGTATTAATCATGTAAACGGTCTACTTGGTGTACAAGCCTTTTCTACTATTTCAGCTATTCACTAAATTCGATTGCAAGAATCAAATGTTTGAAAAATCTATCGTAATTTTATTTTGAGTATGAGACCTATATGAGAAAGTGTAGTAAAAAATTTGATACTGGCAAATGCTTTAGTATGGAAATTACCCTTAACTAAAAGTTAGAAATTAAATCAATTAATATTTCTACGGAGAGGTGGATACCCCTTCATTGCCCCTTCCACGGTCCAAATAGCTTCTGACCTGGCCGCCTAATAATGTACTTCAGTTTCTTAATTAATAGATTTCAGTTGTCAAATGCAAATTTTAAGTAGTAGAATAATATTTACGAAGAGATGCTGTCTCATTTTGTGTTATAAGCGGACGCTGGTGTGAGTGTCACCCGTCGTTGTCGCTTTGTCCCTGCCGGAGAACTGACGAGGGTGACCGTCGTGGGAGATGGGGATGGCGATGGACGGGGCGACACTTTCCTCGCCGCAGTCCCACCCGACCTCCTCTTCCTTTCGACATCCTTTCGAAACAAGGTCCGGTCGTAGGAAAGTTTTGACGTGGGAAGTGACCTTCGCTTTCCAACTCGGCTGTTGCTATTAGTCGATCCCAATGCCACAAAAGGGTCAAAGCCGTAGCCATAACCGGCACCGTACGTGGCGTGTTCGTAGGGGTTGACGTGTTCAACGAGCGGAATTGGTGGTGGGAGTGGTTCCTCCACGGGGTAAAATTCGGGTGTTTTCACATGCGCGTATGCGGGTGGAGGTGGAGGTAATACTCCTTTGTTGATGTACTTTATGGTGGGACGATAACCAAACCTAATTTTATTTATATTACTTAAATTATTATTATGTAACTCTATGGGCCTCGGCCTGGAAGGGTTTAGGATTTAAATAAAAATACAAAAAAATACAAAATACGATAACCAACCTATCTGCGATGTAGGACACGATCTGAACTGGAAGTAAAAACGACGTTGAAAAAATAAGTAATAAAATTGTTCTTTTAAAATAAGACTGCAAATTGGGGTCATAAATTACAAACAACGTGGAGGTCTTTCTCTCATGTATAAATATATTATGCAGCTTCTACCTAATCATGTTTATCGATTCAGTGATATTTTCTTGAATGGACATGTGAGTCTCATTTACCATTCTGCCTCCGAGCAGCGAATGGAATTGTATGCCGAACTATTATCCGTCATATCATGAGATCATTAAAAGCAATAAAACGAAAACTTCTTGGAGAGAATTCAATCAACCCGTGATGAAGAACAGCAGAGAAGAAGAAAGGGTTTAATAAACTCTGAAATGTACACTAACTACACGGTTCTTCGTACTTATTGTATTGTAATAAATCTCTGGTTTGGCATCTCCACTACATGTGTACATACACCAATCCAATCCACTGAACCAAATCCATTTTTTGTCGGGGAGCCAATTATTCCAATTATTTTACGCATGTTGCGTTGCGTTGAGTTGGATATCAACTCAAAAGATGCATACATAAGAAGCTCTTTTTCCCTCACTGGCACAAAAAATAATCTCCATGAAGAAGGAGAAAGGACCATTATTCCCTTTCCATCTCACTTTGATGAGGGAATAATTTCTTCCACTCAAAAAATCTGGGAGGATAAAAAAAATTCTGAAAATTTGATTCCACAATTTTTCAATATGTTCATATGTGCTTAATGTGTGTTGTCTAAAAATGTGGAATATATATGAGTCATGTCTCTTCTGCAGAATTTGATATGATAGAGATTCCACATTGTGTTATCCATATTGGAATTATTAGCTTAGGACTTAGGATTAGTCAGTTGCCCACCCGTCAGATAAAATAAAATAGGCGAAAGATGATAATGCAAAGTGATGATTACCAACCGAACCAAGGAAGTCAACGTTGTTTTTGCTCCCATCATCATCATCATCATCTCATCATCTCCATGGTCCAAAAAGAAAAAGTTCCTTCAGTACGCAATGCGTCTCATCATTCTTATCTCGTCTCTTTTTACGTACGCATCTAAGTTTCTGCCCCAATAATGCGAGCCTACATGCACTTAAAGATCTCCATATCTTGTAGATCTATCCGTCATAAGAAAAATGAAGGATTTGGATGATGGATTGAAACCTTTCTGAAATTTACAATTAGCAATTTATTGGGAAGGATTAGTGTGCGGATGGATGATGGGAGAGATAAGTAAAAGGCTTAATTAATTTTCTTTGTTGGTCGGCTCCTGCATATTAGATAATAAAGTGGTAAATTACTGTTGGAATTTAAACCACGGGAATAAGAACCTCGCTGTTAAGAAAACTAAGGTATGATGAAAAGTGCGTACAAGAAAAATTGCATAAGTGATTCTGCTCATGTCAGTAGAAAAAAGTTGATGGATATTTTTTGTGCATACATGTAGAGATTTGTGCAACTCTAAAAAATCCCACACATGCGGTTGCTGGACGTTGACAAGTGGATGACATTAAGATGTCTTTTCCATTTCTTGACATCTTGGGGAAAATGTCACTGTCAGATCAGTAATTTAAGTTAAACGACTACGACACAAAAAACCGCAACATCAGCAACCGCATGTAAAATAATGTCTTGATTAATACTTAGAAACGTGAGCGTATTATTGTGCTTTATGCGTAACTAAATTTTGTGATGGTGAATTTAAGAACGAAAAAAAAACTTACTGCGTCCATCCGGTAACAAGACTCGGTATTGTCCTTGAACGACGTCGCCATCCCTGATTTCCCATCGTCCATGGGACAACTCTTTGAAATATTCGTCCAGACCGTCCACCTAGCCGATAGTTATCATTAATCAAATCATGCATGTCATGTATTATCATCAACATCCAAAATTTGCGGAAAATTTTACCTCATATCCGAATGCATATTTGGGCCTTGACTATTTAAAAATTATTTGAAATTGTTTGAGTTGATACAAATCATGTAAAAAAATTCAAATTAATGATGCAAAGAAGAAAAATGACATAATGACATGAGTGACTCTGTTTATACGTATATGACTTACGTAATAGTCAACGATGGCGTTGTGTCCTCCTCCATGATGACCGTCGTAGTATTCTGGATAAGGAACTGAGACAACAGAGTCCAATCCGTTGGACAAAAGTAACAGGCATGAATACACCAAAAAGTCTTTTGGTTCCATTCTTGCTCTTTGTGAGGTGCGGGATCTACAGGAAAGCGTTTTTTTAGATACACAAATGGTGATCTGTGCGTACAAATACTTGATTGATGATTGATTTGAGATACAATTTGTGTATGCAGGCTTTCTAGGCTAAGATTAGATTTTTTTTCGTATGATTGTCAGATAAAGCCTCGCAATGTACGGCGCTGGACTTTAAGACAACTATCTAATTTACATGTACAACGCTAACAATTAATGCTTTTAGCTTGATAAATATTAACTTGGCTGCAGATTAAATTCAAATCAACAATTGGCAACAGATAAATTCCCTTCATTGTCTTGATCCCTGATTGTAAATGATGGACAAGATTGATGATCATCAATGTTATGTAACTACATAAAAACACAGCAGCAGTATCATCAAGACTAACAATTGTTACTCCTCAATCCAAGCGTTGTTTCGTTGGCATGTGGAAACCGGAAGACTGAACACGATCAATCCCTCGTACAAATTTCAAAGTGAACTTTGATGAAGGAAGTAAGTGTATCGACATCGCCAGAATAGCTTGCCTGGCCAACGTTTTAACGAGTTTCCGTTATTTTTTCATTAAGATTTTTTAACGTGCTGTCAAACTGGACATGACAACTGAACCGTCTGCCAACATGAGACTGACAAGACTCTGAATGTACATGACATTCACCATTAAATTGCAAGAAGATAATTGTAAATGAAACCGCAAACAGATCCAGATCTTGGTTACATAACAAGAAGCTTCAACAATTTGTGATGAAATCCACACCAACCACAAAACAATGTTCTTTTTGACAATAACAATTATTCACGAAATTTGACAAACTCTAGTCATATTGCTAACAAGTTATCATACGCACATAACTACGTGTCATGAATTAGAACAACAAATGAAATTGAATCGAAGCTTGTGAACAATTCCGAAATGTGATAAATTTCAACAAATTAAAATACTTACCCCTTTAATCGATCCAACTTTCCAATATAATAAGTATTTGCCACAATTTAATAATCAAATTATTTTTTACAAAAATATTATTTCCAGAAATCTGAAAATTTATCTTCTCAAGTGCACGAAGCCAAAAAGTGTACCACTTCCATGCAAAAGCACGCACTGGTTTATGAGTACGACAAGGAGGAAACAATGACTGAAGCCTTTGTCAGAAAGCAGTCTCGTTTTTATCCACGTCCAAAGTAACTGCATCCCTACGCATAATTCTTATGTAAGAGCTGCATTGAGCCAACTTCACCTGCACCTACCTACCTACCAACCTATCTGCAGCTAGACGACGACGTTGCCTTGGAAGGTAACCACATTCTTACGACTGGGAAGAAGGAAAGCATTTTTCCTTGCATTATTGGGCTCATCACCACCTCCTCACAACAATGCGGTAACAATGGGATGAGATTGTTGGCATCATGACCACTCTCGCTTTCATCCACCAACTTCAGTCGCCCGTCTTTCTCTGACTCACACGTTTTCATCTGTAGCAACGGCAGAACGAAGCCACATGCACACGTACTTACTTATTATGCAAATGCGGATACATGCACCTACCTATCAGTGCAAATGTAACAAGACTTTTGGATTTTTAAAAGCCCTCAGCTCTAACCTTAACCGAGTTTATTTATTATATGCACCTGTATCCCCATAAGGATTCGCATGTACATTTTATATAAAACTCTGGGGTACGCACAGTAGGCAGGATTATTTATTCCGACGACCAGTATTTGTTCTAGTTTCAATTTCCACACGTAAATCATTCTTCACTGAGAATTATGAACGAATCATAAATCAGACAGATTGAAGTATGAATAGGAATTAATTATTTTTTGGTTTTGTAGTTTTTGCGACTAATTAAACCGATACAGTTTTACTTTATTGTAAAATCTGGTACACTGGAATGAGAAAACATACTTCATTAAAATGCGTAATTGATAACAATCAGGCAGCGATAGGCAGAAGGGTTTCAATACCCATTTTAAGGGTTGCCCAGCCAATTAAGAAAATACTTATTATCAAATATTCACAGATTTGCATGGCATCTCCATGCATATAATTAAGGGGATTATCTGTATGTATATATGTATGTAGGACAAATGCACAGAGTTTGAGCAGCGTGATGAATAAATCATCACGTTGCTGGATAATGCATTTTAAATACGAATTAACAATACTGGACACACCAAATACATAAACATGCATTTTCTAATTATCAGTTTTGTTTTACTTGAGGGAGAAGCTGTTGCTTGGCATAATTCCAAAGTGATGAATTCCCATTTACAAGGAACGATGATGGGTCTAGTTGCGCATTTTCAAAAAGTGTGAGGAGCTGCATTTTATTCATTAGTTCTGTTAACAAAGTCATGATCATGGAAATAAATGCAGAGAGCCTCCAGCAGCAGCCAACATTCAAAGACTTCAAAGGGTTACCAGGGGGCTGCTGCTGCTTTGCATTCCTCAGTCACTCAAAGGCCCAGCAAAAGGGCTTGTTATTCCACAATCCACATTTGCATTTTATTTATATGCGTGTGTATTTTGTCCACGAGAGATGAGTTTGTAGATTGCGTTCAGTGTTTGGTTAGGATTGAATATTGCATCACTTATTTAATGCTTCTTCGTCAGCCCTGCATTGAACGAGTTACGGGAGAATATGCAAATCAAGATTCCACAAGTGAAAATGAGAAAATAGTTCTATAAAATTAATTTAATTCAGATCATTCAGCAAGAAAATCGATTTCTGTAACGCTCAATCTCCTTTCAATGAAATGTGTTGTAAGGAAAATTTTACTGTTTGGACGACAGACCGTCATACAATTTCGACTTGCCTGATTGCTCTTTGTATCCACATACGTACAAACCCCCACACATGAGAAGAAAGAAAGGGCGATGAAAATAATAAGTGACTTGACCTAAGCTCAGACGACTCTTTGCGTGCGTGGGGTGTGAAATGCATAAGTCACGATTTACCTCTGTTCGTCATCGTCCACTGTGCATAAGTAAGCAGTTACTGCTGACTTGACGTCGGCATTTTGTAAAAATGAGAGTGATTTAAATCAACGACACGACGGAATGAAATAAGTGGGGCGATGGCTGGCATACACCATTTTTTAATATAGCTTCGAGATGAATGATTCGATGAAAATCGTAATGTTGTGAGTGGCACAATCATGCAGATATGTTTGAAAAGTTGTGTGGTCTGTCTCTATCGTCGTGTTCCTTAAAACAACAACATTCATATCGCAAAATAGATCAAGACTTTGGTTTCCTGAGAATATTCTAAAAATTATGATTCCAGTCAAATGAGTTTTACACTTATATTTAAAATTTAGACTAGTAACTCCAACAAAATTAGATCAGCAAAGTTATTCAGCCTTTTCCAAGAAAAATATGACTGCAAAATGAATACTTGTTAGCCGATATAGAATTGGCAGAAGTTGTTGGTCAATAATTTGTGAAAAATTACCCATTGTTTTGCTCCAATAATAAAAATTGGTTAAGGCCAATTTAAATGTCCACCTTTAAATCCCTTAAGGTTATCTTTCCAACATCACGTCGAATTCTATGTAGATCAGATTCTATAGTAAAATATTCTTCCATTGAAATTCCATAAAGCAGAAAAAATTAGATTTAGTTCAATATCACATCTCATTTATGAAATTGAAACCTTTTGCCATTTACCGTGTTTGAGATAAATCTCCATTATTCAATTAAGTGATTATTATTACCAGTATCGTTACAAATTAAATTGTCAGTCAAATCGTTACTGTTGATCATGCTTAAGTAGAAGGGAGCTCATTTTTCTTGAAAATTATAAGTTTATCCTCATTATGGATATCTGGCACTATACCTACTTATTTATTTGGCAGCTTAATACTATGCTTTGTGTGTTGTTGCTGCCGTCTGGGTCAGTGTCTCCGATGATTAACTATTGATAAGTAGGAAATTGCTATTTTTACGAAATCTTAGAAATGCAGATCCTTGAAAATATTTATAAAGCTGATTTTTAACGAGTAGCAAATAGTTATGAAACTAAATAAACCGTTGACGTAGCTCTGTGATCAAAACGCAAAAATTGCAAACCTATATTTGCATGAAAACAATGGGATCCTAGCCTACATACAGTACTACAGTTAACAAACTTCAAAATTAAATCAGTGATGAAATGAGACAATGTTGTGCGGTCAACGTCGTAACAACAACAATGAGTTGAATCTCTCTTTTGCAAATTAAAATGTTCCTGTTCTACATATATCCTTATCCCACAGTTTTCCTAATTTAATTGAGTCATATCATTTTAGAACGAACTTCCAAGGAACAGAAGAATCGCCACGCCTTTGGATGGATGCTATAACTGGCTGAATATTAATTGCGTTTAAAATGAATACGTTTCAGTCAGTTGCAGAATATAAATTCACTGCACTAAAAAGTGCTGAAAATGTGGCTTGGGAATTGGATGTCAATGACGAAAAGTCTTTGTCATTTTCTTAGAATAATTGACACTGAACGTGCCAATGATACACACTTACAAATGACATTCATCATCACTGGAATATCAAAATGCACACGCTGTATTGTACATTCAGCGAAATTAAGTGTGCTATTTATTTCAGAATTGTGTGACATCATTATTTATCAAGAAAGCTGTGATAAAGTTCGTACATAATTAATGCACTCGCCATTTTGTTTTTATTATGTACATGTTTAGCCACCACCGAGTCCTAATATGAAAATTGGCAACCTTGAATCTAATATATTTATATGTACTTAAGGAATTTAGCAGAAATGGGAAGGTTGTCTGCCACGTAGCTCAGCCTGAGTAAGTTTAAGAATGAATAAGAGGTTGACAATTTTGGGATTTTGAATCCCGGAGGGGCATCACATCTTTATTGTAATAATCGTTATGAAATTGGTCATAATTCTTTGTTACAAATTATGACAAATTATTTACTTGTTGGAGACTAGGACACAATAAAAGTTGCATAATACAAATTCCTGTACCTACAATGAAATAAAATCGAATGCACGACTTATGACCCCATGAAGTCTGCCTCGGGTTTACTGGTTCTAGCGCACCACAAAGTAATTTTATGCTATATGTATGTACGATGTGACGCACTAAATACAACAATCAGTGAACTTTAATCTCGACGCTCGACACGTTCTGGGTAAAATTATTGAACAGTTTCATCACAATATTCACAATAACATTACCACATGTATGATGTGACATTACGTTATTGCTCATTTATTCAACCAAAATAGATCAATTTTATTACCACAAGTTTGTTAAGATCGACTAATAGTCAAAGTAAATCAAAATCATTTTGCGGTAATCGTGGCAAACCGCAATACCACAAGTAAATGAGGTACTAAAGTTTGTTTGTTTGTAAACAGTATAACTTGAATGAGTTGAATAAATATTTGACATGCGGATTGACAAACAATGCTAAATTAGAATTCACACTGATTTGTATACTTTTTGACGAGCAAATTTATGGACTAAAATCCACAAGTTCCGCAAAGTCTCTTTTCAATAATGTTCAGCAAAATCGAGTATCGATCCGCATAGGATAATTTTCAAGCCAAATTATTAATCATATATCCTGACATTATCGTTTACAGGCATTAATTTCGAAAAAATATCACATCATATCATCAACATCAGTGGGAGTGTGGGACATATCAGTAAACATAACAATAAATTGAAAGTGGACCAAGTTCAATTTTTAGTCGGTGTGCTCACATTTTAAACTTTAAAGTCCGTATGGATTGCAGAGGAATACTTGCGATGACTAGTTGCACCACCTGCAGCTATAATTTAGAAAATGAATGGTATTATTACACCAAGACCGAAATCGTTTATCGCCTTAAACTAAATATAAAATGGATCGATGCTATGGACTCGTCGTCGTATATTATTGTTTGTTTGTTGAATTCGTTCCGTTTGCCTAAAAATCTGTTAAATCAACATTCACGACAAGAGACCAATAAGACCAATCTTAAATTGCACCATCATTTTCTTAAAAGGAAATTCATCTTGAAATCGATTGATACGGATTATTAAGTGGATCAACTCACATAGTCACCTCTCATAATCATAATAATAAAATAATAATAAAGAGTGCAGATAAATGGAATAAATAATGCCATGTCGTAAACGGCAATATTATTATATACTATGTTTGCTAAGTAAACTACCTGCCAGGCAGCCAACCTATCGTAATACGTAATGTTCTTGGGGCTTTGAGGAATAAAAATTATTTTTATGGTATGATGTCAAGCTCATAACTGAATGGTATTAAATTTTTGTCTTTGTCGGGTCACAATAAATGATCATCATTTAATGACGGCTATTTAATTGTGGGTATAGATATGTGTAAAGATATTGATTACCACAACATATTTTTTTTCTTGGTCACAATGTAGACATAGATGCTGCAAAAAAATGGCAAAATGCAAACAAAAAACTCGGTATTTCATAAAAGAAGGTTTTACTGTGATTAAGATGTGCACTAAAAAATGTTGACATTATTGTGGTTATATACTCTTCAAGGATTGTAAAATATATCTGCATGTACAAATAGTTCTACATATCTATATAGTATTGCACTGTTACAAACTGTAATATATTGTAACTTATGTACAATATATTGAATCACGCCACGTCATTTATTAATGGGCACGTGCCATTTATTGCCGTTATCATATGTATCATTTCCAGAAACAAAATTTCCAGCAAGTAAATACCTATAAAAATCACGTGTGGACGGATTTAGAAATTCCGAATCTTCATCCAGTTGGATCCGATATAATTACATGTATGCATAAGTATATGCACAATGAACTAATTGTAAGATTGGCAGTACATAATTACGAGATAACAATTCTTGCTACAATGGTTGTTGGATTAGTTTTAGGATTAGTGGACTTACTACGCACGTTTGCTGTATAAAACCAGTCCCACTTTAGGTACTGGCCACATAGTCCTTCATAATTGAATTTTTTACCTGAAATAAATTTTGTAAGCTACACAAGCATATACATACACATACACTTGCAGAATCATTTAACATTATGGGGTCTAAATTCATTACTGTTTTTATTAGCCTCATGCTTGCATCTGTACTGCTGGTTCAGGTAAAATGGCAGATTTCATTTTTCGAAATTATTTATTTTATATTGCAGCATGTTTTGTGGTGTAGGATTGTTCAGGGGTACAGCAATGTTTTGCCCCGACAGCTTGTGACACTAATCTAGCATCCTGCACCATCGGACTAGATTGCTTGGGGTCTTTGTTCACAATGTGCGATTTTGGCGACCTTCAACCCAACGGAGCTTGCCAAACCTTTCCAGGCACTACAACTCCTTACTGCGAATGCAACTCTTGTATTGGGCTCGTCAATGAACTGGTAAGTTAAAAAGCTAATTTAAGTTAACGATTTAAATATGTTAAATGCTTAATAACTAATTATATGAATCCGTGTTTTAGTTCTATTCCTGCTCTTGCAACAATGCACCAAGCGGATTAGTATGTCCCACTGATACAACATTTGTTTCTTGTCGATCCTTTGTGACAGGACAAGTTCAGTATTCGTGTTGTAAAAGTCCTGATGTATGCTAATTGCAAATGCTACATATACCATCCGAATAAACGATTTAACGTTCAAACAAGCAATATAAATTTGATTAATAAAAGTGTATCTATCTAAAATTTGATGCATTTTTAAATTATACAATATGTACCATGATATTTTGACAACTGTCTCGCCAGTAAAATTGAAATATTAATTATACACTTTGGGTAACATTTAACTGGTATCAGTGCCACGCCCTGATTTCAAACTTCACGTGCAGTATTGGTGCCTTATTAGCTGTAATAATGGTCACGAGTTTGTGACATAGTTATTATGATATGTATGTAATAACGATCTGTAACACCAACTAGCAGCCTCGTTTGATGCATGCAAAATTATTTATATCGTTAACATCACAAACTGATGCAAAATGGTGATTACAGACCGGAAAGTTTCGTGAATGGGTAGTCATTTACGAAACGTTACGTTTAATACAAAGCGGGCAGTAGTATCATAAATAAAATCACAATAATTAATAACTTACAATCAAACTCAATATCATGCTAACTTTTATGTCTTATCCTAACCAATATTGTGTTAAATATGAACCATTTCATTCAGTAGGACAAAGAAGGTTCCCAAAATCTCAAGTATTTGTCACATGAAACTTTTGCTCACTACGTAGTAAGCCAACGAAACCAATTACTACATGTGCACCATGCAAGCCATATTTTCCCGTCATTTTTCATTCATCCACTTCACTTTATCAAGCAAAGTAATTTGCAGGCTGATTGTGTCGCGTAGTAAACGTGAGAATGCTGCCACCGGAATCTACATAGGAAGGTGGAAAAGGAAATGAGCCCATCTGAACGAAATATAGGCTCGATCCGATCCTCTGGTACGGATATGTAGTTGTAGTGCTGCTCCAATTCCGAATCATTCAAAGCTATCTTTTCCCCATATTATACAAAACCACCAATTTTGGGAGAGCGTTAATGCCACTGACTCTGTCTCTAAGTCTACATGTTTACCCTGACGACGACGCCTGGATACCATTGGTGGTAAAGGATGGATGGATGGATGGACAGGAATCGAGGTGACAAACTGGAGTGCTGTTTGACATGACACTTGCAAAACATACATACGAACTATCAATACAAAAATTTTGGTTACAAGTATCCGCTTATACTGCACATAGTCGAGGAAAGTAGAACAAAGCTATAAAGCTGCTAAAATGTAGCAAAATATTTATAAAAAATTTAAAAATACAATATGGCGAACAGATCAGTATTCCGTGGTTTCTTTCAAATTTAGGTTAATATTATCCACGTTAGTATTACACCCGTAACGGGCTGGTTTCGGCCAGTATTTTTATTACGTAACCATTACCGAATTTCAATTTTCTGATTCCAATTTTTTGGAGAATGGGTTGTGGTGCTTCAAAAAATGACGTGATAAAGTCAGCATCAAGTGATATTCTCCCAAAAAAGAAGGACGGTTCCAATGATTCTGCTATTTCGGAAGCCAGTACTATTCCGGCACATGATGGGGACATGTACCAGCAGAATGGCAAACCTCCAAAAGTCCTACCTCCACTCAAACCCTTAAGAAATCCGAGAGAAAAGCCACCGGGTAAGTTTCTAAAAGTGTTTATAAATATCACCATGAAAAAATGAACTGTTGCTAATTTTGTGAAACTATCTAAATAGAGCCGATAGCATTTGAAGTACCAGCGGGTGATGATGACCCTTCCGCTGTCGGAGGCGATGGTTCCCTAATCAAGAAGCATCCGCCCAGGAGGCTTCGACAATTAGAGGAAAGGTCACCCGAAGCTGTGAACAATTTAACACAAGAAGATATTCAGGAGAAAGTCGCTTTAGCAAATCAAAGAAGAAATCAGGTGAAAATACGAGACTTAAAAAGTTGAATATAACACCAAACTAATTTTTGGTTTGAAATCACGCGAAGGTATTAACGCAACGTGTTGCTAGTGCGAGACAAAAGTCAGCAAGAGGAGGAAGGTCGAGAAGACCAGTGATGAGTAATGACCAATATACGATGGTAAATAATACTAACTGTTCACTTATTAAAACTAAAATTTTAGGAAATCAAAGAAAATGGCAAAATTTTTATTGAATTGTGTTACTAATTGCAGGCTGAATTGGAAAATGAACTGTACGGGAACAATAATTCTGAGGCGCTTGGTGGCATGGGTGGAGGAATAGACAACGACTTTTCATGACTTGTCCATCGCTCACTCCATGCATATTGAATATGAATATGTAAATATGTAGTTAACTCGAAAATGAATAAGGCTTATTAATAATCCGAATAATTTTTTAGTAGAGGAGTAGACTGTTGTATGTACATTAATTCGTTTCAATAACTCTTAACGTGATCATTCGAATATTAAAATAAATTCTGTTTCGCAACGATATCCTTTGCGTTTAAATCCTTTCCAAATTATTCATGAATTTTAAGGAAGTCCAGAATCTAGACTTTCAATGCTATAATCTGCTGGGTCCCCATTGTATGTACGTTCTGCCACTACTTTTTCTAAATGCGCATCTCTAACACGGTTGCTAATTCGTGCTAATTACACTTTTGCGACTAGGACAAGATCTCCATCAATAAATATCTATCTCCACAATTTGAAACATATGTGAGTTAAAGTTGTAACTAAAACATTTAAAAATATGGCCGATAATTCAAAAAACGATTGTGAGAAAGGATTGCCATCAAAGCTTGTACATAAATACATCAGCTAAATTATATTCAAATCGGGTGGTGAGACAAACTATTTATATATTTTTTTTATTTATCCTTCCAGCCTGAAGAAAATAATTCCGAGATCCTGCAAGGTTCTGGAAGGGATTTCAGAGCTATTTTGGTGAATTTGATTTTGTTCATGGCCGTGATTGGGGTCATTTTTCTTGCCCTTAAATTTCCAGGAGCGGATGGTCCACCGGAGGACATGTCTGAGGGAATAAGAAATGTTCACCCTGATACAATTTTGAGCTACTTTGAAGCTGGAAGTAGATGGAAAATTGATTGAAAGATTATATGCTTAAGCATCTACATACATTCATAAATATCTACACACATGTAAATATGTATGTATGTCTGCGTACGTAAATGTTTCATGTGTAATGTCATTTCACTCAAGAGTTGAGTAATAATAATAAATAAGTAATTGTTTAATTTGATGATGGACACGTGTATGATATAACATTAAACACACAATATGTACTAAATACGAAAATTTTTCATTGAGAGAAATAAATTCAAGTACATTAAGCAGAAAAAGGTCCATTTAATTGCACTGTGTAGCGCATTCTTTTATGTAGGATTAAATTATGAACGTAAGCATATCTGAAAATCAAGAAAAAAATTTTCATTGGTTGGTTTAATGATTGTCGTAAATGATGGCTTATCCAACTCTCACATGAACAATGAGATCTTAAATAAAATATACCCATGAATCAAATAATTAAAATGGGCTGAGCTATATCTACGTATTTAGAAGTTTGCAAATAGCTAAATAGCAAGCAAATACCGGCTTCGTTATCCTTAATATTAAAGCTCCAGCAGCGTTCAATTTCTGAAGTATATATAAAGTCTTACTGAGAACGGTCTACAAAGACATTAATCATTGAACATATACAAGCACGTGTTCATCATGGATTTATATTTACGAGGTGTTCTTAATCAAATAGTGTTCGTTTTGCTGTTTGGCAACTTTAGTTTTCCCGAAAAAGTGAACAGTGAAACATTATTGCTACCAAACTTGGGCATCTCAGACATTCTAAATCTCCGGAACTCTACGGCAAAGAAAACCAGAATAATTTCCTACGGGCCAGATTTATCTTCAGCGAGGAAATATGTATATTTGTCAGGTAATTCAGAAGAAGAGAGATTTAAATTCTTGAGCGATTCTTACATGCATATTGAAATATGTACGTGTGCATGTAAATAAGTAAGTGAAAGTAATAAATTGTTTAACGTGAGTATATAATGATTTTCGTAGCAGCCAGCTATTGTTTCGACCTTCCAAAGTGGACGTGTCCCTTCTGTCGAATAGCTAGAAATATGGGGTACGAATATTCCAATACGGTTTCCAACCCGGCTACCAATACATTTGGCATTATGGCAATTAATAAGGATGCTAAAGAAATAGTGTCGCGTTTCGAGGAACCTTTAACGTAGCCAACGTACTTCTCGATGTTATCTTATCCCAGGTGAATCCAAGCAATGTCTTCAACACGAACAGAGTAATAAGCAAAGTGATGGGACTCGTGTCGGGTGACTTTTCTGGAAGTCATAGCCAAGAATATTTTTCGTCCGGAGAAGAATCGACCGTTATGGTCCATTATGGCTGTTTAAATGCTACCAAATCGCTCTTTAATGAAGTCGTCGTAAAATTAGGGAAACTATTGCGAAGACATCCTGATTACACTGTGATAATGTCGGGGTAAGTTCCATCAATGGCATTGTAACGACGAAACATGTTTTAATAACCATTTTAATTATTTTACAACTAAAAGCACAGTTTGGGAGCATGCATAGCATCCATCGCACTGTACATGTTGCAACAAAAGATCAATTTACCATCAGATTTTCCAACCCCGGTTTCCTACGCCTACTTTGGCTATGGGGAGCCTCGAGTTGGGAATAAGGCGTTTGCAGACTACTTTAATCAACAAAAAGCAAGGGATCCGGAATGTGGATGGGACGGAATGTGGGTGAAAAAATATGGATGAGCATAAATATGGAGAGGGCAAAACGTGTACATCACTAATCAGGAAAATAAAAAGCCACCCCCTCCAAGCATTGCAAAATGTTTGTTGATAAAGGGGGTTGCATTCAACATGATGTGTGACTTATCCCGAAAATAAATCCAAACCATTAAAATAGATTGAAAAATTAGCCACCCAAGTTATCCTTTCCAATGTATAAACTATCTCCTAATCGTCAATCTCCACTTCATTCCACCCAACATATAGTGAAATTTTTTGTGGGTCTAACCTCATTGCATAAATCTCACTATGCCAATTTTCGGCGATACAGGCTTTCAATGTTGAATAAACTATAGAGTTTATATATCTATATCTCTTGCAAGTGCGTCAACGCCTCCCCCCCCCCAAAAAAAAGGGAGGTGGGGTAACGACTTCTCCGTCAATTTCGCTACCAAAAAATAGGAGGAATTGGCGAAGGAGTCGTTACCCCCCTTTCCTTGTCATACCGCCTCAGCTCCTGGTCTATCGTGAGCCACCCGAAACTGACCAGCTACCTAAACGAATCAAACTAAATTCACTTAAGAAATCCTAAACTTTCAACTTTGATGTACACATTTGTAATCTGTCTAAAAAATTACGTTTTCCACAATTTTTATTCACGTTTTGTTTTTATCCATGTTTCTGTCATCCATAAATTTCTTATCCTTATTTCAGAGGTGATATTCCGTCCTCTCCACATTGTTTCTAATCCATATTCAACCCAGATACAAGTAACACGGATTGTGAATAAAGCAGGTTGCTTAACACTTGAATTTATTTCTCTTAATGAAAAGTTTCATTTTTAGTACATATTGATCGTACTCACGACAACGTCTTAAGTATTTCACATCGCAACTCATTTAGTAAATAAACTTGCGAAGATCAAAATGTTTGTGAGGGGATTCGCAAAATCTGACTTCGCAAATTTCGCATATCTTGCAAATCTACCAAAAATACCTAGTTTGATGTCGTTTCCATACATGCCAAATTGCTGAGTAAATTTGCGAAAAACTCCCATGGTTTCCCAGGCAAAATTTTGATAAATCTCGTAAATTTTGCAAAACTTCACAAGTTATGCTGCTATGCTCAATTTGCGAGATATGCGTCTATGCGAGACATACGAAGTTGACGTGAGTACGCCCATTGTGTGTTTACTAATATGTAGAACTAACTTAAGAGGCTGTAAGCACATGCAAGTAAATGTATTGACAATTCAGTAAACAATTTTCTAAATGCAGATGTGGTTCCACATGTTCCTTCAGTGATTTTTGGTTATTTTCACCACGGGACAGAACATTGGATCAAGCCAAATAAAGGAGAAATGTGTTGTGCGAAAAACGTATACGAAGACCCCAAATGCAGTAATTCCTTAGGATTGGCGTATAATGTACAAGATCATTTGACATACTGCCCTACTAGCACATTGCCAGTGCAGATTTTGTACCGATGTGCCCCATTTCTCGGTACCGATTGTGTAACGATTTCGTGCTGGTACAGGGAAATCGGTACCTTGCCGGCACAGTTTAGCTACAAATTTTGGGTACCGGGACTGTTCCGGCAAAACTGTACAAAAATGGTATCGGTACATATGTACGGTTCCACCTGTACCAAAACTGTGCCGGTAAGGTACCGATTTCCCTGTGCCAGCACGAAATCGTTACACAATCGGTACCGAGAAATGGGGCACATCGGCACAAAATCGGCACTGGCAACATGTACCGGAACCGCACAGGTTGTGCTGGTAGGGTGGGACGTTGACTTCTTGATTTGCGCCCAAGAACACCCAATTGCTCTGCTTACCCAGTTTGTTCTACCTTTCGGCCACAAGAAATAAAGGAGAAAATATGCATATATTTTTAACGCATATGTATAAATATGTCGTCATTAATCACGAGTATGAAAGCTTTTTGTGCATTACGCTAGCAGTAAAACTGCATTTAATTTTTTATATCGATTTTTAAGGTCTGATAAATATGTAAATACGGGCTATAGTTTTGCTAATTTACATTTGAGAATACGTTTTTAAATACTAATGATAAAGGTTAAATGATTCTTTCATACGTATAGCCTATGTATTTAATAGGACCTAAATTTTTTATAATTATATATTATGTACATATTATTATTACTATTATTACTATTATTACTATTATTATATACTACTATTATTATTACTATTATTATTATTACATATTATTATTATTCATATTATTATTATTTAAAAAAAATACATGTCCAAAATGCAGAAATAAAAAAGTTTCGATTGTAAGTTTACAAAAAACAGTGTCGTCTGCCTCTGCATTATCAATTCATGCATCTAACAATTAAAACATGCATTGGACATTTACTTGTCGCATGACCACACCAAGTTAGTTGTGACTATTGGATGAAACGATAAACTTTAGCCATCCCCGGGCGTATAGTCTGAACATGTAATTTTGTGTGGAGAAAGCAGATGCAGTCATGCATATAAACATTTATTAGCACTTGTCAGTTGTCACTTGTGCATGCCTATTTATGCATGCTCTATTTGTTACATTACTATTTTTAGACGCTACAAATTAAAAAAAAACTGTGGATGCAGGGATTATGCAGATTAACGAAATTCATTGACTTTCTCATAAATCTGGAATGACCTGAGGACCACCACATAAGAATTATTATTGTTCAAATTGTTGAATCGATTAATGGCGTGATTCGATCTATGTATCTGATCTGCATGTTGTCAATCGTATTGTATGCATGAATTGAGTTCAGATAGTGTCATTTCATTATTGTACAAAATCTACCTAGTTTCATTGTCCTTTTGTCTATGTGGATGGCGTGGTACACGGCAAAAAACGCTTGAACGTCATATAATTTTCAGAATAGGGGCACGTGGCCGCCCCCTTCATACATCCTTTGTATGCATTGCACTAATGATAAGAAAATATTAAATTGTTAAGTATGAAGTTTTCATGATAATTGTCTAATGATCTTATCGTTAAGTTGTTGCGTTTTACAGAAGCACCGGGTGGTCATCCGACATATGTCATTGTATAATCATAGACGTTATATATTTAACAAAACGATTTACACCTAAGTTCCTACAGACACTAAAAGTTCACATTTTGATGAAAGTTGTTAGTCTGGTCATGGTTTGAAAACGAAAAACTTTTACACATATCAACTTCTATCATGGATAATTTTTTGAAAATTTCCATCTTACTTCTGGCTATAATACAAGTCCTATTTCTAAACGCAGCACACGCCCAACTCCTTAACACGCTAAAATCAAAGATTGATATCTTCGATGTGTCAAACACCACGTCGCAAAAAACTACGATTTCCTCCGCTGGCCCAGACGTCACCAAGGCAAAAAACCTTGTCTGGCTAACCGGAGCATCTTACTGTTTCGATTTGTCGAAATGGTCATGTCCTTATTGCAAGAAAGCCAAGGGTCTTGGTTATGAATATGCCGCCAACTTTTCTAACCCCAAAACTAATACTTTCGGAATTATAACTGTGAACAAGGCGAAAAAGGAAATTGTTGTAACAATTCGTGGAACATTCAATGTTGCAAATGTACTAGAAGATCTTGTTCTAACTCAGGTGAGCCTTGGTAGTGGGAGTGGTGCAAAAAAATCTTCAGAGAAAAAGAAAAAACTCAAGAATAAAATTAAGTCGGCTTTATCCGGTGGATCATCGTCAGACATAAAAGTTCACAAAGGATTCTTAACGGTATGCAATTAACGCGTCTCCTAAAAAATGGTAAAATGTCTCATAAGTAATATACAAGTTGCCAACATGCAAAACGTCTCCTAATGTTATTTTTGAGGTCTCATATAAATCCATAAGTAACTCCTAAATTGTTTTATAAAAAAACTCCCTTTATTTCATATAATTAACCGAGCGCCTTCCATTCGGACAAGTATGAAATTCGACTACAAAACGGAATTAAAAGATGAGCATGAGACAAAAGTGGTTTTATATAGTGAAAAGCATGCTAAGCCCCTTGATAATATTCGCAAAGACGATTTCTGCACTAGGGCCTCCGGAAAAAAATCTTTTGTTAGACGCCATTTTGTTATAAGAACGGAAAATTAAAAAATGACACCTTTCTAATTTTGACCCTATATCATTTGCCAGAGTGCACAAAACTGGAAGCCAGATACATATGTTCACCTATGGTATGAGACATGGGCTTTCACATAAAAAGCATTAGAAATCTCCCCACCCATAAACCGTCTGGTAATTCAGGCATGCATTTGTGAAAACCATCTCTGATCGCCATTTGTATATCATTGAATACTGGATAATATTAGCTAATTATCATGACATTGTCTTTTCGAATGATGCTTTCACTTAATCCTTTGGGAGAACAATCCTTGATTTCGAGCTACATACTTTTGCCACTCGACAAACATATTTAAAAATTTGTTCTCTTTCTGAAGAAGATATTTATTATTAGATTTGTTATTAGTTATTAGATTAGATTATTAGATTTCTTCTTTTTGCTCCTCTAAATACTTCTTGGCTTCAAATTTACTCTTGGAGCACCTCCCACTCACCGATTTTCATTTTTTTCCTTTGGTTAATGTCGTGTTCAGAATTTGAATCGCGGTCAGAGTCACCAGATTCAAATCGGAGCACTTGGGACGTCACTTTAATTTAAAAAGCTAATGAGAATAAATATGTAAAACCTTTAGAAAACAAAGTGGGAGTATTTTGGATGATGTTCGATGGACTTGATGTGTGGAACATAAGGCAGAAAATGATAAAAATTGCTTTTACATAGGCCACAAAGTCGTTGTATCCACAAATCGTGAAGGTGTTGGGGGCATTATTAAAGAAGAATAAAGGTTACAGTGTCATATTGTCAGGTCACAGGTGAGCCCGTAGTGAAATATTACCAAAATATATTAATGTACTTAGCTATTCCCTTATTTAGTCTCGGAGCCGCAATAGCGTCAATCGCCTTGTACATGTTACAACAAAAAATTAACCTCCCTTCCAATTTTCCAACCCCTACTTCCTACGCCTACTTTGGATATGGGGAGCCACGCGTTGGGAATAAAGCGTACGCAGACTACTTTAATAGCCAGAAGAAAGTGCAAATAACGAGGATTGTGAATAAAGCGGGTATAAAACGGCATTCCGGCAAAACATTTCATACTTTTTAATTATAAGTCGAAGGAACCAATGTTTCACACTTTAAAAACGCATACACGTATAAATCTAGATCCAATTTGTCATTTGGCCACGGCCCTTCAGGGCTATGTTCATCACGGAACAGAACATTGGATAAAGCCCATCACTGGAGAAAAGTCTTGTTCCAAGAAAGTTTATGAAGACTCAACCTGCAGCAATTCCTTGGGGCCTCTGTACAACCCACTTGATCATCTCCAATATTGGGATGTTGCCTATTTGAGCTGTGGGTTGAAAGACCCGATTCAATTACTTTCACAATTTGTTGTCCCCTTGTCGACTGGATAAGATAAAAACGATGGTTGGCATAATAATTTTGAATTTGAGCACTACTTCCAATTTGGAAATTGGTTATGATTTTCAGAATTTCGAGATGAAGTTTCATTTAGAGTTTATTCTGTAGTTGAATATGTATTAATATGTATTACTTGTTAAATAGTTTCAGTTCCATCGGTTACATTAAATCGTTACAAAATTAAAAAGTTAAAAATAAAATATATTTAGTTAAGGTTCTTTTAAATATAATATAGGATTAAATTATACAAACTATACATACATATACATTTATTAACTGCATAAAACTATTAAAATCTGCACATTAAAACTAAACCAGTTTATGCAATACTTGTTGATGAAGAATAATTGCTCTCATCTTTGTTTTAAAATATTTGTGAAAGGGTTCTTCCCATTGCGCCTTCCATTCGAACGGTGAACTGGTCGACGGGTGTGTGTGTCTGGCGAATTGGGCGTTCTCGTCGTAAAGAGCTCAACTCCCAAGCAGTCCACCCACTCGGACTCACTCAACCGTCGATCACCATTAGCATCACAATGGCGTGGAAGTTTCTTACCACATCTTTTGAGGCGTTTGTCTTTGGACACTTCCGTTCGGAAGAATTTCCATTCAGAACGATCTAAAATCTGAAAGTTAAGAAATTTGTCCTTATTAGTAAACTTTATTTACTATAGAGTCTCTTGAGTAAAGTATTTTATACCCCATCCGAATTGTCATCCAACTGCGAAAAGTACCAGCGTACTATAATATAAAAGCAAAATTTTAATTTAGATAGTTTTGGAGGTGTTGTGATTCACTTAGAAATTGAGTAATGCAAACTGAATAAGAAGAGTATGGCTGCGACTTTTTGTATGCCTCAATTTACACCACATGTTAAAAACAATGGGAGAGAGGTCGACTTTCGGTCTCTCCTCAATATTATATTAGATACTCGTAATTTCTGAACGTTCCTCCCGACTAACACATAAACAATTTATAAAGTGGTTATAGTTTTCTAATCTACTCCAGAGGTAGCTGTACAATTTTATGTCGACAAAAAATACCATCGGCATGATTAGCATCAAAATTCCAAATATATCACAAAGATAATACATACAAATAAATATTCGTTCGTCTCCTATTTAAATATTTATAACGAAACGCATTGTCATCTGACAAGGGAACCTTAAGTACTGTCACATCTCGATTTCCTTTCGGATGGTCTTAATTGATAGATAATTGAGTATGGCATATATAGGACGTCCTATATATGCCATATATATTGGCCTATATGCATGCCATGGGACCCCATAGGGTCCCTCCCAGATGACATTTTTTCCAGTTTCCTAAAAGCTTAAAATCTCGAACGAGGTGTGGAAAAGTTATTTTGTTGCATATGCTAAGAGCTGACGATATACATTAACAAAATTTTTTGCAACTTGCAAAAACAAATATATCCAACAATTTTGAAAAATACACAAAGTAGACTATATAGCATTGGTCATTATATCTTTTTTCATGAAAAGTTGCGAGTTTTAATTTTTCGCCCATTTTGTTGCAATAAAAATAATATTTTTGGAAAATTTGTTTTCAATACTTAAATAAAAGAAGTTTAACGCTTAAATTTTATTAAAATTTCAAAAAACGGCGAAATTTAAATTTAGAAAATTTCGCCGAATTTCGCAATTTAAAAAAATTGGTCAATGCTTGTATGATTTGTTTGCATATTTGTGATCAGCATGAAATTCCGGACAGGGAATTTATGAGCTTCATTTCATTATTCCGAAGACTGTCATCTATGTTAAAAGCATTGGAAAAATTGCACGTTTTGGTGCAACTTTCGCCAAATATTTCACAAAAACGTGATTTTGCACCGTATGTGCTACGACAAAGTTTTAGTTACACTCAATTATCTATCAATTAAGACCATCCGAAAGGAAATCGAGATGTGACAGTACTTAAGGTTCCCTTGTGAGATCTTAAAAGAAATAAATCCTACTAATATACTTTGAAAACTGTATACATACATAATATAAGTACTTTTGGGTTTGGCTTGGGGACAACAACGTGCTATTCATGTAAATACGTATTTGTAGATTGGTAATGATAATGATTGATAATATGTACCTGATTGTTCCTGTATCGACATGTGGCGATTTGTTCCAGGGATTCTTTTAGAAAATGTTTCATACGTAAATGTTTATTTCGCATAAGCTTCACTGACCATATATGAAAATTATTTACATACCTGAAGCGCCCTTCATTAATTGCAGAGGTCATTCTTTTCATTAACGAGTCTAGAAAAAATAACTTATATTAACCATTAAAATTTTAAGACTTAAATTGAAGAGTTGCGGACTAAACTCTTGTTCATTACAAGTAGCAATAAATATTTACCTAAGAGATCGGATAAAAACTTTTGTTTCTTTTGGCCGGAGCAACCTGCGTCATACATAAAACCAAAGGTTTCTTATATAGAAACTATAATTTTCATAAACAATTTATACATAGATTTTGTCACACCTGTCATTGGTTTAGAATATCTTTTACTACAGTCGGGTACAGAGTTTACGACCAACGTATTTGGAATTTGGATACCTCCTTCCTCTTCTACACACCAGCAGTATGTTTTACCTGTTGGTTAACAGTGTATATGTCAGATCAATATATTGGCATGGCCATTTTGTAATTTTGTTTAATTTAATTTATTATTGCCAAACCTTGCGCACATTGCACTTTATGGTAAAGCCCACCCACAGTACATTCTGGAATGATGACGGATTCATTTCGAATCTGGCTTGCTAGAGCTGACTATGAAAGTAAAAGTAAAAAGTATTATTATGATATTTTGTTTGCAGAATAAGTCATCACTGACACTGATTTATTCTGTGTCAGTGTTCATGTCATTCGTGTCATAACGTTATGAAGGCTAAGCCTAAAGAATGTGGGGTTATGCATTTCAACCGACCTGTCTGTCCGTCCAACAATTAGAGGTTTCGTGTGTTTCGATAATACCACCACCAGGTCGCAATGGGTTGAAAGGATAGTCCCCACCACTTCTGTTACCACCAGGTCTCAAAATTTCCAAAGGGTTGGTACCTCCTCCAGGGGAGGATCCTGATAAAACGAAGGGTACAAAAGATTTAAGATAAATATGCAGTTATGTGTGGAGTATTTTTTAAAATATGTACGCACTGTTGTCTACGGAGGGAAGTCGTAAGCACTCGAGCCACTCTCGCTTAACAATTTTCTGATCCCCTTTGGCACCTAATAAGTTTATATAAATCACAAAATCAAACATATTCTAAAAAAATGGCTGCATAAAAAAGATGTAACCTTACAAAACGAAATAAAGTTTTTGGAGCAAGATCTCGGCTGAATTTGCTGTTTAACCAAATGTTTTAAAATGAGTGTTTCATTTTTATGAAGAATTCCGTCCCTGAAAATGAATAAGTTCTTTATAAGCTAATGGATTTACAATTTATTTCCTGGATACTAGCCGAATTATAAATACTTAGCTTACCTGTTTCGATCAAGGGTGTCAAATTTCCAAGCCAGAACGATTTCATCGCTGGCTCCATCCGATTCTGACAAAAATCAGAAAGTTCAGAGCGATGTACAACTTTGTAGCGTTACTATTTTTCAATGTGCTTACCAAAATATGACAATGTTGCCGATTTGTATCTATTATACTCTGATTTAAATGTTCTGGTTAAAGCTGCATTAAAACGGGACCGGTCGGCATAATTGCAGGCTGTAATATAGTTTTATCTTTTGTTACAATTTTCAAGTTTTTAGACCAAAGACTTTTCATATATGTAGCGAATGACCATATTTGATGCACGTATTTCTCACATTTTGGATTTTTCTTTCCGTGTGACGATCTCCTTTTTGTAGTGGATTTTCCTTGTCTTAAATACTTGGCACAGTTGGGTCTCTTGTTATCGTGGGGGTTTGACAGGAGGACGGATGACCCAGGAACAGGCCTCCCACCTCGACTTACACACCAGCACGACTTGGTGTGAAGGTGACACTGGACGGTTGCATAAGATCCGTCCCCGCGACACGTCGGGATGTACTCGGAGGATCCCCGTTTCGCTGCAATTGCCAAACGTTGGCGTTCGTCGCGTTCTTCGAAACATTTTCCGCGCGAATTGTTGCGAACTTTACCTCCTGTCCCAATTTGGTCTCCAACTAGCAATAAATTAGGAATTTTAAAAACATGGTTGGTTGCATAGCATAATTTTATTAGCTTCATGTAAATATTTATGTACATATGAGTGTATACACTAGAATGTAAGTATAGAAGGCAGTACAAATCATGGGTATCTGCATCATCGTATATTCATGTACATATATCTGTAGTGTACAATTGTACGTGATATATACACACCTTGTCGGCTGGTTCTGCCACCAGCAGACGGTGATGGGTTCGGTTTTGATGGCGACGCGCAGTCTACTTCACCACTGGTATTATGGCTACACCCACTCGTTGACATTGACATTGGTTCATGTTGTTGCTGCTGCAATTACAAAAGAAAGAAGGGTTTTACCACGGGTTTCACTGTGTGCTGCATATCTTTACAATCTGGTGAGGAGAGAGATGAATATTACAGCAAACAAAGGTGCCTGCCTGGTCTAGAGTCTGGTCTGGTTCATTATGATCGAGGTAATAAAATAAAACATGTCAAGAAATTGAATAGATAGTTTTTAGAGTGGTGCTTTCTTAAGCATGGGATGAATCATGGATCGCATCGCATCATAAGAGATGGTTAAAAAATAATTAGCAATAATGTAATGTCCATACTTGTGAGGTCTGGATTTTTTACAAGTTCTTAAATTGGGAAAATGTCTATCCAATTGTAATCCTTTTGACCAAGCTAATATTTATCATATGCAATTGCTTAAGAAAACTAGTAAAATATCGAACTCACGCTATCCTTATTGCTTACTTACGATTAGTAAACTGGCAACCAATCAACCCTAACTCAAATCCGTAAATGAGATGGTGTCACGTGATGCACTCAGATTTTGTTTGCGATAAAGAAAAATATTTTTTATTTGTCCAGAATACCAAAGTTTTAGGCATTGGTGAAATTCTCTGAAAAATTGCAGATAAAAGCTGAGGTTTCAAAAATTTCACCGTTTTGAGATTTTTCCATGAATTATAAAACACAGTTTTTAAGATGGTCAGTCAGAGGAATAAAATATCTGACTCTCAATTTGTTAAGTTTTTAATCATTTTCTGAGAGAAAAATTCTAAATAGTGGGATAATCTTTCGTATTCTGGAATACATGCGAAGAATATACATAGGTCTGCTTAATTTTAACTATGCACAAATAAAAATTGGTCCGGTCTAAACTTGAGTGCATCACCTGAAACCAACGCCTTGTTAATGTAACCGGCTAGAGTGTCATTTTAGGAGATTTGCTCAACAAGTGTCAATTAGTTCTCGACCACTTTTCAAATGGAGTTATGCTGGTGTGCGACAATTGCAGAGGAGGTGGTATATGTTCATACGTATAGGTGATGCTGTTGGTGAATATAGATCAACATACTGTAATTTGAATTACTCCTATTCAATTCTGATTGGAAAATACATATGGTTAGTCAACGTCACAATGAACGAAGGGTTATTATTGGGTGGGTGGTGGAGATACCGGATCTGCCTACGATCATTCAAGAAGAACGCAACACCGTCAACCGTTGAGAACCCACTCAATAGATCGTTAATTACGTAAAAGAGACGTGTATGCATTATTAAAACTCTTAAAAATGTAGACCCAGACAGATATACATAAAATCTAGTCATCCTCTTTCTTCACGCTTTTTAATGAAAATGATCTCATAGCAAATTATGTTCATTCCAATAATATTTCTACTCGCTGCACGAAAACACCCGCAAAAGATGTTGCATTTGATGAACTTTTTTTCAGAGATGGATGGAAAAGATGAGATGCAATTAAGCCCGAGGGAACACAGGTGTCCCACATTCCACGTTGTTGGAAGAAAATCCAATCCACACCAGGGACGACCCTTCAAGTCCACTAGTAAGCAATAGCATAACAGCAGCAGCAGCAGCAGGTAGTTAAGAAGAGACAGTAAAACCGAGAGACCCTCCTTTCTCAGATATACATTATTTTATTATATCCCCTCGATAACTAATATGACCCTTGGCCTTCAATCCACAATTTACGGGTTTACAGCTTAAATAATATCCTATACCTACCGGTATATGTACGTATATGTGTTTATATGTATGGCAGGAGATGGCCAGACATTCAGGAACCTTTGAAAACTACACTCGAGTGCTTTCATCAATTTTATACAAGTCAAAAACTTACAGTTCTTTCGTATTATTTAGGTTGCTTGAATAAACTGTATTAATGCAGTTCATTTTAAAATAAAATTGAGCAGATATCATTAAATAATTTAACTCCTCCACTCTGTTTTAATTATCCCATGTAAATATTTCTCTCCAGCGATCAATTCATGCACCTGAGAATTTACTTATGCATATGTACGTATGCTACTTAAAGTTCGTCTGTAATTGGTCTCGTATAGACATGGGAGTATATATTGTTATGCGTTTGTACTTAATATGCAGGAGGAAAGGGAAACCCTCCTGACTTGACGTGCATATTGAAGCGGTCATCCCAGCCAGAGTGGCTCCACAACAACAATCAAAAGAAAGAAGCAACCGAAACGAAGAGGAAACACTCTGGCTGCCTTTTGTAACAATGAATAGCTGAGAGAACTCTAAGGGCTTATTCGTCGTCCGTGTTTTATTGATGTCTATTAATATTATTTTAAATGCGAGCACAAAAGGATAACATGAAATGACACTTCCCAAAATGAGCTTGCATATGCAACTCGAAACAATTCTTGTTTGAGGTCAACGTGACTGAAAGCAACCCTTGACAAATATTATAGAGTGGAGAGAACACAGCATAATATTGGTAAATATTCAGTAAATAACACCACAACTCACCATTTCCTCGGATTGATGGGTGTGGTTATTCCGATGCCGCTGATGTCTCACCGGGTTAGAACAACCGACCGGATGAAGCAGACCAGTGACAAGAAGGAAAGAATAGCAGAAAATGACTAGCACGTGGATGGAGGAGGAGGACGGGGAAGCAACAACGGTCATCATCGACCCCACTTTTTCGATTTAAAATCTAATGACAAGTCCAACTTGTCCAGCACTTGTCCCAATGCATCGTCCCCACGAAACAAGAATATTAATTACTTTAAATATTTCACATCCGTACGCACACCGTTGTTCGGAGTTTTTGTTTTGTATCTTACAAAATCTCACATTTTTTCTCCCAACGCAACTCGTCAAACTTGTCACTAAATGTTTAGTCGGATAGTCTCATGTCCTGATTGTTGTTTGCGTTGTCGTATTAAAAACTAACTCACATTCACCCGGAAGAGTTTCTTGTTTTTTTCTAACTCGTTTGCATATCCTTCGTTTTAAGGAGGTCTTAAATGCAAATACACGATTCAATCTCACTTGGTAATAAATCCAGTCTGTTTCTCATTCAACTCTTAAACGACTTGTGTCTTCTTGAATGGTTTCTTCTCTCTTCTGTCGAGAGTTGATGTGGACTGGACTGAAACTCGAGTGAACTTCACCCTCACCTCAGTTATAGGTACTTACTTGCTTACATTCGTATGTACAGTGCAGTGAGAACAAGCTAAAACCTCACATTTAGCAGAGTTACATTCACAAACAGCAACATTCGATGGGCTTTGAATAACCAAACCATCCGAACTGACAAAGTCTTCTTCGGTATTCTTCAATAACTTGCATTATTAAGAAAGAAAAGTGCTGCATTATTATGGCTATTGTGGGGAGTTACATAGTTCTAGTCAGTCATGCATCACCCAAAAATGAACGAGTAGTGCAGACGAAAATGAGGAGTCTGTTCAAGTCTTGAGCTGGATAAGATGAGTCGCCGTCTCAACTTCACAACCTTTCTTGTAAAAGCACAATGCCAACTTTACAACGGATTTACCCATCCTTACATCCGCCTTTTCCCTTAATTTTTGTCGGGAGATTTGGCAGATAATTGCTTTCCACCAATAATGAATTCCAGTCTACTTATTCATTTGCCAACTTTCTGTGATTTCGAGCTTCTAAAATATGTACAAAATCTTTGTGTGTAAGTTGCCTAATGTAACGAAAAGTTCAAAAATTAATGAATTCTACTCAATTGCATGCCAAATATGTACGTGGAAGCAATTTCACTAACTGATGAACATGCTACTTAAGTAGCTCTCGTTGTTCAGGGGATTTCACTCCTCATTATTGATAACTTATCAAACTTTTTCATATCATTCAACATGCAAATGTGTGTGCGTCTGTTTACTTTAATGTTATAGGATTGAATATTACAATAAAGCTGCAGCACATAACAAAACACAACAGTCGTCGCCAAATACTTACGAAGCATTGTTTTCCGATTGGATGTGTCTATGTACATGTGTGTATGTTAAAATTCTGGGTAAATGGTTGGCGTCCGACACCTCTTCACCTGCAAAATACAATATATGGGCATGAGCCTTCGTGTGTATTTTTCACCGGCATACAAATCTTATATGTAGGTACAGTTAATAAATTAAATTTATAAATATTTAAACAAACCCCAATTCAAACGCATAAAGCATCATTTTTAAGATGGCCTTATAGACTTGTCAGGATTTCTGTCTGTCCGTCGTCCGTGGGTGCATAGCTCTCAATCGACTTGAAATTTTACATTTTCCCATAAATTTTACAAATTCGAAACCAAAGAAGTGGGCATGAACAATAATCTGGTTGGTCGATGAAAAATTTATTAAATGTCATAGAAACCTCTTAAACTTCTCATCTGAAACTAAAATTCAGTGTGATGGTCGCGTATAGGGTATCATTTTATGATATTTCGAAACAAGATCATTAATTTATAGGAACATAGCTAATGTCATGAAATATTCGTCATAAATTACCCCGAACGGTCTCACAATCCTAAATGCTAAATACTTGATTATTTATCTTCAGCAATATGATTAAAAACCTGCAACAAGGCTTTCGCTAATTTGTTAAATCCGTTTGTTGCAATGGTTTATTCCAAGAATAAATTACGAAATTATATGTAAATCACTTATTACGAGTCTGGCCTTCAGTGAATAATATCATCTTAAAAGGCCCCGAAAAATTGCCAGAAGTGCGTTTTTATGTCTATAATAACTTTTAGTAATTCTTGACTATGAAATTTACCAAAAGTTGAATTTCGTTATGAATGAAATGCATGTAAAGTAATAATGTTATGTCATGTTTACGTCATGTGATGAGCGAACAACATGTACTTGAGAAGATCATAGCATTCAGACGACGCCGGGCCGGCAGACTCCACACTTAATCAGAACTTTAGCACTGTCACTGTCTAAATAATGCTTGCATACATAATAAATCTACAAATGGCGAAGCGACGGGTACAAGTTTTCCACCAATTTTTTAACAAATTTAACGAGCTAACGACATCAATAGAATGGATGAGAAAAATTAGGAATTATGTATGTATTATGTATGCCGTAAAATTGGAAGGATTTCCACGGTCAATTTTGTGTAGACATGTATGATTCAATTTATTGACTACGTACGTAATGCGGTGTAAATTGAAATATATGAGATTGAAATAAACGATGCGTGATGGAATGTAAGTCCCAAATGCAAGAAAATGGTTTATGCAAGGAATGCACGAAAATTCAACTGCTGACCCATGAAACAAGAATTGGGCCGGAGCCGAGGTGCTGGCAAAAATGCTGGCAGTTCGCAGATTCATCTGGAATTACATCATTTCTCAGAAATGTCATAATAATAATGAAGCAACGGGTGAAGAATTTCTCCAAGTTCAAATTCGTAAGTAATTTGCAGACTAAAACTCATTAGAACAATATTATAGTTCAACGGCATGCCAAATGGTATATCGCAACTATTGCAATTAAGTATTACCTAAGAAATGCACAAAATATGCATATAATGTCTCAGCAAGTTTATTTTTAGCTTTAGTTCAATTGCTCGAAGGAAATTTAGCCAGGACTAGACTCATTTTGCAAACTAGCAAGTACATTAAACTGCATGACATCATGATATCATTTATTACAAAACCACAAAATTACTTAAGTAATATTAGCAAACTGATAATTCAAATTCAATCCGAATCAGATTTTCCTACTTTCTCATTGATACATTCGGATAATTTATGTTTTAATACTTCATCGCTTAGTTCTGACGCCCACGCAGGAACGGCTGCTGAGGGAAGCGAGAAATTCGTCATAATGGATTTGATCACTTGTACATTCTCCGCAGTCAGATTGATATCCCGGTGAGCTTCATTCTTCTGCTGAGGTTGATGACGTGAAATCGGAATTTCATCCTGGATTTCACACATACATATTCGTTAATAGTTTATTTAGAAAATATTTATATTATATTTATCCAACTGACTTTTGGTTCAGTCCATCTTACATTTGCATCTGCAAGGGAAGAAGGTGGAATGGAATGTGTAGCCAAATTACGCGATTCGTCATCATCCGCATTAGTAAGAGATGAACTTATGCTCAAGTTATACATTTCAGAAGGGGCGGTATTATTATCATCGCCCTCGTTTCTTGGGCCATCCTGTTCCTGGAGGACTAACTCGGTTGTTGATGGAGGGAAGGGGATAAGAAGTTGGTAGTGACCTCGTGCTCCTGTTTGTATCGTGTCTTCGTCATCTAGATTTCCATTTTCGGGTTGGTCATTTTGCAATGGCCTTGTGTTGTCCTGACGACGAATTTGACCATGCTGTTCGTCCCCACTATCGGAAAACTCGGATTCGTCCCCACTGCTACCGATGTCAAGTTCGTAAGGACCACCATCATCCCCAAATATGTCGTCTTGGTCATCCCACACGGCAACAAATGTACCGTCGGGGAGGGGCAAGTTGTCGGATTCAGACGACGTACGATCCCCTTTTGGAGGATCTGGGGACATCATTTAATTTTATTCTGTCGGCTGAATGTGCTTATGATGATGGGCAATGCGCTTTCCCTGAAATATTCAAATGTAATAAAAATGTAGAACGGCTAACGGCAACGGCAAAGTGTATTATAATCATACCCCGGACAAATATTTTTTTATCCTACCCTACTCGTGTTGAGCTCAACATGAGTAGGGTAGGATAAAAAAATATTTTTCTGGGGTATGATTATAATAAACACCGAACACGCACACATCATGTTACATGATTCATGTACATTGTACATAATGTGGAACAAATAAAGAATTTGGTGTACCTGGAATGAAGCGTATGTATATAATGATTCGTGAAATAAGTGTAGTATTTCTGAATATTTTACTACAATTTAAAATCTTTAAAAAGAGCTGTATATATTTATTTAAACAATTATTTGCAATTGACCATCTCAGCTGGTTTTGTTACATAGCGGGTAGTTGGATCAGTAGAAATGCATAATATGTATGTATGTACATTCGATGCATGTGTTACATATCTGCTATGTACATTGTACATTATGCATGTACATATAAGTTCTACATATGTTTTAGTAGATATAGCGCATCATAAATGCTGTAGTTAGTAGTTATAAGTACTTTAGTAAATTTTTGTGACAACTTATCATTCCAATAATTATATAAATACAGAAAATCATGTTCGTTTTTGTATATGGGACCCTAAAGTTTGGCGAACCAAATCATCACTGGCTAACCGACCCAGCCCATGGTTTCGCCAAATTTGTTGGAGAAGGGACAACAAAGCAGTTGTACCCCTTGGTCATAGCATCCAAGTACAATATTCCATTTCTCTTGGATAGTCCTCGTACGGGCAAGGTATGTATATAAATATTATGCATACGCAAAGCTAATTTGTATGCCAATTGATATCAACTAATATATGTCGTATCCGTATAGCACATTCGTGGAGAAGTTTATGAAATTGATGACAAGATGCTGGCCAATTTGGACATTTTGGAGGAATACCCAAAACTTTACACGCGGAGAGAGGAGGAGATTGACCTGCATTGTGACAATGAGGGGACTTCAAGAGTGGTGCAGGCCGTTGCCTATTTCTTGTCCAACTTTCAACCTACACTCCTAGAAAGACCTCATCTAGACTGCTATCAGTCTGAAGGGACCCACAACCTTCCCTACATAGCTAGGTACATACGAGATAAAGAATACGACCACAGAACGGAAGTTAAAGTTTATGCATAGCAGCAATGCATATGTACATGCAATGACATTTACGTTTTGAAATAATTTGTGCCAAAAACTTACGAAACGAAATAAAACTGAATGTGCAATATCGACATAATTTTATTTATTTGCATATTTCAGTGAAGACGATCTGGCTGATGCGAAGGATATCTAATAAAAATCATCCATGCACTTTCATGAGACGCAAATCTTTTAAAATTCAGATAAATGATTTTTGTCAAGGAATAATTTACAAATAACAGAAGAAATTTTTAAACTTTATAATATTCATAACTCAATTAGCATTTGTATTCAAGACGTTTTAATAAATTTTTTTGATGAAACTGTCGTCAAGCTTCTATCACCGGTGAAGTGTTTTCGAATTCTTCCTTGCTCAACTTGTCCTGTTCTTCCTTGTCCGGAAGTACCAGCATTACCACAGATTGTTCAACATCAGGTTTAAACGTTCCTCCAGAAGCTTGGATACGTTTCGCAGCTACTTTGACATGCACAATGTATTGATTCCCGATAATCACTCTGTACAACACATATTTAATTAAATTCATCATAGTCAGGCATATTTTCATGAATTTTCATGAAAACTTACTTGATCAAATATATTTCGTCTTCACCATTCGAAAAATGAATATATGAAAGTGCGTCACACGAAGCAGCATTTAAATCCGCCCTGTCTTCGTCAGTAATCACAGGAAGCTGTGCTCTGTTCTTGATTTGAGAAGCGTGCTTTTGCACTATTTGCTTGACTTCGTCAGAAGGAGCAATTTCCCCTTGTTTTTCTTGAACAAGTTCCGTTTTCCATTCGAATTTTATGTTGATTTGTTGAAAAGTTTTCTAAAAGTTAAACACTTAATAAACATTTTTGTTTAATAATATTAATTGCTTATTTACTTTGGAGTTTGGGTTCGTTCCATCCCCGATTTCCTCACTTGTGTCATCAGAATCAGTTTTAACTGTTGGTTGTTGCTGCTGAAGAATAGGTTGGTTGACCGGATTTACTGGAGCAGGGGGCGGTTGTGCTGGTGGTGCTGGGCCTGGGATGATGGGACTTGGCTGAGGCTGTGGGAGTGGGGGTACTTTGGGGTTTTTGTGGTGTGGATGTCTAACATGATGAGGTGGTCTAGTATGCACTGGAGGTGCTCGTACCTTTTTTTGATGTGCGATCGCGGTATTTTCACAAATTGTGATAACGCTAACTAAAATTGTGAGAAACGTTGTAGACTTCATTTTAAACGTGCAAGAACCTAGCAGTCTTTGTTATATAATTGAGAGAATTGTGTTTGAAGTTAATGCTACTTTTGTTATTTGTGCCATTAAATTGATTTAATTTCTTATCGTCATATGTACATCAATGAACTAAATAAATACTTTTTGTATGAATGACGACATAAAAAATAATTCTCTCGGATCTCGCATATTATGTAAGTGTTTGGCTTCAAAGTTATTTATTCCGATTTCGGTACGTTATCAAATTCTTCTCGACTAAGCTTATCAAGCTCTTCCTTGTCAGGGAGTACTAGCATGACAACTGAATTGGCAACGTCGGGATGAAATGAACCACCGCTACCATCGGTTAATCGCTTAGTAGCAAGTTTTACATGAACAACATACTGATTGCCGATAATTGCCCTGCGAAAAATATTAAATGTGGATAAAAGTGATTGATTTGACCCATTTGTATAATATTTTAGTCCTCAATTATCCATACGTACTTTACGAGGTAAATTTCATTCTCTCCATCTTGGTAGTGAATATATGCGAGAGAATCCAAGGGTGCGGCCGTTAAATCAGCTCTGTCTTCGTCCGTAATTACAGGAAGCTGAGCCCTATTTTTTATTTGGTCCGCGTGTTTTTGCATCATCTGCTTGATAGCTTCGGTCGGGGGTTCTTCCCCCTGTTTCTCCAGCACATGGATTTCTGGCTTCAATTCGAATTTCTTGTTTACTTCTACAAAGGTTTTCTGTGTATGATTTAAAATGCGAGTCAAGCTTATTTACACTTAATAAAATATGATATGAATCATACATTGCCTTGTTTTGGACGATTACGCTGTCTTTGGATCTTTATGATGACCCCAAAAAGAAAAATGTATGCCTTTTGGGGTGGGTACCGAGCTCACCAAAACCACGGCAACAAGCCCGATGAAAATCACTACCCACTTCATATCTTACTTATCCTAGGCACGAGAAATGTATTTTTGTGATTTGTAAATATGTAAAAGTTAACCTAAATATGTAATCTCAACAAATATTCTATGCATAAGTATACAATACATCATTGTATACTTATATATGTACATCAAATAAATTAATAGTGAAATAAATACATGATACAGTATGTAGCTATACCTACACACATAATGCCTGACTTCAAAAATTTCTTAATTGATTTACACGTCAATACATTCAGAAGAATGATTAATGTACTTGTTACATGATGCATTTTTGAATTTAATTTTTATGATCAATTGTTCGTAGGTATTCTCATCAATGAATAATGAATGTGAGGTCTTTAGTCACGGAAGTATTTTAAAGATAATTTTGTAAGAAGAATGCACCAGATTGTTAATGGTAATATGCAGTACACAATTTTTTATTCAATTAAATTCTGCTTTGTTGAGTTTATCCGTTTCTTCTTTATCCGGGAGAACGGTCATGAGGGTGCCTGCAGCATCTTGTTCGCTCCCCTTCTTTACACCAATCTTGATGTGTACAATGAACTGATTCCCTATTATCACCCTGAAAATAATGAAACACAAAATTAATAACAAGTACATGTAAATTTGTAAATATTGTTAGACAGACTTGATAAGATAAATGTCCTTTTCTGCGTCCGAGTACTTGATGTAGGCGAGTGCATCTACTGAGGCAGTTTCTAATTCCTTCTTGTCTTCGTCTGTTTCAGTGTCCAAGTTAGCTCGAGCCTTAATTTGAACAGCGTTCTTTTCCACCAATTGCGTAATTTTTTCGTCAGGGATCTGCTCCCCGGCATCCTCCTGGACGTGTTTGGGGTGTGGCTTAAACTTTTCATGGTGCTTGTGGAAAACTTTCTGAAATTAAATTTCAAAGAATCATATTACATTTTTGTTCTATGGAAAATATTACATCTTCACGTTAATTTTGGAATTATGTTATACCTTTGCACCTTTATCCTTCATACCTCCCCCTTTCCCATGATGATTTCCAGCAGCGATAACAATACCAATGAAATAAGCCAAGAAACACAATGTCGTGAAACTATGCATCATATTGGAATTATTGCGAGAAGAGCTAAGATACAAATGATAGGGTACAAGTTTGAAATTCGAAAGAAATGAGTGTGCTATGCATGATGCTAGTTTATGCAAAGATTTTAACTATTAAACTTTAAATTATTATATGCCTTTGTTGCACTGCATTTTTAAAATTAATTACCTATGTATATCAATGACGCCAATAAATGACGCCATTATATGCAGTGTTCGAAGTGCTTTGCGATTAAATTACCCCTATATCCAACATGCAAAATTTTCGATTTTTCCACATTGTAAGCAAAAGAAAAATGGGCCATTTTTTAAATGTTTAGTGCATAATACACATCTCACCAATCCATGTGACCCACAACGTTTGATTTTGACGCTTTTGATATTAGAAATTAACCTGTATTTTCACCCCATATGTTTGAACTCAATCGCTTCAGCCGTTTGTCCGACGGAAGGACAGACAGACATATAACTTACGTACATAAACCTTAACTCGGGCTAAAAATGAAGTATTAAATATCTACATATACAAGTAAGTGTTGCACTATTGCTCACAAAAGCTTACGTTTGTACATTTAAGAGCCAATTGCGTTCATCGATTGTTTCCAATTTCCATTACTTCTGAACAATTAATAGGGTTTCATAAGTTTTAACATTGTGCTAAAGGTCATAATTTACAGTATTTGCATTACATTCTGTGTAACATGTGATCATCAGCTACACACATCTATATATTTATTATGTCTACACATGTATATCGAGTAATTATTCAAGCGATTTACAAGCGTGTCCTTAATTTAATTGCTTTTTAATAAAGTTAATTGGCATTTATATGTCTCAACACCCATTGAAAAGATTACCTACCCAACGAGAGCACTCCTGCTGATACATAATTGAATTCAGCGATGACGGCCAATTTGTTCAGATGCGTTTATGTTCTTAATAAAATCGTTAATTCGCTCCATTGCTAATCCGGTTTGACTTGGAAGTGTTTTGTTTAAGCCTAATTGAAATTTCTTGTCTTGTTTGACGTGCTTGGCTAGAGACGAATTAAATTGTTTAGCACCTTGCTTGATTCACTCGGACATTTGTCGTTTCAACTATTTTTCTCAATATTACCGAATGGTATTAACATTAAATATACGATTTTTAATTGCAAATAAGCAAATCAATACACAACGCTAATTTTAGCTTACTTAATTACGAATTACCTTAACTATCGATAATAGAAAATTTAGTTTTGATGATGCTCCACCTGTAACCTTCAGTCTTGTTAACCTTTAAATGTTGTTAGACCTGACTTTTGACAGCTTTGGCAGTTGTTAAGAATAAACAAATGTTATAGAATAAGTGGATATGACAGAAATTCTGCTCACGTCAATGTGTGACACATCAGGTCATATCGTTTTCAGTTGCAATTGTGAATTGATTGAGTGCTCAGTCAGTCAATAGAAGTACAGCTAATGCAAGTTTTTGAAATATCTCAATTTTGTCTGAAATGGCTGCACGCAATATGAAACACTTGGATGATGCTTAATGTAAAATTAAATTTGCTTGTCTCTTATGAAAATAATAATTTTGTGAATACATGCAAAACCAAAACGAGTCTAAGGTCAGTCAGTAAGAAATTTGTATCATTTATAAACATGTACATGTCATACATTTACATGCGTATACATAATGTGATAATGACATTATTATAGCATATAAACTGTCACCTGCTTTTCATAATTCACTGCATGACCAAAACTATTTTACAATGCAAATATTTAACATCAAGTGATTCTGGTTAACCAAGTGAACGTTGATTTAGTGCACGTCAAATTTCCATTTATGCGCCTATTTTACGTGGGTTGGGCAGTTTGGCTGAGATTGGAATAATATTTTATTATAAGACAAAATATGTATGTACGACGTTCAATAATGGGAGCTTCCTTCAATGTCTAATGAACCGGAATTGAAGAATTAATGGAGTGGAAGTAAAATAGAGAATGTCACAACATTAAATTCGTGCGTATGTATTTACGATAAATAAATTAAGCTGGCCTTTTTTATTATTTTACTCTGGTTTCGTTACTCCAAAAGTTGACTTTGATGGATAGCGATGGCCACACTTAGTTTTCTTGTAGGATTTTGATCTGTTTGATCTGGTGTCAATGGATGGTTGTGTACAACAGCCAACAACCCTTGTAAATAAATTGTCTCAGTTTTGTACCACACAATGTCATCAATGACATTTATTTGCTAAGCAGTATCCACGTAAAATGGTCAAGTCAGAGTGAATTTCAATAGATTCAGGGTCAGCATATCTGTACAGACGTACATATATGCAAAGAATAAAAATAAGTTGCCAACGGGCTCACGCCAATGTTTTGATTGTTCATTGTACACATGATATCACACATTATAAAAATAACACGCTATGGACGACTCTCTTGAACTAATTGAGCAATTTTTTGGGGTGATTGATGCATCAATTTAATAAAGTTTTCCATAAAATGTAAAGGATTGTAATTGACTATGCAATTACTGGAGGTGTTTGCTGAAATAATTGGAAACAATAATTTGGTAAAGTTTTACTCAAGGAATCCTTACAATTACGCAAAAGTCATACACATATATAATTCTGTGATTAATAATCACATGCATTTATGCAACTTAAACGTAACGTAAGTTAAACCATCATGTAACCGAGTCAAAGAATTATATGTACAATATACGAAATAAATGGGGTTGATTTTAACATATTAGTATGAACAACACAAGGTAATAAAAATATCAAAATAAGGAAACTTTAATGTGTGCACTCATACATAATCATCTTGATATTATAATTATGCTGCTGGGGTGAAGTCCAGAAGGAATTTTTATGAGCTCGAATCAACAACCTTAATTAATTTTCATGGTCTCCATTTTCCTATCTGCTTAGTGCCGACTGCTACAAATTATTAAACAGGTTCGATAAGTGCGATCTGGTACATTTTAATGGTGCAAAAAATATCTTGCACACTCGTCTTCCTTCCGTGCTCCATATACATACAAGATATCGATCATTATACAATAAATAAAAATGCAAACATTAAAATACTGCTGGTGAACTTGTATCTATGGTTGATTGATGGCTGAATGATGTTTCCATGTTGTTATTACCTTTGGCCATGCAGTTTTTGGCAGAGAAACTCCTGGACATGCAGTTTTTGCTTCGTGCAGATATTTACACAAAGTGGCCGTAATTGTTTTTGTCATGCAGTCATCAGCGAGTTGTGAGGAGCCAGTCAGTGTCAAACTTGGTTGACTGGCGATTATAAAAATGTAAAGGTCAACAATTAAGGGCGTTGGCATTTCGGCTTTAGTTATGTCGCGCATACAGCAAAGCGAATATTCATAAAGTTTTCGGCTTTTCCGTATAAAAAAGCTGTCAGCATTAAAAGTTATTGCTGTCATGCATTGAACATATTAAATGTGCTTGATTTTTATTAGGGTAAGCTGGAACTATGTTGATTTTAACAGTAACAACAGGATGTCTCGAATAATTGTAATTTTAACTTTCCTTTTCAGAGTCCCGACGACGATCAATGTTCGATATAATCTCGCATGAAACATCTCGCTACACATCCCCAAGTCGTTTATGCTTGAAGCATTTTTCTATTTTGAAACCGTATCTAATCAGGTCACCGATTCAGGTATTATTATCGAATAATAGTTAATTCATTACTCATTGAATATTAACAGTGGATCATTTCAACTCATTAAGAAATGCCAGAAGCCACTACGTTATTACGATCACTGCTTTGATTGATGATATACAAATTTAATCTAATGGTATCGCATAATCTGAGAACCATTATAATGAATGAATGCTAAACGTCAGCTAGTTGACAGACAGACACAATTGATATTTTCAATGTTCACTAAAATTACATAAGTGGGATTGGCGTGATACGGATAAAGAAGTGCTTGTAATTTACGATAATTAGCGTTATGCAAACTAATTTGGTATAATTATTAGCTGGGATTAAACCAAAATGTTGCGTAATCAGTTATACAAATGCTAATGCTAAGATGAAATAAATGTAAAATGGAAAGACATTGCTGGAAGTTTGTATAATTTAAAGGAAGAAAATCATAAGGTTTTGTATGATCTTAAATCTCGACGTAGCCTCGGACAATTAATTAAATTGCATGGGATTGGTTTGGCAACAAAATAAATTGGTTTAGAATTCCACATTTTTCAAATATGGTCTGAATATCTTTTGCCAATTAGTATATGGGTGCAAAGTACCAACAATGTCAACCACACCATTCATGTCTATTTGTAGCCAAGTACGTGGATATATAGGTAGTTAATTTTTGTCTACAATTATGCAAATTCAGTTGCAGTTGCATCGTTGCATATGCATAAAAGTCATAAGGGTTATTAATATTTGTGTTTCCTCCTACCAAGAAAATGATTGATTTTGCATCGACCGATTAGATCTTGATATAGCAGCAAATATGCATTTATAAATAGGTGGTCTCTGTTGGTGAACTATTATCTCACTTTCCATAGTCAGCAGGGCATGTGTATGTTGGTGCATGTTTGTCATCATATTTATCAGAACGGGATGAAGTTTAAGGAGCAAGTAAAACAAAGTAAACCTTCATGTATTTAAGTACCTGCATGCATTTACGTATGCGGATGATGAGATACCTTTGGCTACAACCAACCCAAAAATGTCCCACAGAGATGATCATCGCCATAAAACCAATTGGGAAAAGATGGAACGCCTTTAGTTACTTGGACGACGTAACGCTAACTATATGTGTATGTTTTAGATACACTACTCACTTGCCAAAAATGTTCAAACTACAAGTAAGAATAATTAATTAATGATTTCATAAGCAGAAATATTTTTAAAATTTGTGGTTTTTAAAGATTGCATTTTGCTGCATCCTTGTGGCTTCTGTGGAAGGAGGTCTGATAGCCTCATCCGCCCCAGTGCTCAGAGAGTTGGACGCTTATCCACAGTACAACTATGGTTACTCGGTCCAAGACCCAATCACTGGAGATGTGAAAGGTCAGGAGGAGTCGAGGAATGGGGATGTTGTTCGTGGGCGATACTCCCTCATCGAACCTGATGGCACACTTAGAATCGTGAATTATTTCGCCGACAGTACTGGGTTTCATGCTCGGGTTGAAAAACAGCCTGGATTTTCTGCCCCTGTTCAAGTAGTGCAGGGATCTCACGTGGTACCCGCTCAGGTAATCGTTAGTTACTGTGGATGATAAAAATGTATTCTACACACTTGACACTTTGAAGGTAAGCAAAAAAATACAATCAATATCTTCTTTGAAACAGGTACCATTCAGACCAATCCCACCTCCAGCTCACCCACAGCCTGTTGAGGTTACGGTTCCAGTTCAACAGCCCGTACAGGTTGAAGAAGTACTTCAACCCCAGCCTCAACCTGTAGATGCTCCACAAATTCCGGTCCAGCCTCAGCCACAGCCCCCACAGTTCCAACCTCAGCCACAGCCCCCACAATTCCAGCCACAGCCCCCACAGGCTCCTCAGCAACCCCCGACTGCACAACCTCAACCACGCCCCCCACAATTTCCAGCTCAACCTGAACCACAACCTCCACAGGTTCCTCAGCAGCCTCCAGCTCCACAACCTCAGCCACCATTTCAGCCTCAGCCTCAACCTGAGGAAACGTTTGACGACGCGGAAATTATCGAGGCACGTTCAGGCCGTGGGTCCTCTGCCTCCGGTCGTGGATCTTCCGTCTCGTTCCGAAGCAGCAGAATGGGACAGCACGACTTTAACTTTTCCTTCTAAACTGCTCACAAAAAGATGGGAATAAACTCAACCTATCCTCAAAGACTTGATGATGACAGAAATGAATGATTAATGGCTTCGTAAATATAGTTAAAGAGTAGGATAAGATGCTTAAACAATTTGCAAATGCAAAATTTTCAGAATGCTTTTATAATAAAATAAAAATATTTTTCTGAGCTTTAGATCTTGACAATGCATTATTGTCAATAAAATTTGTTTTATTAATTGTTGATTCCTTTGCTAGGTACATATCCAGCATGAAAATGAAAACATACTAATACATACGAGTACATACATAACACGAATGGCATATGCATTAATATAAGTATTTATAGCATGTTTTTGAGCAAGTCGCATATTCGTCATTTGAACAAAATCTCCTGCAAAATTTTTCCAATTCCATAGTCACAACTTGCGACCCATAAGTATTTTTCTGAAAAAGCAAGAAATGTTAAAATGGAAAATAGGACCAAAAGTAATTGACAGAGTTTACTAAATATAAACATCGTTCATCGCTTGATTATGTAATAAGTTTGTTTCAAAACTAGTTTGAATGAAAATAACAAGGAAGGTGACATTTTAGACAAATTCAATTACATTATAGTAAATAATAAATAAATTGTACTTATGCAAATATGCACTACATACATACAATCGTATTAAGTATAAAAAATATGTATGCATAAGTAAGTAGAATATTGTTACAGAGGTTGCAATTCATAAATTATTTGTGGCTGTTTAAATTGCCGTTCTTAGAACTCATCAATGATGAAACACATTTCAAACTGCATATTAAAACTCGTATGCAGATATGGCTATTTGTTGTGGGTTAAGTATTATATTTTGCAGTATACTTGATACAAGATGAAATCTTTAACGTGTCAAATTTTATATTTTTCCATAACTTTATTCTACATTGGAAGCATGTTAATTTCGTTTGTGGTGGTACCGGCATCCTCAACGACCATAAAAAATCTATCTCATATTTGCAACGAAGAGTTTCTACAAAATAACGAAACCACGATTTGGAGGAGTGAGGAAGTAGAGGATGAACATGGAAAGTACACAATTTCGAAATGTGGAGATCACTCGAAGTTTGTCTTTTTCAGTATTCCACCCAAGACAAATTTATCGTTTGCGAGGGCTGTTGGTGGTAAATAGGTTGAATATTATATGCAAATATCTTATCTTATGTTATAAAGCGAGGTATATTATCTAATAATTGAAATTTATTACGATTTGAAGCATGTCAGAAGTACGGTCTCAATATCGCCGCAATAAAAAGTCAACATGATCATAAGAGCATTGTTAAATGTCTTTGTAGGTTTGACAAATCCTTAAAGTTTCTCCAGTTGGGTGCATAAATAAATATTTAGAATATATGTACATACATATTTATGTGTTCAACGATTATTGACAGCAAAAATGAAAGAGCCCTTCACCACCAAGACAACATTTTGGATCTCTGGATTGGGTACAAACGAAGATCAACATGATCAAGGATGGTCATATTCCACTGCTTTAGAAGACGATTACTATTTTCACGTGTTTTGGGGGTTTTCTCCAAGAGGTCTCAAAACATCGGTATTGGATCTATTTAAGTCTAACCTTTACAAGAATGGTAAAATCAGCATTCGTTATAGAAAGACTCAAGGGATAGTGAAAAAAATGCAATGCTGCATTGGGCACAAGACACCTTAAAGAAGGAAAGAACACTTGTAATGATGTCTGTTGAAGAAAACAACGTGTTCAATAAACAAAAAAGCTTCATATGTGAATTCGAAGTGTCGAGTCTCTGTTATCATCACAGTGACGAAGGTATTTAAATAATTTAAATATACCCTATAAAATATAGTCCAATAAAGCATAATTCAACACATCTTGCTAGATAAAGCTACATCTAGATGTACGAATACTTTGAACTTGAGATCAATATTTGTATTTTACAGAGAAAGAATTTGTAAAATTAAATTTAAAGAAGGAGGAAAACGAGAAGCTGGTCGATTTGGGAGATGGACTTGTAATTTACAATAGCTTTGTTCAAGTAAGAATTCAACTATAAATTGCATAATGCGTAAATAGTCAATTCTCTGTATCTAAAATTTAGAAAAATTTGCCGGACGCAAACGCATATTGTCAGAGTAAAGAACTACAATTGATTGATACGAGACAACTGAATAAGTCAAAATCTAACAAACTGTACACGGCCTGGCAAAACTGGATAAAGAAAAATGGTAGTGAAATCCTAGAAAATGGAAATATTGTTTGTTTTTCTTAAATTTTTGAAATACTCGTTCATGTTCATGTTCAGAACTCGTTCGTGCTGTGACAGGATTTTGGCTAGGACCAAACAGTTTTTTCAAAACCTCGTGCAATTTCGAATGGGACTGGGTGGAAAATGTAATTGTTGACCCATGGGAGGATGCCACACGAATGTATGAAAACGGTATTCGGAGAGGAAAGTGCCAGTATTATGGCCAATGTCTAGCCGTTGGTACTCTTAATCTAGAACCTAAAGTTTTCCATCTTCAGAAAATTTCTTGTGAGCAATTAAACTAATTTAAGTAATTTTCGTATTCAAGATATTACAGCTTTTCATAATTTGGTTACAGGTCTTGTTCCACAGTGGGTTTTGTGTTCAACAATAACTCATGTAACAACTAATCGCTAAATTTGTGACATGATTAACCGTAATTTCGCAAGTCAGATGTGATACATACTCATAAGGAAATAAAAAACAGTAACGTTTGACAAATAATTCTTTAACTATGAGTAATTTTTACAAGACAAGAATCTCATTGTGGCAAAGTAAAATGTTTGTATTTTGTACAAAAAATGTTGATTTGTTTGTAAACAAATTTAAGTATTCAACACCACAATTTCTTATAGTAAAATGAACATATTGAATCAGCATGGTTTCGTTTTCTGGTCTGAATTTTTTGACTGTAAGCTTACTGCTTTTGTTTGAATTCAGTATTTTGCGTGTGTTTGGTAGCGTCCCGGATAAATTTGGTAAGCGCGTAGTGATTCAGGGAGTACAAATTTTATTAATTGTGTGGATAAATGTATTTTGATCGGATAATTCAGATGTACATATTCAAATCTGAAAACAATTTACAACAGGGGAAATATCGAATGAAGCACAAGCGAAAAACAAAAATAAACTAAAATTGTTAGGAGACTCGAGTGCCAATGGAACTCTTTACGCTAGCTTCGTACAGGTAATCTTTGAACGCTTAACATTTACGGCATGCGCATTTTTACACTTTTGCGTAAGTTTACTTTGGTAGTATATTTCTAGTATTATTTAAATTATTCAAAATATTATTAGGAGACAATGCTGGAAGCCCTAATTTTGTGTAAACGAGAGGGAAAGCAACTACTTAATCTAGAACTGAAATCTGACACTGAAGCTACGAAGATATTCAGTCTGGTTTCAGAATGGATTACAACCAACGGTATGAAATACCATTTGATACCTATTTCACGGAAACATTATGATAAATTAACTCTGCTTTGAACTGCAGAGTTAAATGAGAAAATTACTGCTGTTTGGGTTGGAAATAATGACCTTTTCTCTCCAATTGGTTTCATTCAATGGGAATGGGGAGACCAGACTAAGGAAAAGGGTCACTGTTTGTCCGTAGGAGTGTTACGAAATAATAGAAAAGTTTTCACCTTGCACAGAGAACCTTGTAAGCATTTTTTTTCATATTTGACTTTAAACAGATGAAGTAGCTATAACGTTGTACGAAACTTTGCTAGGTGAATTACCACGATGGGTTATATGCTCTGATGGGGAGGAAACTGGGGTTGATGAAAATATTTTCCAAGAGAAAGTATCAAATAATTTTGTCCTGCCATCAAATGAAAACCAATCTTTAGTGAACGCATTTTTACCAACTGAAGCAAGTACAACGCCGATAACTGCTTCCGGTCCAGCTACAACTGTGAACACATTTTCAACGTCAACTCCGATTCCTCCTATACAACAGATCAATTTTACGACAACCATACCCCCAATTGTTCTTACAACTACTGTTATTCCTACAACTACTGGTACCCCTACAACTACAACTACTGGTGCCCCTACAACTACTGGTGCCCCTACAACTACTGGTACCCCTACAACTACTGGTACTCCTACAACTACTGCTACTACAACAACGGAAAAGCCACCTACAACTTCAAAAATACCAAAGCTGACCCCTAAGCCAGGACATTTCGGAAGGTCATTTGAGAAAGGAATCTCCATAACAACGACGCATAGCCCGAATTCAGAAACTTCTACTGTCGCACCGGTGGTGAAGATCCCAACAACGCTACTGACGACAGTTAAACCGGCGATAAAGGCAAAATCAGCAGTGACCACCACGGCAAAACCTGCAACATCAACGCCGCATCCCACGACAACAGTAAAACCAGCACCACATTTTTCAACAACGACAAAACCAAAAACGACAATTAAACCAACTACGACGCCAAAACCAGTGACACCGTCTTCAAAACCCACTATAAAACCTGCAACCACAACAAAACCTACGTCTAAAATCGTCAAGCATATTCGCCAAGCAAATCAAATTTTTTTCTGATGCATTGACAATTAAGTACTTAAAGCAGCGTGGCGTAATAATGTAATAATGCATTTCTATTTCATGTTAAAGAACATGATGACTAAATAAATAATAGTGAAAGTCAAAATTTCTCCAAAGTAGCTGAAGCTACTTAATAATGGGGAAAAATTCTGCGTCACTGTGTAAAATGCATAAGAAATGGACCTCACGAATCGCACCATTTTTATCATGAATTTCTTCTTACGTTGAAATTACCGGAAATAAATTATCAATTTATCCAAGTTATACAACATGCATGAAACAATCACTATACGTACATACACACTTATGTACGTACATTCTTTCATAGGAAAGTGTGAATGCCATTGTATTACGAGGTTATTACATTTCATAAGTTGCTAATTAATGGGATCTCTGCCAGTCTGGGCTTAGTCTGTGCAATTTTGCAAGAGTAAATCATATATTAAGACGTCCCATGTTTTTAATATGCTATTCAGTCATAGGAATACTATCGTTAAATCAGGCAATTCCGAAAGTAAAAATACCATAAAAAATTCAAATTGGTTCAGTATCTTGTGTTCACAAGGTTCTCACATTCGTGATGAACGCTCCTCTGCAATATTTGGCGAGAAGAATGAAGTGTGCCATGCCAAAGTGGGACTTTGTTCACTGCAGATATTCACCACCGAAAGAAGTCTTCTGCTATCCTCTACTCGACTCCTCCAGTAGCAGAAAGTTTTTTGCCGAACCGAGAGAACAAGCCCGATCGTATCGTTGTAAATATAATAATGGCAAGAAGCAAAAGATATACCAAGACCACTGCCAACTATGTGCCTGACAAAGTCGAATAAACTTGAGGTTTCAGTTTAAATGAAGAAACGTGTGCTGCATATGTTGCAAAAATGTTTCATTATTATTAAATGTAATTGCCAATATTTCCATGCTTCCCTCATCATACGTATCAATGAAATTCAATTGGTATGATTTTCCCATATAATTTCAATCGAAACCTTAGGTCAAACTTTAGGTTAGGCACTTTCAACTTTCCGTGTCTTTCAAGACTTGACTTTTGAATGTAAAAGTTTTCAATTTGGCATCCAATCATAATTGCATCAAGTATTGCTCCAACGGCATGCGAAACATTTTTGCATAATAAACCTCATTCTTTCTCCTTCTAATCCGAAAGCAAATGGTATTTCACTCGTCTCGCATAGATTCTTATGGAAGTACACTCTTTGCCAAAGAGCTAGCACCCAACGGGTGAATCCTTTCCCATCTTTTTAGCCCGTAAAGATGCCTCCTTTGCTAAAAAGAGTTGCTGGTGGAGGATATCCTGGAGGGGTTTGGTGATCTCGATGGAGAGGGGAGCCCGAGTTGGACCGGGGCGCAGGGAGGGCGAGGCGCATTGGTTTGGTATGCACGGTGGAGTCTCTCTCCTTCGGTGGCTGGTTATTTCCACGTGTGGACTGGTGCTTGTGCGGGTTTAGTAACGTTGGGATAGCAACGGACATGGCGTACACCCAATAACAGGTCAGTTTAACCCTTTTTCTCACTTTTTGCATACTTTCCAAGGGCCTTCTCCAAGGGAGGGCCGACTCAAGGGTCGCCCTTCCCAGCCAGACCGCTGCATCAAACGCATGAAGACTTGACCACGACGCGGCATTTTGTATGGTTTATGTACCAACATCAAACTGCGACAGTAGTGTCCAGGGTTAGTTTTGCGGGTGGTCGATATACCCGACCAGTGGGGTTTTTAAAGATTTTGTCATGATTTTCAAAAATGGAAAATTGGTCAATTTTTTTCCTATTTTGCAATACTGACCGAATAGTCAATATTGTTGAAGAGGATTTTTTGTAGAATTCATGCTGGACAACGAGTATTGCGGTTGTAGTAATTAGCCGGCTTTTTGAGATACTGCATGAGGTCATGAGGTTAGGATACCGAGAGAGATTGCTGCTGGAAAATAAAGTAATTTTGCGGATAATAAATGTGTAATTTTGTTCCTCGATTATTCCCGATTTCTTTTTGCATACATCCGCTATCGGTTTTTGACTTATGGACATAGGTACATAGATATATCTCTCTATCACTCGCTAAAGTGTATGTATGTAGATGACTCAAGGAAGTAAAAGCGAAAGAAGGAAAATCACATAATGCAATTACCTTTACTTATCTGAATAATTAGCCGATCTTCCCCAAGAAGTAATCTAATTTTGCGTGTACATTGTAGTTTGTTGTACGGTAGTTCTTTGTTTTATGTAGACTGAAAACTTTTCTTAAAGAAGAATGGTAAATATGGTTTCTGATGGTGAAAGTTTTCTAAATGCGATTCTGTAGCACCTAAAACAATTATAAATTACGTGATCAAGCAATGCAGACTTGAACAACATGAGCAGGTGCTGTTTTCCATTATTTTCATAATTACTCTGCAAGTTTCACAAGGGTTTACTCAGACAATAATTAATGCGTATGCACATACACAAAAGATATGGATTAGGGAGAAGATAGCAAAAACATTTTTCGGTATATTCGCACTATATCGAACCGGTTCAATTTTTTATCCGCAAGATTGTTTGTGACCATTATAGTAGATATCATTAGCATCTGAAAACTTTTGCAATTTTCTTGTACGTATATTTTGCACGAAATTGTTCCATGTCATGTCATGCCAAGGTATATGCATAGATATATTTGAAGAATATGCATTATAGACTTTATAGTTGACTACTTGTCTGCAGGCAACTTGTTCCTGTAGACAGACACCGCAATATTTAACTGACTAAAATGCACAAAAAATATGTAAGTCTCGTCCAGGTAGTTGCTAGCTGGTTATTTAAGCCTGCATTTATATAATGATTTATCTATAGAGTATAGGGCAATAGGATGATGGGGTATTATTGTGCATATGTAAATGCATGGGGCTATTTTTTGCAAAGATTTAAAATGACGCAAGACTATTTTATATGGTGTTCAACATGCAAATAAAAGTTTATTGTAAAACTGAAAGTCTGACGAGGTAGGGTGGCTGCATATGTAGTACACATACACACACACCACTATTGTTGGTTTGTGAGTACATATTGTTATCACGTGATGGAGGTATTGCATTCGAAACTGGATGTAGATGTTTTCACAGATAAGCTTGTTGTGGTGTGTAAAGGGGAAAAGTACAGGTATCACACTCACTCGGTCTTCCTGTCTCTGTCTACCCAAAAAACCATCATTTTTTCATACTAAAAAATCTGCAAAGTAATATAACTTGAAATTAATTGCAGCAAACACACATTCGCATGGTAACAGGGTTGAATTTTTTTATAACAGACATCAGAGTTGACCTCATCTCAGCTAATACTTATTCATATCATAGTCAGCTTGTCATTTGAAACCACGTACGTACGTATGCAAGTACAATCTGCATTGTAAAGAGTACTGAAGAGGGCTACATCCATCGTCGAGAGATGTTGTTGAATCCGGTTTAAACCTGCTGTAACTAATACTATTTGGCTTCATCCATGTGTTACCATGCATTTTCAACAGTTTATTCTGTACACAAGACGCAAAAAAGCATTGACTCAATAAAAAATATTAAGCCGTGTCAGTTTAATTAAACAATTTAATACCACAGAGCTTGGAGAATTCCATTCGAAAGTTGGATGACATTTCATACATGCCATCGGTCACATCATCAAAATCGAAAAGTCAGTTTTAATTGCTTTAGAGTGTCATTTTGGAGGATAAGTGGTGTCGCTGAGAATATTGGATGTTGTTGGTATACTGAAATTCTGTTTCATTTCAATGCAATAACAGATTAACTGGATCAGTAAAAAAAGAGAATTTGACCCCATTATTATCTATGAAGGCAACTTTTACTCAATTTGTTAAACCACTGAAGCAAATGGTTGCTGGATCTTAAATCTGTGCGTACCCACATGAATACAGGTCTTGTACTGTAATAAAATCAAATGCATGAAATATTACGATTAGCTCAAATACGTCCGACTTGATTTATTTGATGCTCGTACGTACGTACGTAGTAACAAGTATCTGGTGAGTGGACACTATGTATGTCCATCTGAATAGGTTGAGTTATTATTATTTGTCTGATTTATACTCCACTCACTATGAAAGCTCATTCCGATGATGAGATTTGTTGATCCAGGCCAGATCTAACTGTGATTCACACATTCATACTCTCCACGCACTGGATAGCTTGATCTGCTGACATGAGAATGCATGCAAGAGCAGTAAGAAGATTAAAATTCCACTAAAATTTGGTACATGGTATTTTTCCACTCGACCCGAATTCTTCATCAAAACCTTAACTGTACTTTGTCGTCTTTTTAAAGGAAAAATGCGTGTATTCCAATTACAAGATATAATGAATTGAAATTGTTTAGGCGATATATTTTCATTTACATTTTTTAGGATAATGTACTCCGAAACAAATAAACAGCAGAAATATTTAGTTTACTACTGCCTTAAATGTTTGAGATATTTGAGACAAAAAAGAGATTCCACCATCATCTTGATTGTGACAATTTGAGCATTTGGTTTTGTCCCCTTCACTCTTAATTCTCTCAATTCTGGTTCACTCCCTAAGTACAAGAAGACGTTGAGTTGCAGCAAGCAAGTTAGCAACCGACCAAGCAAATGTACGTGGCAAAGTGCCCAATTAAATGTCGGTTCCTTTATCCCCTCTCCGAGCTCCTGCTCTCTCAATCTGCATCTTTCTCATACACTCGAGACGACACACAGTCCATACAAATACTCTTTGAGACAGATGAGAAACGTTAGAGTTGGATTTTATACCCTTGGAATTTTTAGCACCCGTAAAACAAAACACATGTGCAATTTATTACAGCCTCTTTCGCAGTGAAATCACTACAAAATAAAATAAAATGGCGATGAGACCTTTACCCTGTGACAGTAAGTAGGGAACAATAGGCACGTATGTACATATGGACATTTGTACATGGAGTTAGGTGGCTATGTGGGTGTGTAGGAAAGAATGGGAGCAAAGTTAATTTATTATTGGCAATCAATGTTTAATTACAAATA